GATTAGGGATGATAACTTAATAGATGTTCAGAAGTTAAGTTTCTTATTCAACACTTATGATCAATTATACATCTATAGATAAGTTAATGTGAAATACTTGCCTATGCAGATGATGAAGTGATTTATGTGAGCAAGGAAGTAACAAGATAGTGAACAGAGGCATTCACACAAGCTGTAACGGATTTTGACTAAAAGTTAATCTTAAAAAACTCAATACTTGTCCAATAAATAAATTAATCATTGGAAGATACGAAAATCAGTAAGAGATAATTTGAATCATTAAGAGGAAATGACAAGGAAAATATTTATTTAGAAATCCTCTCAGTTAGGAGTATTGTGAAGAATTGTCCCTTTTAGGAGCCTAACAAAGCTATGGACTTCATAAATACTCCATACTCCCTCACATTAGATACCTTAGGTTTTATGTGGCAGGCAAAACTAGCAACGAGAATTAAAAAACTAATTAAAGCAGAGTGTGTATGACTAATTCAGATAATGACATATCATTATCATCATCATTATTATTATAATTATTTTAGATTATTTGAAGACTCAAGTTTTTGTTTATAATCTTTATCTAAACTTCTAAATTGTTCTGTTTTTACCGACCCATCTTCTTACTATATTTAAAAAAACTTAATATCTCTTTCATAACAAATAGAATTTTTGATATTAGTTTTTTTATCTTAACTAAAATGTACATTACTAATATTCAAAGATAAGAATACCATTAAAAAGGATAAGAGAGGCAACAAAAAGTAGTTACTAGAAAAAATATTAATACTCAATAGTTTACTTAAATGTTGAGGAATACAACTTTGTATTTTTTGAAGAAGTTATCTTAAATATAATTAAAAACCTTAAAATGTTGCAAAACTAATGTATTTCAATCATAGAAAAAATAAAGAAAATATATGTGCATTATAGGGACTCATGATACTGATGACTTTTAGCATATTAAGTAATTTAAGGCTAGGTTAATTAGTATATCTATCTATACTCATTATCTAATTGAGTTAATTAAAGGATTTTAACTTTATTAGAGCTCTCATATAGAAGTGTGTTTTATTTCGGTCATTAGGTATTTTCATTGTAAAAAGGATTCTAAACTGGTTTGGAATTATTATATTTTAGTCGTCTAAAATTTTATGGTGTAGGATTTAATTCTGTTTCTGAGTTTAACATTGAATAATCGTAGTACAAGAAACTACGAAAGTAATTGTTTATAATTGAGATAGACCTAGTTGAAAATATTAAATAGAATTAGGATAATAATAGAAGATAAACACAATTTATGCCTCCAGAAGAGGTAAAGGACGAGCGCATATCATAACAAAAATGTTTCAGTACATCCCAAAAGTGAGATCTGGATATAAATAAGAAAGTAATTGACCTTTTAAATGATTTTTGGGCAGGCTGCTGTAAAAATATTACAATGCCTAGTATGTTGCAGATTCTTAGCTTCAAGAATAATAATAATAAGCTTAATAAATTCAATCACAACATAAATATAATTTCTATAATTTTAACAGTAATTTTAAACTAGAAAGAATAATTTGATTATAATGTCATATTACATCTGTACATCTTATAATTAAGTATCAATCTTTCAATTTTCTGATTTTATAACCTTTAAAAAATTCATTAATATTTAAAAAATTTTAAGAGGATGTGAGATAATTATTTGCTTTTGATAAGTGAACATATTTTAGATGAGATTTATAAAACGAAGCATTTCATTTTTTAATTTTTTTGGTAAATAAATTAAAAGTATTTTCTAATCTATAATTCAAATATACACTTTTTAAATTAAAAACTTCCATAGATAATTCAAGTAAATTGAATTTTGATTCAACTGAATGATTTTTATTTGTTTCAAACAAAATCGAAAATGAATACCAATATACTTCATGAACAACAACTATTCACATATTGTTAAATTATTCCATCATAAATAAATCAGAAAACATATTAAAAAATATTATAAATACTATTTTTTAGAATTTTAAGTTATCTAACTTTATTGTTGGTTAACAAAGTTAGGGAAACAATACAATGCTCAATATTATTATGTACGGCTGATATTTTGGAAATTTCAACAATTGATAAAATAATCACTTTCTTTGTATTTTCATATTCATATGTTGCGTAGATATAATTGACCATGTTCAAAATTAAATAATATCAAAAAAATATGTTAATTATGTGATTTTTAACATAAATAAAAATTACTGTTTGTTAAATAATACCATACAATGTTACAAATTATAATATTCATTCGTAACTGTTTATAGAATTGGGAAAATTAGAGTAATAATTAATATAATGAATTAGAATTGCAATATTCCTGATCATGATACAGATGTTGAATATCTTTGTACTAATGAATAATGCAAAGATTTTAGATTATTTTGTTTTAAGTGTTTGTAGAATGAAAAACACAAGACTCACATCAAAGATGTTTAGAAGATTAAGGATTTCGGGAGATATTACATAAATAAAAGCGATGACAATTTAAATGTCGAACTAGAAAAAATTATTGATCAGATATAAAGATTGTTTTTTACATTAAAGGAAGAATTAAAATTTGATTGCTCGATAAGTGAGGAAGAGTTAAACAGGTTAAATTTATACCAATTAAATGATTTACTATCTTCTAAGATAAGGTTTAGAAAAGAGAAGCAATCTCTCATATCAATGATTTCAAGGAGCGCAGAACAAATGATTGAGACTATCTATATTGGTCTTTAAGAATTCTCTTAATAATATTTTGATGGTCCTTCCAAAAAGGTTTAATTGGAAATGAAGACATTAAAGTATGAGTTGATTAATTCAATAAAGGATGAATAAATTAATACATTTGCCTTCAATTATAATAACACTCTGATGGTAGGAGGATATGAGTCGAGCAAAATAAAGGTCTTTGAATTTAAGAAGGGATAATTAAAGAGGATTTAAAAGCTGAATTTTCACAAGAAAAGCATATATTGTCAATATTTTATGAAAAAATCAAATGAATTTTTATCAGGCAGTTGTGACAAAACAATTTCTGTTTGCTATTTAAACGATGATTAAAAATGGGATATTAAATAAAGGTTAGAAGGGCATTAAGGAGGAATTAATTGCTTATTGATGAATAAAAATGAAGATCTATTAATATCTAGCAGTGATGATATGCTTATAAAATTTTGGGTTAAGGATTATGATTTATGGGAATGTTCTTAAACAATAGGAGGACATTCTAGTTTTGTCAGTAGTATAAGTTTAAATGAAGCAGAAAATTAATTAGCCTCTTGTTCTAAAGACAATTAGATATTGATCCATTCATACGATAACGATGCAAAAATTTGGATTCCGTTTTAAATAATACAGATTAACTAATGGGGCAGAAGGCTATGTTTCTTGAGTGACTAAATCTTTGTATTTCAACCTGAAATGAGGGAATAAATGCATATTTATTAGTTGGATAAAGAGAATAATAATTTTGCAAAATCTAAAGAAGTCTTGGTTGGAGTAGGAAGTGAAAGGAAAAAAAATAGGGGTTGTTTTTGGTTCTTCCCTATACAGTATATCTAACAAAAATAGATATTAATAAATAAAAATCGATGTTGTGTTAATGTAATCTAGATAGATTAAAATGATGAGTTTGCAACTATATAATCTATAGATTTCTAAACTAAAGTGATATTTGGGAAGATGACAGATAATGGAGAATACTTAATAACTTGGGATGATAGATCATGTTCTATTTAAATACGATAATATTTGGATTGATTAAGTATATATGAAAATTGATTATTTCAATCAAATTAAAAATCATTATATCTATATTTATTTGTCATTTGANTAAATAAAAGCGATGACAATTTAAATGTCGAACTAGAAAAAATTATTGATCAGATATAAAGATTGTTTTTTACATTAAAGGAAGAATTAAAATTTGATTGCTCGATAAGTGAGGAAGAGTTAAACAGGTTAAATTTATACCAATTAAATGATTTACTATCTTCTAAGATAAGGTTTAGAAAAGAGAAGCAATCTCTCATATCAATGATTTCAAGGAGCGCAGAACAAATGATTGAGACTATCTATATTGGTCTTTAAGAATTCTCTTAATAATATTTTGATGGTCCTTCCAAAAAGGTTTAATTGGAAATGAAGACATTAAAGTATGAGTTGATTAATTCAATAAAGGATGAATAAATTAATACATTTGCCTTCAATTATAATAACACTCTGATGGTAGGAGGATATGAGTCGAGCAAAATAAAGGTCTTTGAATTTAAGAAGGGATAATTAAAGAGGATTTAAAAGCTGAATTTTCACAAGAAAAGCATATATTGTCAATATTTTATGAAAAAATCAAATGAATTTTTATCAGGCAGTTGTGACAAAACAATTTCTGTTTGCTATTTAAACGATGATTAAAAATGGGATATTAAATAAAGGTTAGAAGGGCATTAAGGAGGAATTAATTGCTTATTGATGAATAAAAATGAAGATCTATTAATATCTAGCAGTGATGATATGCTTATAAAATTTTGGGTTAAGGATTATGATTTATGGGAATGTTCTTAAACAATAGGAGGACATTCTAGTTTTGTCAGTAGTATAAGTTTAAATGAAGCAGAAAATTAATTAGCCTCTTGTTCTAAAGACAATTAGATATTGATCCATTCATACGATAACGATGCAAAAATTTGGATTCCGTTTTAAATAATACAGATTAACTAATGGGGCAGAAGGCTATGTTTCTTGAGTGACTAAATCTTTGTATTTCAACCTGAAATGAGGGAATAAATGCATATTTATTAGTTGGATAAAGAGAATAATAATTTTGCAAAATCTAAAGAAGTCTTGGTTGGAGTAGGAAGTGAAAGGAAAAAAAATAGGGGTTGTTTTTGGTTCTTCCCTATACAGTATATCTAACAAAAATAGATATTAATAAATAAAAATCGATGTTGTGTTAATGTAATCTAGATAGATTAAAATGATGAGTTTGCAACTATATAATCTATAGATTTCTAAACTAAAGTGATATTTGGGAAGATGACAGATAATGGAGAATACTTAATAACTTGGGATGATAGATCATGTTCTATTTAAATACGATAATATTTGGATTGATTAAGTATATATGAAAATTGATTATTTCAATCAAATTAAAAATCATTATATCTATATTTATTTGTCATTTGATTAAAATATCTCTTTAAAAAAAAATGTTTTTTTATGAATTTCATTTGTTAAAAACTAAAATAATTAAAATATTTGAATTATTAAAATACTTTAATAATACATGATCGATTTTTTTTATAAAAATGATAATTCAATTAAAACATTTTATGAGAGTTTTACCATTTTTAAGGAATGAAAGAAATCTCGAAAGAAATTTCTATTTAATATATAGTAGTATTTACTTTTCGATATATTTTTAAAAACTTTTCAATGAAAAAATATGAATTAAAAAAATTTGATTGAGGGACAATCATCTAGGTGATAGACGTGCAAGTAAGCTTTCACATCCTTAAAAACAAAAAGATGATAAATAAGAAATAACTGACGTTACACACATTATTCATTTTCTCTATTTGTTAAACTATAATAATAATAAATGATATTTCTATTAAAAAAATTGATAATTATTCGGGGTTCATTGCGATTATATAAATATGCAAAGGAGCACTATCAATATTTGATTAATTTTGTATCAAAAGATTTGATAATTTAATTTTGAAGCATATTAATGGAAAATTATAATATTTAACTCTGTACATTATCAAATCATCATCGTAATAACTCATTAAGAACTCAAATGTATCAAAATATTTTTGTATTTTTATTTTTTTGCTTGAGTACACTGAATATACACTGTGTTGATGCGGTGATTGATTATTAAAATTAAATATATATAAAAATGAATAAAAATCTATTATCATAAATTTTTCCCTAAGTGTTAATAATTACAATGATTCTTATTTCTTTATGAAGTATCTTTATAGATTTTTCTATTTTGAATTCCAAAAATTTGTTTGTCTTTAATAGGACGGTGTAGCTTTCCTTGAAAATATTAATTATTAAATGTACTTTTTAATTTGAATTTATTTTAAGATAAAGGGATTGGCATATCTTGTTATTAACTCATTTCTTATAGTTCTATTTATATCTGGTTTTGATTAGGATAATTCTTTACAAGTGAATATTTTGTCTTTTAATAATAGTTGCTATTATAATTGTAATATTTACTTTGCATTTGTTATTATATCCTAAATGTTCGGTATTTTGTATACTTTTTATTCTCTAAATTATTAAGTCGTTTTATCCACCTATTAAATTGAATTTATAATAGATTGTAGAACATTAGAATCGAACTTTGTTTCAATATTAGTCTATTCCATATTTAATGAACGCATTTCAATATTTTAATCTAAACTGCTTGATTGATATATTTCTAAATAGTTTTCAAACTCTAATTTAAACTCAGGTGGAAGTTGCTCTAATAATTTTTTAGCATTTTATTTTTCTATTTGTAATACTTAATTCAGTTTAGGATCAGATTTGTATTAGAATGATTAGTCAAATTGAATGCTATTGGATAAATTTAACTAAAGAGTAATTTTATTTCGAGCAATTATTCTCATTGGATGTTGAGGATCATTTTCAAAATGCTCATTTACTGCTTTTGATGAGTAAAGTAAATTAATCAGGAATTGTAGACTATCATAAAGGTAATATCGAATAGATTAAACTTCTTCTTATTACTTTTGGTTGAGTTTTTGAATCTATATTTATTATTATTATTATTCATATGCTGGGTTATATTCCATAAATTACTGGGGTTTTGAATTCTGATAAACTATGCTGCTCATTTTTTATTATCTTATATAGATTCTAGTTATACATCCTCTCCTTAATATAAATCAAATAGAATTAAAATATTATTCTATTGAGTAAAAAAGAAAATGAAATAAAATTCCAAATTGCAAAAATATATAAAATTTGTAAATGTTGTAGCAAACTCAAACCTCAACAATTGCTATTTGTATAAAAATATAGTAAGAGGAAGCTTACAATTTAATTTAGTTTAATTTATGTAAACTTTTTCTCAATAGGAAAGTGGAATTAAAATAATGTTAGAAAATTTTATTCATAAATATTGAGAATGATTGATCCTTCATTTAGATTAAGTTTTAAATTTGATAGAATCAAATTATTATCGTCCAGTTAGTGGTTGATGTAAAAATTAATATATTTACAAAAATTAAGAATGAAAGAACGGTTAGAGAAAAAATAAAATTTAGGACTTAAATACAAAACTATTCTTCTAGCACTGACTCTTCTTAGGATTTTTTTTTCTGGATAATAGTTTGGAATAACTCTTAACATTAAAGCAGATGGAAAAATCAAAAAAATTCAAGTCTCAATTAAGATTCAAGAGTTTAATAGCAAGATCAATACATATAAGGAAGATGAATGGATTTAATAAAAACAAAAATTTGTTTTCAGGTCATTTAAAGCCATTAAGTTTGTCAAACACTTATTATGATAACTGTTGTATTTTATAAGTCATTTGATATTAATATAAATTTTTATTTTCGAGATACCTAATTAAAGAATGAGCATATTTCATGTAAAGAATAAAATACCAAATCTTTGTTGAAGTTTGGAGAATAGCTAAACTTGAAGAAAAGGTCTCCTCTTATTGAAGTTATATAATAATAAAAAGAAATAATTATTTATATTTTTAAAATATACTCATATTATTAGACTGTCAAACAATAATTAGTTATGAATTTAAATTAATTGTAAGTAATAATAGGATAAGATTTAAATTAATTTTTGAAAATGTATTCATATGGTTTTCGTATTTCTATATGTATTTATTATTAAAATTTATATAATTCTTTTCTTCTTAATCAATTAGTAAAAATATAAATGTAAACCATTTAAATCGTATTTATCTTGATTATTATGGCGAGCACAGCAAGATTTGCTAATACGGAAGCATATAAGTAAGCTAAATTGGCAGAGAAAATTCATTAAAGGTAGTATATATATATATATATAATAGTTATCATCAAACTTAACAATAAAACTGGCAACTACAACATATAAATAGTAATAGAATTGACCTGAATTTGATAAATCAAAATGAAATTTAGTTTAAAATATGTTCAGATATAAAAGATCCTGAAGAATGTTCAAAACTTCATCCTTCTGGAATTGAATGTCGATGGGATGGATCTTGCATAGCTAAGCATTCTTCAAATTTGATTCCTGAGTTAATACATAAAGAAAAATCTCTTAAGAATATAGACAAATAATTATTTAGGGATTAGTGTCGAGAAATCTACGAAAGAACAAGTTGTTTAGTTTCCAAAATATAAGGATTACAATGTGTTTGGGTTAACAATTAATGTTTAGCGAACTGTAATGCTATATCTTCTAAAGTATCAAAAAATATAAATTTAGGATTAATGCCTCAGAAATATTGTTAATACAAATGTCTAAAAATGTTTGATAATAAAAAATCAAAATGATAATAATTCTCGTCTAAATTGTTCAGAACGCTTCTCTGATTGCAAATATGATGATTTCAATCAATATAGTTGCACTTGGTAAAACAATTAGTGCTAAGTTGCTATGTGTTATTAATTTTAAGAAGAATAAAAGTGCAATGATTAATTATCTTGCAATTGGCATACTTCTTTGAAAATGTGTTTAACAGATGGAGAATTCACATAATATGATAAACCTTGCAACATTTCAATGAACATGTCAATTTTAAGCTTATTAGCTTCTCTTCTCCTTATATTTAATTGATTAATTAATTTATATTCTTTTTTCATTTTTATTAACAATACTTGTTTTGCATTAAAGAAATGATATTATATTATTTATTTGAAAAAATCTCAATTAACTCATTGAATCAATTAAAAATAATAATATTAAATAGATGCATTGCTATTCATTCTCTTAGTAGATTGGAATTATCAAGGTCAAATTTATCTCCCATATTAATATTCCCATCATCCTTATATTCCCAACTATCTCTGAGTAGCTTCATTATTTTGTAATTCTGGATATTTTACTATTCGGCTTAACATATAACTCTAAATTGATAAAACCACTACTGTTTTTATTTTAGAATCGATCAATATTTAAATTTTGCTTTTCGTATAAATTCTGTTTATATCAATAATATATAATAATTGATGGTTATTAATTAATAAAATTCTCATGAATTAGGTTTCCACATTTTGGAATGATTGTAAAAGTAAACTTCATAGATTGCTTGAAGTTAAAAATTCTGTTAATTTAGATAATAGGATAGTCTTAATATACAATATTCTTTTAAAAGAACTTAAATAAAATCATAAAGGAAAATATCATTAAATAGAGAAATTAATCTTTGCTCGAGATTCTCAATTAAATATAGGATCAGTTTAATGTGAAATTTGTTTTTAAAAAGAAAAATAGGTTGTTCCTTTCTTATACTCTTTAGATCTTATTAAGATTTTGGAAGATGCTTACTACATCTTAGATCAAGCTTCTTCTTGTTTTTAAAATAATTAGTAATTTTTAGAAGAATAACCATATCATTAAACGAGGATAATTTACATAATAAAAGAAACTCTAGATGATATATCTAAGAATAAGGAAATTATTTGGAAGATTAACAAATTAATTCTAGAATTAGAATCTTATCTCAAATTCACTAATGATGACATATTTGATAATGTTGGAAAGATTCACTCTTCAAATATAAGCAAAAGTTAGATGAATAAATTTGTTTAAGATATTAAGAAAGAATAAGAATAATTAAATCCATACAGATCATATATTAAGTTACTTCCAACAGTAATATTTATAAAGAGATTTCATCCTTCATCCGATTATATATAATATTAAACAGTTTCTTAATAGTACCTTGCTATTTTGATGAACTATTAAATTTTAATCTATAATATTAAAAATGGAGAGCTGTACANACTTCTTTGAAAATGTGTTTAACAGATGGAGAATTCACATAATATGATAAACCTTGCAACATTTCAATGAACATGTCAATTTTAAGCTTATTAGCTTCTCTTCTCCTTATATTTAATTGATTAATTAATTTATATTCTTTTTTCATTTTTATTAACAATACTTGTTTTGCATTAAAGAAATGATATTATATTATTTATTTGAAAAAATCTCAATTAACTCATTGAATCAATTAAAAATAATAATATTAAATAGATGCATTGCTATTCATTCTCTTAGTAGATTGGAATTATCAAGGTCAAATTTATCTCCCATATTAATATTCCCATCATCCTTATATTCCCAACTATCTCTGAGTAGCTTCATTATTTTGTAATTCTGGATATTTTACTATTCGGCTTAACATATAACTCTAAATTGATAAAACCACTACTGTTTTTATTTTAGAATCGATCAATATTTAAATTTTGCTTTTCGTATAAATTCTGTTTATATCAATAATATATAATAATTGATGGTTATTAATTAATAAAATTCTCATGAATTAGGTTTCCACATTTTGGAATGATTGTAAAAGTAAACTTCATAGATTGCTTGAAGTTAAAAATTCTGTTAATTTAGATAATAGGATAGTCTTAATATACAATATTCTTTTAAAAGAACTTAAATAAAATCATAAAGGAAAATATCATTAAATAGAGAAATTAATCTTTGCTCGAGATTCTCAATTAAATATAGGATCAGTTTAATGTGAAATTTGTTTTTAAAAAGAAAAATAGGTTGTTCCTTTCTTATACTCTTTAGATCTTATTAAGATTTTGGAAGATGCTTACTACATCTTAGATCAAGCTTCTTCTTGTTTTTAAAATAATTAGTAATTTTTAGAAGAATAACCATATCATTAAACGAGGATAATTTACATAATAAAAGAAACTCTAGATGATATATCTAAGAATAAGGAAATTATTTGGAAGATTAACAAATTAATTCTAGAATTAGAATCTTATCTCAAATTCACTAATGATGACATATTTGATAATGTTGGAAAGATTCACTCTTCAAATATAAGCAAAAGTTAGATGAATAAATTTGTTTAAGATATTAAGAAAGAATAAGAATAATTAAATCCATACAGATCATATATTAAGTTACTTCCAACAGTAATATTTATAAAGAGATTTCATCCTTCATCCGATTATATATAATATTAAACAGTTTCTTAATAGTACCTTGCTATTTTGATGAACTATTAAATTTTAATCTATAATATTAAAAATGGAGAGCTGTACAGTAAAATTAATGTTGATTTTGAAAATCGGAAGATCTTACTATTTTAATTTACAAAAGATGAAAATTACTTGGTTTTTGCATTTGATTACCCAATTAATATTACAATATATAATATGAAGAAGAAGTTGATGCAATAGAGATAAGGATCAATATCTTGGATGAGTATAGAATGTTGTGAAAAAAATAATTAGAATTATTTATTTAAATACAATTAAGATCTCACGATTAAGCAATGCATTTCCTTTGAATAATAGGATTGTAATAATTTTAAACTATTCAAAAAAAGTTCAACCTACTAAAATTAAAGATAAACACTCATTTTTTACGATAACATGGAAAGAAAGTGGAAATGCTTATAAAGGAATGAAAAAGGAAGTATATAAAGTTAAAAAGTATAAATTACTAATAAATTTAAACTCTAATTTCTCCAAAAATCTAGAATGAATTATTTATATTATACTTTGATTTCAAATTCAAACAAAAAAATACGAAAAATTATTAATTAAGAATAATAATTTTTGAATACATACTTTTTCTCTAAAGATGAAACCTACATAATATCTTCATCTTTAACTTTTTATGAAATTTAAACTGGAAAATTTGTCTTTACAATTAGATTAAACGAAAAAGATGAGCATTTAGATATAAAAATGGAGGATGGTAAAATAAAGATTTTAACTTGGGATAATTTGTACATTTACGAGTAAGTTACCAAAAAAAGTCAACAAATAACTGAATAATTGCATTGAAATAATTTCTACACATATATTGCAATTTTAATCATTTATGCACTCTAACTTAAATTGTATATTTTTATTACATTAAATTAAGAAATATCTTAATTTATAAATTATAATTTTAAATAATTTTAACTATAATAGATATAGTGAACTTAATCAATTGGAATAAATTCATATGTATTTTGACTGATTTTATCAAATCAATAATAGAAAAGTCAACACAGATAAGGATTTAATTAAATCAAAATTAATTGATTAACATGCAGTGCATTTTCCATTAATCCATTAATAATACCCATAGGATTGGGATATACAAGTTTCTTAATTCTAATTGGAAGTATCGAAGTCTTAACAGCTCCCATTCTAAGCATATTGGCATATATAAGCATCAATCTAATTCATATGTGGAAAAGCAAACAAACATAACTAATCCCCGATATGTTTACATGAGGAAGCAGATACACATTTATTAGTTTATATATTCCATATACAATGATTTTTTCCATATGTGCAATGTCCATATTCCGCATCTTCACAATTTGTCCAAATTTAACATTTGTTATCTTTATATATACATTTACCATCAATCCCAGAAATACAATCAGCTCCATCTAGCTCAGAACAAGATTTTGTATTTTCATCTTTTAGTTTACAAGTTTTTGTTAAATTATTATAAGTGCAATCATGTCTTAAGTTAGAGCAATCTTCATCATTGGAAGCGTAATAATCTTAACAATTTGTAAATTTAGAACATTTTCCATTATTCCAAGCACAATCGCTGCTTAAACAAGCTTCAACATTCATTTATTCACAAGTTTTCTGATAACAAACTTAATTGACAAATTCACATTTACTAAAATACTAGCAGTCATATAGTGATGTCAATTATTCACAAGTGCATTAATTTCCTAAATTAATCAAGTCTTAAGCTAATGAGGAAGTACTTGACAAGAAAATTGTTGAAATTAATTGTGCTAAAATATTCATATTTTGATAAAATATTAAATATGTTATTTTATAATTATTAATATAGCAATCGGATCATTTTATTTTAGACTGATTATTTAAATAAACAGATTTTTAATTCCTTTCTTTTTCAGATTGTTTCATATCAACTTCACACCACAACATTTATCTAAAATTGAAGTTATAAATTGATATATATTTGTATTTAGTTTGCACATATTTTACTCAAATTTTGAATATTTAGAATTTTAATAATCACTTTGAATCACATTTTCTTGATATCATAGCTACTTACTAATAGCAATTTAGTTGGCTATTTATTTGGGTCAGACGAATACTAACATTATAAATATCAATTAAACATAAAAATTATGCATAATGTGATTCAATATGTATATATTACATTTAACACTAAAAATAAGATTATTTACAAAATCAAATCATTAATTCTATTATTAATTATTTGTATTATACTACAAGTAAAATACATCTAATTTCTAAATAACATTGTATTAAAATTTTCAATGTACATCTGATAAATTTGATTTCATAACAATAGTAGAACGTAATATTTAATTCAGTATATTTATTTAAAGGCAGATCAAGAAACCTTTATACATTATGTAATATATAATATTCAAAAATTGCTTCTGCTTGAATTTGTTGTTTAATTGATTATATATCTTTTTGGTATAGAATTCTAACTGAATCGTTTGAGATTGAGCTTTCTAAAATTTTTATATTTTTCTTACTCTTCTGTTAGATATTTATATTTAAAGTCATCACATTTGCTCATCATATCTTCCAATTTAAGAATATAATCTTTCTTAACTTCTTTGCTAACACTTTTGTTTAAGTATCGCATATATGGTTTTTTAAAGAGATCTTCGTTTTTTTAATATTACGCTAATAGATCTGCTTCTGTATTGTGACTTGTTAGAAGTTTTTAATTTTAAAGATCAAATTATTTAACAGTTTCATCATCAGATTCATAGTTCTTTGTTGGTTCTGTATAATTTTGGCTAAAATAATAAATTTGAAATACTCTCTCACTTATTGTAATTGATCCTTGACCGATTTTTCATATCTGAATAAATAGTCTTTTATATTTCTTTTAATTATTTATCTATATTTATTGAGATCTTAGTTGATTTAAGAATCTTTTAAAGTGATGCATTAGTATTTTTCTGACCAGAATTCTGAAAAATGAATTCTACCATTGTTTAAAAGTTGAGGTTTATTTTTACTAATTGAATTAGCTTCTTGCTTTCTTTTTTTGAAGATTGCAATTGTGTCTTTTCTGTTTTCAAGTTACTGATCCTTAAGTAAATACTTAAGTTAGAATATAAGTTACAGGCAGAGATAGCATCACATTGAAATTTACTTTTCGTTGATTTGACAACTATTTTAATTTGATGTATTATATTTAGGGAAGAGCTTCGCTTTAAGTTGGAGATTTACTATTGTTCATGCTATACTTATTTATCTAAATTTATATGTACTTCAAGATTCAGCTATTAAAATATATATATATTTAATTATTTAATTATATAGCAATAACGTAGATGAAATAGTTGAAAAATTAGAACTCAATTTCATTATCCCCAAGGTATCAAATATCAATAAGAAATTTGTTAAAAGTTAGACAAGAACCAGAATAAGATGATAAGTTATAGACTTGGCAATAAATAGATAATTATTTTAATTATTATGCTTAAGAACCACAATAATAAACATTAAATGCTTCTCGAACATCAATAAAACTAGATCAATAAGTCAATTAAACTTATTTAGAATATTTTAATAAAAAGTAAAAAGAAATGAAGCATGATGCTTTCAGCAATATTATTAAATCTTGTAGCGAATACTTTATTGATACTCTATATATTGCATTGATTGGTGAATCATTGAGTGATAAGTGTGATAAAATTGGTACGATTTCTTAAATTTTGATTGGTTTTGGCATTCAACCTGGAGCATTAAAAAATTTAAACGAAAGCGAAAAAAGAGAATATATAATAAAAAAGTTTAATTATACAATCGATGCTTTACTTGAGAAATGGAAGGAAAAAGTTGAAAGTAGATAACAATAATAAATAACAACAAAGGTAGAAACAAAGATATAACCATAACCTTTGAAATGGTTAAATATCAATACAAAGTATCAATCACTTAAAATTCCTTTAGCACAAGTGCTATATCGAAAATTAGATGAATTACAGGATATTTAATAGATGGTAATAAAATAAAGATAGATAAAGTTAAATGATATCACAAGACCGACAATTCTGGAATTGATAAAAAGGATGGATCCGTAAATAGGTAAACTATTTATTTCTTTGAATTTCTCTAAAAATATTGAATTATCAAAGACTTTTAAAAAGTAGGATATAAATCAAGGTAGTATAATAAAAAAGATGCAGAAGTTTTAATGGGATGAAGAATTGGAAGGGGCATTCTTGGAAAATAGATAAAGAAGTCAAATTAAGTACGCCAATAAAATATCAACTTGTAATTTTAATATTATGGGATATTTACCATTAATCTAAACATTGAATCGTCGTAAAAGTATGAGATCTGATGGAAATGAAGATGAAGTGATATACGAAGAAATCAAATTCGCAAAATCATTCAGCAAATTTCTAGCAAGATGTGTTGATAAAAAATAATTATAACATGCTGTTAATTTAGTAGACAAAGATTAAATTTCAGCTTTGGAAGGTAATCTAGCAGAGCATATTATTGAAACCCACTAATGCATTGTCAAAATTATATAATAAGCAAGACATTAATTTCTAGTCAAGAGAACATAGTATTTAAGGTTAAAAAGTGAAGAAAGGGAGTGCAGTTTTAAAAGGCAAGTAAGAAAAGTAAGTGAAAAAAAAGAAATGAAAGTAAAGATCAAGAGATATGAGATGATTTATAAACGAAATAAGAATAGAAATTTCTATGTAATATATTTTGCAAATATTGTAATGAATAAGATTAGATAAAGAAGAAAACGATTATAACCAAAAATATTTTAGTTTAAAATATATTAAAAGGGCAGCAAAAAGTGTTCAAAATCGCCAACTTAAGAGAAAAGACAAAGGTGCATTACTGAATTTTCAACAGGACCTATAAGATTCAAACCAACAAAATTGTAAATGACAGCAAGAATCATCATCAAGATTTAGGCCTTAATCAGGAGATTTTTGGCTTAAAGATTCTATAAGAAGCTAATTAAAAATAAATTGAAAAAAGTGTTAAAAATACATAAATAACATTAAATAGTTAAATTTTGATAAAAAAATATAGATCATAATTTTTCTTCAAGAATTTACATAATATCCTTTGTATGGATTGGTTTTTATAAAAAATAGTTCATCCCTGATTCATAGCAAACTGCCTTTGTCAAAGAATCTGTATAAGCAGTTTATGCTATGATAATTGGTTTTTGTAGATCATTTTATTCACAAAACTACAGTATTTGTTTAGTTGCTGTAACTCCATTCATATTCGGCATTTCTATATCCATAAAAATTAATTAGTATTAATGTTGCATAAACTTATCTAATGCTTCATAACCATTATTAGCTACATCACATAGGTAATTTAGCCTATTTAACATTATCTTTAAAGCGTAGATATTCACATATTCATCATCTACGATTAATATTTTTGTTGAAATAGAAGATCTGTCGTGTATGTCCATCGGTATCAACGGTTTTTAACACCCTTATTTCATGATATAAGGATTTATTATGCAATCAAATTTTTCCTCTTAAAACGAAATGTCTATTATTTTCACTATTTTTACTTTCAGATTGACTAATCGAACTACTTTGATTTAAGAGTAGATTCTAACCATCCTTAATATATCTATGAGAAAGGAGCGGTGAAAACTGCCTTTTTAATTCTTTTATACTAGGACTCACAGGTTAACTTAAATCAAATTTCGAATTGCTATAAGAAGAATTAATCTTGTTGTATCGAATTGTTTGTTTAGAATTCTAAATTGGTAATTCTTCTTAATTCAAATCTTAAATTAAAAACCAAAATTTAGATCCTTATTGGACATTAGATTCGAATTTTATTCCTCCTTCATGATTCAATGTCAAACCTTTTACTATTTTTTATGTTATCAATAACCCCATTCCAAATGATTGATTGGGATCTTTATATCGACTTTTTTAACTAGATGTCAAAAACTATGATAGTTTAAGTTGAGTATCGTTATCCATTCCAGGACCTGTATCTTCAACAGAAATCCTAACAAATTTTGTGTTATTTATAATCTCTTCAGATGCAGTAATAGTAATACTTCCCTAAATTTGTAAATTATCATACTTAAAATGTAAATTTTTATGCATTAGATAATAAATTAATAAGTGATTGTTTTACTCTTTAAGCATCAGTGTGTATCAAAATATCATTCGTAATGATATTAACTTTTAATCCCTTCATTTATATTTATGATTAAAATAATGCCGTCACTTCATTAATTAATTTGGAGATATTGGTATTTTTAATTGTTAATGTAAAATTCTTTGACAAAATCAAGCTTAAATCTTTAACATCCTAAACAATACTATTTAAAATATAACCTAGTAAATTACTTAATATGAATTACATGAATTTAATAAAGGTTGAATGTACTTGCTAACAGTTAATTCTTATAGTTCTTCTAAAGCATTTTCTGCCAGGATTTATATGCAGTTAAGGGAAGTACTAAATTCATGACTCAAACTTCGAAATAGCTAATTCATGAGAAGCTTTGTGTTTATTTTATTTTTATAATCATCTCTTTCTTGGGTGTGAGGAAAAATAAATAGAAAGTATCCCTGAATAAATTTAATGTCAATTTAGTAATCACTTTTAAGATATTCTGACTAAAAGTCGATGACTGAACATTAACAGTATTACGCGCTCATAATTTATAAAATATGATTTAAAAGTAATTTAATCGGCTAGCTAGAAATACTTAATATTGGAAAGGTATTAGGTTAACTAGATGATCTAATAAAAATATTGTTATTCATCTATTTTTCTAAATATATTTTTTTAACAACTTTTTAACTGTTCTTATCTAATCGGTGTATTTTTATATTTTTAATTCCATATTGAATATTTTTTTAATCAATTTTTTCAAAAGCATCTATAAAGTATGAATTATATAAAATGGGCTTTGCATCCTTGTCAGTAATAATGAAGGGTAAATGAAATAACTCTTACACTCTTTTTAAATTGTCTATAGTATCTTCTTTGATTAAATAATCAAATTAAAAATGCATATTTGGTTAAGATGAAATATTTTTGAAATTTAAGTCAGTTTTAAGTTAATTATCAATATAATTTTAATTGTTATTCCAAGTGTGAGATTATTTAAGTATTTTCCTTGGAGTTTCTGGATTTTTGTTAACTATGGTTCTTGAAATTAATTTGATTATTTACTTGTTTTATATCATTTGAAAAAAAATGGTTAATGACAAAATGATTTTATAGAAATTTAGATCCAAAGATGCTTGCAATATTGTGTAAATTATGGCTGAAATAAACTTGAATTTATGATTCGAGTGTTGTATGATAAAGATGTGAAGCAATCAAAAAAAACTAATAAGAAGAAATACAATACATATCTGTTTAATAGAAAGTTTATTGAACATTAGCTATGGCTATTATTCTAATTATTATAGTGGTTGTATTAAGCATCAATAAAATAATTGATGAATCATCAGTCGAGTAGTAGTATATTTTGATAAAGAGATAGAGAATTAACATCCCAAATGTGATGGCCATCAAAATTATTGTTAACAGAGAACTATTCTATAAAAGTAAGAGTTGGATAATGTTCCCGATAGACAGAATGAAATAGATAAGGTCAGATAAATATAAAGGCTTTTTCATCGTTTTATAAATATTAATTGAATAATAAACATGTATATAGATATACATTGGTCACAATTTATCAATTATAGCTTTGGTATAATCTGTGGTTGTGCTTTTACCTCCAAGATCTCCAGTCAAATATCTGCCTTCTTCTAAAACTGAGTATGTGGCTGTTTCAATTCTATTTGCAAAATCATTTAATCTCATGGCTTTTAACATCTAAGTTATATATTATTTATTAATACCATAATTCCTGATAATAGTAATGCAGTTGGATTTGCAAGATTCTTTCCTGCAATATCTGGTGCAGTTCCATGAACAGCTTCATAAACTTCACAATCTTTTCCAATATTTCCTGATGCTGTCAATCCTAATCCTCCAATCAAACCAGCACAAAGATCTGAGACAATATCACCATAAAGATTGGGCATAACCATAACATCAATTTTCGTTGGATCATTAGCTAATTTGAATGCCATAGTATCAATTTATTCTTCACTAAATTCGATTTCTGGATAATTCTTTGCAACATCATCACAAACTTTCAAGAATAATCCATCTCCTTATTTCATAACGCCTGCCTTATGACATGCTACTACTTATTTTCTATCTATAATTAGTTTTTATTAAAATTACTATTTGCTCTTGCAAATTCGAATGCATATTATGCAATATTCTAACACGCATTATATGAGACAATTTTAAGATTCTCAACGACTCCTGGAACGACTTCATGTTCTAAGCCACTATATTCACCTTCAGTGTTTTCTCTGATTGTTACGACATCAACTCCTGGATATGGGGTTTGAACTCCTTTAATGGATTTGCATGGTCTGACATTAGCGAATAATTATAATCTCTTTCTTAGGGTGACATTGATAGATCTGTATCCCTTTCCGATTGGGGTTTCGAATGGTCCTAAAAATTTTTATGGAAATATTACCTTTCAATGCGTATTTCAAGGCTTTCACTTATTTAAGAGTTTCTTCAGTGATCAAATCACCTTATTCAGTCACTCTCTTTTTGTGAATCTCGTGAAATTCCCATTCAATTGGCACTTTTGCAGCATCAAATATATCGATTACAGCTTTAGAGATTTCAGGGCCAATTCCATCTCCAGGGAATAGAATCACTTTTTAATAGTTGAATTGTGGTCTCAAAATTGTAGTGGATGCTTTTCTTATAATATTCATCTTAAATAAATAAATAAATTATTTTTATTAGATTTAATTAATCCTTAAATACTTAAATTAGATATGCATATTTTTTTATAATAATTATTTTTATTATCAAATAATATTCATTATCATTATTACGTATTTTTATTATATAATTATATTATTTATATCAATGTATGAGGATATTCATTTACAACACTAAACTAATGCATACATTGAATAGAAGGATCCAATAGAGGTGACAGATAATACAGAAGAGATTGAATTTAAATAATTAACCTATGATCAAGCATTATCACAAGTAGGATCATCAGGATACTATTAAAAAAGAGCATTCATAATATTTGGTCTGCAATGGATGATAACTACGTATAGCCCTCTTATTATGATAGATGGATTCTATTTGCTCCTGTCTTCTACTTTATAGAGCCAAAAGTTGATTGTAAGAACGATCTAAATTGCTATAATGAATGCTCTACACATATTTTGGATGACTAATGTCTTTCTTATATATGTGTAATCAATTTCAATAATTTTAGGAAGATTAATCTCGAATAGAATTCCTTGTTGGCAATTCCCTTAATACAGCATTCAATACAATATTGTCTTGCAATAAGACCTTACAATCAATTATTAAATCCATAGTTTATTTTGGCTCTCTGGCTGGATTCTTTATTTTTTCATTCATAGCTGATAATTATGGAAGGAAACTCGCATTGATATTATCCTGGTCAATAACTACAATAGGATCATTAATCTTAGCAGTTACTTATCATTTCTAATTATATATAGACTGCTCAAAATTTCTAAATGATAACAGGTGCAATGTTCCTTTTAGGCTTTGGAGGTAATCCTGCCATAACAGTTCATTATTCATTTATAAATGAACATTCCTGTAAAATTTACATTAACATTATTAGAAGGACATTTCAGAGAATTCCAAAATGTTGGTCTTTAAGTTTTCTTCGCAATTGGCGAATTTACATTCATCACATTAGCCTATTATATGCCTGATTGGAGATCATTAGCAATTATTGCTGCAATACCTACAATCATGCTAGCCTTTGCTAATTTTTTAATACTTGAATCACCATAATTTTTGTACACCAAAAATAAATCTTAATGTGTATAAACACTGAATCAGATAGCTAAAATTAATTCTAAGAAACCAATATATATTGATGAATTAATCACAAATCCAAAATCTAAAGCCAAAAACTAGAAGATGTACACAGCTTGGGATCTTGTAAGATACAAATCTATTAGATATATATTTATTGCATGTGTAATGATGTTTTTTGCAATTTAATTGATTTATTATGGAATCAGTTTTGTTAGTGATTAATTAGGAATGAATTTTTTCACTAGCAATTACATTATAGCCTTTTTTGAATTAACCGCATATTTAGTAACAGGTAAATATATTATTTATTTTCGAGATTTTCTTGTAACTAAATTAAAAAGGAAAAAAAATATCATTTTTGGATTGATATTAGTTGGTTTGATGAGCTAGTATTTTTTAATTCAATTTAATAATTCTATATTTATCATAATGTAAGGAGTTTTAGCAGGGGTATGTTAGAAAATAATTAAATTCTAGGTCATGAGATTTATTATTTGTGTGATTTGGGCTTTGGCATTTGTGTATGTATCTGAATTATTCCCTTCAGTTGTTCGCTCTTTAGCATTATTATTAATATCTGCTGGAGGTTCAATTGGTAGTATTGTTCAAACCTTCTTGAATAATTTATGTTAACAGTTTTAAGTCCATCCCATGGTTGTTTTTGGATTAATTGGTATGTTGTGTGGTCTATTGTTGCTACCTCTTAAAGAGACATTGAATCAAGGATTGATTGAGAATATTGAGGAGGAAGAAAAGTTAATGAATTAATGCAAATCAGTTAATAAATGTTAATAGTCTGATGAAACTGAAGAGTCTGGGGAAGCAGATCAAATGGAAAATTTGAATGAAGAAAGAGAGTGAGTATTTATTAATTCAATTTAAATTAGATTTCTCATAATAAAATAAACGAACACTAACTCTGAAAAGAAGGATTGTTGATTTGTAATTATAGAAAGTTATAATAAATAGTTCAAATATGTTTATCCTTATAAAAGAGGAATAAGAGAATAAACATAAATATTAATAATAAAATGTTGCTTAATAAATGACATAATGATGTATATCTATCAAGGATATCATCTTCCTGACCATGAAGCAACTTATTTCTTGAACATTATTATTACTTCATCCAAGATGGCATTCTCTTCGTTTCTCTTAGCTTTGGCTTCTGCATAATCAGCTCTCTTTGATTCCAAATCAGCTTAGGCTTGATCCAAGGCATCTTGTGATTCTTATAAAATGATCTTAGATTTAGCTTATTGGGCCAAGGCAGCTTAGATTTACTATAGATTAATAAGAATAGAGTATTACAGTGGCAGTTCTATCAGCAAAGACTTATTTTCTTTCATATTCAACTTCCAAGGATGTAATTTCAGCTTCAGATAATGAGACCCAACCAGCTAATTCCCATGATGCATTGATTTCATTTTATTTCAAATTTTCTAAAGAGCCTTCCAATTCAGAATGTAATCCTTCCAAGACTGCCAACACTTTTTCAGCCAAAGTTGATCCGTTTCCTGATGATTATTCCTAATGAGAAATGGAGATTAATATTACTTATTATTCTTAAGCTAAGGCTAAGAATGTTTTGATTTGATGTTCTTAGAATAAATTGCTGTATTATTTCAACTTTTCAGCTACAGATTATGCTTAGACTTATGTGAATTCGAAGGAATCTCCATTAATAATATAACCAGCAACATCTTGTTTTAAAAGTCTGATAACCTCAAGGGCTTCTTAATTGTGTTTTATGGATTTGACGAATAATTAATTGCTGAAACATTGGTTGTCTTGGAGTGTTTCAATTTTGGCAGTGATTGAGTCTCTTCTGGCTTCATTCCATGCCAAATAGTTTTTGGTTTGCTACAAAACACTTTCATATTCAGCTCTATTCTCAACTGCTTATTGGAATAACTTTTAGTTCAAAGCCTTGATTTTTGTGAATTATTCAATTGTTCTAAGGATTTGGTATATATAATTACTATGCACCAACCCATTCATCTGTTTCATTCTTTTGATCAGCTGCAAATTATGCATCAATATTTGATTATTTCAAATCATTCAACAATCCAAAGACTGTGTCGATAGCATCACTTGCTTTTGTTCCTGTCTATTCGAATAATTGGACTTTTTTACTTATAAAAGAGCCAAAATTTAGTCTTAAGTTTTTGATGCTGAGCTTGTAGCTGCTAAGGCCAACAAAACAATCAGGATGTATTTCATTTCTGATAAACTTAATAATGAAAAACGATTTATATTAAAAACGAATTAATAGCATATTCATTTTAATAATAATAATTTTTATTTCAATGATTGTGTTTCCTCTTCATCCTTAAGAACTATGCTAATTGTAGTTAATTGTTCATGACAGATTACTATAGTATTTTCAATCAATCTGATCTAGCACTCAATCACATTATAAATTGCCTAAGCCTTCTTATGAATTTTAGATTTAAACAAGTATAATTAACCATCTATCAACTTTAAATATCTATGTTTAGTTGAAATATTACTTTGATTATTCTATCTCTTCATCTTCAAATTTAATCCTATAAATTCCCAATTCTATGCAATTCATTCTTTATTGTCTCTCAAATTAATAATGAACTTCCTACAATTTCCTTTTTATATACTCTAAACTATATCTTCGATTGGGATCTTTATCCAAACATTTCAACACTATATCACTCACGATGGGGTTTTTCTATATAAATCTAAATGGGAGAGCTTGTGAATCTTTTGCATCCAATAATAATTGCATTTGGTTTTCTTATGAGAAGGTTGGATAAAAGAGTAACAATAAAATCAAACCAAAAGAATATATGTCAATTCTATTGTCATATTATTTGTTTATGTTTTCTCCCAATAATTCAGGAGCCACATATATTTTTAAATCGCCAGATTTATTAATTTGAGTGTCCTCCTCAATAAAACCATACTGTTATTTAGAGGATTATTTTTGGACCAACAATTACTTAATTTTTTTCATCAATCCAAAATCACCTATTCTTACATCATTTTCATTATTGATAAAGATATTGTCTGGTCTCAAATCTCGATGAACTAATTTACATTGTTAATGAATATACTCAAGAGCAGATATCAAATTTAATGAGATTATTAATGCATTTTCATATGATTATTCTAACTAGTATTCCTATTATTCCGCATTCTGTTATAGGTGCATGTTTCTTACTTTTAAATAATTACATAAAGATTGATCACAGAATTCTGTTTGTATAAATATAGTAAATTTGTCCACATGTAATTATTTCTAACCACAGGATTTACTTATCAGTTAAGTACTAATCTTCAAACTCTTATTTTTTTATTTCTGTTCACTAAAAAATCTATCACTTTTGGTCTCATTAGAATCAGAATCACTTGATTCAACTTCAGAATAACTGATTCTCTCCTTGCTTGACTTATTGTCAATTTATTCTAATATATTTGATGATAAAATAACTTGGAAATATAAATTGATCATCGTACAACCCTCTCTTATAAGATGGTGATTTCAAAGGACTTAGGAGATCAATCATCTTTATTGAATTGTTTGTTGTTGTCTATTGTAACTCTTAGTCATCTTCATTCATTTAAACCCATGAGTTATAATACCTCATAATGTTTGGGTGATTCAATTGAGCCAAGTATCTAACTTCCTTCAAGACTCTTTGAATGTTAATTTCCATTTGTTATTGCTTTTTTAAACAAATTTGAATCTTATTTTAGATGCATTTCTTACCTATTTTATAGCATAGATCTATTAGTCTATTTTATTAATCACTTTCACAACCTAATAATAAGGACCTTTTAGTAAGGTTTCTATTTCTTCAAAATCTGTTTCATATCTCTAATTTATTATTTGTAATAATTACTTTCCAACCTTAACTAACAATTTATTATAAATAAACACTATTTAAATTGAATATGTTTTTTTCTTATTAGTTTGTTTACGGTCGTAACATTAGAATAAATAAATACTGACCTTAAATTATTATATCTAATATATTTTGCGTAATATTATTTATAGTACGTCATTTTATTTCTCAATTAATTCGTTTAACAGTCAACAATAATTATTAGAAATTTTAGAGATACATCTTAATTATAATTAATATAAGTATATTCATACTTTTATATGTTATAAAAAATAATATTAATTTTTATATATATAATTCATATATCAAATTATTTGATCTCATTCCCATACTTTTTTATGAACCTATTATTCATTAAAAGTGGGGATGGTTTAACGTTTCCCTCAATTTATAATCAATAATTTATGGGATTTGTTGATCTTCAATTGATGAGTAAAAATATATATAAATATATGTAAATGAAAAGCATTTCTAAAGGACAAGATTTTATTATACATTAGGTAAAATCAGTCCTATCGTATTATTCGGTGCCAATAATTCTTTGATCTATATAATTTATTTATAAAATCCAAGGAAATGATTTCATTGAATCTAGATATGGGATCATATCTGAGAGAAATTGATTTTATAATTATGAAATTAATGTAATAGAAGAGGGTCGTCATTTATTAACTTGATTATGAGATGTTATGAAACTGAAAGTTTAATAATTGAGGTAATACAACATTTTTTTAAAGTTTGATTCTATTATTAATACTGTTGAAAATATAGCTTCTATCAACTACTTAATGTGTTATGGAATGAAAAAAAGCTTAAATTGTTAGTAAAAGCCATTTCCATATAAGATATTTTAATTTGGCAATTTCTACAAACACCTTCAATCAGTATTAATCAGATATTATTTCTAATTCTTAGAAATTCGCTTAGAATTGTATTTTCTAAAATTAATATATTATATGCAGATTTATATTGTGGTGTTTCAATTATATTGTATTTTAGTCAGAATAAAGTAATCAGAGATTAATTTATAGGGACCTAAATATACTTTTAAAAACAATTCTGTGTTATGTAAAAATTAATGTAAAAATAAAATGGATATTTTCAACCCCCAGAAAAGATTGAAACTAGAAGTGTAATCTCGACTCAAGGTAAAATTTGATAGTTGAATTTGCTTGAATTATTAAAAATTAGAAATTTAAATATATTGGAGGATTAGAAAAGTACTATAGTTTTTTATTTGTATTAGAATGATATTGAATTAATAAAATTCAATATATTCGATGTTGTACTTATGACTTTTTAGTAAAGAAAAATGATAATTATATTTTTAATGTCTAACTATAATAAAAATTAAATAGTGATATGTAATAAATTTGTAAGGTTTAATTATTATTTTTGTATAAGGAGGGGAGCAAAATCACTGAATTTAATTAATTTTTTATTCGCTATCTTAAACTTAAGGGTTAAAATTTGGTAAATACTTGTGTTTGAAAGATTAATAAATATTTATTTTTCATTTTCTATCCATCCGACTCAGATTGAAATTGAATGATTGAATATAAATCCTCTATAGTAAAAGGGAAGATTTTAATATTTATTTTATAAAATAACTAAATCTTCTACTACACAGATCTGATGAATCAAAACGATTTATTTCTAATTGAAGGGCTAAAGTTTTAGAAAGGGAACAAATAAGCTGTCCAATTGATTCCTTAGGTGAATGGTTTGAAAATGATTGTAAGTATTACATTTATTTAGAACACTTCTGATAATTCATTGATATTAAACATTGACTTCTAGGATGATGGAGTATTATTTGATTGGAGTCCTTACATAAACAAATAAGGTGATGACAATTTGTATTTCATAATCCATTTTCATGGATAGTTGTACAAACTTTTTGGAACCCCAATTTAGTTAGACTCTATGCAAGAATTTTCTGCAGGAAAATTTATTTTCAAAAGGAACGACATTTATACTTTAGACTCAATAAATGAGTAAATGTCTACACATTAAGTATCAATAAGTATTATTTCTAGATATCGACAATAATAAATAGACATAATGGTAAAAAATATATTGAAAAAAGAATAAATTAATTAGATTCATAATAAATATCTAATTCAAGTATCACAGATTTTGGATGTGATGGTGTGCCTGAAGAAATACGTATAATCTAATTATTAAATATCCAACGATGTCCATATTTAATGAAAATAGACTAGCTCACATTCGATGGAGAATGCTATTCAATTATTTATTAAAGTTCCCCCTAAATCTCACTCAGACAAATATTGAAAAAATACAAGAATCCACCAGTCTCCTTTATTATTGAAATCTTGGAATAACTACTTTTAGGTATGTATTTCTATGCAAAAATTTAGTTTTGAACATCTTCGAAGAGCTAAATATCATTCATAATGGAATTACCTTGGAAAATATATGTTACTCTCAGGAGTTCAACTCTATCTATCTTTGTAATTTCTCACACTCAATCTTTGAAACCTAAAATCGATCTCAAATGTAATTTTCAATTTGTATTTTAGAAAAGGCAATTCTATTGGATTTGTTCCTCCAGAGCAATATCAAATGAATTCTCATGTCTCCAGTTAGGCCAACATATACCAATTGGGAGTCCTATTATACTATATGTATGAACAATTCTAATTTTAGGCTTTTTAATGAAAACCCATTCGGAAAAGATTAAAAGAAAATATTATAAAATAATATTGCTGGAAAATATTAAATTCCAAGTACAAATTAAGACAAGAACATCGTAGAAATCATGAAATCAATGCTCCAAAAGAACCCATAGAAAAGGAAATCTTGTAAGGAATATTTGGCATCCAAGATATTTATGCCAGCTTATCGATCCAAAATTTCAAAACATAGTTTCTTCTCATTTTTTGAAGACAATTTTAACTAAAAAATAGAAGAATTTGAGGTTGGAGAAGATATTAACCTTGTTTAAAGCGTGAAATCATTGTAAATAAATAAAGGGAATAAGAAATGATTTGATTTATATTTTGTGTTAGAATCAACGTCAACTATGTAAAATAATTTTATTTTTAATAACATGTTTATGTTGATTAATACATATTAAATTATTATTTTATATTTTATAATGAAAACAAATAGAGATAAATAATTAAATGAAATGAGATCGAAAATTAAGTAATCTCTATTTACTAAAAAAGAAACAATAAATAAAAATATAGATAATTCTCGAATTATTAAAAGATCAACAAGCAATACTTAATTAAATATTTAGCCCTAGGCTAAACCAGACTAAAAATAACCACCCTGTATTTAGAATCGTTTTCATGATTTATACTAAGTTGGTTCTATCATCGGCTAAGGCTCAAATGGAATTGTGAAGGTTTGCTACAAAAAAACTTAATCCAGCTAACTCTTTAATTTCGGTCACATTCCAACCAAATACGCAGTCAAAATTATACCGAATGCTGATGATCCTGAATTAATAAACACTATTACATAAACTTTTATAATAAACAGAGAGCTAAATTCGTTGCCATAGATTATTTAAGTCTTCGATCTATTTATAGATGAAAATGAAAAAGTGTCATATATAGTCATGGAATATTGTGAATGGAAGAGTTTGCAATATTATCTTGATAAAAACTAACTGACCATTAAATAAATTAGAGAAATTATTAGAAATTTAGCAATTTCGCTTAAATCTATACATCATAAAGGAATTTGCCACAGAGATATTAAACCAGATAACATTCTAGTGAAACTAAGCGATCAAACTGAAATTAAAATTATTGATTTCGGCGTATCCAAACAGTTCTTTAATAAAAATAAAAATGGTATCATCATTCATGAAATGTGGACTAGAACAGGTACTATTTTGTTTTAAGCCCCCGAAATTTTTCTATGTGGAATTTACAATGAAAAAAGTATTCTATTATAATTAAATTTATAGTTGACATCTGGTCCTGTGGAATTATTTTGTATTAATTATTATGTCACAAATTTCCCTTCTTGGCTGATACAATTATTGATACAATTGAAACTATTACTAATACTAATTACAATCCATGGAGGCAATAGGAATTCTTAGAATTGCATTATTTACAGTAAGATTTATTAAAACGTACGCTTGCCAAAGACCCTAAAAATCGCTTGTCAGCAGAAGAATTATTGTTACATCCCTGGATTTCAATGAAAACTAGTTAATACGATAAAACTATGGATGACACACAAATTTCAAAAAAGAAATCTAAGTGTTGTGATTTTAAAATTGCAACTTGTCTCTAATTAAGTGATGTCATGAATCCATATAAAATTTCTAGTCCAATGTATTTAAATCCAATCCAAAATGGTAATACAACTAGTGACAAGAATAATATGAATCATGTTTATTTTAACCACAATAATAATAATAATAAGAATGATTATGGAAATTTTAAGATTAGCGATTTTGTCGTGAGGAGTAAACAAATGATGAGTGGAAAGAGCAGTTTTTTATTTGCAATAGAGAGTTCATAAGAAAATTCATCAAAAACGAATATTGAATAATCAGAACTATACTTGGGTGATAAATAATCAGATGAGGTGTTGCAGCACAGAATGGAAACTAGATTTTTAGATTAAGATTGTTAACACAGAAAATTTTCGAAATGAGTTTAATATTATTTGTTTGTTTATTACAGAAATAACTATTTATATAATAAGTCTAATGAAATACAAAATATTAATATGATCAAGCTGTTAGCTTGTTGATGAGTAGGGTATAGGATTCTTTGACAGCCAAAAATTCAGTATTGCCATTAATATTTAATAATTTGTATGTTTCGAATTTTTTAAAAGGATTCTAAGCCTTATGCTAAATATTTCTGATAGGTTAAATCAATTTAGAATCTCTTAGTTTAGATTCTGATTTAGTAGTTTATCCGAAAAACTTTTATTACGGTGGAGGATTTTTCATTAATTTTTTGGGAACTTGTGGTGGAGTCGCGATTTATTGATTATCTAATTCTTGATTAATGGATTGATCGAAAGATTAATGTTGGATTTTTATTTAGGTTGACTTTTTGTGAGTTGGTTTGTTTGTCGAACAACAAAACATTACTTAATAATATTAATTAAATAGTATGAATAGAGACTCTAAGGAAAGATGTAATGATAATAAATTTAAAAATATGATTTATTTATATTTTTTATGGGATCACATATAACTTGCCAAGATTCCTTCCTTCCAAACTCCTCTGATAACTTATCCATTGACAGTTGTGTATACTCCCTCTCCATCAATCATTCCATCATTAAATTTGCCTTCAAACTTTTCACCATTAGTTAATTAAAGTGTTCCTTAACCATGCATCTTGCCTTCGAAGAATTCACCTTAGTCATTATAAAGATCTCATACCCTCATAACCTAACCAGCCGTTATCAATGCCACTGAGGTCTTAATAGTCGAATGGGCCATCAATTTGCTCAGCTTGGAAATTGATCAACTTGCCTTGTCCATGGTATTAGTTTTCATGCCAATATCCACTATAAACTTCGTTGTCGTTCTAATCAGTTAGGACTCCGAATCCTTCTCTTGTTGCTGGCTCATACCCTTATCCTCTATAGATGTAACCATCCTCATACTACAAAGCCAAATCTTAGAGCTATTGATCTTGATCATTATTCTCAGGACTAAGATGATTCAAAAATGGATTACTTTTCGTATTATGGCTGTTGAGGTTATTGCTATTACTTTTAAGGTTAATATTAATTTTGTTGTGGATTCTAGTATCTTTGAACTAAATCTCTTGTTCTGTCTATAGCATCTTAGAACTTCTTCTCTAAATCTTCGTCCTTCTATGACAACTATTAGGGCTTGTATTATTGTGGCTGTTATGGCTATTATTATTGGTCAGGTGGTCTATATTATGGCACTTATTAAGCTTTGGGCTACTATGGAACTAATTGGTGTGGCGGTTGGACGACTTTATTTTGAATGGGTGCCTAAGCCAATTGCTAGACTGGAGCTTATGGTTAGGGTTGACCATAAGGACGAGCTCCTTGTGGTGGTTGTTGTTGATATTGTTATGGTGGATATTATTGGGGGGGAACAGTTCTTTGAGGCTGAGGCTAGGGAGGCTATGGTTATCTATACTGTTAAACATTCTATGATAAAAATGACACTCTTACAGGTTGCTAAGGATATGGTTGGGTTGGATTTGGTCTCTAAGGACTCTGAGTGTAGATAGGACCTTATGGATATACTTATTAAGGAGGATAGGTTTGAGGGGGTGGTTATTATGGTTGATATCCGATTGGTTGTTATGGATAGGAGATCCTTTGGGGTTGAGGCGGTAATGGTTATTTAACTATTTAAGGTTGAGGATAACCGTATGGTTGGGGAGGACGATATCCCTAAAATTATTCAAAATAAATTCAAATTGTACCTATGGTATTTAAGGAGGATACTAGGCTTGAGGAGGGTATTATGGTCTTGACTAGACTTAGGGGGGTGGAATATAGGGTTAAGGCTGAGGTTGGGGTCTTTGTGGGGATGCCATGTAAAAAGGCTATTGATATGCCATTTTATATTTAAATATTTTAAATATTATTTGATTTCTTCATTGCTTCACACACTTTATAAATTATTTTCATTCGCATTATAACTACATGGTATCTTCTTTAAGATTATATCACTTTTTCCTTTCATTCGATTAAGATGACAATAAAATTAAGTTATTAAAGTTAAATTAATAAATAATTAAATAAAATGATAACAACAACTAGATCCTTGAATTTTAGATTGCCATAATTAAGCATAAAGAATCTAGAAAAATCTAGAGAAAAATCAAATAAACCTACCATTAGATCCATTAATAACGTCTACGATTATTCTAATTCTCCCCCTAAAACTAGAACTGATAATATCTCCAGGGGATCCCTTTCCACTCCCTTACAATATTGCCGATATTCCTGTTATAACATATGTAGAGTGGATTCATCGTTTAATGACTAAGAAATCTTTAGTGCACAATAAAAAAGTGTTTAAAGAAACGAAAATAGCAAAAATATAATTAGTGATTAAATTGAAAAATTGTCTTAAAGAATCAAAAACCTCAGCAAAACCAAAAAAAAAATACAAGAATCCATCTCTTCTAAGCAATATAAAAAAACTGAACCCTATATTCAAAAATAGTCAGATAAATAATAATAATCAAAAAGTTCCAAATTAATACTCAAGACTGAAGAAAAAAATGAACCACTAAACTTAGAATAGAAAAAAGTCATTCAAGAAAAAATGTAAGATATTTACACTCAAGTACAAGCCATACTCAAATCACATAAAGGTTATGTTAGATAATCAGATAAAAAGAATGTCTACATTAAATTGGTCTAATTAAAAAAGCAATTCAAACTTGTTAATCAAGATTATAACGAGTTTTATATTAATCCTATTAATGAACAATTCAAATGTAATATATAATACGTCTATGATTAGTGGATTTTGAATTAGTCGATCGAATTGAATAACTAAAAAAATTATTTGAAAATAAAAGACCTGCTAAACGTAATTGTGAAAGTCTTTTCGATGGAATGGATATTTCCATTGTAATTCAAACAGAAGCTGATGAAAAACTTAATAATCTTGATTTTAATGAAATCTCTGAAAAAGACTTTGAGTAATCCCAAGATTAAATTGAGTAATTCACTGATCAAATGACTGATTGCTCACCAGCCAATAGCACCACCAGAAGAAGAACTACTAATTTAAATAAAAGATCAACAAAACAATACTCTATATAGCCAATTTAAGTTTAACAAGAGATTATTACCCAATAGCCTTAAATGATTAGAAGAAAGAGCAGTATAAAGTCAATCAATAGTCCACTTACACCTAAAGCTCCAGATTCTCCATCCACTATGACTTCTAGAAATAATAAGTTTAATGCATAATAAGTTCTTGAACAAAAATTAAAATTACCAGCTACTCCACCTAAGAAGTTAGAATAACAGTAATTCCAAGAAGATTAAACGATCATTCTAAAAAAAGAAATTTAAAAAAGATAATCAAAACTCATTTCTCGAAAGACTACATTAGATCTTTAAAAGGACCCTAAAAAAAAATCTAGAGCAAATTCAAGAAATAGTTTGGTAGAAGTCACTGAAAATTCTGAAAATGAATAGAAACTAATACCTAATTGTCCGACTAATCAAACATAAATTAGTATTGAAAACAAACAAGAATCTGATCATGTCTAAAACATTCTTGATTAAATAGAAGATCTAAATGAATAAATACCTATTGAAATATAACAATAGCCAATGCAATAAATTATATCTTCAAATCAATCATAATGTTAGCCTACTCTGCATTAAATGATTTAAGAATCCAAAATTATTTAAGAATTATATTAATCTACATTTATATATGATAAGGATATTGTGAATAAACATAGAAAAAATAAATACAAAACTCAATGGGAATAAGATATTTAATCAATTTTGTCAAATTATTATTAATTTTTTTGATTAATTTTTGTTTATATATTAAATAATCAAATTAGTATAATATTATTATATATAGAAAATAAGATAATATATCTAGAATCAAAATCCATAATCGAAACACTCCCTAGTTTATTATCCATTTTTCACAATCTCCTACTTTTTACCTGCAAATGGTATTCTATGTAACCAATCTGCAGGAACTCCTTTGTAGTTCTTTGGATTAAGTTCAATTGGATCCAATTATTACAGATAGTTGGCTGGTGGGTTTCTAAGAATTTATAAAATAATGATACTTATCATCAAACGATTTAACTTCTTACAGGTCATTTGTTATTTATTTCTTTTATTCTTATTTGGGGGATGATTTCAATAAAGAAGGATTAATTTCATTGACTTTGCATGTAAGTCTGTTTGCCTTCTCTTTTTTCTATTTCAATTCTTCAATGAATTTATTATTGGCCTTGTCTGGAATAGCTAATTAATCATCTATTTATAATTTGGATTCTGATTGAATTTAAACTTTTTTGTCCTATTTCTTTTTAGATTCCTTTGTTTTCTAATCATTACTAATCCTTGATTTATTATCCTCCTTATCCTTTTAAGATTTCTATGTACGATTATCAATAACTGATTAAGGTCTTTTGTCTCCTTTTTGTTTTCTTTATTACTTTTCTTATTTATCTTAGATTTAAGATTCTCCTTAAACACTGCCTGCTTCGGAAGCAAATCTTAAAGTATTGGTTAATTCTGGCTTTTTAATATTAAATTCAGGAATTGTCGATTTTCCTTTTGAATCTAATTTCTTTTTCAATTCTGAATAAGGTTATGGAGTCAATTAATTTCTTAATTTTTAAGCTTCTACTTATTCAGGGTTCAACCTGTCTTCTTCTCTACAATTTCTTGGAGGTTCAGGTTCAACATTAGCTACTGCAGCTCCTTTTCTTAATGCATTCTAATAGGTTTAGATATAAAATGGATCATTTTTATTCCTATGAGGTTGGACATTATGAGAAAGCATATGTTATCCATACACTATACCTCCAACAGATGGATTAATATTGTTGAATCCATAGGGACCCCAAGCAGGTTTTCCAAAGTACGTAGTGAAAGCACTATCAGCTATCCATCTGGTTTCTCCTTGAAATTTCTTAATTCTGTCTTTTCTCCTTTGTAATTTTGCTGCATCTTCAGGATTATTAGGATCAAGAGTCTTAGCTTTTTTAATAAATTTAGTATTCATCTTTTTTTATTGATCATCTTCTTCTTCATTATCTTAATCCTCTTCTTCAGATGAGATTACTTCTTCTTCATCTTTCTTAGAATCTTCATAATAAAATCCACTAAAGGGATGCTAAACCTTATATTCTCCTTTGAAATTTTTATTATTTTATTCTAACTAATACATTAACTCATTTGTATCTTTAATATCTTTGACGAGGTAATTATCTCGATATGCTGATTATAATTTAGGATTCCATTAAACAGGTAATTTATACTGATTATTTAAATCTTCCTATAATTGAATTTATGGATTAGGTAATTATTAGGGATTACGGCAATCGCAGGATTTTGCAATATTTTTAATAGTTTTTTCATCCAATTCTAAATAATTGTAAGAATGCTTATATACTTTATACAAGGATTTGTGAATCTTCAACTTTTAATTTTTCAATTTTTCTGAAATTATCTTTATTTTCAGTTAACCAAGGTGAATTCTCATGATTTATTCTTGTTATTAATTTTTTTGTTTCAGGCTCTCTTTCAACCTATATTTTCTTCTTGAAATCCCATGGTTCATCCTACTCGACTGGCCATTTCATCATATCAAACATATTAGGTTCTTAGTTTCTTGGCTTATTTTTTTTGCCAAATACTTTATTATCATCTAAATTTAAATTATAAATTACTTTCATAGACTTATTTAAGCACTTATTCTTTATTTTTCATGTGACTGTTAAAATGGAATAGTTATAAATAAATTTAATTTTAATATTATTTTCAAAACACTGTTAAAAGGAAAATAATTCATTTTAATTATTATTCAATATCATCACTTTGCTCTTCTTGATAAAGTTTAACTTCTCTCTCAATTTATTATTGTATATGCTGATCAACAGTTTCATCCTATCTAATGGTTTCAATTTAAGATTCCTCATTTACTTATTGAATTTCAGATAATTATGCTTTAATTTAATAATCTTTCAATTTTTCTAGATCTTATGATAAAAAGTGATTTTTAGTTTCAATTTGCTTATCTATTTCAGTATGTTCGATAGATTTAGCTTTTAAACTATAGATTTTTGATTAAGAATATTTACTTATTAATAATTGGTTACAACTAAAATTATAACTATTGCTTTTCTTTCTTTCTTGAAATTATTGAACTGTTGTTTGTAGGATCTCTGTAAGAATATGTCATATTATTTCTTAATTTATAGTTTTATGAATTTTACCTGATGTTATTCATGTAGTTTTAACACTGTTAATATCTTTGCAATCTCATCACTATCCTCTTATTCTCCTTATAAGAATGTGAAAACTCCTCTAATTTCAAGACTGGTTCTTATTTCATGAGTCGATCAGCAATTTTAATATTTTCATTTTGTATTTGTTAAGCTTGATTCTTACGAAAGGTTAGGTTTAGATTGTGAGGGTGATGTAGTTAATCATCTTCATATTTATAGTAATCTTATTACATGGGTCTATTGCAGATTTCTGTTATTTTTTAATATAGCTAGCTATTGCCCTTGTTAATGCGCTCTGATTATTCTATTAATATAGCAGATGATAACATACCATTTTGATCGAAACGTCTTCTTTGTAATCGTAAGTTGTTTCTTTTTTCCAGGACTTCTAAATGCTAGACTCTTTATTGGGATTATGTTTTCTTGCTCATGATTTCATTCAACTTCTTCAAATGGAGATCATATGACCTATTTACTATGAATAGTTACTTCTCTCTCTAAAATATTTAGTCTAATTTATAATTATAATTGTATTAATGATTAGTTCTCATTAAATAAAATAAATAATATAATTAATAAGAATGTAACAACCGTCCGAAACTAAACAATCAATTTAAAGTGGCAGGATGGTCTTACACCCATCTCTAAAGTTAGATAAATCAGCTGCTTTTTTCAAAAACACTAGAGTTAGTTCATGCTCTTATGTAAGAATGAAATAAGGCAATCCGGAAGTAAGATATCGATTTTGATTTCTCTAGGCCATTCCCTTTTATGAGATCGCCAATAAAACTCCAGCTGAACATGAAATTAAATCTACATATACAACTTCGTCTTATGCGTATTTAAATATCGTAATAGAACAGAGATGATTATAAAGTGAGACCCAATTTGCATGTTGGATCTACTAATAAACTATTAGAACCCTACAATACAGGATCATTTAGATCAAGATTGCCTGAACCAGATGCTCCAATTTTAACTAAAAATGCCTCTCAAATCGAATTAGGTGACAGACAGTAAATTAATAATAAAGACTTTTAGTTTCAATGTAAAAAGACATTTCTTAAGCACTGCTCATAATGTCTATGGAAATTTTGGAAAGTAAGGAAATATTACAAATCCAGGAATATTATCAGAGAAAACTAAATGGCATCATCATTTATAATAAAAATGATAAATTCGAAGATAATATATTATTTCATGAATCATCAATATCATCTTCTTCATCTGATTTTGTTTTTGGACTGCATTCTGAGGTCAGATAACTTTTTTTAATACCATTTAATATATTGTTTTTATCTTTATTTTCCACTTTTTCTTTAGTTCCATTGTCTTTTGTTCCCTTATCCTTTCTATTTGTGAGACTCTTTTTCAATTCTTGTTCTTCTTTTTGATATTCTTTAATTAATTATTCAATTTTATCATCCTTGGAATCATCATCTTATTCGACCTATTTCTTGCTTCTTGTTTTAGGAGTCTATCTTTTTGGTGTATCCTTTTTAGTTTTCTTATTTGATGATGCTTATTTTTCTGGTTCCTCGGTACCAAAATTAAATATTGCTGTTTTCAATTTTTACCCTTTCTTGTCTTTTTTACTATTTTATGGTAGATCAACTGAATTGGGATTATACTTTTTATTTTCACTAGATTATTCTTCCGATGATTATTTACTATTGGTTTTGATTTATTTTTTTGGTTAACTTTTTTTAGGGATTTTGTTTTCAACCTTTTCAACCTATTCTTTGTTTTCATCTGAATCTGAATCCACAATTCTTTTAGATTACTTCTTCTTTCCATTTCTATTTGGTTTTGATTATTTTTTAATTGTAGTCTAAATTTCTGAATTAGATTCTGATTCTGAATTTACTGTTTCTATTGGTCTCTTTTTTGTCTACTTTTTATTACTTTTTTATCCATTATTATTATTATTGTTATTGTTATTATTGTTGTGAGCACTTTTTTTGTTTTCTGAATGATCTAGACTTACATCTATTGGCATTTTCATACTTCCAAATACATCATCAAAGTTTTAATCATAATTGTTTAGGAACTCTGTCATAGATTTTTTCACTATTGGTTTCTTTTTAAATTGTTTAACTGAAGAGTCTAATCCACCAAAGAGGGATGTTTAAAATAAGGATTAAGATTAAGCATTCAAAGATTTTCTTTGTGTTTCTTCCTACTCTGATTCAGAACAATCTTCAATGTTGAACTTATTTTTTGTCGATTTTGAATGATTCATTTATTATTTGGTTGACAATCATTCTTTATTATATATTACAATATTTCAAAGGATTTTAAATTAAATTAGACCACAATAATTATAAAATAAATTATATTAGATAATCCTAAAAATCATATGGAAATAATAATATATCCAAAGTATTGTAAATTATTACGTACTACAAAGTATAAATATATCAAACATTTTTTTCAAGTACCATCTCTCTAAGACAAATCAAAATCCACAACAGCCATTTATGAGAACGTAATTACAACTTATAAATTCACTTAAAATATGCTAAAATAGTAAGTAATCATCTACTATATGCAAAATGAGCTAATACTTAATTATGTAAAGATTTTTGTGATAAATAAAATTTGAATTCTAAAATAACAGTTTTTTAGAACATGATAAAAAAAGGTTTTAGAAGGTTTACGAGCTTGAAAACAATAGGAATCGAGAGAGAGTAAAAGAATAAGGTTAGTTTAGATTGTTAGAATTTATTCTTATAGAATAAGATGAATAAAAGATATTTATGAGAAAAGTAAGGATTTAAACATTATACTATATCTATTTGACTATAACTTAGTCTAATTCTTATCAATTAAGAAATGGTAGATAGTGAATCAATATCATCTAGCTATTGATAATGTATAGATTGTATATATTTGTTTATAATTTAATCTAAATATTACATGTGATATTAAATCCCCGATAGGATAAGCATAATTAGAATGTTAATCATAAATATTAAAATTTGGAATTATAAAATTAAAATGACCAACAGGAAAACAAACCTCTCCTCAATTACTAGGAATTTATTCAATACTGATTATGATCAAGAAACCTTATTCTCCTCTCCATTGAAATCACCTGATAAGTCTAAGTCTAAAGTCTCTTTAAATTATTCGCCCATGAAATTAGACAGTATTGACAATTTGATGGAAAATTAAAATACTCTAAGAACTCATAGACCATCAGAATTTAATCTCAAAAAAATGTTATCTAAAATGGATAATATGGATAATATCCAAGAACCCCAACAATAATATAAAACTTTTCGTTTCAGAAGAAACGAAAACTTTTCATCTCAACCTACTTTGAAAATCGAAGTGAAAAATGATGTTGATGAATTCTTTAATAACAACACTCCGGTTAATACTTAATTAAAATAAAATAAAGATAATAAGCAATATTAATTAATTACCTTTACTGATTATGTTGAAAAAATTTATGGTAAAGACTGGTTTACAGTACCATAAAGAAGATTTAGAAGACAAACTACAATCTAAGAATTCTTTGATATAATCGAATGACCTCAAATGAAACTGGCTTTATTTTATTTTATATATCTTAACTCATTTTTAATAATGAGAAATAAAATTTATATTTTGTTATGAAAAAGTACACCTCCTAAAGATTATTGTTGACTAATGAAGAGCTTCTGCGCATTTAAATCCTAGCCAAAAACTCTTTCAGACCCTCTTCAAAATAGAGAATCAAGGAGAAACCTAAACTTGAATCATACCAATTCAAACCAGAGGTATTATCCCCATCTATTCTAGATTAACAAATAATCTGCAAATCTATAGAGATCCATAAATGATCTATTCCGATGGAATTTAAATAGACAAATGAAAAGACAACAAATATATGATGATGAAGTATTTAATCCTCATTTATTTATAGTCAAGAGAACTTATCAACAATGCCAACAGAATAACACATGAATTGAATAACTCCTCTGTATTTGAGAGGTTGTATCAGGTCAGAAAAAACAGCGAAAATGTTATTTGTATGCTCTTCATTCTCTATCATTAGAACAATCTAAAAGAAACACTAGCAATTTTGGACCTTATTATACTAAAAACATGACTAGTTCCATGTATTAAGAATATCAACGCTAATAATAGTTAGAAGTGTCTTAATTCAAATCGAAAACTAATGCCACTGATAGTAAATATGAATTATCACATCAATAAACTCCAAATCCCAATATTTTAGATTCCGATCAATTACCTATTGCTATAAATGATGTAATTACTTATTTATATTGTTTTCAATAGCAAATCAAGGCATCCATACCCGTACATCAGTACGTAGATTTGACTGAATAATTGAGCAACTCAATGAATGAGCCTGATTCTCCTGCTAAGTCACCTTTGCATCAGAAGGATATAGAAGTCATGGTTGAAAGGTAAAAAGTTTATATCTATATCCAAATAGATTAAATAATTGGTAGGCTAAGAAATAATAACAAGAATAACAAGATTAAGAAGAAGATTAACATGTGAAATCTTAAATCAGACCCAATTTTATCAATCAAAATAGATAGCCATCCTTCGGGAGTTCGTAATCTCAATCCAAATTTTATTCGAATATGTTCCTAAACAATAATCAAACACATTGATATTTAATTTAGATATATTGATATAATACTGCTAATTATTTAATATTGTTGAAGTTAGAATGCAAAAATATTGAAATTATTATTATTTCTAATAAGAAACCTTAAGTAAAATTTAGATTCAAATTTCTGAAATACTTATTAAGTTAAACAGATTATATTGTTATAAAGATTAATCATTAATTATTTTCTTTAGAATTTGCAGAATAAATGAAGATAATGAATCTGTAATGATTCAAATTTTATAAGCTCTTCTTCAAATAGCATTATGAGTATAATCAAATATTTGTGCTTTAGATTATTTATTTTATTGATAGGATAACATTAATTAAAATATTAGAATTTGAATATTAATTTTCGTAAAACTAATCAAAACTCAATAAATAATTATTGGAATAGCTTAAAAACAAATGATTATGATATAGCATTTGCAATAAGAGAATAGATTCATATTTATGATTTATATTATTTATTATATTTGAAAACAAATATTAATTATTTAATGTTACTCACCCTCAAATATTTGAACAAGGTTAAACAAATAAATTTGGATAAACGAGTAAATGTGCAATCTTTGTAGATACTTTTGGTTTAATTATTCGGTATCAAAAACAGAATAGTAGGATTGATTGATTAAGACGGTAATAATAATTGTTAATTTCAAGGCAACTTCTATGATTTATCATAATTTATATAATAGTTGTATTACTCAAGATGCAATGTGTACACTATCGTTAGTGAAGAGAATTAAAATTCAAATGATAACAAACTATTATAAACATCGCTAAAATATAGTTAGATGTCAGATTACAATAATAAGCTTTCATTTATTGATTTCATCTATGATTTGGAAGAATTCCAGTAGATTCTGGGTGGAGATCAATACACCTGCATTTACTTGATTGATGAAAAGGATTATTAAGGGCTAGATTTTCTATGTGCTCTCGAACCCTTGATCAACAACTTCAACAATTGGGTTAACTTCTTCTATTCATTTAGCAATAGATTACAAGATTAAGTAAGGGAAAGCGACTTCTATAACAAATTGCTTTGGATCTACAAGGGATCTAAGAAAATTGTTTCCATTTAGTTGAACAATGATAAAAAAATGAGATAAATGGATGAAATCATTCATAAACTTGTTTAAGCCAAGTTATAAGGCACCAGCACAAGAACTTCAAATATTAAATAGCAATCTTAAATCTCATCTCAATAATCTCCTGATAAAAGAAGAAGCAAATCTATACGTAAATTGGTGGAGGAATCCCAAATGTCTAATAATTCCTTATATATGAATTAAAATGTTGGAGCTTCAAAATTAATCACAAGAGTTTAAGCCAAACTCATTCAAAGAGCTCCCTCGAGAGGTAGTGAGAACTTTGAAGATTATCGATATTAACAATAAAATTAATCATAATAATAATAAAGTAATGCTTATCAAAATGAATCAATTATCAGTTAATAAGATATGCTATTTGGTTTAGTGGGTGATTTAGAAGAAAAGGAAATATTAGATGTCACTATGGCAAGATTAGTAAAGCGTTTATTAATAGAAGAGAACAAAGAAATCATTTAGGTCTTGCAATTCTATTTGTAGAACACCATAAACATTCAATAATTGTGTGAGAAATTGAATAAAATTGTTGAGAATTGCACCTATTAAGAGAGACCAACGTCTCCTTTCTAAACTATCAAACAAACCAAGCGTCAGACTAAACCTTAATAGCAACTCAATATTAACTCCCAAGAGTCAAATCGTTCTATGTAACAAGATTCTACTCAAAACAATTAGATATAACGATTAGAAGATATCAAAAACAAAGTTATTGAAAGAAATAATTACAGCTACACCTCTGAATAATTTGGAATGATCAATGTGTTGTGGAATCAGTAAGATCAAGTTTTATTGTAATTATGTACAGATTTATACAACAAAATGCAACGAGGAGGAGAATAGCCTTCTCTTAAACCATTGTAGATTTATTCAGATTCAAAATTTAACGAATTATTGCAGTAAAATTTCAAATTAACCGAAATTACTATGATTCATGAATATAGAAATAGTCATTCTGGATCTATTTATGCTGTTTTGTAACACTTTAGATACTAAAATAATGTAGAATAATTTATAAATGATCTAAGAAAAGCCATCAATTCAGTATAAAGTTAAAATCAAAATCTTAATTAACCTGAAAAATAATAAACTTAATAGTCAAAAGAGATCATATTATTTAAATAATTTCCAAAAGCTCCTTCACCTTATAGTGTTTTAATGCCAAATTTCTAATTGTAAGACAATTAACCCCCATAATAATAATAACAAAAATAGTAATAACCATAGTAATAATCACAATTGTAATAATAATTGCAATAGTAATAATAATAATAATAGTAGTAATAATAATATAAAAAATAAAATGAAAATTAAGTCATACATTTACATTAAACTTAACCTATTCCATAATAAAAAGACTAAAATTTTGAAAACTAATAACCAATCTAAGAACCTGTTTAGGAAATTCAATAACCAATCATTTAAAAAAACGACCTCATGAGTAGATCTGAGTAAATGTCTGCTCAAAAGAGAATTAGTCAATCAGAATTTGCTGCTAAAGATATTATTTTTAATGAAGAACACTTTATGTAAACTAAAAAAGAAAAAAGACAAGCGAATTTAGGAAGGATAGACTAATTTTATTCACTTCAAGAGGAGAAGGAATTATAATAAATATTTAAAGATATGCTTTGGGATATGGATTTGGATGAACCAAAAGTTAGACAGGTTGAATTGTTGTTTTCAGAACATAATTAATAATTATATGAAATTGTTCAAGGTTGGCAATCCTCTAGAAATATCAATAACACTAGAACTAAACTTATGTAATTTTTTGATTATATCATTAGAAAATTATTATCAGAATAATAGATTAAAAAGGATGATTATAGAAAAATTAAGATGTATAACTTATTTATGAATTAAGTGAGATAATTCACATTATAAAATCATCTACAAGATAATGAAAAAAATTTCTTATTAAAAATGTTTATGGATAATGATGTGTAGGTTCTAGGAACTTTTGAAACTTATTTGTAGAATCAAGATGCAGAGGATATGTTAGAAAATTTAAAGATAATAATAAAATAATACTCAAAATTCACAAATGTATGAGATTAATTATTATACATAGATCAACTCACCTAATACAGACATGGATCAGTAACCAAAAATTGAGCCAAATAAGAATCAATTAACTGCCAAAGAGATTTTATTGCAAATAAGGAAATATTTTTCAGCTGAAGAGAAGAATCGATTAGAGAATATGCCAAATGAATAAAGAGATATGAAAATTGTTGAGTTATATTAAGAGTATCTGTAGGATAAAGACTTAAATGGATTTATTTCTGCCGTAAGAAAATTAAGTCAACAGGATTAAATCAAAAAATAATTTGAAGATTTGTTGAAGAAATTATAAAAAGAAGGACACCTAAAAATAGATGATTATATGCTATCTGTTATTAATTAGAGGAGAAATGAATAAAGAATAAAAGGAGTCTTTGAATTGTATCTATTTAACAAAAATATTGAAGATTTTGTTGAAAGTATAAAGAGCATATCAAAATTGTTACAATAAGGTATCAACAATCAATTTATGACCTAGAACTCATTCTTTAGACCTTGAATTAATTTGAGAGAGAAAAGTTATTGGATGAAAGAAGGATAGAAATCTTAAAAGAAAAAGCACATGATTATCACAAGGACTATCCAAAGCTACTGGGGGCTTTTTCATTATATTTTGAATAAGCTCAGACAGATTTAGAGGAAGCCAAAAAGGAAATATTAGAAACTCTAAGTCTTTTCAGCTCATGAATGATTATCATGTTTATTATGAATGTGCCAAATTATATTAATTATTAAAATAAACATGTTTAATACAATCTCAGTTTCAGTCTAAGAATTAAGAGGAATTCGAACTGCCTCCACTACTGGAACATCAAGCTATAGGGACTTTCAAAGGTTGCCACCAACCAAAACAAATTACAAAAGGTAATATTTAAAAGGAGCGTCAAATCGAGTAAAATCATTAAAAGAGGAGTCTCATTTTGTTTAATTATGTAGTGACAGAAAAGGCAATGAGAAACTATTTAAATTTAATAGATAAGACTAACTCTTAAACTATAGAAATCTTCATCTTGGCAAATTGTAGCCATTATCAAACCAAGAACAAAATCTCGAAAATTAATTGCATTATGAATAGTAAAATTAATCATAGATCAATTCTCCCAATAATAATTTAAGAAGTTCAGGTCTCTAACTAATTACTGATGAAAAGAACTAACTCATTGAATTAATTTACAATGCTTAATCAGTGATATAAAAATAAAAGAAGACTTATTCTAACTCATAAAAAACCGAATGTTTGTAGAATGGCAAAACTCATACCTCAATCACAGGTTCATCACCTTAGGCTTTAAAATGTCAAGGTTAAACATTAGGTCAATTAATCGTATCAAGCAGAAACAAAAATGATCTGTTTATAAAAAGTACTTAACTTACATCTTATGGTTCGCTAAAAATTACCACATAAGAAGAAAAATCAAGCATTGCTCCAAAACCAAAGATACCTACATCTTTGGATGGAGCTAAGAAATTCTTAAAATAATTTATTTGAATTGAACAATATTTATGTTAATTCTCTTATTAAATAAATATTAATTTATAGAATCAACAACAGAAATTGGATTTGGCTTGTTAACTTGTTTATTCCAGTTTAATATTTTATACTTTTTCTTCTAATGACATAATATCTTTAATTTATTTAGAAATGCATTAAAAAGTATCAATGATGTTTATGCCTTCTTTGGCAGAAGTCTCAAAAAATTTAATGCCATAAGAATCAGCTAAATTTTTACCTTATTCATATTGAACCACTCTATCATTTAGGTCGGATTTGTTGGCCACTAACACAACAATCACACTTTCACATGCATTTTATTTTATTTAATTCATCCAATTTTAGATGTTTTGAAAACTTTCAAGATTATTTACGGCATAGACCAATATAACTCCCATTGCTCCTTTGAAATAAGTTGAAGTAATGGTTCTGAATCTCTCTTAACCAGCTGTATCCCAAATTTGCAATCTCATGAGTTTCCCTTCTACTTCTAAATCTCGAAATTTGAAATCTATGCCTGTTCTAAATTTAAATTCATTAATCTACCTATTGTTGATACAAAGCTTTGAGTATATTGATTCTCACAAAATCTCTTCAGAATGTTAGTTTTGCCAACAGCGGAATCCCCAATTATCAGTAATTTTATTATTGGTTTATCACATGTATTCATTATACTTTAATATAATAATTTATATAACAGATATTAATTTATGTCATTTTAACTGAGAAAAAAGTAGATTTATTCATTTATGTAAGAATTTCATTTTCGAATATGTTGCAATTCGCAGGAGGTTAATTTTATTAATCTATTACCAATTTATGCAGTTTGTAGTTATAGTTATTTATATAAATATTAATTGAATTGAAATATAATTTATTAATTCTGACTACTATGCCATTTGAATGAATTATTTCGAAATAAAAAAAAAGATATTTTATTTTACACCTAATTTTTTTAAATAATCTTATGCTTCCTTTATTATATGTCCCATAGTATCTGAATTATCCATCACTCAATCTTTAATAGTTCTATATGCTACCGACTACCACGTATGCATTACAAACTCCCAAAAAGGAAACTTGTGATCAGGCCTCCCAATTCCCAGAGCCATACTTATTTGAATCAAGACTAATGAGTAATACAGTAGAATGTGAAGAAGCAGCTGAAAAAGAATTGAAGCTACTCCTCATATACCTATCCAAAAATATTTCCTTATTGAAAGATAGTGTATTTGATGAATTTGTGTTTGAAAATTTAAGAGTATATCATCGTATTTAAATTGTAGACCTTGTCATCTTTATAAAAAGACCTTCCAGACTTGATTAAATAACGATATATCTTAATCAATAAAACAAAAGAAGAAATGACCAAATTCATAATCAGGAGATGCTTTCTCTTTATCAAAACCCAAATTCACTACGAAGAAAAGGAAGGATTTACAGCTGAAGAGAGGGATAGAATGTTTTATAATTCGTTCTTCTCCGATGATGAAGAATTCATGAAATCTCATTTGTAAGAATCGATTGACGATATGATTCCATTTAGAAAAGATTCTAAGATGAAAACGATGAATGACAATTATTTAAAAAGATTATTTGAGTCAGAAAGGTTCTCCAAATATTATTCCTTATTTTTAAGTAATTATTCCTGTAAATCAATAGCCCAATTCAAGGAAATTTGTATCAATGAAAATGAAGAGAAAACTTAAAATATGACTAAATAATTGTTCAAAATTATTGTGGCAAGGGATTATGGAGTATTATTAATTATTTATATAGAAAATTAAAACTTATAGAAGATTCCCCTGGAAGGACCATGAATTGATCCAGTGTTAGGAGAGAGCCCAAACATTGTACTCAAAATATTCTAATTCGCATATTAAAAGTATTTGCTTATACAAAATAGAAACCAAAAATAAATTTCATTCAAAATGTGATTCTCATTATTCGGTTTCTTTGGAAAAGTCCTCTTAATCTTAAAATTGATTTGATATTATTCATAAAAAGTCTTTAAAAAAATTTATTTCTGACACTCTAATATTTGAGGATTTTTTAAATATTATTGTGTAAATTGCCAATAAATTGCTTGGGAATTACGGAAGTAATAAAATTTATATATTCTCATGTTAAGGATTGATTAAACTAAATATTTATCATAAATGATGAACACTAATAATATATTCAGTAAATATGTGATTTATATTTATAATAAGTATAAATGAATTATTAGCAAAGAATCATAATATTTCTAAAATAAACAGTTCAGCATTTCTTATCAATAAAATGCTCTAAACATAACTTACCAATACATCCTTAAATTGATATTTCTAACATAATATAGCCAATTAAATTATTCAAGTTAAGGATCAGCAATATTTATACAATATTAATTTAACAATATAAATGTTAAATATAATATTTAAAGAATTATATATTTTGTTGAATTGTATCATATAGAATCTGATTTTATATAAGTTTAAAATAACAGCTATGTAAATATCTTAGAAAAGCACTTTTGTTAGTTTAAGGAATTCAAATTTATCAATGAAACTAAATTGCTTTGAAATATTGGAGGAGAATAAATATAAGTTAATTTCAGTATACGAAGATTTAACCTTTAAAAGAATTAAAAAAGTTATAGTTCGTAAAAATATTTATGTTGGCTGATTCTAATTGTTACTATTCCAAGTATTAACTTATTTATTAAATACTCTTCATCTAATACTAGAGAAATATGACCAAAAAGTGGTTGAATAATTATTAGATTAGGGGGATTGATAAATTAAAAAGATGAATTTATGATGTTTAAAGGGACTAGAATGAATCTTGAATATCTATTTAATTTATTTTTTTGCTAAAATAATAATAAATATATAATGTTTAAAAATTTACTAAGAATTGGTTTCAATCTTTCATTATTTAATACAACATATGTTTTATGTTAGTCAATTAAGGATGATAAATTGCCACATTATCATTTTCTTAATGAATAGGATTTAAATAAATTATTAAGGAAACATCAGAACTTATCAATAATTGACAGAAGCTACACTGAACACATATTATCTATAATCAGAGATGTAGAAACCGATACTGTGGTAATGTGATAAATAAAGGCTAGGAATTCCGAAAAAATTCAGATCGTTTAATTAGAATTCTTATTGAATAGGCAATTTCATAAATAGAAAAGAAAAAGCATGTTAAGAAGTCTCCTTTAGGATATTATGATGCTCATGAAGTGAAATTTGAAGATGAAGAGTAAGTTTAATTCTATTAATAGAATATGTTTTGTGAGTATTTTAAGATCAGGAAATGCATTTCTATTTGAAGGCTTAAAAGCAGTATCTGGAGCATCTATAGGATAAATATTGATATAGAGAAATGAAGATACAGCCTTGCCTTCCTATTTATTTTAGAAACTACCATCTAATATCAAAGAATAGTAGGTTATATTAATGGATCCAATGTTGGCTACAGGTAATAGTGCTACATTGGCATTGAGGATCCTAAAAAACCAAGGTGTGAAATAGGAAAACATCACATTTTTAACTCTGGTGAGTTGTGAGTAGGGCATAGAGAAATTATTTAGAGAATTTCCAAAAATGAAGATTATTACAGCTCAAGTTGATCCAATTTTATTAAAAGATTTCAATTATCTAGCACCAGGCATTGGAAATTTTGGTGATAGATATTTTGGAACGGTCAAAAAGAGCTAATAATCTAGCTAACAATAATGATAGACAAATATATCTTATATTTAATTATAAATTAATTAAAAAAAACAAAATATATGATTCAATGTTGCTACTACTATTAGTGCTATTGTATTTTATTGTAAAATTTGAAAGCGGAGTTTTTTTTGAGTGGAGTAGTTTCAAATTTTAGTTTGCTCAAACTTAAATTATCTTTAAATTAAGAATGCTAAATCAAGCTTTTGTTTTCGGATTTGAGATTTGGTGTTTTCTTATTAGACTAATGCAGAGCCTGATGTTTTGGGGTGTGGAGGTTGAGTAGCTTGGAGGGTGACTCAATTTGATGTTGAAAATGATCATCATATTTGACTTCTAAACAGAGATTGCTAGGACTGTTTGTATCATTATTTGGGTGGTTGTTATTGTTATTATTACTATTATTGTTCTAATGGGGATCAACCTTTTCTTTCAAAGGGGTTTTGAATTGATTTAGAGAGGGCAATTAATATTCATCACTATTATTGGTTTATTCATAAATTCTACTCAAATTCTTTGAAACCTGATTAGCAGCATCCTATTTGTATTTATGTAAGTAATTGTAATAAAAGGAGGGTCTTTGTGATAAAAAGTCTTTAATAACTGAAACAGTAAACACATCTTAACACATGATCCAAAAGTTTTTAATCCATCTATCTACTTTCTCATCCTGATCGTAACCATGAGCGCCTACTTTTTCTTGAATATACTCGTATAAATTATTTTAGATATCATCTACTTTGTCTTCATTCCAAAAAATGGAATCTACAATTTTAGCGGTTTTTTTGAGCATTTTATTTTCCATATTAAAACTCTCAATTCCGTCAATTTTGATTTCATTCATCATTTTAGAAATATAAGAATTAACGGAGTTGGGATTTAAGTAATTTTATTGCTTATTGGTTCTTCTTCTAGGTATATTATTTGGGGAATAAGATCTAGGAGACATGGATCCATTCTATTAAGATGAGAGTAGTTTTTATAGTAGTTATCTTTCAAGAGAAGTAAAAGAGTTCATCAATTCTTAATTGGACATTCCTAAATTATTTATATCAGTTTACCTCCTCTTTTACGAATATCCTTCAATCTCTCCTCCATTTCAGGGATTCGTTTTTTCATAGCTGAATTCCAATGATTTTTAATGGAATTATCTGTTCGTCCAATTAATTATTTAGCCATTTCAGCCCATCTGTTGCCCATTACTCGATGAGATAAGAAGAGAATCCATTCTTCATAATCACCCCAATGTGATTTTTTGATTTATGGATTCAAATGATTATGCCAACGCTCTCTGCATTATTTGCCAATTCTACCTGGTAAGTGCTCAGCAATGAATGTCCATTTCTGTGGACCATGCATTTATACTAATTTGATAAGCAAATTATCCTCCTATTCAGACCAAGGTCTTTTTTTACCCTTAGACTATAAGATTAATAGGGGGGGATTACATGAAATAGAATATCTTCATCATCATCATAATCTCTCTCTTAAGCATATTTTGGTGTAACTGTCAAGGCGAAATTGGTTAAGCTCTTTTATTTGGTTGCTGCAATATCTTATAAGAGATGTTATTTCTTTTTATCGGTGGGCTCGACTATTTCGCTGTACTCATTCTTATTCCTTAACCTTCTTTTGACGATTGGAGGAGAAATAGATAAATGATTTTATGATTTCATTCTCAACCTCTAACTTCTATACATTTTATTAATTAAAATATTACTTTTTGAATTTGAATTTCAAAATTAAATATATATTTTAAGTCTCATTATAATAATAATAAAATAATTAAGAGTATATATAATCTGTCTGAGTTGATGCCCCAATATTCATCAGTATAAATCTTCTGAATGCATTCATCATTAAACATGATTTATGATTAGAGTTCATAGAACTTTACAGCCTTCTGATAATCGATGTACTCATCTAAATAAAGAGAAGAGCAAGGCCCATATCTCAAAATTGTATGGCAATATTGATTAACCTGCAATAACCATTAGAATAATTCCAGTATCTTCAAATACTCAGGATCTCCTTCAGCCAAACTGCAATAAGAAAACCCGCCTGCATTGAATCCACATTGACATTCAGAATAACCGTATAACTTCTCATTGCTATCTAATAAAATACAATCAGTATCAGTTTCACATGGCTTACTCTTGGTTAAACTATGAGGTCCATTTTGGCAAGTTCCATTGTTTGGATTGATATATCCATAGTAACATGCCTTTGGATTATCAGCTTTGATATTGTTTTCTAGAGAATAGTAATATGCGCATTTCCCCAAATTACACACACAATTGTTAGTGCATTAATAATCATTTGAGCATAATTATTCGAATTGAACTTATTCTTTACAATAAGTATCACAATAATAACCAACATCACATTATTAATGTCTTGAACATTATTGATTCAATTTCAGTCCCAAACAAATTCCACCTATACAACTATTAGATAAACAATCGCTATCTCCACTACAAGTTTCTCCTGGCAGAATCTTATCTTTTGCTGGTTTGTCTGTACAATATATAGGTTTTTAATAAGCAGCGTCTTGCCATAAACAAGTTTTATCATCATCGGCACATGGTGATAATTCATGAACCTTACCTCTATACTCTGACACATTTACACAGACATTGTTCTGATTCTCTTCTCCACATTTGTATCTTTTACCTCCACATTTTGTATTTGCAAATGCATATACCAAAATGATAAAGTATAATAATAATAAAAGTTCCTTAATCATTACTATAATTATAATTAACTTTTGCATTAATATGAGAAAAAATGAATTTATGAATGATGAAATTAGAAAACATTGGTTTGCCAATTGCAGATCAATTTCAGAGTTCGAAAGATTGGACAAACTAGGAGAAGGAACGTAATAATTATTGATTTTTAACTAAGTTATGGCACTGTCTATGCTGCCAAAGATAAAAAGAAAAATTAAGTAGTTGCTATCAAAAAAGTTAAAATTCATGATAGTAATGAAGGGTTTCCTATAACATGTTTGAGAGAAATCAAAATATTGTAAAGATTATCAGCACATCCAAATGTTGTCAATTTATTAGTAAATAAATTCTTCATTTTTAGGAAGTAGCTGTGGGACCAATCAAAGACAGCATTCATCTTGTATTTGAATACTGTGCCATAGACTTAGCCATTCTAGTAGATAATATGTTCATAGGTACAATTTTAATAATCAATAGATAATTATTCTTTTCGTGAAAATGAGATTAAATGCATAGTCCTTTAACTCTTGAATGGACTTGCCTACATTAACTCCAACTTCATTTTACATCGAGACATCAAATTGTCTAATCTCCTATTGACTAATGATGGCATTGTTAAAATTGCAGATTTTGGTCTGGCCAGAGAATTTGGTAATCATTATTTACTACAATTTCAGAAATCCCATAAAAAAAGTATACGAATCCAGTAGTCACACTTTGGTACAGAGCCCCAGAACTTCTGTGTCAGATGAATAACTATAACACTGCCATCGACATATGGTCAGTTGGGTGTGTTTTTGCAGAACTAATCAATCGAGGGTTTCCAATTCTCTAAGTTATTTTGATATCTATCCATAGGGTAAATCTGAAATTCATCAATTGCAATTAATGTGTGAAATGTTGGGGTATCCAAATGCTTCAGTTTGGCCAGACTTACACAAAAATGGAAACAAATAAATCTTGAAAGAACTAGAAAAGTTTTAACATTGCCGACCAAATCTGTAAAATGTGATTAAGGATGCATCTCCTTAAGCCTTAGAATTGATCTCAAGAATGTTAACTTGGGATCCAGAAGTAAAAGTTGTATTTAATCTTACTAGAAACGCATAGGAGTTATGGAAAGTTTATTACATGAATATTTCTACACCAATCCTAGGCCATCTATGCCTGAAGAACTATCCATTTTAAGACAATTAGATTAATTTAAAAAAAAGAATGCTGATAAAGCTGAAAAAAAAATTAAAATTAAATGATTTCTTTATATTCTTATGCATTTTATGTCTAGCAAGTAAAATAAATTAATCAATTTTATTATGTTACATTTAATTAATAATAATCCTAAAAAGGATAGATTATGAAATTGACCTATTAAATAATCGTCTTATTTACTTTCTTATAATTAATATACTTTAATGTTAATTATATAAATTCTTACGTATTCTCTTTATTCAATTAATGTTGCCACTTACATTAATATCAAAAATACATTATAAATAATAATATGAGTAAGTTAATAATTTTGATGATTGGGGAAATGCCAAAAACTAGAACTTTTTTGAATAGTACAATATATATAGATTTAGTTTATTTTTAATTATAAAAATGGCTTAAGTGTTTAATTCAAAGGTTAGCATTATCACAAAATCAGAAATAAGATATGAGGGTACAATTTATTAAATTAATCCTCAATAACAAACGATTGCATTAAAGGATGTCCGTTCATTTGGAACTGAAGGAAGAAGACCTGGTAATTTTTAAATAATTAATTTAAGATCATGAAATACCCCCGAATTAACAAAGCTACGATATTTTGGTGTTCAAGGCAGCTGAAATTAAAGGCTTCAAGACTTTAGAGGAGAACAAATCTGAGGACATCAAATTCGAGAATGTCAAATAAGATAATTAAGTCCAATAAACATAAAATCTCCAAGCACCTTAAAATATAGACTAAATAGAACAATAGTAAGATTTAAGAGGGCAATTCTAAAGTAATTTCCCATAAAATCACTAAATAAAATCTAATGGAACAAATCCTAGGGCTTTTGATTTCGATGAGATGCTCCAAAAAGCTAATGAAATAGAGAAAATTAAAAAGCAAGAGGGAAAACCTAAATATAATCCTACTTCGTTTTTCGATTCTCTTTCTACAAGTACTCAAAAATAAGATAGATAAACTCAACAACGAAACTAAAATCAGATTGACACCGATACGTTTGGCAATTTTTATAAATAAAGATAACATAACAACAACAATAATAACAATGGATAAAGGAGAAATAATAATAACAACAACAACAATAATTATAATAATAATAATAAACATAATAACAATTACAGAAGAAAGAACAATGATTAATAAAGAGTTATTTATGTAGAAAAACAATCTTTGGAATAATATTAATAATAACCACAATCACAATAATAGCAATGAATATTTAATTTGTTATTATTAAATAAAAATACACAAATAAGCACTAAACATTAATAATATTTATAAATTCTTTCATATTTAATCAATATATAATTTAAATAAATGGTAAAATATTGCTAAAGTTGTAATGTTCAGAAAGCATTCATGGTCAGACCAAAAACTGGGAACCTGATTTGTCAAAATTGCTTCTTTTAAGCATTCGAGGATGAAATTCATCATACAATCATATCTACATAAATGTTTAAGCCAGGCGAAAAGATTGCCATTGCTGCGTCAGGAGGCAAAGATTCTACAGTCTTAGTTCATGTTATCACTTTGTTGAATAAGAAATATAATTATGGATTGCATTTATACTTATTATCTATTGATGAAGGAATCAAAGGATATAGAGATGATTCACTAGAAACTGTTAAATAGAATTAAATTACATATGAGCTGGATTTAAAGATCCTATCATATAAAGAACTCTTTAATTGGTCTATGGATGAGGTTGTTGCATAAATCGGTCTCAATAATAATTGCACATATTGTGGGGTTTTTAGGAGACAAGCATTAGACAGAGGTGCAATACAATTAGGAGTTGATAAAATTATCACTGGTCATAATGCAGATGATATGGCAGAGACATTTCTGATGAATCTATTAAGAGGTGATATATTTCGATTGCCAAAATCTACTGCCATTATCACAGGAGATGATGGAGACAATGGGATTGCCACTCTGCCTAGATGCAAACCTTTTAAATACACCTACGAGAAGGAGATCGTTATGTATGCTCATTATAAAAAACTCATTTATTTCAGTACAGAATGCACTTACTCCCCTAATGCTTTTAGGGGACATGTTAGAGAATTAATTAAGAATTTAGAAGCTATTAGGTTGAATTATATATAATGTATTTTATAGACCTAGTGCAGTAATTGACTTAATCCACTCTTGTGAATAATTGGATGCTCCCAACTAAAATTAGAAAATGCCACAAAAGCAACTATGCTAAAAATGCAATTTATTATCCTCAAATAAAATTTGTAAGGCATGTACTTTACTTGAATCATTAAATCAAGGAAGAGCCAAGCAAATCTTATAAATTTAAGAATGATATTATATTAAAATCTTCAATAAAGATCGTATTTTGTAAATTAATCAAATGAGGGTATAAGTAGAAAATCCAATATTTTATTTGGTATTCCCCCTCTTTAATTTTGCTAATTTGATTCTAATGTAATATACAAATTGTAAGTAAAAGGAAGTAAATAAATATTTATACTCAAATAAATAATAGTAAGTTTAGTATTAATTTATTTTAAATGAATTTCATAAAATGTCTTAAGTGTAAACAACCAGGTTTAACATAAGACAATCAATATAATTGGGATGATCTTAGAGAATTGTCAATTTAATTATTAAATATTAGGATAAGCCTTTAGATATAGAATTCTAAGTTTATTTGATTTGTTTAAAGATACATTAAATAAATTTCATTTTACTTTTCTATCTTCTCTCAATTATTTACAAACCCCAGTGATTATACATAAGGCTCCAATAATACAAAGTGTACTCATAACAGTTCGAAAAACTAAAAAGTCTATGATGATAATGTAAATCATTTAGGAATATGAATAATTGCAAATCTTATCATAAGTAACCATCGTTTGTGCTCTAAATTTAATCACTTAGGCCAAAAGAGTAAAGATGCTAAATCCTAAGGAATAGAAAAAGTAATCTTCAAAATACTCAAATGTAGCTACATATTATTATTATAAACTTGACAGAAAGAGCATGATGACATGAAAATATGTAACAGTAACAGAGGAAGGAATTTCAGTACCAATTTATTTCATTATAATAAAAGCATAAGATTGAATAATGCTGCAAGCTAAGATGCACAAGCATCCAATTACATGCTAGAGTTGATCCTATGATTTGAGTGAAGGATTTGCAATTAAAATCACACCTATAATGCATAATATTGAATTAAAAAGTCTTGATTTAGTTATTCTTTCTTTATTCATTATACTAACCATTATTTAGCTCCAAATAGAATTTGTACAGAACAGTATAACTGCTTCTGATAAGGAGATCAATTTAACTCCATAAAAATAGAATAATGTTCCAATACCAATGCCTACTTGAGATCTAATAATGTGAGGCATCTTTTCTCTTGGATACATATTTTAATTAAGTTGTACAAGATAGAGAGTTATAAAGGAAACAAATGAAGTGATAAACATGAATTATGGGACAACAGTGAAATGACCGCGCTTATAAAAAGTTGCCTACACAGCATGGAAAAAATAGGCTATCAACATATATGCTATTGCCATCTGGAGTGTGTGAGTATTTTCGAGTTGTTTGATTGAAATGGTAATCTTACGCAACATGAGTTAGAGTCTAATAAGAAATATGAATGTACTTTATATATTGTCAGAATCTTAAACTATATTATTGAACTTATATATCCACATACAATAACAGTGTTATAAATATTATCGATATAAAATGTCTTATTCACAAAAAAACTTTCTAAATTAGCCCTTCTATTCTCCTGCAAAATTTGAGAATGATTAAAAGGATTTGATGATTTCACAGTTGAAGGCTGAGAACTTTGAACTGAAACAAAATGATAGAGATTACTAAGAATTGGCTACACATTTGAAATCATTAGAGCATAGGTAAAATCATACTTAATAGCAGATATAATATGTTGCATGAAGAGAAGATGAGAAATGAAGTGGAATTTAGAAATAGAAGTGATTAGACATTAAAGACAATAGCTAATTTGAGAAATGAAATTGATAATTTGAAATCGTAGTTAACTGATAAGCATATTGAAAATTAGGAGATGAAAGCAGAGAATTTGGCATTCAAGGAGATTACAGAGCATAGATCTTAAGAAAACCAAAGGGTTAAAAGTGACATAACATTATTGCAAGAAAACAATAGGAAATTGTATGAGGAAAAGCTTAGATTAGAAACAGAATTGTAAGCAGCCAAAGATGAAAGGAAAAGGTAATTAATAGGAAGTATTAAATGGTAGATTATTGCACGATAGAGAAATATTGAATAATACTTATGAAGATGTATTGGATAAATTAAATGAGAAAGAAAAGCAGTGTTCTTAATTGTAGACTGAATTTGATAATCTCGAAAAGTAGGCTCTAATTTATAAGGCTGATTAAGAAAATGTATTTATTATATTGGAATATCAAGATCAATAATGAAGTCAAATCGAAGAATGAAAATCTCAAATACACAAGAATGCAATATCAAGAAGCTTAAAATTATATTTCTTAATTGTAGAATGATCTAGAGGAGTTGCATAAGTAGAAGGAGAAATTTAAGCAGGAGAGCTTGCTTTATTAAAAAAACTATTAGCAAGAGGCTGACACTTGCATGGAATTGAATGCCCAGGTTATTCAACTCGATCAAACGGTTAAGCATCAGGAGAAAACCATTATTGATTAGAAGAATGAGATTGAGAGATTGAAGTCGATGCATATGGAATGTTTGGAAACTACTGAGGAGTTGAATCATGAATTGGAATTGGCTAGGAGAATCAATGATTAATTGGAACATCAACACAGAGATGTAGTTCAGTAATGTTAATGAATAGGTTATGGAGGAGTTGGATAAGTTGTCATTGACAGAGGAGTAAGCAGCCATGGCAAGGGCGAGTAAATATAAGGAATTGAAGACTAAATTGATTATGGGGACTAAGCTGTTATAGTAGTTCTCATCTCCTTTTAAGAGGTTTTCAACAAACAAAAAATCTTAGCTGAAGTAATATGAATTTTGAAAGTGATTTATTACTATAAATATTTTAATTTTTAACAGCTTTTGAGAATGATTGAAATAAGAAGACCACTTTCTGAAAAAAATTTGGGGAATAGATCAAGCAAAGATTTGCAAAGACCAAATTCATCCAGTTCACAATAGAAATAGAATTTGTAGACTATGAAAAGTTCAATATAATTACAAAAACAAAATCAAAACTTTTATTCCAAATATTTTAGTAGCAAGGATTAAAAAGAGAATATTGAGATACGTGCCAATGTTGAAAGAAATCCATCAGCCAAATCCAAATAGACACCTTAAGACTATAAAAAATTATAAGATAAATTACTGTATTTGGAAAATAAAATCTCTTCCATCAAATCTCACATTGATAATAGTTAGAGGCAATCCAAAAACAACATAGCATCCAAGTTTTTTTCATAAAACACATAGAACAATCAGAATTCAATCTAGGTCTAAAAGTCCGTGTAAATTGACTTTACCAATAGAGCATAGAAGGAATAACGGGAATTCACTCCTTAACAATAGAATAAATTAAAGTCCAGTACTCTAGTTAATAATAATAATGAATACAAATCTTCCATTGAAGGTACAATAATTAAGAAACCAAGTTTATCTACCTTTGTTACTTAGGTCAAAGCTCCCTTGTCAGAAAACAAAGGCAACTTTAAAAACTTGAAGCCAGATTCAGCAAAGGCTGGCAGTTCAATTAAGACAAATTTTAAAAGGAAAAACTCTTAAGAAAAAACAGTGGAGTCTTCTTTTTTATATTACATCTCCTCAATTATTAAAGGATATATGCAACCTGAAATAACAAGACCTATTGAATTGATTAGAGAACACTTGCTCTAAACTATGCAAGCATCCTAGTTTTAGAAATCAGTCAAAATCGTAAGCAACGTTGAAGATAAAAAAGTCAATTTGCCATCTACAAATAAGAAAACAATAGTATTTGATTTAGACGAAACTCTAATCCATTGCAATGAATCAACTCAAATTCCAGGAGATGTGATTCTGCCAATAAAATTCCCATCTGGAGAGATTATAGAGGTACAATATGAAATAGATCTTTAGGCTTCAATTAATATCCGACCTTATGCTTAACAAGTACTGTAGACTTTGAATAAGCATTTTGAAATCATAGTATTTACAGCCTCACATTCTTGCTATGCAAATGTAGTCATTGATTACTTAGATCCTAATAAAAATGTGATTGCTCACAGATTTTTCAGAGACAGTTGTATGTAAACTGAAGAAGGAGCATATATAAAAGATTTAAGAGTGATTGGAAATAGATCTTTAAATGATATGGTTTTGGTGGATAATGCTGCTTATTCTTTCTGCCTTCAACCCCTGAATGGAATTCCGATAATTAATTATTACGACAATAAAATGGATTAAGTATTTGTTTGTAATGATTGTAGGAGCTGCTATATTTGTAAAATTATTTGATGTCATTGAGAACAGTGCGAGATGTTAGATAATACAATAGTTAAAATCTTAAGTTAGATAAATTTGCTCAATTTGCAGACCCTATTGAGTTATTGCAATCTCTTCATAAGGATTATATCCCTTGATTAGTATCAAAATATAAAATTTTAATTAAAGTTCTTCATTTCATCTGGAATCAAATTATTGATTCAATCTTCATTGTGTTTTAAAACAACAAATGTATTACTGATCTTTATTATTTAAAATGGATATGTGAAAATGACCAAATTGGAATTAGACTTTAAGATTAATTGATATGATTTTTTGATGCATTAATAAAAATAATTATTGGAACAATGGAAGAGTTCGAAATATTAGATTTTCATGAATTATAGCAAGAATAGGAAGGAATTGATAAGACTGCAAGATTTTTATAAAAGAAGATATAAAATGGTTTCAAAGTCAGTATAGTGATTAAAAAATAACATAAATTTGCATTGGCTCCTTTGCAATAAAAGAAAAATGATTTATTTTCTAAACAACACAAACCTATGGATATAGTATAACTAAGCATAATAATAGATTAGTTAAAGTTCTGAGCAAACTGAGAATAATGATAAACAAGGTTCTTCAACGTCTTCGCATTCTAGTGTCAAAATGAAAAACAAATTTACTATCCCTCCAACCCAAAATGAAACTCCTGAATAGAATCAGGATGAATAAAGGACTGAAAAATCTGATGACGATCAAATTTCCTTATATTCTAACTAAATTAACAATTTTGAATATTTGCTGAAGGACAATTTATTGAGTCAAAAGATTCAAATTGGGTTGTCATTTATGAGAGATGGTAATTCCAAAATGGCTCTGGAAAAGATGATGGATGCATATAGAGAGGGAAATGAGAAATTAAAATAATGCCAGGATTAATAGTAGATTTCTGTATTAATTATAATCTGCATTTAATCACTGTGTTATGCATCTCAACTTTTAATGGAGTTTGGACAATTCAGTGAGTCTTAAAAGTAATAATGAAAATTTGAATTCTAGATGTTTAGACAAATGTTTAAATTAATTCGAAATCAATGACTTTGATTTAAAATGCAAAATATATATTGCAAAGGCATAATGCAACTTATTCAATAATTAATATTTGTAGTGTCTAGATAATTATACTAAGGCATTAATCTAATATGAATAAGTTAACTGGAAGTTGGAAGTTGCAAAATTATTAATTAAAATCTCGTTTGTTTATGCTTTGCTAAGTAATCTATTTATACTAAAAAAACAGATGATTTTGTTGATGCCAAGAAGATCTGCTATGAAGGCTTGTCAATTTTGCAGAGTAAACTCATCAATTCTGATTCAAGAATATACGATGCCTATTATACTTTGGGATGTATTTACTATCTTGAAAAGGAATACGATTTCGCCTTGGAATACTTGGATCAATCCAAAGAGGGATTCATTAAATTGTAATAAAATCATCACAATATCAATTTCAAATAGATACGGTGAAAAACATTAAATCATCATCAAGATTCTCAATTTATAGGGTGTGATCAACCATCTCTAAGGAAATAGCATTAATGCCATGGAACTCTATGAATAAATCGTTTGCTTGTATGGGTATGTTGACAATTCCAAATTTATAGGGACTCCTAAAATATTGGATTAGCATTAGTATTGAACAACCTAGCATTGGTATATTTGGATAGAATGAAATTTAAGAGTGCAAAATTGTCTTTTGAAAAGTCCATTGCTATTTTGAAAGGATTTATCAATGAATAACATCCTACTTTTCAGAGAATCGAGAAGAATAAGAAACTTGTTGTTGCAGCTACTTTATCTTATCTATGATTTTAATGATTTTAATTTCGTAATTTTTTCAAAAATTATATTAAAAGATTTTCATTAACTATGGTATGAATATTTCATCTATTATACTAAAGCCAAAAGCACCAAAGACCAATAAATCAAAGAAAATTTCTAAGAAGATTGCAGACAGAAAGAAGAATCCTCTCTTTGTTAAGGATGCTAAGAATTTTAGAATTGGAAATGATGTTCAACCAAAACGTGATTTATCAAGATATGTCAGATGGCCTCGTTACATCCTCCTCCATAGATAAAAAAAGATTTTATTGCAAAGAATCAAAGTACCTGCAGCTATTCATTAATTCAGCAAAACATTAGATAAAAATTAAAGTAAATTACAATTTTAACATTAGGTTCCAAAGTTTATTCTTTATTGAAAAAATACTCTCCTGAAACCAAGACTGAGAAGAAGCAAAGATTAATCAAAGCTGCTGAACAAAAAACTTAAAATTAAAAAACAGATTCTAAAAAAGTAAATGTTCTTAAATTTGGATTGAATCATGTGACAACCTTAGTTGAAACAAAAAAAGCCAAATTAGTTTTGATTGCTTATGATGTCGACCCAATCGAATTAGTTGTCTGGTTACCATAATTATGCAGAAGATAAGAAGTACCATTTGCATTTGTTAAAAGTAAGTGTATATTTTATTCATTTCCTAGACAAGGCTAGATTGGGAGCTTTAGTTCATCAAAAAACTGCCACTTGTGTTGCATTAACTGATGTAAGAAAAGAGGATTAAGCTGAATTTGACAACTTAGTAAAAAATTACACTATATATTAAGGCTAGAGATTTAAGATAACATTACAATGAAAATCATGAATTATTGAGAACTATTGGAGGTGGTCAAGTCGGAATCAAGTCTAGACATTAATAAGAGGCTTTGAAGAAAGCATTTGAAATAGAAGAACTCAAAAAAACAAGTTAATGATGTATATTATTGCAGTATCAAAAATATTTTTAAATTTAAAGATGCTATTATTATTACCTTTTTATTGCTTTTAAAAGAAGATTATAATGATCTTTACAACTTTTTTAGATATTCATATCTATACAAAATTTTATTAAAATATCTGTTTTTAGAATAGATTAGTAGTAATTGTTAGGACCTGTAGAACAATAAGAATATAGAATTTTTTTATAAAAATATATTTGATTATATTAATGGAAATGTAAGAGTATTTCTTAGGATGACAACCATAAACTCATTAAATTATCTCATATTGTATTAGATGCTTTTTCTTAAATGAAAAGTCTTATTTTTTTTTCTATTACCACTTGCCCTCATTCTCAAAATAAAAGAAAGGTCCTTTAATAACTTTATCATTTTCTTCATCTTTCTAAATCATATAATCTCATATATTACATATTAGTAATGCTTATCCTTCTTCATCCACAATCCATGTTTGGTGTTGTATATCCATTAATTCTTAATTAATTCTCTTGCTGCCATCAATTATTCAGTAGGTTCCTTATGATAATAAAAGACATAGAACAATGTGTCACTGCTCAATTAACTAAATACTGAATGAGGCAGCATTTTGTATTTTGGTAACAAGCTGTTTAAATTCAATTTTTCTTTAAAAGTAGGTGGCTAATAATAATCATTTTTCTAGGGTCTATCGGCGTAACTAAAGTCCATCATTTTAATTTTATAAGCAGCTGAATTTTAATCTACTAATTAAGCTTATTGAGTTGCTGCTTTTTGATCAAAAGGCTCAATGGCTTATCTATTGGGTTATAGAACTCTGTCATTCCATACGGTTGACACAATTTTAGTTTAATACAGTTGAGTGATTAACTAGGGAATCGATGTTCAATTTACTTAATTAATTTCTTATTCATGTTCTGGGTTATCAAGATTTTAATACATGATATCCAAAAGTATTATCAATTTTTACCATTTTTTATCCTAAATGAGAAATAACAATATTTTACATCAATCGATAAGTTCACCAAATCTTCATTCAATTATTTCATTTTGTCAATTTGATTTTGAAGCATTTTTAATTTGATTTATCTATCTTGACTTACTTATGTTTTTCTTTTCTAATAATGGAATTTGATTATACTTTCTTGATGTCTTGATTAATCTCTTAAGCTCTCTACTCAAGCATAATGATTTGATCCCTTAATTGTACTTGACGACTTTGAAATGAGATGCCCGATTATTAAATCATTAATAAATATTATGAATATTCAGAATTGTATTGATTGCACTTTTGTTTTGAATACTAATTTTGGAACAACTAGCTTTTCATAAATAAATGTAATTGCAGCATTAATGATAGCTATTATGCCTAATAGAGTCGTCCAGGATTCAGGCATAATGTATTGATCATCGTAGCTCTAGAAAATGAACTATAAATATAAAAATGGAAAGTATACCCCCATAATGTCATCAATGTAATCAATTCTCATCAGAAGAAACACAATGGCAAGAATGAATAGAAATATTGTACTTCCTATGAAATAGAAATTGGTATAGAATGGTTTTCTGAAAGGTTTTCCATTTGAATAGGCCACGGCTATCATCAAGTATTAGAAATTGCCAAAGATAAACAAGGTTGTATTTTCAAAACAAATCTTCATAGAGTCATCATTGAGATCCTCTTGATTCAGTTATTCATTTGGGATGAACCAGGATTATTTCAACAATAATAAATAGACTCCCAATTGAAAAGCCAATTAAATAATAGTTTGTCCTATAACTGAACCCAATACAGAGAAACTTATTAATGAAGATCCTGGCACAAATTTATTGATTTTTGCTGCCTAAACCAATCCCATAGTCATACTTAAAGGGAAGATTGTAAATAGATCGTTGTAAAGATATTGATTATCTGTTAAATTTGATTGCTTAAGATAGAGTATAGTCACTTAGATGAATTGGATCATTGAATATAATGCCATAAACTTGAAACAGCAGAATGAAGTAGTCAAGGCTGCTCTGCCTTAAGCTAATAAAATTGGAACACATGAGATGTCTTAGATTTGACTGGTGAATGGTGCAGCGATTGAGGCTTCAGCTTATGATAATGAAATTCCTGCATCAGCAGTTTTCAAGGCTCCGCAATCGTTAGCACCATCTCCGCAGAACCCTATTAAAGGCAATGATTTATGTTTCTATAACTATTAAATTAAATTAGCTTTTTCTTCTGGTCTCATTCGAGCGTAGACAATTGTTTTTTCAAGAATATTATTAAGAGTTGCTTGTGATCCGTATTTATTTAAATGCATAAATGCACCACCAGAAATAGCCAAAATGTAATTCTCATTTTCATTCCATGGTTGTTCTTCCATGAAATCTCCGTCAGTATAAATTTCACTAATATTATCAACTTAAACGTTAACAGGAGGTGGATCTTCCAGCAAAGATTTATTTTTCACTAAATTTTTAGAGAATGATCTCTAATTTAAATATTCGAAATCCTACTGAACATCTACATCCTTTTCAATTTCATTCAGATTATTAATAATTTATTGTTGTGGTTCCAAAGTGTCTTCATTCAATTCATTCTAATTATATTCGAAGTCTTTCCAAGATACATAATACTTTCCATTCAGTTTCTTCTCACTCAATTCTCCCAAATACACTCTCTAATTTTCAATCAATCCACATTATCTTGCTACACTAATAGCAGTCAATACATTATCCCCAGTTACCATAATCGATCTGATGTGAGAATCCTTCAACTACTTGATAATCTTGGTTGTAATTGGCTTCAATTTGTTTTCCATTATAATAAATCCTATAAAGTCTAAATTTGATTCTACTTCATGGCGATCCATATCTATTTATGATACTTACTTCTATGCCATTCCTAATACTCGAAATCCATTCAGAGCATAGAAATCCAACACCTAATGGAAATTATATGGAATTGACTAGTTGTTACACAACTACCTTAACTTCTCAGGCGATCCCTTCATATATGCAATGTATTATCCATTCTCTTTGACTATTACTGACATTCTCTGCAATTTGGATGAAAACTCGAATCTCTTTACGATTTCCACATTGATTCTATCATCATTTCTAATCCTTATTCTACCATCCTTCTCTTCGATTAATTCACAATTTGTGGACTCAAACATCTTCAATTCCAAAGGATCACCCACTAACTTACCTTTCACTTACGATAACCCATGACAAGTAGCCATTCCTTTGATAAAATTAACATCTGTATTAGCATCTATTGATGTTACAATCTTTGAAAATCTCTGATTCTCTATCATTCGAATACCATACATATCCAATCCCTCCTCTGTTAGAGTTCCTGTCTTATCGAAACACATTATGGTTACTTTCCCACTGATGTTCACTTTTTAGGGTGAAATACAAAATATCTTAGAACTCTTTAATCTTGCCAAGGCTATACTTATACCTATTTGTAAACAGGTTGGCAATGCTGGGGGAACAGTTATTGTAATCAAATCCAGACCTTCATTGATGAATTCCCAGGTTGATATTGAGTCATCCAAGAGATATTCAATTTTATTAGGCACTGTTATTATGAACCCAATCACTGCTAAAATTGCCATTATTCCAACAAATTTCATTGAATCAGCATAAAATTTAAATGAGTTTTAAACCGGAAACATTATAGATCTAATTAGTTATCCTTTCTGAGTATTAAAAGCTGTTTGAGTTACTAAAGCAAGTACTTCTGAACCTTTTGTTTCCATACAGGTTGTTCCTGCAAACAAGGTAAATTATTTGCCTGAATCCTAGGGATCGTAAACTTCTTTATTATTTGGAAGCTCAGTCTTCAAAACAGGGATAGATTCTCCTGTTAACATAGCCTCATTAAATATGACCTAACCATTTAATAGAATTGCATCACATGGCATTATCATACCATCCTTGATTACCAACTTATCACCAGGTACTAAGTTTATTGATTCAATTTCCTTCACTTATTTTTCATCTATTATTTGAACTGGAATGTTAAATTTGGACAATTACTATAAGCGATAGAAACTCCTTCTTTATTCGTAAAGTGTAATAAATATTGAAATTAATGATGTAATTAAAATTACTGTTGCATATCGCTGATATGATGCCCAAAACCACAGCAGAACAGAACAAAACTAGAATTTCATTGATAATTACCTAAAAGATATAGAACGGGCTCAAGACTTCGTCAATAAGAGTCTTAGTGATTCCTTTGTCTGGTATTTCTGTGTTATTGCATCCAAATATGTCCAGCTACTCAATTCGATTTATCGTTTACTGCCTTATATCTTACTAGATCATGGTCTGATATTTAGTTTCTATAGGATCGAATCCAAATTCTGTGTATTAGTACCTGTATAATCGATATTCAATAAACAAAATTCCATCTTTAGAACGATTCGATTTAACCAGGGTTTGGGACTAATCTAAAAGACATTAACGAATTTGCTTACCTTGTCCAATTATCAAAAAGTGAGTTGCCGAATTGGGAACACACTTCTTGGCGCGGAAAAATAGGAAAATTCTTAAGTCCCACCTTGTAACTAAATAGAGTAAGCCACAAGTGATGAGGGATAGAAAGGCAAATACAATGGTTTTGAATAGTGAAATGCGACAAGATATTATTTCTTATATGAGACCTTCTTATTGGATGTTGATAGGATGCTTAAATTAAACCCTATAATTGTGATTTATAAATGGTTATTTCATTTAATTAAAAATGTTTAACTTAAAATAACTTTTAATTGCACTACATCACATCACAATAATACTTTATTTTAATCGATTGCAATACTCGATCTAAGAAATCTTGCAAAATTAGAGCAACTACTCTTACAAACTAGTGAATGATTTTTCTGCTCAATCCATTAAAATGGTGTACTAATCCATTGGAATATCATTGGCATTTTATATGATTTTTACAGCATCCTATGTCATCCAATTAATAGTGTTGTTTTTCAGAAGTAATAAAAACTTGAATAGATACATATATTATCACATTTATTTATTAATACTCCTTTATAGTGTGGGCTAATTAGTATAAATTTATTATTACAATTTTTAAGAAGAATTGACTAAATTAACAGCATATCAAAATGAGGAGAACAAGCAAGATGCTTTAAAAGACTTACAAGAAGAAGGCCAATTGGCATAAACTATTTGGCAATTGTATTTTATGTGTACTGTGATAATAATAGTAGTATTCAAGATATCCTATTTGTATTTTGGTTTGCACTAGTTTGTTAAATTCATGGAGATCGAATTATGAAATTAATATATGCATTCAATGATTATAAGATGTTTACTTAAGAAATCACATCAAAATAAGTTATGTCTTTTTTCATTACCAATTCTAGATTCACACATTAAAAGCATCTCTTTACACAAAATAATAACTGCTAAAGCATTGAAATACAATCAATATTAAATATTAATTCAATCATTTATTTGTCTCCAATCTTCACCTCGCCAACATGCCTCAACTTACTTAATGGTTCTGGGTACATCATTAAGTATTTCTGGGCCATTGGCTGTCAATAGTATATCATCTTCTAGTCTCACACCTCCTACATGCATAAATTCTTCAATTCTTTCCCTATTCAAATACTTCGACTTATTAGGGTCTTTATAAGCTTCTTGTAAGATAAAATCTATGAAATATATTCCAGGTTCATTAGTAAATATCATTCCCACATCCAAATCTCTACGAAACTGTAATTAAGATAATTCTAATTAATTGAATAAAGGATATATTACCTGGTAATTTGGGAGGAGTACCTTTATTATATCCTCCGACATCATGAGTTCTCAACCCCAACATATGACCTAGTCCATGTGTGAAGAATAATCTACATATATTATTTTTAATAAGATCTTCCATCGATCCCTTTATTAATCCTGCATTAAACAGATGTTTGGTGATAGTTCTTTCTGCCAATAATTGCATGTCTCCCCAATTCACTCCTACCTTTAAAGAATTATGCACTTGTCTTTGAGTATCAAGAACAGCATTATAAATAATAGCCTATTTTTATGTGAATCTCCCATCACTGGGAAAAGTTACTGTGATGTCACTACAATAGCCATAGAACTTGCCTCCCATGTCATTTAATATCAGTTCTCTTTCCTTTATCGTTTTCGAATTCTCTTCGTAATGCAACACAGAACCATTTGTACCAGATGCACAGATACATTCATATGGTGTAAAACGACAGCCATGGTTTATAAATGTATGATATTAATAGAGTGCTTCCATTTAATATTCTTTGTTGCCTTTTCTTATGTTTTTTATAACCAATTCATGAGCTTCACTGCTAATTTTACAAATATATCTCATGATATCTTATTCTTAGGGTGTCTTTCTTACTCTACACTCTGTAAGTATATAGTACAACTCATCATAATCAGAATCATAATTTTGTAAGAATGGTTATTCAGGTATGGGTAATGAGTGATGAGAATAATCATCAATTCCATAAAAATAATAAATTAATGATGGTTGTCGATTGTTCAACCAGGATTCTATGTCATCATTATATAGCACTTCGTCTAATTTATACTTTTATTTAATTTCGTCATTGTTCAACACAACATTCCACATTTTATAATTGGAATCATATTAGGGCACAAATACAACTGATTTCCCATTATCAACATCTATTATTGCATAACAATTAAGAAAGTCTACTCCAAACAAATAATGGAAATTGCTCTCCTACTCCACTCTATACTATTAATCTACAATGTCACTATGGAGTTACCTTCATCATGCTTATTGATTTTGAATGCACCCATTAACATAATTACACTATTCCTTGCTTTATCTCCCACAGTGTAACGAAAGAAGTTGAGGAATCGAGTTCTTATGTTCTAATGAAAATCCTCAGGAATCGCATATTCTTTGGGTGGAGGTATGGGATCTGTATTCATTAGATAATTTATATTATGTCATCCTTATTAATGTATTGTGTAATTTCAATTTGATTAATAAATATCAGTTCATTGCAAATCTATGTTCTTTGGTAGATTCTACCTATACATAATTCTCACTTTAATTACATAATAATGATATTATCATACTTTAATGAATATGGAAGAGAGAGAGGCAAAGTTAATTTGATGTTAATAATATATTCTTATTTTCTCTTATTCTATGTTTTAATTATATATATCAATCAGAATTATTAAAACCACAAGTAAAGATCTAATCATTCTTCATTAATTAATCTATTTATTTGATTTTATGGAGTTATTCTATGCTGAGAGTAAATTCGATTAAATAAAAACACTGGAATCAGATTTGCGATTGGAAAATATAGTAATTCATAGAAAAACCAACTTAATGAACCTTCTTTAGAACATGGATACGAACCTGTGGACCCATATTTCAACACTATTATTAAGTTGTCTTATTGAATCATGAGGAAGAGGTTCCAACAGATTCTCAAACCTAAGGCACTTGACAATAAGATTATGCTAATAAAGATCTAAAGTATTGTAATAAATTACTCTGCGTTTAGTTAAATTAGGAATTTCATTTTGAATTAAAATGATGTATTTCTAAAAGAAAATTGAAACTATCAGAAATAATACCAGCATGAGTGTTGAAATAATGGACACTATGAGATTCATTACACTAAAGATTAAATACAAGTTACCTTTTTACTTAAAAGAAATAAAATAGACCGATGCATAGATTCATAATTACAATTAATATTTCAATTATGTAATATTTCTTTACACAATCAAAAATAGAACTCTAGATGCTTAATTTTAGTAATATTAGTTCACCCCTAAGGTTTAGTGATGTCATTACCATATTAATGTTGATTTCCAACAACAAATCTATAATGATGTCATAAATGTCACATTGCAGATAAAATAAATTATAGAAATAATATAGTAGTTGTTATTTTGGCAATCTTTAATGATAGCATAACCTACACATTCAATAAAATAAGAAATTGTTTGCGCACATATATTTATTAGCAGAAGTCTCTTGATTGTCAACATATCTCTTTTTTCTTATTCCCTCCTAATATAAATTCTTCTGGTGGATTGATAATCATTCCAAATTAGCCAAATAAGCCATAGTCCTACTATCGTAAAAGCAGAAAGCAAAAGACATTCCTACAGATTTGTTACATCTATCAACTCAGAAATCATATAATCTTCCCTCCTCATTAATTATATTATTAATAATATCAAATAGAAAACTAATTAAAATTAGGAGCGTAAGTTATTCATGCTTGCTTAATATTTTTAAGAATAGGGTTCATTGAATTGTAATTGAAATTTGAAATAACTATTTATATTTATTAATAATTATTATTATTGAGAGATGTCCAAATCATCTAAGTCCAGTCGTAATTTTAATATTTCTACTTTTTAGGAAGCAGTCCATCCAAGAGTTAACATCAGAGTCCAAGTCCAAAATCGAAATCAAATTCACATCCAAATTAAGGTTAATCACACATCATATATCAACATTCAAAATACCTCACTATCAACTACTTCAACATTATCAACATATAGAAAAATTATGCCTCCATGTCTCCAATTTGTCCAAGAGAGTTACCGACACCGAGTTGAAAGAAACCTTCGAGAAGTATGGCCAAATTGAATATGCCACCGTCTGCATGGAGCCCCGAAGCAAGGGGTAGTAATTTCCTTATCAATACTTTCCACTAGCCCTGGCAAAGTGTCTAGAGGTTTTGGATTCGTTAAATTTGCCAAAAAGGAAAGTGTCCAAATAGCTCTAGAGGCGATGCAAGACAAAGAATTGCATGGATCGAAAATTAAGGTGGAAGTTTCAAAAAGAGCTGAGCCAAGAAGAAAGACCCCAGGTCGCTATGCTGGTTATGCCTACCGTCGCTCTCGATCTAGATCACACAGAAGAAGAAGATCTATATCGTCTGACTCTTACTCAAGCAGTCGTAGAAGACATCATAGGTGCCCAATTTATCAATATTTCTTAGTCGTCGACGACATTACAAAAGAAGATCGATTTCAAAATCCCCTTCAAGAAGTCCAAGTTAGAGTCATAGAAGAAGAAGAAGATGAACAATTAGATAATATTTCAAATTATCAAAATATTATTTTACCTTTTTAAATCAGCATTAGTTTTCTACTTATGGATTAAATAGAATTTAGTTGAAAAAGTCTGTAATGCTTAGCATAAATGCAATTCCAAAATTTATATTTTATAAGGGCTTTTATTATTATTTTCCTATATAATCAAAAATCACTATAACTAAATAAAATCAAATTAAATTTTAAAATTTATTAATAATCTGTAATAGGGAATCATTATAACATTATACTTAAACAATATTGTATTTTCCTGTTCTTTTTCTTCAATCTCTGATAACTATCACCAGAACGCTCTCACATAATGAACCTTCTCAAACAAATTTCATGTTCAAATAATTTTTTGACAATTTCTATTGGAAACCCGTTAACTACATAATTCTCTTTAAGAGAGGCAATTAAAAAGAATCAAAAGTACTAGGAGTTTAAGGAGAATTCTAATATCAAATATTACACTATTTTTGTTAACCAGAATATCATTGTCTGAATTACACTATTAAAAAAGGAACTATAAAAATTATAATAAATATTTCGAAATATCTTGTTCATTTCATACCTTAGATATTAAATTAATGATAAAAAACGTAATGATTAGGTGAGGTTGTTTCTTGTAGAGTTGAAATAAATGGTTTTGCAAAAAATGTTGTTTTTTAATCATGATGGAGATTCGAAGAAGCCTATTTAATGACGATGATGGTTTTATTATGAAATTTGGATTTCAAGTGGTGAATTTTGTGTGTATTAGAATTGATAAAAGGAGCATAAAAAAAGGAGAAACAAATTTAAATATTATAAATTTTTTATAAAATTATTTAAATTTTATAATAAATTAGAGGAAAAAGTGCATCATTTTTAATGACACACTATTATTTTGTACTATGGTGTTGGAGTTTATAAGGATTTATAATAATTAGCTATAAGATATAATTTTTTCAAATAAAACATTATAAAAAAAATGGAGTAACAAGATGCATCATCAATTGCATAAAATAACTTGACTGGACTGGCAACAGTGCATGGAGCAAACGAGCAGAACAAATTGCTATCAAAGTTGAGTGAATAAAGCAGTCCAATGAAAACTGATACTCACATAAATCCGAATAAAGAAATTTATTCAGAGGAGGAAATGAGGAACTTTACAAAAAGAGGAATAATTTCATTGATTGGAGGTGTAATTCTACACATAGAATTGGGAACATTTTATGTTTGGGGATCAATCAGTAATAAATTAAAAATATTTATTTTTAGGTCCTTATGTTTGTGCTTGGATGAGAGAGAAAGACAAGGATGTCACACTAAATTTCATGGCTATCATCTTTCCAATCCTTGGAATCATCACAATGTCAGTCCTCTCATTTGGTATAAAGATTGCTGAGAAAATTGGATTTAAAGTGACAATAGGGATAGGTTCATTTACTATTGCATTGGCTTTCCTGATTATATCATTTATCCAACAAATAGGAGGATTTATAGCAGTGTATTGCATAATGGTTGGCATTTCTGGGGGATTATTATATATGCTACCAATTATTTGTGGATGGAGATACTTCCCAAACAGAAGAGGTTTAGTATCAGGAATGACAATCGGGGGTTATGGATTTGGATCATTCATCTTCAATTTCGTATGCAAAGCAGTAGCAAATCCCAACAATTTGAAGCCATCAGTAATAGAAGTGGAGGATGGCAAAGATGTGAAATACTTCGACAGTGAAGTAGGAGACAAAGTTCCATTGATGTTGTAAGTTCTTGCTGCAAGCTATTTGGGATTGGGAATTATAGCAACAATAATGGTTAGATACCCAGCTGAAATAGATCCAGATAAAATGTTGGCTACCTTAGAGGCTGAAGAAAAGAAGAAAAGAAAAGAAGGAGCTCCTGCCCCTCCTCCTCCAGTTTTACCAGCTCATAAAGAATGCGTTGAAGTGTAAGATATCATATTTATATGTTTAGTAAACGAGGAATGAAACATCCATCCTTTGTGATTCTCCAATTAATTGTATTGATGTCCTGTACTTTTGGTATGTTGATATCCAATTGCTATAAATACTATGGATTAGAGTTGGGAATTGATGATGCTACATTAACAGCTACTGGTTCAGTTGCAGGTGTAATGAATGGGTCATCTAGATTCTTCTGGGCAACTCTAACAGATAAAACTTCATACAAATTCACATTTACTCTCATCTCAATTCTCAATCTCATCACAACTGCCATATTGCCATACAATAAAGATGGAATTGGCTATCTCTTACTGATTGCTGTAGTCTATCTTGCAGAAGGTGGACTATTGGCTACATATCCAGTTATTTGTGCTAAAATCTATGGAAAGAAAATTGGAGGTCTCATGTATGGGTTCATGTTCTTCTTTGTTGGAGTAGCTAATATGATTGGATACTTACTATATGCGTTTGCAAGAAAGAAAATCAAATGGGAAGGAGTGTTTTGGATTTGTTTCGCATTGAATGTCATTGGAATCATTTTGGGTTTGGTTCTTAAGGAAGTGGGCTATGATTGGAGAGATTAGGCAGTGATTGATGCAGAGAAGGAAAAGGAGAAGGAATTACAAAACAAGGGATAATTGGCTGCATTCTAAAATTGAATTAATATAATTTTTGATTTCTTTATATTTAAGACTTTGGTTTTAACTAATACTAGTATAATTGAATTATTTTCCAATTTAATATTAAAAATATTGCAAAATGGATAAAAATGGAGAATAAATCTTCACATCAGAGTTTTGGAGAGAAATAAATGAACAATATTTCATTGTCTAATCTCCAGTTTAAATAACAGATATCGATATTCTCAAAAGCAAACGTATTATTGTGATCAATAGAAGTAGCTCGAAATGGCAGATCATCAAAATTTCCGAGTCCCTTAAATAAGGTAATTAGGTAGAACAATCGAGCCAAGCTATTCTAAACAAACTTAAGCAATTTGAAAACAAGATTTTAGTTGCTCTTTCTGCAAAGACAATCAAAATAGGAATCGATAGAAAGTTTAATAGATGAAATGATAGACTAAGTATGTTTTGATCATCTGTCAACTGAATTATAGAAGGCGTAAGAATTAATAAGGAATATAACTCTTTGTTCTGATACATAGCAATTGTAGATTTACAATCAAGAAGCAGATTTATTATCTAATTTAATGCATCAAATTGATTGGCCAGATGAGTTAAGCATTTCAATAGAACAATATCAATAATAACTTAATGAAATTGCTAGTTGCAACAGGAATGCATTGCAAATGTATTCATATTCATTGTAAATTAGTTTGGAACAGCACATTCATCAGATAAACTTAACTTTATTGTATACTTACAATAGCTCTTAAACAGGGGAACATAAATTGAAATTGACTAGATCGAGACTGTCCAATCATTAAATCGAATTGAGTTAGCTCAAACACCTAATTATCTCACAGTAAGACTATTAAGTCGCTGAGAGTATTGCGAAAGCAACTTTCAATGATTAAAGTAATTATTACAATTATCCACTTCAGACAATACCGTCCATGTTATTTTAGATAAGTATTTGAGTAAAACTCCCATCACTATGAGTTTGGAGGATTTTGGCAATCTCCAGAGATTTCGAGAACAACAGATTGATTTAGTAACTCAAACATGCAATTTGAGATCTGATGTAATTCTGTAGGTATGATAGTAGGATGTGTTCGAAATGTAGATGTGCCATTTTTGTAAGGAGATGGTGGAGATTAAAAATCTGAAATAGTGCCAATATAACCATTATTCTATGGGTTTGCATGAATACAATTTAGATTTATTGATCTGTCAGAGATACCAAATAAATGCCAAGCAAGCAAGATAATTTCTGATTGATTTTTATTCAGGGATTTATGTGATAGAAAGTACGGATATCATTGTTATCATAGACAAATAAATTATGTGTTAGAGGTACTTCTGTCTAAAGTGTCTAAAGTACGATTTTGATTCTTATGAGACCACATCTTATTTGTGGATTTGTCCTGTGTGCAAAGTATAATTCATTATTGAAATCTAGGGATTCTGCACTTGCCAAAGATGCGAAAGAAACGACATGATCTATAAGATGAAGAGACAATTCTTGGAACTTAACGGTGATTTAGATGATGTTTACAAGACATCCTACTTTGAGAGTTTGGTCAAAGAGAAGAGGAGGCAGTTGTTGGACATTCCTTTAGAGTTCCTGAACAACACAAAAAATGAATATGAAGAAACCATTTATTAAAAGGCTAATAAGAGATAAAATTAGCTTAATTAAATTAGGAAGAGGATTAATAAAGATGATTCACGAATAGTTAAGAAAAGCCAAAAATTGTATCAATAAGAGAGTTCATCATCTTCGATTAAGATGAAAAGATCAAAAGAAACAACAACTCAGAATACAATTTCTAGTTTGGATTCAATTAATTCACAAATGTTTATTTGATGATTTGTAAATTTATTTGTTCTTACTTCTTTATTTATTATTTTGGCATAATTGAAATTCATATTTATCTTTTATTAAAATAGTAAATTAATCTGGTATCAACATCCCCCATATAAAATCAGCTTACTCTTGTTTGAAAGGACAAAAGATGTAAATAAGATCAATGTAAAATCGATATAGAAAATAAAAACCCACTTATTAAATTTCATCAATGCCGACTATTTATACTGAATTTTAAAGTTCCAAATAATATTCAATATCATATGAAATTTTCCATTTTGATAATTACGCTCTATATTACGACTACGTTGGGAATGTTCTGTAGCTACTACCCCTTAGATCCAGTTGCATGTGTGTAAAAGACTCAAGGGATAGCATGTAAATTTGGCTATAAATAATTCAAGGTTAATTTAGTTTTTTCGAAAATCAATGCATAGAAGTTAAAAGTAGCTCATTAGGATGCTAACCCACACTTAATCTACAAGCATGTTTGATGTAGAAACAGAATTTGAGTGGAGATGAAGCTTAATGTAATTATCTAGAATTATAGAGTAAGGCTTTTTCGGAAAGAAATGCATAGATGCCAATGAGTTTCATTTGAGACATCTACAATGTAAGGATCACTTTTCAATGTATGGTTGTGTAAATATCCACCAAAAATAATGTTATTGGAGTGGAACAATTTGCTCTTAATATGAGGGACCCATCCCATCTGGAAATGATTGCTCATAGATTTTCAACACAGCTGTGGCTCCTGAATTATGTTCCCAGATTTAGGAGATTCCATGTATAAGATTTAGTAAAATACTGCTAGGTTATAATAACGGATTTGAAGGTGGATATTCTTGCGAAAATGTGTCTGACAGTATGCTTCAAGCAATAACTTGCGACACTTCCGGGTTGAACTAAGTAGGCTGCACATCCATCAAGACTCCTGGATAGAAATGTAAGGATTAGTTAGAGTTTTAGGCATTTTTTAGCATGGGATATGTCGATAATTTGAACAAAAAGATGAAATTAGTTGTTTATAACTATTAAATATGGAGGCCTGTCTTGGGATTTCAAATCCAGCTGTGAGATGTGCTTGGAAATAGACTGGATGCTAGGATTACGAAGTCAAGGATGACACCAAATGTTCGGATGTTTCTAAAATTAATCCGAGTGTTTGTATGGCAATGTCAGAATTGTGTGAATATGACAAAGAACATAGGACATGCATACCAATTACAGCTTTGGATTAGATAAATTGCAGGACAAAAGGATTAAGCAAGAATGCTTGTTTATAAATTAAGGAAGATAAATGTAATTACTTTTTAATTAATCTTAGGTATATTCCATGATGAATTGGGATGCAGCGAATTAACAGAAGAATAACTAAAGATGACTGTATGCGAAGATAACATAAACGAGATTTCATGTATTAGCATCACAACTCCATTTTAAAATTGTCAATGGAATGGTCAAAAATGTTAAAGAATTATCATCAACCAAGACTTGGATTGCCCCTTGCCTTTGATCGATGGCATTGCTTATAAGGTGAATGGGAATGTTTGTTAATCGATATCTAAGAATGGTGTTGGTTGTAAATACGATTCAACTCTTCATTTATGTGTAAGGAGCAATGGATTCGAAAGTTGTACAACTCCATTTATCAATCTATTTGCTTGTGTTAATATACAGTAGTAGATCTCGTGCAAGTGGAATGAATAAGTAGGTTAGTGTGAGGACGTGGAAGTCATAGAACTTAGTACAAGTTGTAGTGACCTTAAGTTCTCAAATCCAAAGTCTTGTTCCTAAGTGACTGAGTTCAAGAATAACAAGTTCATTGGGTGTTACTATAATGAGGAGACTTCCCTTTGCACAGAGGTCAACCTAGTAAGTCTAATTGATATGGAATGCGAATAAATGGGATTAAATAAACATGGGTGCACCATGATTAGTAAATTGGGACAGAGATGTAGATGGTATAGAAATTAATGTACAAAGATAAAGAGTAAGGAATCTCTGTCACTTGTCAACTGTATTGAATTGTAATTTGTGAATCCTGCTATTTGTGCATTGGTTACTGCTAATTCAGAACCTTGCAAATATAACTCTGATGCCTTTGGATGTGTAAATAGTGTCAATTATAGTGACACGGGGGATTACTGTACAACTCCTGGATTAAATGCGTTCGCATGTTCTTAAATTACAAGAAGCAAAACAGGATGTTACTTTGATAAGACGAACAACATCTGTGTGACTGCTCCTGATAGTAAATCAGTTCAGGAGATTGATATACTTGCATCTAAGGAGTTGTTGACAACAGCAGGATGTGTTGCTAGTTCTCCGACACTGAACATTTGCATGGCCATAAAAACATTGGGTGAATCTTGTATTTGGAACACAAGATCGTCTAGATGTGATTACAATTAAGTTTAGTTGAATGAGAAATGTCTAGATTACAACACCCAAGAAAAATAGAAGTCTACTCCAGGTGCTGAGGTCTATGTAAATGAAAATGTATGTGCCAGCATTGTCATGAACTTTGTAATTTATTATTCTTATATTCATAGCCAAATAATGACCCAGCTAAGGGTAAGAAGGTCGATGTCCTGAGAGGCTATTGTGAATACAACGGAAAGGGAAATTGCATCTTATATTAAGATAAACCTTGCACAGATAAGTGTTGCACTACTGTGTCTGGTATCAATGCCCATGTGTGCAGTCGATACACAGATCAAACTGTTTACTGTTATTTTAATGAGTTCAATAAATGTGTTCAATTGACCAATGAATAAACAGATCTTACATCCATACAAGCAGTCAAGGATTATTATAACTTTATGAAATATAAATGTTCCTCCATGAATTCCAAATCCTGTTGGATGATTGAATGGTCCACTACTTAGAAATGTTATTGGGATGGATTAGTGTGTACCTAGATCAATTACAGTGATTATCCCACATTCTCTTCTGGAGTATTTCCACCAACATCATTGAGTAGATATGGATGTCAAGGAGTTGAAGCCATCAAATCTAATTATGCAAAGTACTTCAAATATTTGGATACCAACTATTGTGCTGTATATTTAGTACCCCCCATGTTGACTGATTGTGAAACTGCAGGAGTCAATATCAATTATTGTTTGGGATACTCAGCAAACCTCTATTGTAAGTGGAATAAACTAACCTTGAGTTGTGAAAGAATTGAGGACTACCTCACACTCTTGACTTGCGATGAAAATCAAAATCAATAGGCCTGCATATCTAATCCTTACATGCCATGTGCCTTTCTAGATGGATCTGACAAGTGTGTATACAGTCCCCAGAATGTCAAATGCAATGACTTCTCTCTAGCATCTTCTCCTTATTTTGCAAAAGTGAATGAATAAGCTTGTAAAAACATCACAATGCCTGGTCAAATTTGTAAATTCTATGAACCCTTAAACTATTGTGTCTACTCTAATGAAACCTCAACCAATTGTGACCTCCCTGGAGTCAACAGCATCGGTTGTTATGCCAACACCTAAGGAAACTGCAGATGGGACTCAACCCTATTAGAATGTTATGAAGAGAGTGATGAGAGTGCTTTAAATACTCTGAAATGCAACGATAACATCAACTTGTATTTATGTAAGAATTTAATGAATGACAATTGCGAGTGGTCTACTACAGACTTGATTTGCAGTTAAAAGGATGCTCTAAACAAGGTTAATGTTAATAATTTATATAATGCTCAAACTTGTACCAATCTGGTTGGAGGAGGTTACTATTTTAGTAATTATAAATGTGTTGAATTATTAACTTCAAATAATGATTGTACTTCAAAAATAATGAATAAACATGCTTGTTTAACCATGACTAAGAATCACAGATGTATCTTTGATCCAGATTAACCACCTGAATTGAAATGCTAAGAATTCAAGGAAGAACAATTAACATGTTCCTCAGATAAACTCATCAGTATTGATGTATGCATGAACTTACCAGCTACCTGTTATTTTGATCTAGATACCTTAACATGCAGAGCAATCGACATTACAGACACAACCAAATGTTCTACTCTCATTTCGACCAATTAAATCTTCAATAAACTAGCATGCTCTTCAGTAAGTGAAACTCTCACTGATGCCTCCTCTGATGATGGGACCAGAATTTGTACCAGCGATCCTGTTGCTGATAATGCCTAGCAATGTTATTTTGAATCGTATTGTGCTTGGGACACTACCAATTACGGATGCAAACTTGCTAAGATAGTGAATGCCCAATACAGTAGTAATTATAATGGGGCATATTGTTCTCTGGCACCGGTCACTTTTTAATGCACCAATATCTACTCTAAGGCTATTTGTCTGTAATTAGCAGATAATTGCTATTTTGACATCACATAAGGCGGTTGCAATGACTATGTCACTAATTCCTATAAAGTGTAAGCTTGTAATTAATTGAATGGAAATTCGTGTATTAATAGTAAGACTGAGAATGCTTATTGTAAGAAGGTAGCTTTGGATGGCTATGATTTCACTCCAGCATGTTCAGTTGATTCCTCAATCACTGACTTATGTGAGGATGATGTGTATCCATCATCTGGTTGTTCATCTATTACTCCACTTAAAGCAGAAGATTGTTCCTTTTCATCTGAAAAGTGCTATTATAAAAATAGTGCTTGTGTTGTTCCCTCTAGTTCGGATGTCATTACATGTACAACTCCAGGAGTCAGTAGGAGTTTATGTTTGACCATAGATTACAAATGTGATTTTTCATCTGGAAAGTGTACTAATCTCACCATACCTATTTTAAATGCTGACAAATCCAATTATTATTATGTGTGCAATGAAGCCAATTATTTGATCACTTAGTATAAAGAATATGCTTGTGGTCTAATATAGACAATTCCTTGTAAATATGCTTAAAATTCTTGTTAAAGAGCTTTCTATGATGACTGCTCAAATTTAATAGGCATCACTTCAAATAAAAAAGCATGTGTTGAATGCAAGAACAAAAATATGATGTATGACTAGGAACTATATACTTGTGTGGAAAAAACTGATTTGAGTTCATCTTGTGATTCCATCTCAACTTAAAATAGTTGTCAAACCCACTCCACTGATTGTGAGTGGAATGATGTCATAAGCAAATGCATCGTAAATCTAACGAGGTTAAATTAAAACAGTTGCATAAGTCTCTCCAACACCATACTTACGAAATGGGATAGTACCACTAACACTTGTGTTAAATTGAGTTTAAATTCAGCTTAATATGCTGCAAGTTGTTTGGGCTTGGGAAAAAAGAGTTGCTTGACTTCTAAGAGTTCGTGTTGGTTTGATTCACAAACATAAAGTTGCATAGATATTGACACAATAACATTATCTTGCAGTGAAATCAATGATGTTGGTGGATAGTAACAACATTGTTTATTATCTTTCAAAGAAGCCTGCAAGTGGGTGAACAACTTGTGCGTTTCAGCTAGTCTTGAGACTGATACATGTTCTGTAATGAACAAGTTTGGGTGTCTCAACATTAAGTAGAACATTTCCTGTGGATGGTCCAATTATAATGTGGCCTGCATCAAGTACACAAACAATAATTATTTTGGGTGTAAGAATTATATTTGGAATAATAACTACTCATAAGTCAATCCCTATTTCTGTTAATTATTGCAAGGCACGGAATCCTGTTTTTACGATCTGAAGACTTTCAAATGCACGAATGTGGGTTCAACTGATTTATATTGTAGTAAACATCAAGGTATCAATAAACTGGCTTGTCTGACTCGAACCTTGGATAAATGCAAGTTCGACTCTACAATCAACAAGTGTGTTCCAATAACTGAGACTGATAATAACTGCAATAATTCCTTGAATTAAGTGTCTTGTCTTACAGTTCCTGGGAAATATTGCAAATTTTATCTGAATGAATGCAGCACTTTGACCTTAGCGACGGCAACTCCTTATGCTAGAGCAACACCACCAGCAGGTCAAACTTACTCTGCTACTGCCTGTGTTTACTATAATAACGCATTCAATGATGCTTATTTTATTTATGATGATAACAAACAATATTGTGTAGACGCAGATTATGCGAAAGAATACCCAAGAAAGTTCATAGCACTTTGCAGATCAACATCTATAAATGAGAGAGTGTGTTTGAGGAAGACTATCAATACTTGTATTAAATAATATTTATTTTAGGTTAATATGTTGATAATCAGTGTCTGGATCTTAGTGCAGATGAAATTAAATTGGAAACATCTTGTAACTCAGCATTCAATTGGAAAGCATGCATTTAAATAAACAATTTATGTAAATTTTATTAGGGAAGATGTCAATTAATTACCTCAACTGATACTTGTGCTAATTTAGTATCTACTGCAGCCAATCCACTTTATGTTGGACCACAAGTCTGTGCCTCTTTTGCTACTACCTTATGCAAATACGATTCTGAAGGTTATGATTGTCAAGCAGCTGCAGCCACAAATGAGACATGTTAAACTCCAGGCCTAAGCAAAAAGGCTTGTTTGGAGTCAACAACCAAATCCTTTTGCTATTTCAATGCAATTACTAATAAATGCGATTTCACCTATGACAATACCCTATCTTGCCAAGATGATTAAACTCCTAAGACTTGGTATCTTAATATAGCTAGATGTTATTATCTACGAAAAGCAGGCAGTGTAATTCATTTATAATATTCCATTAGACCTGTTAATTTTTAAATGGAGAATGCACTAACTTCCCAGAGACTAAATTAGCTGAATGCAATACTGACATTAAAACTAATTTAATCACTTGTTCCAAAGCCACTGTAGGGTTCTGCTATTATATTCCAGCCACCAATTATTGTTACAAAGGAAGTGCGGTAACAGTGAATGTGTAGGATTGGAATATTGGATAGTCCTTTAATAAAAACACTTGTTTAGGCTACTAACACGCCACTATTAAAGTAGCTACAATGTGGGATGACCTTAAAGGTTGTGTAGAAGCTACCAGCAATGATCTAAAGAACTTACTATGTGAGTCTCCCATTAATGTCTATGCTTGCTTATCCATAACGAATCCAACTCAATTTTGTCAATATGACTTGGTTGCATAGAAGTGCAAGTCATTCAACTATATAGTACCACCTGGTCAGATCGGTACTTGTGCTTCTCTGACTAATGTGAATAGATTTGAATTCTGTTAATATACCACTAATGATTGTGCCTACAATTCTGCAACTCGTAATTGCTAAGTGTTAACTACTGCTGACTTCACTATTGCTTCAGCAGCTGATTGTTTTAATAGAGGATTCAGTAAGTCTTTTTGTAGCAAGTTCCCTCTATGTAAGTACAGTGATGAACGACAACTATGTTATGGTGGTAGTATCTTCTGTAAAGATAAATCACTCGATACATGCTCATCTGTTACTATTGAACCATGTTGGATTAATAACAACATCTGCACAGGTATTACTTATGCGCAATTGAATACTGTCAAATGTTCAGATGTCATTAATCAAGTTGGATGCACCAGCATTACCAATCCAGATTACAAATGCTAGTTTAACATTCAAACATCAATATGTTAAGAGATAACTCAATTGAATCTGAAATGCACTGATTACACTTATGTTAATACATACTCAGTTTGTGAAAATACAGTTGATGTTCCTTGTAAATATGATTTTGTCACCAAATCATGTAAACAAGTGATAAAAACGGATGTGTTTGAGTGTGATCGTGGACTTAATGAATAAGCTTGTTAAATCTATACAAGACCTTCATTAAAATGTTTATTCAAGAACTTCTGTTTTGGCCCAACCTATGGAGTCAATTAATGTTCTGACTCTATAAACAAGGAAGTTTGTTTAGGGTATAATTATCTATGCACTTGGGACTCTGTCAACAAAGTTTGCCAAGACTTCGACATTACGGGTAAGACCTGTTCAGCATTAGAAACCTCTCAAAAAGTTGTTTCTATTCAAGTCTGCTATAATAGTTAAGCTGACACTGGTGCTTGTGTTTACAACTCCTCTACTAATACATGCAAATTGATTCAACCAATATCTTGCTATGAATTAGAAACTCAAGAGCAATGCACTCAATTGCTCGATCTCCCTTGCATATGGTCCAATAACAAATGCTCATTCCTTTAAACTACTAGTACTGACACCTGCAATTAGATAGGAAATGTAGGATCCAAACGGGCTTGTCTTGATATTATTAGATAGGGTTAGATGTGTCAATATGTCAATAAAACTTGTTAAACACATATAGAAAGCTTTAACGATGATAATTGCGTAGATAATATTAACAAAGTAGCCTGTGTGACCTAATAGGCTAGTCAGTGTTTATGGAGCACAGAAACCAAAGAAGTCTTTATTAGCAAAACTGACAAGATCAATTATACTTCTCGAATTTGTACTTAATATACACCTAATTCATAATAAGATTGCAGTACTTCCTTAAGTTATGCTTCATGCTTTTCTGTTAATAAACCTGGATCTTTCTGTAGATGGCTAAATGGACAGTGTGTTTCCATACCAGTCACAATAGTTTAACAAACAATATACTATAATACCTATATTTTAGTTAATGAAAATTCATGTGGACTAGTTAATGTGGATAAAGTGAAGTATTCTGAAAAATCTAAATCTTGTTTAATTCTTGATGATAATGAAGTGATTTCTTGTAAATGTGGATAAGAAACTAAAGGTATCAACATAAACGCTTGCTTGAGCATCAAATATCAAAATTGCAAATGGAATAGTGTGAACAAAAAATGTGTTGAATAAAACTCTAAATGTGACTTTAATTGATTTATATAATTAATTTATTGAATATATTTTGAATAACTAATTTCTATTTTAATTTAAATCAATTAATTAACCTGAAAAATAGATCAAAAACCATATAGTCTCATTTAAAAGACTAATCTTATTAATACCCTCGAACGTGGGGTAATAGCTCATTTGGTAGAGCGTATGCTTAGCATGCATGAGGCGCTGAGATCGAAGCTCGGTTGCTCCATATTTTTTAATTTTTTATATATATATAAAAATTTAAACTCTTTTTTTTTAATTATTATTCTTTTTGTATATTTTACATAACCTATAAGAAAAATGTTACTATTTATCAATCAATTAATGACTTTATTTAATGTGTTATTTTCTCTATATCTGAGTCCAATCTCTCAATTTAATTAAGCAAACGATAATCATAGTCCTTCTCTTTGCCCTTTATCTTTTTTTACATTTTGCATAAATTTTTTTGCTTCTCCTTTATCTTCTTCTCTATTTCCTTTACTCTCTCCACATTCTTTTACTATCGTTTCTAAATGAAATTTGAATTAATCTCATGCTCATTTTCCTAATCATATTCAAATGACTGATTTTATGAATTAACATGAGATTGTTCTTTAACTAATTTGTTTATGAGTTAATTTTAACGTCTGATCTATTATCATTAAATCATAATAATACTTCCTAAATTTGTTATTTGTAATCATTAACCAAATTTATATTATCCTTCAACTAAGTCATCAAGAGATGATGATCTTGATCATCCAATGAGACTGATTGAGACATCTCTTGAAATCCTCCTATTTCAATCTCAGCATTTCTGATCATTACCAATTATTCTAATTCTGCTATCATTCCTAATGATTCTTAATATGCTTTTTATTTCGACAAAATTATTTCATAATTGTATTCCAATTCCAACTCCAATCGTTTCAAAGCTTTTTAGAGGCTTCCGAATATTTTCTCTGCTTAATCTTGAAAACTCATAGCTGTTAAATTGAGAAAAATTAAAATTATTTAAAATTTCCTTTTTGTTTGTTGCTTTTATTTTAATATATATAAATATTAATTAAGTGATATTGTCTCAGTATTGAAGTGTGTTCAAACCTGTCTATATCATACTCTTTTTCCTCTCATTGTATTTTGAATATGATCCCTGACTCAATATTTACGATTTTATTAAAGGCTTATCTTTTTATGCATCCAGCGATTAGGATTTTGAGCAATAATATCTTTATTATATCTATTGCAAGGGCTCTTTGCCTTAAAAATTGCATTCAGTATTTTCCAATTTATATTGACCTAATTATCAAAATCAATCTCTTACATAGTGCCTCCTTCGGGATGATAATCAATTAGTAATCATTCAAATTAAAATTTGTTTACCCTGTCTTCGATAAGGTTTACTTTTAATTGCTATTAAGATCTATTTATGATTTCGACATATTGAGATTGGAGCTTGGAGTTGGAGGAGATGCCAAAGATGATTTTCTATTGTGAAATGCGCTAATATTGGTAATTATCTTGGGATCCTTGCTCTTAGGCGTGAAATCATTCGAATAGAGGGACTGCTTCTCAGAATCAGAGATCGTGTTAGATGCCGTTGTAGCAAGCAACGAGCTGAGACTTTAAAAGGTTGGCAATTTCTCTATAGGATTGCCATTTGATTTTATTATTCCAGTTACCCCTTCCTTCTTATTCATGGTTTAGGTTCTGCCTTTGAATCGAGTTAAAAAATCCATTGATTATTTAATTATGAATGGTTAAAAGAGATAAATCAAATATTTATAGCTATCAAAATTAATTAAATAGCAAGATATAGTATAAAAGATAATTCATTCCGATTTCTATTATTCATATTCTCTTCTATTTATAAGTTATGTATAATTTTATAAAAATAATTTGAAGATTAATTAAAAGAGAAAGTTATTGGCATCAAAATGTAAAGCGAGCTAAATTTATTAAATCGCAATCATAATTTCAATTAAAATAGAGTAATTTAAGTCAGGTAGTGTATAGAGAATGAAGTAGTAATTAGATTGTTAAAACAAACATCAAAAATAGAAACAGAACATTGAGATAATGATCAAATGATTTATAGCTAATAAACCAATTGTTCAAAGTTAATGATATATATGTTTTTTTCGAGATGGAAATGAAGATCTGAGATAATTGGAAAAAACCATTAAGATATAATTTGAAAAATTAATAAATATATCAAGTAATACCCATGATAGTGAAATTTGACAGCATTAATTTCAGAATTTATTTAATTTATGATTGATTATTAAAAAATGATACAAAAATAACACCATATTATTGTGGTATAAATCATTTATAAAAGACCAAAAAATCAGCATAATAATCTGATAGAAATAGTATTTATAAGAAGTGAATTATAAATTGGATATAAATTATAGTAAATGTATATTGCGATAAAATGATATCAGATTAATACCAATCAAAGTTTGCTAGATTTTTTATTCAATAAATCAAACATATTAAGCACCTTGGGTATAAGAATCTCAGATACATTTGTGATTTACTACATCAGTGCCGAATATTTTAAATACATAACATCATCTTTAATATGATTTTAATCAATATAATTTTATTTAGTATTTTTCGTTATGAATTAAGGTTTGAATAATAAGAGCAAGGCTATTATAATTAAGTAGCCTTACCCTAACTTTATCAAAGCACTGAATTTAAGCAAAAATACTAAATCAAATCACGAAATACCCAAAGAATAGCAATAAATAGCCACCTAGAGAACTTAAAGAACCATCATACCTTCAATGTATGAAACTGAGTTAATATTAAATAGAAAATCAATATCAAATAAAACTAGTTAAGAAAAGATCAGAGTTTACGATGTTTTCAAGTAGATTCCTAGAAACAAAAGCCAGTCTTATCACAATCACATTAATAAAATGGATGAATCGAGAGACATCTTAAGCAAACTTAATGATTAGAAAAAAATCAATGATGGTATTATTTTAAGTTTAAATGAAGTAAAGATTGTTAAAAAACATCTAGATTCTTAGAATCAGTCTTAAAAACTCATAGAATTGAACCTCTTTCTTCAAACAAAAAAAGATCATACAGTAATGCATAACCTTTAGATAAACTATTTAAGATGAATGACAATTCAATATCCTACATTAAGCCCCCCTTAGAAACACAAAGGAAAATACCAAAAACTAAGACTAATTTAAAATTATAAAGAGATGATAATATATTAGATTTGTTACTATTAAACACCTGTGAATTAAAAAAAAAGTTATTACACAAATCAAGTAACAACAGTAGCTTTATTTGTATTAGACCTGGAAAGCTTCCTAAAGACTTCTTTATATATAATTAATGATATATAATTAATAATCATTTACGAAATTAATAAAATGTAATCAATGTTTAAATGTTTAATAATGAGATAAATTCGTTTGTTTGAGTAAGCATACAAGTCATTTTCATTATGCTTATTTATCTGTTCGTTCTCTTTAACGAAATATATGTCTATTAAATTGGATTTACCGATAAACACAAGATAGATCAATAAGTATTTTTCATTGCAGGAAGTAAGTAAGTTATTATGTATCGATTGAATTATAAAATGAGAAACATTGATTAATCAAGTTTTATATGGATTTTTAATAAGAAATACGGAATCTCAATAAGAATTATAGGTAGAATATCTTTGAAATTGAATATATAATCTTAAATATCAACGTGAATCATAGTACTATTATTGAGTACATTTAACTTTCATTATGAATTCTTCAAATAAATTTCAAGTTTCACTGATAAATAATTCGCGGAGCAATGCTGTTAGTAAATTTACCTTGATTTCACTCCTTTATTGATTGAGTTAAATGATTTCATGATATGTTACATTTTTATTACAGTTTCAATTATAATGAAATATAAAAGATTAAAAAAAAGATTTATATCTAGATTAATAAAAATAAAGATATCTGTTATTATAATCATGAATTAAAAAAACATTGAAAACAATAAACTTTTAATCAATTTTGTATTTCATTAATTACATTAGTTTTATTCGAGATGCCCATATAATATTCTAAAATATATGATATAAGATTACCAATCTCTAAATAGTTCATAATGCTCAATCCTCTAGTGTAAGTTTTCTTGAAGTCTGGTTGCTTACTTTGTACATCAATCTCAATGTGCCTTGAATCTAGGATTGCAAATTGAATTTTATCAAAAACACTCAATTACTATTACTTTGTTCTAGTTAATGTTATCCTATCTGAAACCTTAGCTGTACTAACAATAGGATCTGAACTTTTCCTGTCTAAAATAGTATTAAATTCTGATTTGCCCGAGTCGGAATAAGTGTCTGTCTTGATTTTGACTATATTTTACGGTTACTAGAAAGAACTATTAAAAGTGGACACTGTTTCATTGTTGCTGTTGGATTTATTATTCATTATCAAATCAACTATATCGATATTTGTATCTTCTCCTAAACATTTTTCTTTAATCTGCTCTAGAATAATTGTGGATGCCATGCTCGTTTCTTGACTACCTAACATTTTGAGTTTTCTGTTCTCTGGAGCATATAAATCAACTTTTGGTTATAGTTTTACCGGTTTTTATTCAATATTTTTGGTTTGTTGCATCTTTTAGAGAGCAGATATCTCCTTTTCATTTTGTATTACTGAAATATACGCTTTAAATGGGATTGAATTCAGGCATTGTATGATATAATTACCCACTTTGGTAAACTGATAGATAAATGTTTGATTTTCATATAGAGGAGGTGTTTCTATTTCTTCTTCATCTTGTAATTAATCAGATTGTGAAATTGCCAAAATAAAATATCTTTCTTAACAATATATCTGACTGTTGGTTTAGATTTTGAGAACTTTGATAGTTAGAACATTGTCTAGTGAGATTATTAATGATTAAGGAATAAATTAGAAATTTTTGATTTCTAATAACATTAAATTAAATATATAATCAATTCTTGAATTGTGGCGATTCTGATGGAAACAAGCTCTTTTGGCAATTTAAGCCCTTCATTAATAATTAAGTAAATTATGAAGTCTTATCTGGAATTCTGACCACTTGTTAATCCTTCATAATCACCTAATCTTCGTCAATTGAATTATTGGTTTCGCAAGTTTGGAACAAGTTTTCTTGTAAATTATTGATAATTTGATTCTGCTATTATTAAATATTACTGAATTCTTTCATCTCATAAAAATCATCCTTATTTTAGAAAGAGATATATAATGACAAGTAGGCTTACAAGGACTGTTATAATTGCTTACACAAGGAATGATTCTGTTGAGTGAAGTTCTCATGTAATTGTTTAAATTGATGCATGACGATGTCTTATTGATTTAACTACTGAACAAAGATGGAGTGTTCTTTGAATCTCTTCTGGTAGATCAACATGATCTCATTAAATGGACCCATAGCCATAAATTCTATAATGTTGAACTCATTAGAGAGGATATCATCCTCCATCTTTTTCAGAGAGTCAATAGTAGAACGTATTTAATATTATTCGGCATTTATACACTTCTCAATTTGTTTAAGCAACTCGCTCTAATTATTTCTAAGTTTTTAATCTATACCTTCAATTGAAGTAGCGGCTAAATGGTTTCATCAAATATTCCCTCTATGTATTGTTGCATGTCGGAGACCCTTACGTTCTCCAAACTTTATTTAGTTTATGTAATCAACTATTTAAATTGCGATATCTATTCATGTCTGATCTCTTTTTCTCTTAATTCAGGACTCTGAGTACTCTAATAGGCAGGTTAATTCATGTAATACAGTATATGTTGATAATGAAATGGTCTTAACTTTTGGAGATGGATGATTCGTCTAATTCAATGAGTTATATTGATTTGTGTTCATTCTTTTCTCTTCATTGCCTTGATTTTAATGATCCTCAATACCTATGCAATTGTTGAAATTCAGTTTGACTCCTGCATAACAATTCTATTATGTCAATATTGGATTTGTTCTATTTTATATTTTCATTAATGATTTCAGTATTTAACTTTCTTTATATTAATATCTAATGTACAATTATGCAGTTTCTAATCTGAAGCCTGGGTCGAAATGTTTTTCTTCGGTTGATTTGGGGTTTGATGTTGCATCTCATTTAAGAGTGATCTGTTTGAATATGAACTCTTCTCCAGAGAAGAGGTCTTTTGCTTACTCTTGTTCAGATATGAAAATTTTTGATTGTGAATTGCTTTCATGTTTTCCTTCATTAATGGACTCTTGCGCATTAAAATATATTTTTAACAACTTTTTTTATTAATTAATTATGCAATTAGAAATTTATAAAGAAAGAACATCATCAAATGAAAATACTCAGTAAAACAAAGCTGTAGAAACATTACAATCTTTGGTACAATATATAAATGATCTCACAGAAATTGTTAATGAAATTAAAGTTAAGAATTAAGCAGAGTTTATTATTGCATATTAAAGCCATATGAAAAAAATTAAGGCAGAATTGAAAGAATTAAAAAGCAAAACAGAAGAATAGCAAAATAATCTTGAACTAAATCAAGTTAAAATAACTTCAAATGACAATGAATTGGTAAATTTTTAAATGGTATTTTCTAATAGACATTATTTAGAGAAGAATGCCTTAAATTATATGAGAAAATTGAGTAAAAAAATAAAGAGAATCAAGAACTCAAATTTTAGCTGTAGGAATCAAAAAAAACAAATGACTTTCTAGAATAATAAATTAAAGGATTGATGAAGAAACTCAAATAATCAGAAATTGAAAAAGAATAATAGCCTACACCCTTATTAGAATAGACCTTCTGTACCACTACTCCAGCTAATTAATTTAGTATTGCTTTTTTGTAAATATAATAGAGATTCCAAGAAGAAAACTGACAGACTACAATTCAAAATTAGATCCTTCTTCATCGATATCTAAATATCATTATTCTTCGATTAGAGAAATGTTTTCTATTGAAGAATGCAACAATAGCCATTCAAAATATGATGAAATAATTGAAAGGATTACTAAGTAATTTTATTCAAATATAATAAGATATGTTACATAAATTGAACAAAAGTATTTAAAGTAAATTCAAAATTTGAATGCAAAAGTTAACAATTTATTAATTTCTCAAAACAAGAAAAGTGTTATTCGTAGCGATCTTGAATCCTTCTTTTTAGACTGTGTAGAAACTGTTCGAAGAGATATTTTAAAAAAAAAGCGACCTTTTGGAAATACTTAGTGGTAATAGAATTAAATTGAGATGATTTCAGACTTTTCTTAATTTCATAAGGAAGATAAACTAAAAATACTAGAACTTGTAGTTAGCAATGAAAAAATCTTAGTCTTTTTATATTAAAAATTATTTCCAAATCATGTTAATTTAGTCATAAAATCAATACGTGAGGACATCAATATAAATAACTTTTTAGAACAAAGTGTTAAATGTGATTTATCAAAAAGCAATCATCATTAATCTGGTGACTATAAAGTAGAGGTACCAAAAACAACCAGAGAAGTTCGTTCAGCATCAATGAGCAAATAGTTAGAAGTAAAACGAGGAAAACTATTATTTAGATAATATTGATTGATTATATTAATTATCTATATTACAATCACAACTTATGTCTTCTATTAATATGATCTTATAGTTCTTTTTGAGTCTTAAGTATTCTCCCACAATTCGGTTGCATACATGGAAAACCTTCCTCTGGAATATTATTGATAATTTAATTGATTAATTGTCTTGTATTGGAGAGTTCGTTATTTTCCTTTACTTTTAAAACTTAATCACAAACATTTCCAAAGGATTGGACAGCTTTTTCTATTTTGGTTGCATATTCTGAATTCAAATTTGAGTCCAATAATAAAATCAAACATTTTAACCCAAGATTAGCTATATCATTTTCGTTAGTAGTACAATCATTCAAAACCTAAGTGATATAATCGATTATGTTAATGTTTTCTTTTTTTCTAATAATAAATCAGATATTTACTTAAACTCTGAGTCCTATAATAGATTGAGAATTACACCTAAGCAATAGTATACAACCTCCCTTGAATTCGAATCTAATAGTACGATAACACCTTCTGAAATTCTTGATTTCATTATTTATTTGATTAGATCCTTCTACCTTGATAAATTTGACAAAACTCTAAGTCCATCACAACAAATTTCTTGATCTTCATTTTAAATGATGAAGTGTCCAAGAGTGTTTATCAATTCAAACTTAACATTTTTGTATTCAAAATCATTTAAAAAGGTTTGCTTCTCATAAAATGTTAAATTGGATAAGCAACTTAAAGTGCACGAGATGATTTCCTAATTATAAACTTAAACTTACTTATTGCTTTGAAATGGCAGTATTCTTTTGTAATAGTTTTAATAGTTTTGATATTAATATTCTGTATTCATTTGAATAATTCTTTAAGATATCCAATCCAATTTATTCAATAGTCAATATATTTGCAATTAATCTAATGATTCTAATGAGAGCATCAATATCTTTTCTATGAAATAAATTATTAAATATTACTCTGATTGTAATATTTAGAAATCCCAGGCTGCTTTACTTTATGAGAATTAATCAATTTGATTTAATTATTATGGAGCAATTTCTTTAGCCCAATAATAATCAAAGCATTTGAGAATATCACCAAATTGATTGAATTTATAGTAAATTAATTATCTAATGCCTTCAAAATACGTGGTCATATTAGCTAATAAAAAGGAAGCTCTGATGATGATGTAGATATTGGTTTAATATGTTTTAAAGAAACTTGAAATATTTTGCATAGCTTCAGTGCTTTACAAGAAGTATTCACAACATTCCTTACTCAAAGACATCCTTGACATAATTCTTAATGTATTTAATATCAATTCATAATTGTTACTGTAACTAACCATACTAATGACTAACTTTTTAATAATTCCATTCTAAAGATACATTTCCACACTATTATTTTCATTAGCCAAGTTCCTCAAAGTAGCAGTTATTGTAGTATATAAGTTAAGCAAGTCCTTCTCATAGGTTTGATCAAATGGGAATGTATGTAAATAAGTATCTATTAATTGTATATAAGTGGGTTATAATAATTTTTGTGCTTCCTTTTGGTTATTGGCAATATTTTTAATGATAATGAAAATTAAATTCAAATAAGGTAATTATTATAATGTAGTGGGTTAGTCCTTGGGCAATTGGGTGAAGAGTTTCAATATTCTAAACAGTACAAAACTTAAAGAATTGTCATTAATTAAATTTACGAATACATTCTCATTACTTAATTAAGCAGTCTTTTACAGAATTGCCAAGACCTATTAAGGTTGATAAAGTAAGGAGGGTAATTATTCTTGAATTTTGGAACCACTTTTTGGTCTTCTTAGAAGTGGTTTAGCTTATTTTTAAAATAATAGTTCTAATAAATTTAAGGTAGTGAATCCAAACAATGCTGCTTTGATTGCATATAATCTAACTTGCAGATCGTTATAGTCTAATAATTAAACACTCTATTTTAATATCTATTCTTTGCCTTAATCATTGCATTCTGTGTTTTAGGTCCAATCTTTAAAAAAGACGTAACATTTTTATATCCATTCTAACTTACTTAGATTAAATGATTTAATAAATATACTTTTCTTATTATATATTGTCGACCAGCCAATTTATATTAACAGATTGAATATCAATTTTTGAACTTTAGGGTCTAGAAGCAAGTTGCTTATTGAGTGTGATTTTAGGTGGTAATCCAATTTTTTGTAGAGGTCGATTTAATGTTATTTTGTTGAGTGTCAATTTCTTTTCTGGATTCATGAATTCGAAATTGAATATAAATAAATACAAAATGTTATCATATACACGAGTGATTAAAGCATATTGGAAATAATTTTTTCATAGATTATAAAATCATCATTAATTAAGGGGAGTATTCTAAAAACTCTCTTCTGTTTTTTTTCTTTTGACTTCAGGTCCATCTTAAATGATTACGCATTTTGTAATTTCTTCAAGTGGTTCCTCATTTGAAATGGATTATTTAAATTTCTTTTTATTACTGGCTGTTTATTCCACCTACTCTTTATAGCCTATAGTGGTAGTTAATTGATCTAGAAAGGAGTTGAGTAGAGTTTAGAATTTCTTTTGTTTTCTGCTCTTATGAGATTTATGTATTCGAAATAACTGTTACCCCAAATTCATTTTAACAATCGACAATAATTCAACATTCGATATTTTATTCAATAAATGCGCAATCTATTTTAACATAGGAGAATTTACATCATCCATTTAATTGTCCTTGCTTATTAAATCATTCAATTTAATGACCAGACTTTTAAGTGTATGCTCATTCAAATTATCGAAGCTAGGCAATATGTTTTAATATTATCCTGTCAGAATCTGATTTGCCAATTCGATTGCTTCCTTCAATTTCTTAGTTTCCATTTATGCTGGCTTATCATCCCATTTTTTCACTTTTTCAAGACGTAAATCAGCGCTATTATTTAATTGAAACAAATACTGTGTTCCATCTGCTAAAAAATTCACTCTGCATTATTAATTTGTACCAGTCTTTCCATTCGAAATTGAAGAGATCTATTTATGATTATTCTATAATTACTTATGCTGGCCACCATGGATCTAAAGCTTAAAAAACTACTTACAGCCTAAGACTTTAGCCCAAACTACTTCATTTATCTCAAAATTCCCATCACAGCCCTATTACATTCTCTCTCTTTTAGTACTGTAAAACAAATAATTAATATACAAGATATTATAGGATTTTTTTAAATTCGTTAAACATCATATTCATAATTAATTATAATATGAATACAATCTCAGAAATAAATCGATGTCTCTAACACTTATTTCATTATTCCCAATAGCCTCCTCAACCCAGCTGCGTCATGTCCATGAAGTCCTATTATGATCATTTCATAAACTTCGATAATTATGCCATGTTTGAGCCTTAACTTTTTCAATTTGAAGATTTGAATACTTCCAATTGTAACTATTGACAATAATTAAAGTTAGTCAATGAGCCTCCCTTTTTGGATTTTCAATTTGAAGAGGATCTCGTACTTCAAAACGATGAGATAAGCCAAGTTGAACAAGAAAATTTTAAATCCTCCAATCTTCAAAAAGTTCCTTCTATGCCAAATTATAATGAATAATCACAAGTGGCTTTGATTTAATTACGTAACTTCAGATAAAGCATAAACAAAGAGATTCAAATTAAACATGTTCCATTGGATATTTTCACCAGATAACTTACACCTAAGAAATCAATACCATCTCTTTTTGATGATGAAACAATTGTAGATGTCAAATAGAAGCAAACCCAAAATTATAGGCCTTTGAGGGAAAGAATACAAGAAAAATTATCATAGAAACAAATAGATAAAAAGGAACAATAAGTAATAAATAACAGATTTTAAAATGCTACTCAAAACTCTGCCAGCAGATACCATTCGAAAAGTCCCCAATCGTAATTTACGAAGGAATTTAAGTAAAAATTCAATTCAATAACTCCTAATCAAAATTTGTAACTCAACTTAAAATAATAACACGCAGATTAATTTGCTAGTCATCAACGATCGACTTCTAACTCTAAAACTTTATCAACTCCTCAAAAGAGCAATAAAGAATAGTATGATTCAACTGTAAAAATAAGAATTGATATTCAAAATTTTCAAGAAAACCATAAAAAAACAACCAATCAGAAATAAGAAAAGGAAAACAAAATACTAACACCTATAAAAAATTAAAGCAGAATTAATTCTTAAAATTTTGAACTTGTAACTAAAACCAAAAATTTTATAAGAAATTAGATAAGCAAAAGTCCTAAAACCCTTTCTAAAAGCCCAATTAAAACTCCAGAAAAAGAACAATGCAAATATGTAGTGGTTAATTTTTATTAAAAAAAATATTGATTATTATTATATGACTGATTGGAGTTTTCTCTTTTTAACAAGAATATTTTAGTATAAAATGGTTTGCCAAAAAAGAAATAGCAAATTCTAATTAAATTTCAATCTTCACTTTTGCCTTGGATTATGATAATTTCTATTTTTTAAATGACTTTTATTATTTTTTGATCTTACAATTTATAATAGGATAATTATTGATAATTTTTCATTTCATCTTCTTCAAAATTATATAATGTTTATATATAGACTTATACGATGACAGCAATTAATTACATCAAATTAATTTATAATATAATGATGTCTCTAGATATTTAAAATGACTACTTAGAATTTGCTTCAGTTTTGGATGACAAATACTATATAATTGATACAATTGGATTTGGAAGATATGCAAAGTAAAGTGAATTGAATAACAATCTAGAGTTAAATTGGCTATTGATATGGAGGATAAACAAAAGTATGCAATCAAAATCATGAAAACTGACCCAACAACAAGTTAGTGCAGATCAGATACATTTATAAATGAAATTTCAACACAAGCTGAATTTGATCATAAACACATAATTAGAATCATTTATGTATATATTCTATATCCAACCAACATAGTGTAAGATGAATGGAAATTATAAAAAGATTGATGGAAGAGTTCAACAGGTTTCTTATTTTGTAATGGAATTAGCCAATCAAGGAGAGTTGTTCTAATTATTAGAGCAAACTTAGCAATTTTCTGAAAAATTTGCAAGGAATATTTTTTCATAACTAATAAAAGGTAAACTGCTTCCTTTATTGCTAGCATAGGAATTGAGCATCTGCATGAACGCGGTGTTGTTCATAGAGACGTCAAAGCTGAAAATATACTATTTAGTAATGGTGTACTTAAGTTGGCAGATTTCGGATTCAGTACCAAGACAATCGACGAGAAAGGATCCAGAGTCCAATTTGAAATATCTCAGCACATTGGCTCTCCTGAGTACAATCCTCCAGAATTATATAATATAGGTAATGATTTAGGCTTATTATAATTTAGGGAAATAAAAATTTTACAATCCAGAGCAGGCTGACATCTTTGCCGCTGGAGTCATCTTGTTTACAATGGTTATCAGATCGGCTCCTTTCAAAACTTCGAAATCAACTGATCCCTACTATTCCTTATTGAAAAATAATAAGCAATCCTTTTGGAAGATATTTAGTGAGATTGCAGACTCATCTGCTTAATTTAAAGATCTGATTGAAAAGATGTTGGATGAAAACCCATTAAAAAGAATAACCATTGAATAAATGAAATAGCATCCCTGGATGTAAGGTAATGATACATCTATAATTCAAAGGATAAATGCTTGGTTAAACAGAATTCCAAAAAGAATTGAAGAACAGATATGACATGATATTGAGTTAGTAAATAGTAAAAATAACAAATAAGAGAGACACAAAATTTTCAACTAGAAAATCAATTAAAAAGGTTGAAACAGATAACATTAGTAAAAGTGTCTCTAAATACTGTTATGAAAATCTTGAATTGATTGAGTAGGTAAATATATTAGTTTATATATTTAGATAAATGCAAAATTGTAAATCAAGCAACATTCTCCGAAAGAATAATTTAAATAATAATCAAATAAGAGTGAAAAGTTAAAAGTAGGAATCTAACAGAAACAATAAAATTAATACATCTCTAGAACAAATTAAGAATCCAAAAGATCGAGTCCTGGATCCCCTTCGAACGATTCTGACAATTGATACAAACCAAATTATATATATATATATATTGTAATCATTCAAAATCTTTAAAGTTTGAATTTTGTTGTTCTTATTTTGATGATTAATTGGTTTTAAAAATAGAATTATTTTAATTCCAATCCTTACCTACAGTCTTTGATAAATGCTTTATTTATGGTATTTAAAGTAATTCTCCATTGATTCTTCTACTTGTGTAATTAAGTATAGTTTTATTTTCACTAATATTGAAAAATAAATCTATTTTATTGCTTGTTGTTTGAATTGGTTGGATATTGTAGATTAAATCTAATCCATCATCAATTTCAGTTTTCATATGAATTCTTTTAATATTTTATCTGAAATTCGAATGCTTTTTCTGTTGGTTCTCTTGTTTATTGAATACACTGGTGAAGCATTCATTGCATAAGGAAATCATTTAATTTAAAAATACAAGATTCCTTTTGAATTCTTTGTATTCTTCCATGGTCATCTTTGGATACATAATTTTGATTATTCTTGGTATGAGTTATTGTTAATCAATTTTAACCTAACCAACATGTAGATTGTGATTTAATTTTAAGATGTTGTCTCGAGTAAATTTTTAATTTTATGACTTTCTCGTCAGTACATTGTTTTCCCAATTCTCGACAATGTCCTTTAATCGAACCTTAGAAAATTCAATTTAATTTTTATCTTTATCACATCCAATACATTTAGAGTTATCTGACAATATTATGGCTTTTGGATAGTTTATAAGTTATTTTTAGATTTTGCTTGAAATTTCAAATTCCGCTAAAGAATTAAACATATAAATTACGCTAATTCAATTGTTTTAATTCGCTGTTTGAGGTTAACACTTTAGAACTAAATAGGAGGAACACTTTGTTTTTTTTGGCTATCTTGAACAATACCTCCATTTGGCATATTTACTTTTAATTTTAAGTAACATTAGCCACATGAGAAACTATCAATCCACATAACAGTTCCAATCTTTAGGTCAGAGAAGTTCCTTTCAAAGTTCTCTACTCTATGGGTCCATTCAACATTTCAAAAGTTACTGCTCTTTGATATATGTCTGCTTTTGAAAAGTTAATCTAAAATTTATTAGAAAAACATTCAAAGAAACATAAGTTATTAGTCCATGTGCATTTAATGACCTCATTACAACTACCTAAAATATGTTGTTTATAGCTTATACCTTTAGGATAAACAAATCGCTATAGATATCCTTTTGTGTTATCTGGTATTTTGGATGTCAACAATTAATGTAATAAGTGTTATGACAAATACTCAAAAGTTGTTAAATTTTTAGTCTTATTTATCCATATAGCACAAATTAAATGCTAATCTTCTTTATCAGTTACAAATTCATTCAGGATGTCTTCCCAATTAAGTTTCGATTTGCTTTTTCTCATTATTTGAGAATCATGACTGTAATACCAGAAATATGGCTATCCTTAAATTATCTCAATGGTATCTGGAATGTCTATTTTTATGTTGTTTCTAAATATTGGATCTTGTAACCATAACAAATGAAACAGATTAAAGTTGAACCCATTTTCATCCAAAACAAATCTTTAAAAACTCATTCTTCTTTTATATAAATTATAAAATTAATAAAGAATAAACAGAGACAGAAATGCATTATTCAAACAGTATCTGAGAACTAATATTCAAATGGGATTGCTATTTTGGATCTCGGAAATTACATAAATTTAATAAAATCGAGAATTTAAAGTATGAAGTTCTCATGTATCGATAAGAATAATAAAGATAGTCATTTCTAATTTTATTAATCCAACTACAGAGTTTTGGGTATAATCACTTTTTTCTTTTTTCCATCCTAGGTCTCCTTATATTCAACTCTTTATTCAGTTACAATTTCTTGTTTCTTGGACTCTTCATTCTTCTTTGAAACTTCTTCTTCCTCTATCTTATCATTATTATACAACACTTTGATATACTCAGGTAATTCTAATTATAATAAAGCTTTTTACAATCAATAGGAACTTCTTAACCAAAGTATCCATCCTCAATTTACACAAAAGAGCAAAAGCCATCACATGAACTCACAGCAATTAAGTTGGACCCTATATCCATAAATAATAATGATACCTTTAAAGCAAATATCAGTTATAGAGGCATAATGAAGATTTCCAAAAATGGCTAAAGGGATTGGGCTATCGGTTGAATAAAGTAGTAAAGAATCAATTGTTCCAATTGCAAATATCAGTTTATATGGTAAATCTATTAACGGTTATTAGATGTCTTAGTTTCTATTAAAGTATTTCGAGCAAAATCTTATAACTAAGGCAGGAGTCTTAGTTGGTAAAAAGAAACAAGGAACTTAAGGAGATTATCTTAAGAATCCGTAAGCTCCCATGATAGGTTTATTATCAACCCAGAATTCAGCAGCAGGCAAAATATAAAATGAACCGTCAGGACTCCAATCTGGTCGTCGAACAAAAGTGAATAAACTGGTTTCACCTAAAAATATTCCATTTTATTTTTTCTCCTCCGCTTATTATTAAGATTATTATTATTAGTCTTATGAAGTAGACTGTTATCCTTCAGCTTTTTAAGCATTTTCTAATTTTCTGACAACATGCTATGGATAAAATTATAGATTATTTATATTTTTTTTTTATGCTTTTAATACTTTCCATACTCTTGCTGTTCTGTCTTAGCTCAATGACACTATAGATTTAAGTCTTGGGTCAATTGTTATTCCTTATACGTATGCAGTATGTCCATCCAAGGTTTATAATTATTTTTATTTCTTAACATTCCAAACAATGACATATTTATCTAGTCCTCCTGAAACTATAATGTCACCATGCTTCGACCATTAAAGATCATAGATTTCTTTGCAATGTCCAGTTAAAACTGCATAAGGCCACCATTATAATTTGGGTTCAGATTGACCAAAAGTTTATCTCACTTATTAGCTCCAGATTATAATTTTATAATCATCAGAACCAGATGCAAAATTTTTACCACTTGGGGAGAATTTCAAACAATTAACAGTTTATTCATGACCAGAATTAATAGCTCCTGCAAATTCAACCATCTTAGTTGAATTTTCCAATATTGTCCACATTTTAATGACACCTACATCTTCAGTTGTATTATCCTTTTCTGGCATTCTAGAATCTGAACCTCCTGTCAATAGTAAATTCTATGTGGGATGTATAGCTATGGCCATAATTCTTTCTTTCTCTCCATGCCAAATTATATTAGGAATGACTAATTTCATATTTAATTAATTAAATATTAGGCGCGTAATTTAATTATATACATATATATATATCATTCTAAATCAGGTATATCATCATCAATTTGTTAAGTTAATTTTGCTTATGCTTTTTATATTAATAAATCTAAATTCTATTTCTCTTATTTCTACTTCATTTCCTATTGTTTCATCTACTCTTATTGTTTTTAGTGCTCCTCTTTTTTCTTTCTTTCAGCTATTTATTTTAATAGTTCATTAGGATTCACTTTTGGCATAGTAATAACCAATTCGCCAGTAATTTCTGATCTTTAAATCTTAGATTTTTCAGCAAACACTTCCTCATCCAATCTAATCTATGTAAGCTTGCCCTTCACTCTCACAGACACATATGTAGGATTCACATTTACTTGAATCAAGGAAGTATCCAGGTATTTAGGAATGTTCATCTTAAATGTGACATTTTCTGGATCTTCCCAATTATTTACAATAGGCTTATAGCCTCCCTCATCACATTGTCTGATTCTTCCGTCATTCATATACAATGGGGTTTCCTATTTTACTACGAACTTCTCTGGATTTCTTTATCTTTCTTTGTCCTCTCTAACTCCATAATCGAACTTAATTACTTTTCTTTTGCTTATCTCAAATACATCTCTTTACGTGTCTCCGGTGTATAAGCTACTTTGTCTTCACTATTTGGATTCATTTCTTTTCTGATCTTTTCCTCATGAATTCTTTGCTCCTCCTTAATCTTCTCTTCCTCGATTGCATATACCAATTCCTTTTGCAATTAAGGTAATATTTATTTAGCCTTGATCCGCTCAGTGTGTGTTATTTCTTTGCCATCCAAGGAATGAAGAGAATCCACTTAGCCAATTACATAATCTCTACACCCTTGCCAACTACACAATATTATTTCAATTTTAATACTCAGTACATGGATTCCCTGTTAAGTACAACTCTTTCAATCTGCACTTCTGTAGACATTGAACAGACTTTTCTAAATTCTGAAGATCCACAAAATTGACTGTCAAATCCAGTTTCATCAAAGATTCGCAATTCTCAATACCTTCGATGAGTTTGATATTGTTCAATGCTAAATTTAAGTATTCCAATTCTCTCAATTTATGTAGGTTTTCCATCTTCTCAATTATATTGTTTTGTAACAATAATATTTTCAAGTGTCTACAATAAACATCTAAATTCTCAATCTTCACTATCTCCTCCTAATGAATCGAAATTTCTTCTAAATTTGTTAACATCATTTCATTATGTTCTGCTCTTTTTCTTAATAACTCCTAGGTAATTCTAGACATTTTTAATTATATTTATAAATAATTAAAACAAATTATTGTCACTCATTCTCAATTTCTTATTTTACATCCTCTTATGATTTATTATGCCCATATTTTTCATTACTTCTCCTCTGCCTTCTTTATTTTTGTTTCTGAAGTTTCTAAGCTTTTATATTAGCCAAACTATTGGTTCCATTGATTTATTCATCCAATTTTTCTTTTAATGCTTTTATTGCATAATTCTTATTTGTTTCTAGGTCCCTACTTTTTTGACATTTAATCTGTATTCCTGTTGGAGTGTGAGTCAATTGCACACAATTTGAAGTTTTATTTATTGCTTAACCTCCTGGACCTCCACCCTTAATGAATTTCCACTCTAGATCTGTCTACTGGATTTCAACAGGCTTTCTGCTCATCTTCATTTCCTTAATGGATATGAAGGCATAAATTTTAGAATATTACTTTAAAATATTAATCATTTTATTAATCATTATTTAATCACAATTTTTCTATGAGTAATAAATTAATCTCTTTCCTGTTGTTAGCTGTGTCTTTCTGTAAGAAAGTTTAGACGTTTATTTTCTAAATAATTTGCAATAATTACAAAAATCATCTTCTACATGGGGTTCATTGTTATTTAAGTTTTAGAGATTTAATTTGAAATCAAATTTCTTATGGTTTTATATTGACTAAGTAGCCATCTAAATGTATTTTTTGACTATGTCATCTGTTTTTTAAGAGTTAATGTTCAAAACCTTGGATTAACTGTGATTGGCTTGTTGATGCTAAGACTTGGTGCCTAAATCTACTGCAGCAACCTTCTTAGAATATTAAGATTTGGCTTTTGAATTACCATTCATCTTGAAAGTTGTAAGTGTATTGTATTGCGAGGGTAACATGTAGTTGAATTCTGGTTTCTTTTGTTAATCAGCATTTTATGAGCTTCTAATTTTCAAGTCATGCAACTTATGGAACAAATCTTCAGCTATAGGCAATTACTTAGTATTCCTATCAGTAAGTGAGCCTCCTTTGGTAATTTTATCCAATTAATTTTAGTTTATCTTTTTTTATTGAATATTGATTGGTTAATATACTTTCTTCAATTACTCCTGGCGTTAAGATATGTTCTATATGCTGCCATTGTTGTTATTGTTTTGATCTTGTTTAATACTCTTTTAAGAACCCTAGAATCCTTAGATTACAGTAGATGTGCTAGCGACAATTAGATCTTAAGAAATGGTGGATCTCAATTATCGATTAGTATTTCCTTAGTATTCTCTAAGCATCTTCTGGATGACTTGATTGTTGTCGTGTTTCTAGACTTTATTCTTGTCATCCAAATCAATTGGTTCAATTTGAGCAGACACATATTCTTGAAAATAATCTACTTGTTGATCAACTGAATCCTTGATTTTGGACATTTTAAAACTGGATTAGGAGTGTTTGGATTCGCTCTTGGAATTGGCGAGAATGGCTAAATTGTATAAGATAAATGAAGTACTTTTCTTTTCACGCAAGTCGACATGATTAGTTCTGCGTTTAACATTTTTCATGGCATGTAAATCCTTTATGATATTGGTGGAAATGATTTGTTAACTTTAGGGAGGGGATCTCAGATAGAAGTGCGATGGTAATTTTTTGAGTTAGTTGCTCATCTAATTTATAGTGAGGTATTGCTTGTCGAGCAATTCATTTAATTATTAGGTTTCTTCTTGGAGATTGATGATATTTAGGCCTTTGAAGTCTAGACGGCTGAGTTTGGTAGGTTTATCTTGCGATGAGTAAATGTCATGCTCTTCGGTTTCATAACTGATTTATGATTTTGAGGATAGTTTTGAATTGAGTACGTTGTTAATAACGATAGGGTTATTTGATTTGTTTGAATGCTCACTTTATTAGACTCTCTAATAATAGAGTTTATCGATTCGCTTATTGCGCTTAATCATCAGTTGATGTTGATCGACAATCAAAAGATAGGGATGTGAATCTTTGTAATTGGTCACATAAAATTCAGTCAATATATCAAGTCTTGGTTTGACTTCTTCCTACTTATAATATCTACAATTTAAGGAAGTTCAACTACCTTTTCATGAATTCCTATTGCTCATCTAATATCAGATAATCCTTATAATAAATTACATGAGGAGCGTTCGTAATTTAAGACAGGATTTCATTTATAGGTTTGGCGAAATAGAAATTGAATGCTTCAAAGTATTTCGTTTGTAATTTATCCAAGATGAGTTACTTTGTACTTTATCGACACAAATTACAATTATTCTTCATTTAGTCAAATTATCTATAAAAATAAACTAATTATGAAAAAGCTGAAAAGTAAATTGGAAAGTACAAATACAGATAGTTTTGGAATTTCTGGAAGTGATTTCACAAGAACACAGAAATCCAATCGTCGATTTTTGATTACTAGTTAAATGAAGATGTAAACTGAATCAACAGAATAATTAAAATTGGATTTACCTCCAGTTGTCAATCTGCCTTTTCAAAGCAAAGTTAGGTCACAGAAGAAATCTCGGAATATGCTACGAAACAGCGATTTATTCAATGTTTATAAGGCACCTTAGACATTGGTAACAAATCCGGAAACATTATTAAAAAAGACAAGATAATATCAAATATCGCAAAGCATAATAAAGTATTATTCAGATGAAATTACGGCTTTGAAAGATCAGTAGAGTTTGGATGAGTAGGAAATTGAGAATTGCATTTCCAAATATCTCAATGATGCAATCCAAAGTCTGGAAGTTTTAATTAAAAAGATACAGAACCTATTGCAATACAAACAAAATAGAGAGAAGAGTGAACAGGAAATGAAAGAAATCATGTAGGAATGTTTTAAACAGAAAAATTTGTGTATACAATAAAGGTTTTGTTACATTTTTGGCAAGATGGAACAACTCTTCTTTAATCCCTTATCGGGAGCTATTTATTATAAGTTATGCAAACGATTGTCAGACAACGAGATCTATTATAGGAATAAGATGAAAGCCTATAGAGGATTAGGAGAATGCTTACTTCGAGTCAGACCAAAATTAAGCCAGTTATATTTTACTAAATATTTAATGTCAGCATGGAAACTGAACGAGAAGAATCACGAACTATATGCCTATGATCTGTTAGGTAAATATTACTTTTATGTTGGTCAAATTGAAAAAGCAAAGCAATTCCACGAAAAAATGATAGGAGGCTATTGTGAAGTATGTAATATCTAATCATCACTGTAGGTTCCTGATTCCAGAGTTAGAATACTGGCTTAGAGTCGTTTAGAATAGGGGAGCTTATCCAATAGAATCAATAGGGAACATCAAGTGGTCGACATCGATGTTGTAACCTCAGATGATGAATGCTATGAAATTGTTTTGACTCAACCTCAATAGATTAAAGTAGCCACAGTAAGTTCTGTGAAATATTTCCAAAGAAAGATTCCAGATCCTAAATCAGTCAAGGAAGAAGCCAATACAAACATTAGACAGAAGAAACCTAAGTATAATTCACAGCTTTTAGAAATCGGAGGGGAATTTGACATGTCTAAATTAGTTATATCGAATCCTCATTTGAATATAGGGGCCATAAAGGATAGAGTTTTATTGAGTCATATGAGTCCAAATAGAAAGTTAGAGATGTATCAATATCTCTGTCTGGCCAGTGACAAAAATGCTTTCAATAATGTTAATCTACTCTCTGGGTTATATGACAGATTTGAAATCAGTAAAATCAATAAGTATCTAACTAAATTGATCTCTCTTTTGAGCACAGTGTAACAATGGCTGTTGAGTTAATAGAAGCAAAAGTAAGTTACTCGTAGATTGGCTTTAGTTTGAATTATATATATATTTAGTTTATATACTATTTTATATTTTTTATTTTATTATGTCCAACCGAAATACAAAATCTAAGAGCCCTAAGATTAAAAAACCATATAATTTTGACAAAGATTTAATGAAATATCTTATTTTATAAAAGATAACCAAACCATCTGCCCCTGTTGAGATGATCACCAAAACTTAACCTGATGAAGATTCGGAGGTTGATGATTTTAAATAAGAAATAGAAATCAAGTATTCTATTATACCTATACGTATTTCTAGATTTAAGAAATGTAAAATCAATCACTCCTTCAAGTTTCCCAAAGAAAACTACGAATCTTCATCCGATAACTCTCTCTCGTCTCTCAAAGATGTCACTCTCTATTAGTTGAATTAAGACAATATAGAACGTCTCACAGATGCAACCTAACCATAATTCATTAAACTGCTTAACGAAAGATTAATCAAATTAACAGATTAGATTTAAGATGACACCCTTTCCATCCAAAAGCCAATCCCGAATCCAAAATCTTCAAGGTTGATCTCCCAATAAATATCAAGATTATAGAAGGTGCGTGGTTAGAACCTATCCAACTCCTCCTTAGCCAAGTAGACTGATTAAACAGCAGCAAGTCAAGGCAGAGAGAGTGTGACCAATAAAGTTAATTCAAATATAGGCTTCAGAGCCACGCCAACCTTGTCCTCAGAAAAGAAGAATCAATCCAAACAAATTCAACAAATATTAAAAATTGCACAATAAAAGTAGTTAAATAATAACATCAAGTATTTTATTTGGTTATTTTAGTAATACATTCTATAAAAGGTCTGCGTAAGCCAAAACTAGCTACTTCAATAGCAATAATAATGCTGGCGATAGAAAAAACATAGAAAACATTAAAATTAAGACAGAATATGATGATTAAGATGCAAATTTAAATTAATTTTACATACTTCCAAAATCCAGGTACATATTAATTTTATATTTCTCTCCTTCATCAGACCTAAAAACAGAGAATCCAATTCTAAATTAAAAAAATAAGACACTTCTTAAGGTCATAAAATGTTAAATTACACTATAGACAACCATATTTTAGAATAATTAAGAGGTACAAGGAATGCTAAAAGTTAAAACAAAAATTATAAAAATTGATTTAATTATTTATTTATAATTTGTGTTGTTTACTTATAAATCCAAACTAGAATAGCTTGATTTAAAATCATCATTATTATAAGAGGAATTTATAATATAATCGTAATAATAAAGAAAGATGATTATAAAAACGGATTTGTGATTAATTAATATATAATGAAAACTTTCATTGGCTTTACATTGTTGTATTTGATATTGGCTAAGTATTTATGCATTTAACATCATAGCTAAGGAATTCAATCAATTTAGGCAGATAAATTACATCCCATCTCTAAGATCATACTCGGATTGTCGGAAGTATAAGCTAAGGATTTCAATTTCTCATAATTATTTGTTGCTTTAGATGAATTGGCAGAATCTTTCTAAACTAGAATTAATGAGGAGAATTCTTCTTATGAACTTGATTAGCAATCATACTTTTCGGATGTCTAATTCTATGAGAATTAAATTAATGACTTTAAGAACAAAGTTTATTTTAATCATTAACCCATAGATTGCACAATTGGAAATTGAAATCAAAGAATTAGGGGATGAGGGATTACGATTATAAGCATATTTAACTGAAGCTAATCAGGATCTAAGTGATGCAATTAAATTATTGGCCTAAAAGGAATAATAAATCAACTCAGATAATTCTGTGTTTGAATAGTAAAATTAAGAATATGCCGATACAATCAATGTTCTAGATTAAGCCATTGCTTTACTAAATGAAATCAAAGATGAGACTTCATTAATCTAAAAAAAAGAACATATCAAGGAGGTATCCTAAAATATGCATAAAAGGTATTAACTTACATATTACAACACTTAGTATGAAAAAATTATCAGCAAAAAGAGTATTCTATCAACCTTTAGTAAATGTACTTACATAATTATCTTAAAACAACTACGTAGATTAGGAGAATCTTAATAAAGTCATCGGTTTTATGAATTAACTTAGGTAAAATCTGATTGATGCTTAAACATCCTTATAAAATCAACATGAAGCATAATCTAAATTACAATAAGATATACTATCAGAAACCTAAGCTAAAGTCAGTGGAATTTAAGATGTTCTGATTCCATTATTAGGAACTGAAATCTCAACCAAGCAATCTGAAATTAGAGCATTAAGTGCTATATTATAAGATGCATAAAGTAATTTATCTGATGCTTAAGAAAACCTTGTTGCAACTTAAAATAGATGGATTGAAAAGTATTTTATTGTTATTTAAAATTTATTAGAACTGCAACACATAACAATTTATTGTAACAATACAATAATGAATTATTAGCAATTAAAGACGCTGAAAATGCATTAAAGAAAGGTGGTATTTTTAGATAATGATTTTTGTTTTAATCAAACATAATTATGAAAAAGTAAAATTTATAGTTCTAACATACTATTTTAATTCCTCATTATGATCTTCTTGCATAATAGTTTTACTGAAATCAAATCAATAAATTTTAATATTTTCTTTATAAATCGATTAGATTAAATTAGTTAATTCAAATGATTCTATTTAATTCAGAAAACTAAAGTGCTATAATTGAATTCCTGCCCTAGCAATTCTTCTATTTTTATTGAATTTTGCCATAAAAGCACATTTAATTTGCTAATAAATTTTTGATTACGTGGGTGTTATCAATAATAACTGAACTTATTAGAGTATAAATAATTAGTATAGTGACGGAATTGAATGAATTCTGTGATTATCATTAAAATGTGGAGTAATAATATATCAGTTTATTATTAAGATATTTATTTTTAGTTAAATATTCTTTATATTATTTCACAAATAATTGTTTAGTTAGATAAAGACAATTATGAAGTCTGTAAATAATACGATAAGAATCGGCACTCAAAAGTACTCCAAAATTTTATTATGAAAACAGACAGCAAAAGCATAGGGTTTTAAAAGTTCCAAGAAAAACGAATCATCACATAACACTTGATCCAATAAACAGATTCAATTAAATGAAGGATTGTGCAACTAAGAAGATGGACTTTAAATTAGGGAAAATGATTGGTTCTGGATCACAGGGCCAAGTTTATCAGGCTATGAACATGGACACAGGAGAAATTGTTGCATGTAAAAAATTGCTAAATCACTTAAAAGATCAGTAAAAATTCGATGTAAGATGTACAGTCTTAATTAGGTCGAATTGTCTTTTCTTTAAATTCTTTAACATAAGAATATCATAAAATATATCTCTCATGAAAATACAAAGGATGGCATCCTAATTTACTAGGAATTTATGCCAATGGGTACTTCTAACTTCTAAATCTTAGGATCTATTTCTTAATTGCTAAGTGATTTTGGGCCAATCAAAGAGGAGACCGTGAAAAGATATACTCAGTAAATTCTCAACGGCTTGGAGTATTTGCATAAAAAAGGGATATTGCATTTAGATCTGAAATCAAGCAATATATTACTCGACTCTAATGGATATGTGAAGATATCCGATTTTGGATGTAGTAGGCAAAACAAAGAAAACTTATATTAAAGCATTTTGCAAGGCAGTGTTCCATGGATGGCCCCTGAAGTAGTCAGATAAGAAAGAATTGGACCTGCTTCAGATATTTGGTCCTTCGGATGTTTGATTCTAGAAATGATAACAGGTAGACCTCCATGGAGTGAGCAAATAAATTTTGATAATCCAGCAACTAGCTTATTAAGTATAGGATTGAGTGGAGAATACCCTAGAATCCCTGAGAGAGCATCGATAGAAATGAAGGAATTTTTGTTGATGTGCTTCTCAGTGGATCCATTGTAGAGAGCTACCATAAGATAACTCAAGTAGAGTGCTTTTTTATAGTGATTTTAGTTTTATTATAATTTGTAATCCTATCAAAAAAAAAATATAAATTTTTCTAAAGAGTTTAAAAAATCGATTTGTTTTAATAATTCTAAATGATGATTATATAAATAATCAAAAAGATAAAAATTATTAGCACCATTTATGAATCCTTCATAGGTAGAAATTAATTAACGGGAAACAGAAAAAGAAGTTAAGTTATAGATTAATTCTTTAGTTTATAAATGAAGTTATCAGAATTTGCATTTTTAATTGCGCTTGCTAATTTTACATGATAATCTTTAGTTGCAAATTAATCTGGTTATTTGATTCTAAATATGTAATAATATTTGCTTGGTTCATGGATCTGGCCTCTTTTATTATTATAATGCTCGATAAGAATATGACAAAGGTTTTGTCTGTGGTTAATTTTGTAGAGAAAGTATTGAGCATATCTTTTAAAGTAAAATAATTTAGTATAAGAATATAAGATAACGATAGTGATCCACTTTGAAGTTTAAGAAATGAGGCTCTTCTACATTCCAACGGCTCATTTATTTATTACCACTGGATTATTTCTTTTTTCTGTTCTCAACCATGACGCATCTAAAAGGAAGCATATCATTGTACTATATTATTCTATTAATTAGATTGCACACTCTTACTCTGTTCTGTATGCTATATAATTACTACTGTTATCCTTAAAGTGGAACAACCTATTTGAATACTCTTATTATTAAACATTCATTATAGCATGGACTGGCCTTGGAATCAACACATTCCTAATAGTACTGCTATTGATAACCATGGTAGAGAATTGTTTCCTTAAAAACATCCCTTAAATAAATGGTAAAATAATAATGTTATTAAGGAACAATCATATTTTGGTTTATATATTACATTTTGGGATTAACAATACCTCCTTTCTTTCAATTAAAAACAATTTGTGAATTTTATGAAGGAGACTCTAAATAAAGTAATATTTAATTGGCATCTATTATGATATTAGTCTGTGTTCTAATATATCTCTTTATATTTATTTTCTTTACTTTAAGAATTAAGAAATAATTGATGTATAATACTTTTATTACTTTAGTGGTGTACTGCAATTAGATCATAGGTAAAATACGATACCAAAAACATCACCAAAAGGTTCCTCCTCAAAAAAATGGAGAAAGTTAAAAATTCCAATCATGTTCATTAGGATATCCGCATCCTATTATAAAATGCTTACTAGATAATCAACTGTGGACACTAGTACTCGTAATACTAGTTCAATTCCTATCTGCAGTGATGTATTAAGACCAGATTCAATTAACTTTAGGCAATCGCCATATTAAGCAATAGTGAAATAAATGAAAAAGAAACCGAAGAATCAAGATTCAGGAGATTGTTGTTTGATTTGTTTTGAAAATGAACCCGATGTTGTATTACATCCATGTAATCATGGAGGTATTTGTAATAATTGTTCTGAAAACCTTATAAAAACAACAAAGCAATGTTTTCTTTGCAGATCAGATATTAAATATGCATTAAAAATTAATTAAAAAGAGGGAGAAATGTTAGAAGCTACTGATGTATAAAAAGTTTGAATTATAAATCAAATGTTCTATTATCAATTATCTAGATTTCTTAATTTCTACTTTCTTCTCTATTTCTATTGTCTTTCCTTTAATTATTATATTAATTCTTCAGTTTATTTAATTCTTTTAAGTTGTTATTCTTCTTCCAATTTTTGAGGTTCCTTTTTAATGCTTGGGAGAAGTGGCAATAAGGGGGTCCTCTCTTCAGTTCCATGTTTAGTACTAAGTAGTTTTTAATATAAATAGTAAATTTACCTTTTAATAATTATAGGTTTTGATTCTCCTTCAATGTCCAGGTTTTTCGGATATTTAAGAGGATCTACCTTAGATTGCTTATATGAGATTCTGGTAATCTTTTTAGCAGGGGGATTGTAAATAGAAGCCACTTAATTATTTTTAGGTTAGTTATTTTAATACATCTCAAGTTAAGAGTCATCGACTTTCTTATTGTTCTTGGAGATGACTGAATTCTCATGACTGTCATCAACTCTTTTATTATTTAATCTTGGCAAGAAATCAAAATTCATAGAATGATTTTCTTCAAGATTTTCTTAGTTCTGTTTTTGCACAGCCAAAGTTTAAATAAACTAACATTTATCTACTTTTGTCATTCTAATAGGATTATAATTAGGTTTTGGTAGTCTATCAGTGAGATAATGCATATTTCTGGGAACTCTGATGGTCTACAATAGCAATTTGGCACCTTCCTCCTCCACTAATATCTTATCGTCCAATCTATTGACAATGGCCTGAAATTACAAGATTTTATCACAACTTGGTCTAAGATGTGGTTAGACTTGTAAGAGTGCTCTTATCACATTGCTTAAGTCTTAACTATAGATGGTTGGTATTTTAGGGTAGTATCCTTTGACAACCTTTTTATAGAGGCCACTCATATCTTCTGCTCTGAAAGGAGGCTTGAGAGTAGTCATTTCATACAAAACACAACCCAAAGACCAAATGTCTGATTTAGAATCGTAGGGCTAATCTTTCCACACTTCTGGAGATGCGTAGTAAGGTGTTCCAGTTTGAGTGTAGAGCAATATTTTCTTGGCAACTTTAGATACATTCATGTCACCCAATTTGACAGTTCCATCACTATTCATAAATACATTTGCTGATTTCAAATCCCTATGGTAAATCTTCATGTCATGCAATGATTTGAGTCCCTTTACTATCTGAATTATTTATAAATTATTCAACATACTTAAATTAAGATATTCCATATATCTTTCTCAGGCATGAGAACTCCTTTTTTCTGACTCTCTATTATTTTTTGAAACAGATCACCGTCATCTGCATATTCCATTACTATACTAACAATGTTATTTTGAGAAAGTTACCACAAACTTTAAGACTATTCTTCTAAAAACGCTTCTTTATATTGAATGACATTCGCATGTCTGACACTTGCTAAAATCCTTACCTCATTGAGAGCATTCTGTTTCTCCTTATCAGAGAGTGATTGTAGTTTAACCTTTTTCAGGGCATATTCTTATTGATCTGCTATTCTTTTTATTTTATACACCTTTGAATATGCTCCTTCACCTAAAAATTGATAGTTTCGATTGTTACCTAACTCTTACAAAATCTAAAAATCCTTCAATGACATATTTTATATTTATGATAAATATAATTAACAAAATAGACAGAGAAAAGCACTTATTATAAATTCATTTAAATTATTTCTAATATAAACTTCTTCTGCGAAAATTCGTCATTTCATCTTATTGAACCTCCTCAAAATTTAACTGATAATTAGATATCTGCGGCAATTACCTACCCTAAGTTCTTTATGAATGTGCTCTGATATCTATTTTAGATACGTCAAAATACTTTGATTTGTCATTGACATTTGTTAATCCCTATAATCTTTACTTTGAGTATCTCTGAAGTCCTTCTAAAAGTTCCTCTAAAATTGTGTTATTTACTCAGGCAAAAATCCTAGTTCCTCCACCATCATCGTGTTCTTCTTAATAGTAGAAGGCCTCTTCTGAGGAGACTATTGATCAGGATCCCCCAATCGTTCCCTTAACTCAAAGTTCTCCTTCTGCAAAAACTGAATCTCCCTATACATTGCCTCGCACTTCTAATTGATCTGCTCCTCTCTCTCCCTCATCTCCTTATTAGAAAACAACAACTCTCTCACCATATTGATTGAATCAATCAATCTCTCATTTTATTACACTTAATCAAATTTCTTAACATCCTCATCTGAAGATTCTTACTCCAACAATCTCTATTGATTTTTTAATAGGTTGTCAAAATTACTCCTTGTTTGAACACAATTGAGACTTTGATTGTTATCCTTCTTTTAAACAATATTAGATAAGAATTCTATATGTTCATTAGCCTTACTCAATTCCAATTTTAAACTGTTTATCTACTATTTTAACTCATTGATGACTTTGAGTTTTGGATCATCATTTTTCATTGGAAGATTGGTTATGTAGGCTGCCTAAGTTAATTTGAGATCTTTACTTTTGTAGCATACTACAATGTCGACACATTCTCGTCATAGAATGAATCCAGAGGTGCTATGCATGCAATCATTAAGCAGAAACAATTTCCTCCTATGGATTACTTCAATAGACAGGTTAACTTTGAATCTCTATATGGAGGAATAGTTTTATTGTTTGCATCACTCAAAATTGCTATCACTTATCTCAAAGTCATCAATGATTTATTTATCTCAATACTCTCCTTAGCTTATCTCCCTTCAGTACCTGTGAGACTGATTCTTTCAGAACCTGCCAAATCTACCAATTCTAATTTGGACGTTATGAAGTAATCTGGATTTTTCAGATCGACACTTTCTATCTTGATTTCAAATATAGAATGACTTCGAGAAGACGAAAAGTTCAATTTATGACTAGCAGTTATTCTATTCCTGCTTCCCAATTTGAATAATTTAATAACTTCATCTGCTGATTTGCATTGGTAAACAAACAGGTTTTCAACAACAAACTGATCCCTCACATTCCATCTCATTTTCAAACCGGAAGTTTAAATACCAAAATTAACTTTACTTGCTTCTCCCAAAAGATCATAAATTTTTTCGTTGTAAATTTACAAATAGGAACAATAGACAGAAAAGTCTCTTTGAAGAGCATTTTATTTTATTCTATTAAACAAACTATGAATTGTTTTAGGGATTATGCCATCTTGCTTTATTGCAACTCCTTCATCATCTCTTTAGCCTTCCATGGTATGTGTTTTACCAGACCCTGTCTAACCATATGCAAAAACTGTCACATGATACCCCTCAATAACAGATTACACTAACTAATCTATTTCGCAACTCTTAAAAACCTGATCTTATGAGGCTGTTTCAGGTAACACATGATCGAATCTACTTGATTTACATCTTACTTATAACTTTTTTTATTTCTCTCCTCCTTTATTATTACTTCCTATCCATTGCAATCGATTTTTGAGTTAGTCTATCCCTATTTTTTTTCCATATCCAGCAAAGGTCTAATACGAACTGCCACTCTTATTTTTTATTGATTTTACATATAGTTTAATATAATAATATTAATTTAACTAAAATATATTCAACATCACCTTGGTAACATTCGCATTTCTGATCCCATACAAAAAAACCATTATATCAACAGACTATTAAGTAATTCAAATTTATTAATTACATTTTAATATGTTTAAGAGAAACTCACCTTATTTTATTTATAATTATTAAGAGTGTGTGCTACAGAATTGGATATACTTGAAGAGATTTCAATCTGAAGGACATTTTGTTAGTTGAATTAGAACTCCATAATTTTTGATATTTAAATTGATTAGATTGAACATTTAATCAATAAATAGAATTGTACGAGTGTTGAAAATATATCAAGCAATTTATTCGAAGACTTTTCACAACAAATTATGAAAATGACATTTTATTAGAATAATAAAAAGAAAAAAAAAATTTGCAATCAGGACTTGAATTTCATTAAGTAGCGTTTGATGGATACCATTTCCTCTAAGGCTTTTTAATTCTAGTCTTACAACAATCTAGCCTTATAGAAGTATTCTTCTAATTTTGGTAATTTAAAGGCAGATTTTACTTTTTCTGGTTTCTAGTTATTTTGCTTTATTTATGGTAACATTATTTAATTAATATAATATATTTATATGCGTAATCTATCAGTTCTTTTTATTTGCTATTTGTTATTTAATTTAAGCTGTTTCAGGTCTCTTTTATTTATTTAATGGGGACAAATATTAACCAAAATATTGAACATAAGTCTACTTCAATTATTCCTTTATTGAAGGTGATTAAGATCTCTGTCCCTAATTCAAATTGGGAGAAGCATTATATACAGGAGATTACGATCTTTGCTTTTTATCAAAGTTTGCTCTTATCCCTGAAGGCTTAATATTCTCTAACTCTTCAAGTGCTCTTTTAATAGGACTGACTTCATTTTCTTGAGTTCTTTTAAAAGTATACCCTTGAAAATGATTTTGCTCTCTTGATCTCTTCTCTTAAGTCTAGTACCATGGATCTTACTCATCAAACTTATCAAAGTTGGCTGTAATTTTCGATTTATCAGGTATATAAGGAGCTTTCATGTTTCTCAAATTTTCCCAATCAATTCCATTGAAAAAGGGGTGTTTTTTTATCAGATTGACATCTCCCAATCTCTCAGATGAATCAGCCATCAATCTCTTAATTAAATCAGCACAAGCAGGTGATATTTTGGGTTCCTTAGGAATTGCAAAGTGTTTCTTCCAATTCACAATCTTCTGACATGTTTTTTAAGGAGTGTCACTATAAAATGGTGGATAACCAATAACCATTTCAAAGAGTATGACTCCAACACTCCACCAATCCACTAAATCATTATATCCTTTCTATGAGAACACTTCAGGTGCAATGTAATCAGGAGTTCCCACTGTTGAAAATGCTAATTGTCTTCTTGTCTATTGTTGTTATGCTTCCTGTTTTCTTTCCGTATAGGGAATTGAGAGTATCTCATTTTGCTTATTGCCCAAATGTTTACATAAACCAAAATCTGACAATTTAAGATGTCCATTTTCATCTATGAGAATGTTGTCTGGTTTTAAGTCTCTATGAATATAATTGAGTCTGTGCACAGCTTCAATTGCTAGCACTATTTCTGCTGTATAAAACTTAGCCTCTTTTTCAGGGATGATATCCTTTTTAATCAATAGTGTCATAAAATCACCACCACTTAAAAATTCCATTACCAAATATAAGTATTTTTCATCTTAAAATGAATATTTTAATTATACAACCCATGGACAATTAGCTTATACTAGTATATCTCTTTCTGCTCTGATATGTCCTAATTAATTTTTAAATATCATCTCAGACTTCTTCATTTTCTTAATTGCCACAATCTCCTTAGTTTCCTTATCTCGACAAACACGAACCTCACCAAAAGCACCTCTTCCAATTATTGCTATTGGTTCAAAATCCATCACAGTGATCTTCTGTCGCCTTGAAATGATAAATTATTCACTTTTTTCGGAGCTGTATGGCCTCTTTGTGTAGAATCTCCTTCTTAATCAACTCCTATTCAATTGGAGTGAAATTCAAATTCTGCATATTTTATTGCAATTGTTGCCAAATCATCTTCTTCTCCATTTCCTATTGCAAACTTAATTGATATTTCCTTTCTATGTAGGATTTACATGCAGCAACTCTATCTTTAGTTTGATTACTAAGTTTAACTTCAGCCATTATAATTATTTATAAAATTTATTAAAATATTTCACTCTCATCATCTTATTAATATTATATAATACGAAAGATTCATGAACTCAATTATACATACTCTATCCAACACCCTGTAATCAAATTCTATTAATACCTTTTTTAAGAATAAATAAGTAAATTGATTATAAATTGATATCAATAAAAAACGAATCTCTTTGAAACACCCAATATAATTTTAATATAATCTATTCTTATTATTAGAACGTTAGGGTTTGTAATTGATTAGTTAACTAATATACTGCTATATTTTGTAATAGTCTAATCTTAATAATTTTGGATTAAATATAATGAAAATTCTAAAATTATTATTTTTATTATGAATAATTTGCATTGTTAGAAGAAAAAAAGAATTCACGAAGTCACATATGCATAAAGAGTCATCAATTCTGTTAAACCAGATATAGAAAATATCAAACTTAATGAAAATTTATTTTAAGCTCAATAAATGGCTAGACATTCATCTACATTAATCAAAGACATTCAGAAGGACGTTAGATTGACTCTTAAGAAATATGATTCATACATCAAGATGAGCGAATCCAATAGAAAAATGACAGATAATAAGTTTAGCGAATCTACTAGAAGGTATCAAAGTGAGAGTCCACTTAAGTAATAAGAATCAACAGAAAAGGAACTTGAAACCTTGAGATAATAACAACGAATTCTAATGACTCTGCTTAACAATCTCCAACAACAAGAAAAACTAATTGTTTCTTAAACATCTCCCAATCCTGAACCACATCCTAAGCCTATCATCGATAAAGAGTGGTTTGAATAAAAAACTAAATAATTATAGTAAATTTAAAAATCATAAGCATAAATTGAAAACCCATCATCTAAAAGATTAGAGAAGAGTGATGTTATATAAATTGATATTAGCAAAGTTAAAAGATCACCAAATAGTAAATCTAGTTCAGCTTAGCATTTTTTTAGTCCATCTAAAAATCCTATTAAGAATTCTGTAACCTATTTTTAAAATTCAACTTCAAGCTATGCTAAATTACATAGAAAATAATCCAATTCTCCATAGAAATGGGGTTAATATGGGGTCATAAATTAATAAAAGCCAGAGAAGAATTTGATAGTGAGTAGAAGGAATGAATAATGGAAACAGAGGGTAGACAATAAGATAAAGAATGAAGTGCTAAAAAAGCAGGAAAAAGAAATAAAAGCATGCACATTTAAACCAAAAATCTTGTCTAAGACTCCAAAGAGTAATTAAAATAGTAAAGAAACCTCAACTGATTTCAATGAGATTATGTTTTTAATTGGCGATATCAATGATTTTAATGATAAATCCAAGAGATCAACAATTAAAAAATGATTACAATCATATATATTTTAATATAAAATATTAATTTCTGATTATAAAATAGATATTAGTTTTCATAATCAATAGAATATTCCTTAAAAGTAATATTAAAATTTATCATACCACTTCGCTCTCCAATTATCCAGAGATTGATTGATTAGACTAATAATTATTAAATATTTTTACTTTTATGTAAACACTGATATTTCTCCATCATTTGAACAAGGTGGATTAAATCTAGACTCAAGTTCATGGATAGCAATCTCCCCCTTGCTAAAACATGGCAAAGTGTATCCATGTCCACTATACATCATCTTAACAAGTAACAGTATTTAATCTTAGTGCTTCTGACAAGCAACAAATCCCTTGAAAAATAATTTTCTAAATAGAGTAAACAACTCTGATTTGGTTCCTCCCAAAACGTCAATATATTCAGAAAGGAGTTTAAATGGAACATTCTTCTCAAATTCCAATCCTTTTCCAGGCGATATGCTAATGAAGAAACCAAAATCAATATGCAAGATCTTACCAGACTTATGCAACAAGATATTCCCATTGTGTCTGTCTTTTATTTACAAGAAATAACAAATTAAACTATATGCAGCCAAACTGCAACAAAAATTTCTCTAAGCCTTGTGTAAATTAGCCCCATAATACTTTTTGAAAAAAAGACTTAGAGTAATATCCTTATCGATGGAATTTAATTTCTTTTTAAGTGAATCAATAGTTGCCGCATCTTTAACCATCTCCATTATACCTGAGCTAGGTCCTAAGGATTGAATATCATATGTTGTTAATTTTAAAGGAAGCCTTTCATTTTAGAATATCATTTAGAATTAATTGATCAATTGGAGTGCAAATTGTTCTTATTTCAAATTATCACCAGTTTTAACAATTAAATGAACTAATCTCCAAGATCGGAAATGACTATATGGAGACTATGACCTTATCCTTTCACTTATTTAATTTGAATCCTCACCAAAAATCTCCTATCCAATCTTCTCGAAATCTAAAACCACATTATTTGCCCTCTTCTACTCTCTACTTAATTCTATTTCATAACATTCAGCTATTTAAATATGTATCAATTTTACAAACGCCTAAACTTTGATTTGAGACCTAAGACATTGCTAAATTAGATTGACTCCTAAAATCACTAAACATAGAGAGTTCAACATTGAATTCCGAATTCTTTCTTTCTCTTTTATCCTCAAATTTGTTCTCTTCCTTTTCTACATTATAGACTTCTACACAAATATAAAAGGGGGCTCTTTCTTTAGTAGAGAATATTTTGGTTTCTTGAACAACAATATTTAAGATTGTGTAATGTCTCAATTGATCTTGAATATCTATATTAATTTTACCTTTCACAAATGGGATGTATACATTAGCAGGTAATCTGGTGTTTATTAATGATAAATCTGCTCTTAAAGAAATTATCTTTGGATCAGCAAATTTTAATTTGTCTGAAATTGAGATGATATCATTCCAAAAATTGATGCAGGACATAAAATCATACCCTTCCTCTTAATCTAGAGGGATGTATTTGGATAATTAGATATGCTCAGGTAATATTAAGCATTTCAATTATTGTTATTCAAATTAAGGTGTGCCATACAAAGAAATCAACTCTTTTACTTTTTCATCTTATTCCTTTATTTCATAATTTGTCTCATGATTCAAAACCATCCGTTTCACTAGATTTTGCAAGTACAATTTTACTCTATTTTATTTCAAGGTAGTTACTTTTAAAATTCGGTCACTTAGTTGTTGAATACTATGGCACTTATTGAATGGAGTGTCCAATATACCAACTATGCAAAGTAGAAATTATGAATGCATGATGTAAGTATAAATTAACTGATGTTTTCCTAAATTTAGTAAATATTTTACGTTTAACATTTCTTCATGAAACACTAAGTAATTCATCAATTAGGGGATATAAAATTCTAAGTCGTTTCTCGGACTCTCATCATTCGAAATCAACTTACATTGGTATAAATATTGATAGGCCCAAGATTTCTCATCCAAGGTATACAACAATATAAGAACATCCAAAACTTGGATTTCTTCTGGATTCTGGATATTTATTGAGTATCAATACCAATTAAATTGCATTCTAATATTTGGCCATCAATTTAACAGACAACTCCTTTCTATTTCTAGATGTCAAAATTGAAACATCATCAGCCTAAAATAGTAAAAATATATCATTCAATAATTTTATACTTTGCAACAATTCATGCATCTTAGACACCATAATTTAGAACATAATCCATACTGTTTTTTCCTTTTTATTGTTATTTCCTCTCCTATTTCAGCCATCCAATATAAATAATCTTATATATTTATAAAAATTATTTTATGTCAAGTGATTCAGAAGAAGAGAGCTAAAATTCTAATTAAGATGAAAACGTGATCCACCCTCGAAAAGCCTTCAATAAAAAACCAAAAGATTTAGAAAATAAACTATCTGAGGCTAAATTAGAGATTATCATGAATAACAATATCGAAAAAGCCAAACAGATTCTTGATGAGATTATTAGTCAACATGCAAGGTATTAAAGAGCCTTCATAACGTATGGCCACATATGGAAATTATAAGGCAATTATGAAAAAGCCATACATCATTTCACTATTGCCACTAAAATAAAAACATCTCCAAAATTATGGAAGAAAATTGCATTTTTGGAGAAGAAGTTAGCACAAAAATTGGAATAAGAATAAATATAAAGTGAAGCAATATTTTATCATTACTACCAAGCTGCTAAATATCTTGGTAAGTTATTGAGATAGAGAAATAAAGCTCCAAATATTTAATTAATGTCTGAAAGAGTTGATTGTTTAGAGAAATGCTATGAATATGAAAAAGGAATTAAATAATTAAAAGTTTTGGTTGAAATTGCTATAAGTTTATAATAACATCAATTACATCAGGAGAGTATTAAGAGAATGGCTAAACTATATGTAAAAAAGAATTAGTTGGAAGATGCAAAACAAATATTAAAATCAATCCCTTTAACAGATAAATCAACGATTATGATATGTGAAATTTTAGAGAAGTCAAAGAACTTGGAAGAAATGAGAGAATTATTGGATGGATACTTTGGATCAAAAACTATGACTGCTATCCTTAAAAATCATAGTTATCGCTTAGTAAATTTCTATTTATAATGCTTATAATAAAGTTTTACCGATTATCAATAGATTGTAGACTTTTATTTAAACATCGATAAGAATACTTAATTGTAAGAATAATCTTGTAAAAGTTTGATTGAATTGATTGACAAATTGGATAATATTCCTAAATAAGAACTTTTATAAGTTTTATATAACTATCGAGATTAATTCAGTCATCAATTGAAGTAAGAAATTCTCACTAAATTCAATAATTTCAATTTTAATTCTGATGCATAATAAATTATTGAAGAGCCCCCAATTCCTGTTTAACCAAATACCAAAGATCAAATTTTATTTCTATATAAGAAATTGAAACACACTGCTGATGTTAATGAAAAGTATGATTTCTTAAGGAAAATACTGACTTAAGAGGAAAAGTCATATAACAAATTGAAATACTTTGATGGTATAAAGAGAGAAGAGTATGAATAATTATTTGGAAGGAAGCATAAAAAAAGAAGATTAAGAAAATTTCACACTATCAGTAACCAGTTAAGAAAGAAAACAACAAGTCTTTCAGTCGAAATCGGGTATTAAAATTTCTTTACGATGATATTAAACGTGTTTGAATCGCTATTGGAGAGTGATAAATCTTAGGAACTTTTTAAATTGACTCATATGGTCTACCAATTGAGACTCAAAAAAATTGCTAATAATGATAATAAGTATTATGAAGAATTTATTTAAAAATTGGCGTAATATGGGTTGTGGGCATCATTAAAGGAAAGAAAGTATAGTTATGCTCCAATCTATCTAAAATATATTGATGAATAAGACTTGATATTATATCTAATTTAGATTATAGATTAAAATATCTAACCTAAATTAAGAGGTATTTTTAATAGTTTCACAAGAAAGATATCTTGCTTTTAGCAAAGTGTTATTCCATATAAATTAGATTAATTATTAAAGTTACGAGAGAATGATCAAAAGAATCCTCTATATAACCTATTAATATGCGTAAAATATTTATAAGAAATGACAGGAAGACTGGCAACTGACCAGGCAGAACTATTCAAGAAAAGTCTTTATTATTTTGATTGTTACAAAGATTGCTAAGTTGATTCGTTGGAGGTGAAATACAATCTGGCAAGGTACTATTAGAGTTTTAAATAGAATATACTTACATATCAATATAGTAAACAAAGGGATGGAAATTCTGGAAGACATTTTAAGCTTGCCATAAGATCATCCAGTGAAATCCAAGGCTGGTTTTGCTTTGATGTAGATTCATAAGAAACTGGGAAATAACGAACAAGCTTTTTATTATTTAAAATAATATAACACTTTTTAATGATTATTATTTTGCAAATAAAAATAGTAAATTTTTAATAAATTGAAGTACTAAAAATATATTATTCTAAAAATATATAGATTTGCAGGAAGCAATATTGTTACACAGATGCTACTATATTTTACTGCATTTTTTTATTACTTTAATAAAGAATTATTATACATTAGATTATTAAACAGTGATTCATGAATTTACAATAATTCTTGAAGAATTGATTGGAATTTAGAGCTTCTATAATAAATTTACAAGAATTGGAATCCTTAATAAATCATGCTAAGCGAAAACTCTATTATTCTCTATATGAAAAACCCAGATCCTATATTTTATGGGATGATGGATGATCTGGTGATTCAATGTTTAAAAAAAGAAAATGTGAAAATAATTGTAACTGATTTAGAAGAATTAAGTGTCATAATCGGAAGAGTATTCAATAAAACAAATAATAGGAATTTATATTTTTAAGAAATGGAGAGCAAATATAATTTGATGCATTTTTAGGTTATGGATATATGGCACCAAAACACTATATGGATTATATGTATTTTAATTTTGCTGCATTTTCAGCCGGAAAGACTACTCTTTATTCACCATAAACTGAACATATATTGTAAAACAAACTATTGCAATATGCGAAGTTTAGTGAAGGGTAAGTGCCATTTCCTCGTTGTAGTGCTTCATTCTCTGTATAATAGTTTAAAAAAAACTTATCTCAATTTGAAAACAAAGCAATCATGAAAGAAGTAGTAGGATATGAAGGAACAGGAGTTAAATTGTCAAGTAATAAAATTTAAAGTACAGAAATCTTCTGTAAGTCTCTATGGAATGGAGAACAGGCTATAATTTAAGATTTTGTTGGTGATTCTGTTGGTCGATCCATCAGAGTGTTAGTTATCGGTGGGAAAGCAGTATCAGTAACCGAATTCTAAGATAATATTGTAACATACTTAAATTATGAAAGGATTTTAAATCCAATGGATATAGTGACGACTTTAAAATTGAATCTAAGATGGATAGTAAAAAAAAAGAGGAATATTTCCGATTAGCAGAAAAGGCTTCTTTGGCAATTGATCCAAATTTGACAATTGGAGGAGTTGACATTATAGATTCAGAAAAAAATGGCCTAGTTGTTCTAGAAATCAATTAATGGCCAGAAATAACATTCTCTGAGGATGTCACTGGATTACCCCTATTCGAAATATTTGGTTAAGAATTCATAAGAAAAATACAACAGAAAAATTAAGTTAGACTATGACAATATTATATATATGTGGTTATTGTTATAATTTGATATACAATCATTGCTTCTCTGCCTTTTTTCTAAACCATTTCCGCATATTATAAGCATTTTCATCATCAGCATAATATTTCTCTTCTGTATCAAATGTTTCATAACCCAATTTATCTCTATACAGTCCCAAGGCTGCTCTATTCGACACTCTGACATGCAAGGAAACATAATGCGATTCAAAAATCTTGTCCATGTCTCTGTGGGTGCTTTACATGACTTTATTTGCCAATCCCAATTTTCTGTGTGTTCTCAAGACTGAAAGGGATGTTATATGTCCGTGCTCTAACTTTGTGCCTTCTTCATCTTCCTCATCTTATTTGGCCAATACGTACCCAACAATTCTGCCACTATTCTATTCAAAATCTATTGATGTTAATTACTATGTCTTCTGCAACATATAATAATGATTGCCAAACCATTCCGTGATACAAGTAGTATTTATATGTGTAATTTTCTGGCAAACACCATAAATTGCAGTGTTGCATATGTTATAGATCTTGCATTTCAGCTCTTCTTATTGATACCATAATTTAATTAGAACTTATTATTATTAATGAAAAGACAAGATAGTATTCATAATATCTAATATTCAGGCAATAAATTCAAAGTTTCGTCCAAACAATCACCTCTATTAAGTGAGCAGGTGATAAAACAAAAAACTAGAAACATTAATATCAAAGTACAAACTCATTATACTCTTAGACATAAACTAAATATGAGGATCAAGATACGAGCACTTTTAATATTTTTTAAGTATAAGCATGGAACTCAGACCAATTTAGCAACACTCCTTTTCTAAAATCTACAATCAATAACTAATAGAATGAAATTTTTACTTTAAAATAAAAATTACTGTTCCAATAGAATCTAGTTAAAATAACATCAGTCAAAGAATTATAAACACAAATCCAGAACTACTTTGATGAAACAACTGAACTAAAAAGGAAGCTGAATGAAGCATTAAATTCTTAATATGAACCCTAAAGGCAACAAAATTAAGGCCATATATCAAAAATTAAAGAGTAAAAACAAGAAATCGAAAGCTTGTAAAAAGAAATCCAAAAATTACAACAATAAGTTAAGTAGTTGTCAGAATAATTATCATAAAATTGCAATCAATGGGAATAATTATAAATGGCAAAACAACATCAAAGGGAAAACTCTACGTTGATCTAAAATAGAATTGTAATCAAAGAAATATAAAGTGAAGGAGAAAATGTTGATAAATACGTGCAAGCAATAAAAGAAAAGGATAGTAAAATACAAGAGCTCCAGGCAAACTTAGCCAATCAGAATGCATAAATTAATTAATAACGGCAATAAATGAAATAATAAGATTTATTAATATCAGAGAAGTAGGATATTATAGAAAATCTATAATAAGAAGTTAAGAATTTAGAAACAAAATTATTAAATGTCTAAAATTCTTAAAAGTAGAAAAAAAAGAAATAAGAAGACAAAGGTATCTAAATTCAAAATAATTCAAAATAGGATATTGAAGAAATTAAAGCTATTTTAAGGTTCAGATTAAAGAGATCTATGGTAGAACAAAAGGAAATATTGAACTACTTATTAACAAATGAAGATTGTAGATTTTTCTCGATTTAATCGCGATTTTAAAAGTATTTTTATTTTCTAAATAGATTTCCTTTTTTTTTGAATGCTGAAGAATCCTACGATATAACAATGTTTTTGTTAACAGAAGAATCACCATATAATTATAAAGTACTAGAAAAAGATTTAAAATTTACTGTTCTCAAATCTAGAATTTTACATCTATTACCTTAATATTAGTTACTTACAATTGATGAATAAGGATAATTATTTCAATATATCTCTACTAAGATTATAAATAAGCTCAACTATTTACAAGATACTATAAAAAAAATTAAAATAAGTCAAAAGTAAGTGTAATTTTTTCATATATAGATCAGACCAAGAAGATGGATTTTGCCTACCACAATAATTTTTAGAAGCATTTACATGTATTTTAGATAAACCTCTTTCAAAAAAGGAAGCTGAGTACTTATTTTAATTAAATTTTGAAATCAGTAATTCTCCAATTTTGATCAATTTTAAAAGATTGATTTATTTATTTTAAAAGGAACCAAAATATGGAATAAATAGAATCTGTAATTTAAGCGATTCATTTTTTAAGGAGGAAGAATTAATTAAAATCCCAAGACCATCATTAATTAGAAATTAAAGTGTTGTTCTATATGTTTCTCCTAAATAAATCAATACTTATACACATAAATTTCAATAAACAGATGAAACAGAGTTAGGAAAACATAAGTAACAGAAAGCACTAGAATTTCACAGATTTATAGGGGTTAATATAACTCCAACCTCTAATAAAGTTGAAGTTGGGGTTTGTTGTTAAAAATCATTTGTGATTGTTTAATAGAATGAGTTATCGTATAATAAGAAAGTGAAAGTTGATTAGGAGAATTTGGAAAAAGTAAAAAATGAATAATATTTGTAATAACAACTACAAAAGGAAAAATAAATAGAAAAGCTTTAAAAAGCCAAATCAAATAATAATCAAGAAATTAAAAATATTGTGTCACTTTACCTTGATCAATTATTGTAGGACTTTGTAAATTTATCAAAATAAGATTGAGTTCTAATGAATTGTATTATTCAGAAGGTACTTACATATATAAATAATATTATATAAAGTCTAAATTAAATATTATTAATTTTAAAGTGAGTAGAAAATTATAGATTGTTAAATGACATCAATATAATTACTTTATTTTTTATTATAATGAGTTTTAGAATATCAATCTCTCCTTAAAGAAAACGCAGCAGCACAGGAATGCCTTAAACTGCTCGACCCATAAAATCATCTCTGAATCCGACTCTTGTTAATGTTGTGGAAGAAATTAAGAACCTTATGTAAAATTATACAATGATTGAAGGAAACAACTCACTCCTTAGTTTCAGAACCTTTTAAATTAATTAATCAAAATAGCATTTGATCTGGAAAAATAAAATACAAAATTTTATAATGCTCTCCAATCATCAAAGGCATCTAGCATTTAAAATGGAGATCTAATTCAAAAGGAACCCTCGTCTCATCAAGATAGGAATAAATCTAAAGACTGCAGTCCAACAAAGAGAGAATGCTAAGTTAAAAATATAGAAATGACATCCAGCAGCAGATTAGATCCAACTCCAAAATAAAAATTTTTAATCCGAAGAGGTTCTCTAGATGTAGATTAATAAGTGTCAAAAGTAAGAGTTACCATTTAACTATGAAGGATCAATTAAGGAAAATTAGTTAAGAAGCCATAGATCAGAATTTCATAATTAACTTACTAGATTTTAAGCCATCCAATTTAAAATCTATGTCATATAAAAAATTAATTTAGATCTTTACACTTAATGAGAAAGACTTATACCAATACTTATAGAAAATAGAATATTAAGGTATTTATTATGTTGTTCAAATGATAGAGTATTTATTGTACCTTTTCGAACCACTCAAATTTGCTAAGGATTTATCAGAGAAGTGCATTATTTATATTGAAAAACTAAAGAAAATTATAAAACTATCCATCGAAATACAATAGTCTACACCATCCTAAACATTTGATAGCTATTAGAAATTGCTTTTAGAATTATTCGAATGCGATCGAGCATAAGTTTATTTATATGACTCGAAATTTCACGTATTTTGGACCAAAGGCTAAGATGGTTAATAAAAAGCTTATTATCCATTCAAAGGCATTTTAGGTTTCGTAACTAAGTAAGGTCAAATGTTAAATATAAATGACGTTTATTAAGATGTCAGATTTGATTAAGATTACGATTTAAAGTAACAGAATAAAACAAAATCGATGCTTGCTTGTCCGATTTATGAAAAAGATGAGATCATTGGTGTGATTATTATCTCATCAGCTTATCAACAATTCAAGAAAGAAGATGAAATTTTGATTTAAATGATTTCTCAATTGGCTGCTATACATTTCTATTAATATGTCTTTTAAGAGTATAATACTAAAACTTGTGAAGCTTTGCAATAAATTTTGAAGTTTTCGTTAATTTTATAGTAGTCTGTTGACTAAAAATAATTTATGATTTTAGCGTAACAAATACTTTCTAAAACATATGAGTTAAAATAAGTATAGATTTATTTTAAAGATATGTAAGATAAAGAAGCTCTTTTCACGTTTGTTGAGCAGCAGAGAAAAAAAGTACCAAAGACTTGCGGGATCATTGGTTATGTTTATAAAACAGGATAATTCTATGTTTCTGATTCTTGTTATAGAGATAGATATTTTAATAAATTGGCTGATATCGAAACTAACCTTCCTACAATAACCATACCTATTAAGAATGAGGATAAATGTATGGGTGCCATACAATATATTGATACTAAAGGCATTGATAATTTTATTGGAAAACAACTTAAGAACTACTAACTGTCTAATTTAGATTTGATTCAAATATTTGCAGGAATGCTCAATTTTGTAAATAGTAAATTGATTATATAAAAATATTGATTTGCATCATATTAAATATTGCTATTTATTCTAACTATTTTGTAATAATATTTACCTTAAATTAAAATTAAATGAACAATCCATTTCAAAATCCAATAGGCAATCCAAACGATCCAAATAATCAATTGCTCTTAATGTCTCTTGCTTAAGTAGATTCACAAAATATGTTCTTCTTTTTAATGCAAAACCCTGATTTTGTTGAAAAATAGGATGAAGTATTTGATCGATTATATTAATTCAGAGTTTATTCAAAAAGACAGCAATAGGATTTGTTAGAAATACATTGGGTATATTTGTTTTGGGAACAGTGCTTAATTTGTAAATGAAAAGAATCCCTAAAGTAAGATCTAATAATATTTCCAAAGTTTTTGAATTGGCCCATTTATGTTAAAATACCTTTAAGAATCCCTGTCTTTTTTAGCCCATTTTTCTTATTTTAATAATCGCTAACAAATTAACTTGATAACTTAACACAAATGCATCACAAATATTATACAAGAATATTAAGAGTCAAGAAAACTGGCGATTTACGATACTTTGATCCTTAAGGTATATTACAAAAATAATTTGAATAAAAAATGAAAGAATTAATGAAATGATTTATAACGTATCAATTGTTTTGCCTTCATTTTTATTTCAATTTTTACTCTACAATTCCATTTCTTATTCAAAATAACTATTTGAAAATAAATCAGAAATTTTATTAATTTAAAATAATCATAGATGATTAACTTTTTAATTTAAACCTATCTGAAGAATTATAACTTTAAATCTAATAAATGATAATATTAAACTTAAAAACAATAGGTAAGTAAAATTATTGATTTTAAAACTATTTGAAAATTAGAACAATAAGTCAAAATAAAATAAAAGTCATGAGATCTTAAAGTACATCTTACCATTATTAAAAATTAAATGGGATAGCAGCAATAAGGAACTTCTAATATGAAAATTAGATTTAAAGGAATATGTAATATCAACATTCCTTAATCAATTATCAAAGTCTTATTTAAATACCTAATAAATTAAAAAAAGTATCCTCACTTTTTAATGTATGATTGAAAGTTCAAAATATTCAAGTCAATTATTAATTAGATTATTATTTCTAGATAGAGCAATAACTCAAAGAATATAATCATAAAAAAGTTTATTTACAAACCACACCAATTTTATATAAATTACTATTACGGAAATTATGAGGAGAAAAAAACTAGAATATAATGATTTTTTTGATATTTTATTTTGATATATTTCACTTTAATCATTGATTCTTTTATTACTTTTGTTAGAGCTCCTAAATGGCTTCTTTTATTTAATTTTGTTCTTGTTATTGTTATTACTCTTGCTTTTGATTTTGTCCTTTTTGATTCTGTTTGTCTTATGATTCTTTATTACCATTTTAAGCATGAACCATGAACATTTCAATTTATTAAATTTATTTTCTTAAAAATTAAATCATGTTATAAGTAAATATTCGATATTTATAAAATCATTATCTTTTTTCATCGGGTAGTGTTAAGGTGTGCGATAATGTATTTATAAAAAAATTAAGATAACAGATAAAAATAATAAATAATATTAAACATTATTAAACTCATCATTATATTTATATAATATAGGTTTCATTTAGTTTTTTTATTTATTTCAAAATATAAGAATGCATTTTCTCTAATCCTATTGTTTAACTCATCTCTAAATAGAGTACAAACAATCTTAATTCATTCTAAGTAAAATTAATTAAATTATTGAAAATCTTTAAACTATCTTTCAGAGGATAGCAATTATACTTAATCATCATTAAAATGAAGTTTGTGTCGAATTATTCAAGTTCTTAATAGTTTAACATTAAATTTTAAGGGATATTGAATTATTTCAAATTATCTGGAAACTTTTACTCTAGTAATTAAATCATAATAGCTGTGCCTTGTCCATCATTGAATTTATAGGACTATTCAAGGATTTAATTAACTATTTCTGAGTCTATTTGCAAAAGCTAATCAAATAATTTGGTTTGGTAAACTAGTTAATTTATTATTATCTCTATGTTTAAAACATCAATAGAACTTTGAATAACTAAATATACAAAGTAAGCTTAAGCCCTAGTGATCTATACTTTCATTAAATAAAATAAATTACATTATAGTTTTCATTTGCATTAAGAACTTGAAGTAAAGCTGTATTTAATTAAAATTTATTAGTTTTAAAAAACCATTTAAATAAATGATAAGCATCTTCTTCGGTTTTAATTGATTCCAACACATTCTACCTAAAACGCTTATCAAGTCTTCCTTCATTTCTTAGGCTCTTTAACTTTTAAGTAAAAAGCTATCTAATTTTTGGACTAAAATATTAACAATTACATAGGGCTAGCAGTAATGGCATAGAGCCCATTTTATAAAATTAGTTACCAATATATTCTGGCAGTTGTATTGATGGGTATTCTTCAAATAGTATAATCAGGTTTAGGATGGATGTCTTGGATAATTAAACATCGTAATAGTTTTCTGCAGAGAAATTTTAATTATTTAGGCTTTATAAAAAGGGAGAAATATCAATTGCACAAATAAAATGAAGATATAAAAGATTTTTAATGTTTAAGTTTATATTCTAAGTTGTAAGATTTTTTAGAATAATTTTCAAATATTCTGCAAAAGGTTAAGATTTGGTCTTTTTTTCTAAATAGTATAATGACATTTAATTGACATAGGATATATTGTAATTTTCCTGAAGCAAATTTAAACAAATAGATTCAAGTTTGAGAACATCTTTGTTATCTATGTAATCAGCCTATATCAAATTCTACAAATATTAAATTAAGAAATCAAAATTAAGAATACTTTATTAATTTTCATATTTTTGTAACATTTGTAGAACTTATTCATGAATGAGCAGCAAAAGTGATTTGTATTCTTCAGGATTTGAATATTTGCAATTCTACAGGATGGCAATTATAGATCCTGATTCTAAATACTTAACATTCTATTTGGTATATTCAAATTTATCATCTAATTACTCCAGATACTATTTCTCTGTCACATGATATTTTAGTCTCATGTTAATGAAGGTCTTAGTCATAAATGCATATTAATCAACATCAAAACTCTTGCTCATATTTTTTGAGTAGTTTAGAGCTTGCAATATGCAATAGAGGTCAATTCTCTTTTTTAATATGAATTTCTTATTTATAGAGGTAAGAAATTGCATGAGTTAAACAACAGTGATATCTTTCGTAGAAAAGACATAATCAATGTAAAATTTGCTTAGCAATTCATCATTTGGGAATATCATTTCTACACATTCATATATCATGTTTAATTACCTTGGTAGGAACTAATTTTCTTCAATGTACTTTTTAGTAATTTATTGCAATTATTTACGATCCACTGAATTTAGGTATCCTACACTAAGTTTGTCATAGTATAGTTTCTTATACCAATAGATGAAGTCCCCAAGATCTAGATTATTTAGGGTGGATATATATTGGTTGAATTATTTTATTAGATTTTGATAGGATTCATTGAAATAATGATTATGGATAGGTAGATTATACATTCCTTGCATTTTGGCTGTGATTTTTAAACTCTACAATAAATGACGCTCAGTAAATTAATGTTTGTATCTGTTGTAAATATCAATCAATTTGGTTGGATCTAGTTATGTGCAAATCAAGGCGGTCAACTCTTCTGATTCTAAATCATCGCGAGCTAAATTTAGTCTTGAACTGCAAAGTTGGATTTCTTAAGATGATGTATAAGCCTTAGATATACAATAACCACGAAGTTAGCTATATGATTTTGATAAAATTTTATTCATTAATTAAATTAATTCAACCATCATTCGAAGCATAAAAGAATCTCGATCTCTTAGTCTTAATCTTTCCTTAATTGTTTATATCAAAGGCTCCTGATTGTGAACGCTAATGTTTTCTCTTTTGTATTGGATCCGGACTATTTTATTCGGAATCTAAATGCATATTGTTAAAATTCTGTTTGATCGCATCCATTGAGTTCACCGAACTTGTTGAACCATTAATGGATGATTAAGCAGACACACAAACCAATTTCTAAACTTTAGGCTCTTTGTTGGAAGATGAACCACTATTTTCTTCTTCTTTTATTTAATCTGAAATCAGTTTTTCTGAGCGTTAGGAACTTAGAGTACCAATTGAATTCGTTGGAGTATTTTGTTATGAGGAATATACATTGAATTTAAATTGTTACTATTATTATTAAATAAATTATTAAGGAAGATATTGAGCTTAATACATGTTTGGGATCATCTATTATTACTATTGGATTAATTGTTATTGCATGAGCTATTACGAAATTAAATTTTGATGTTGGGGAATCTAGATACTCATTCCCTATAATTGTTATTGCTAACAAGGTAAGATAGGGTTGATTGGTTATAATTAAGGTTGTATTGTAGGGATTGTTTAGATCTAGGGTATTTATGGAAATTATTAATAGTAATATTATTATGGAGCTATTAAATATGGATATTAGGGAAGCTAAGAGAACGATTATTCATTATTGTAACTTTATTATTCTTACTGATTGCTTTTCGAGTTCTGTGCATGATCCACTGGTTTTAATCTACTTAGAATTGAGTGAATTAGGAACTCAGTCATTTTATCTAATCCATGCTTTAAGGGGTCTTCTTGATTATCCTAAAGCAATTCCTATGGTATTTAGACTATCTTCTTCTCTTTATTGATGATGCTCTTGAATCTATTTTTTACTTAGTTCTCTGTTCTATTTTTTAACTTCTTTGATATGTTCGACCATCTCAAACCTTCGACTAATGTAATTTGTAACAAATTATAATCGTCAATTTCAGTCCAAATACCTCTTAGATGATAAACCAAAAACTTTACCTATTTACTTAAGGATTTAGATAATTATTCCATCTCTCTCTGTACTGTTTTGCCTTTCTAAAATAGTTTCCTTGCGATTAAATAAACATTTCATATTACACTTCAAACCACTTGATGTTTGGTTCCTTTGTCATTATTTTATAAAGCAACTTATCTTCTTCAGGCAACCAATTTTTATTTGAAGGAACAACTCTCAAATGAGAAAGCCATTTAAATTGGCAATTTAATGAGTCTTTGAATGCTATTATTTCAGATATGTTATTCCAATCCTATCCTTACTAAAGTAAACTTATATAGATTTACAAATTCATCACTGTTTTTTGAATGCAATTAACAATACTATTACATTACCCATAATAGTATTTTCCATTCTTCATCTGTCCAATTCCTCGAACCATGCATTTTTAAGAACTCCCTAATTTGTTTGTAAAATACTCAATTACTGCGATTGGCAATATTCGTAAAAGTGAAGTACTTCATTAAGAGTAATAAAAGTTTATTGAATTCTCAACTCAAGTATGCTCTACAGCTTTGATAAATCTACTGAACTCTTGTCCTCTGTAAAATTCTAAATGAATTGTTGTAATTTTGGCAAGTGTAATTATAGGTTGGTATTCATTAATATTAAATTAATTTATGAAATGCTCTTAATAATAACTTCCTATATACTATCCTGATTATTTTAATTTGTATTATGTTACAAATATAGACAATTAAAATGAAAATTACTTAAATGCTAACATATTTTAAAAGCATTTTTTCAATAAAGTCTGTACACCTTTTTGTAAGAACGCTCTACTAGGCTTATTTTAGCGAGCACGTTAATTTATTTAATTAGATGCCAAAAAAATATTGTAACTTCCAAAAATGTCAAGAAATACTTTTGAGTTTGTAATTGAGTAGTGATGAGATGCTAAATAAAAATTATTATATAAATTTTTGAAAACTTTTGTATGGCCTAGAATATTATAGTGGGAGCTATTAAAATAAAGGATGGTTTATTCATTGGAGATGAGTACGCGTCACAAGTAATCTATTAGTTATAATATAGGATCGAGAATTCATTATAAATAATAAAGTTACTCATATAATCAATTGTTCTGGTACAGAAGTGCAAAACAAGTGGATCATGATGAATGTGAAATATCTTACATTCAATTGGCTTGAATAAGACAATGAAGTAAAACATTCCATTTAAAAGGTCTTATTTGACGACAAAAACGAAAATGTCAATAAAATTTATGCATTCATTGAAGAGTGCTTTCAATAAGGCGAAAGTTGTTTGGTTCATTCACTCAGAGGTTAAAGCAGAGCATGTTGCGTATTGGCAGCTTATTTTATGAAAAAGTTCGTTAATTTATTTAAATAATAAGGTATTCATGGACACTCTACAAAACACTCGAATATCTCAATTCTAGAAGACCAGATCTTGAAATAAGGGCCTCCTTCTTTTATTAACTAAACTCATTAGAATCCAAAATGAATAAGACAGGGCCAAAGAGAACTGCCTCTTGGAATGAATTAACATCGGACGAGCTGAATCCTCAATAACTCTAAGAAGAATTAATTATAAGAAACACATTTCTCAATTCATAAAATGGACCTGTTGATGACATCTACACCAATTTACAATCCAAACTAGTATGAATTTGAAATACATAATAGTCAGTATTAGGAAAGGTTTATAATCAGAAAATTAAATGGAAAGATTAATTAAACAAAGAAAACATTTAGTTATCTACCTTAGTCTATACAGGATCTCCAGATTTTGTGTAAACTACAGACACTAAGCTCAAAGAGGATAATGACTGCCAATCAATTTTAAAAGTAAGCTAATAATTATTATGAGGGAGTATAAAAAACTACATTAAATTAACCTGCAAAATAACCATAAATCTAGCACAGTTTTCCTAAGTGTCCGAATTAAAATAATCACATTTGTAAATAACTCAAATAAGATGATTGTGAGTCGTTTAAATAAAATGCTTAAATGAGTAATAACTAATCCTTTTTAAATTTATTAATGCATTGTGCATAAAGATAAAAGTAAAATTCATAATAGGAAAAAAAGACTTCACCTATATCATCAGATTAAATGTAAAGTCCTTAGTTCATTAATCAGCCAAGTGGAGTGAGAAGCACATCCTTATAATAAAATGATGAAAAGAAAAATTAAAATGATCCTACGAATAATCGTCCAAGTTCTGTAAAATAAAAGGATGTTTCTCCATCTCTCTTAACTAACTTTTAAGAATTTAAAAATCAAGTATAATAATCATTACATTATTTTAATAAATAGTCTGAAACTATTTTAAATATGGATAAACAATTAATTAATGTTATTTAATAGTAATAATATTAATAATAATAATAATAATAATAATAATAACAATAATAGTAATAATACTAATAGTAATAATAATAATCTAATATCTCATATTTATCTTAATAAAATGATTCAAAATTACAAATCCAATAATCTACCTAACATCATTCAGGTGCCCAATAAAAGACTAAATTAGATTAATTAATTAGTCCAACATTGATTTCTACTATGAGTTCAACAAAACATTCTGAAATTTAAAAAACCTTAACTTAATCCATATCATAATTATAATCAAGTTATTAAAAATTTTAATAATTACAAATGAATAATTAAATGAAACTATCATAGTCGACTAGCCAAATTCAACAGCAAAATAATAGTAAAACTTCAGCAGAATTAAGTACAACAAATATAGGAAATATTTCTAAGATTTAAAATAGAAGTAGTTCTTTAATAAAAAAAGGGGATGATTTAGACAGTAAGAATAGGCCTAATAGCGCTGATATAAAGGATCAATTAAAAAACAATAACGTTTAAAAAAAGGAGAGTTTATCTCCATTTCGAAAAGATCCAATTAAGAAAATGCATTAATATGGACCCCCTTTACCTTAGTCAAATTCTTAAATTTATCTTAGAAATGTTTAATGTCGAAGATAAGCTGCATCCACATTAAGGAATCAGTAAAAACCAAATAATTCATTTTAAGATAAATATTTAAATCAAAGTGCTAACTAAGTACAGAATAATAGTAGTTTTAATAACAATAGTAATTCAAACATAGAAGCAGATTCAAAGATGCAGTAAAAAGTAGTTTAGGGATTGGTTTCTGACGTAAACCATCTGAAAAAATTGATTTCGCCTTAAAGTTTGACAAAAAGTTAGGCACAATTTTTAAAAAATCAACCCATTAGGGTTTTATAAGAATTGACAGAAAAAACTTAGAGCATCAAGCAAATGTATTTGTTTTAGTATAGCCTTTATAGCAAAGGAAAGGATAGTATTTAATCCGCAGCCATAACATTTGTGCAAAAACCATCAACAGTGAATACAAGAACGTTCTCACCAGCAATTAAAAGTAAAAAATATATATATGAAATTACTTAAGATGATCAAAAGTGCAAAAGTAGTCATGTTGGGAATCCTTAAAATTTGAGGTCGAAGATAAGAAATTCATCCCCTGGTAAGATTTTAGCTGATTTTAGGTTTAAACAAAGATTAAGAGAGTTTTAGTTCTTTTTCGTATTCAAATGTAAATACTACTTAGCCAGAGAAGAATAGTTGGAAAATGCTTTGATACATTTAATTCAATTTTGTTTTGTTAATTGATATGAATTCTAACTAAGTATGATCTAGAGTTTTCTTGGAAATTAATTATCAATATAAAATAAAGTATTATAGAAAACAGTGTAATCATTTTCTTAAGGAACAAACTATGGGATCCAAATTGCTGTATGAATGTTTGGGTAGAATTAGGGAAAAATACAAATTAGAAAGAATCTCTGATTGATCTATGAATTGTTAAATTATTATATTTGTTAAATTAATTTATTAGTGGTAGTACATGCAATCAAAACAATGTAATCTATTCTATTAATAATGAACAATTTGTTCAAATATATATTTGGGACTCTCTTTTCTCATATATTATATTTTTTACGATTTATTGAAATATTTAAATTTTTTTTAATGATTTTTCCTACCCCGGTCTTATTTTTGAAGGGTTTCAAATTGGAATTCAGAAAAAAATAATAATTAAAATAATTTGTTTTCAAAAGAACTTCTCCTCCTTAAGAAACCATTACAACAGATATGACTACCTTTTGTGTAAAATTTAGTTTTAATTTTTGATTCTAGCAAATAGAGGATATTTTTTAAGTTCATCTCACCTCTGACCAGGCTAGAGTGATTGCTAATAAACTACCCTTTGGATTTAGCGTTAGTTTAAGCAGATAATCTAAAAGAGACGTCAAAGTTTTATTAAAAAATTATAAATTTTTAGAAGGTCCAAAAGGATATTTCATCTGAGGAAGATAATAAAGTCGTTAAAAAGCCTTATGTAGCCCCTTAAAGAGCTGAAAATTCAGATGACATGAAAAGATGTTTGACCTTACTATAAAGATTGAAAAAACATTAATTAGCAGCACCTTTTTTAAGAAAATTGGATAATGTCAATTATCCTCAAGAATTAGAATATGTTGACTTGTAAATAGTAGAACAGAATCTCAAAAATAGTAACTATATCTTTTTACAATGATAAGATGTTTATCAGACAGCTACTTAATTTTGGGTAGACATTAAGAAGGTATGGTAAATGTCGTATACAATGAATAACAAAGGTTCTTAATTATATGCAATGACTTAAGAACTAGAACAACACTTTAATGAATTGTATAAAGAATTAGATAAACCTTAACAATAAAAATAAACAATAGATCAACCAATTAAAACCGATAAATAATAAAAGAAACCTCCTGCAGTGCATTAGACACCAATCGTTAATAAGAAACCAGTGTATAAATATCTTATTAGATTCTTAGAAAATAACCAAGTCTTATGGAATAACCTATGAGTATGTAAGAAATGAGGGCTTTAGTTTCAAATATAAACAGTTTACCACCTGAACACTTGAGAGGAGTTTGGGAGATAGTGTCTGATGGATTAAAAATCTAAGAGTAAAGTGATGAACTGGAATTCGATATAGATACACTTCCTGTAAAAAAAACTAGGCAATTAGAAAAATATGTAAACACGAAACTGGAACTCTTAAGAAAATAACAAAGTAAGAAAATTGCAGAAGAAACTAAAGAATCAGATAAGACTAATAAGATTGTAAGAAATTAGTAATATAATTAAGGTTCATACAGCTAACACTACCTATAACTATGCTCCATAACCAGCTGCTCAACAAAAACAACTTGACACTGAAGACAGTTCATTTAGCAGTGATGCTGATAGTTCTGGGTGAGCATGATTAGCATTTTTATTTTTTGAATAATTCATTTAAACTAATATTTTCTCATTTTTTAATTAAGACTTCTGTAAAAATTCTATTAAATTATAATGACTTTTCTCTATATTTTAATAATTTTCTTTTTGAAATTTTTAAAATTTAAGTTATCATAATCAAGACTTTATATTATATTTTGTTTCATTTTTGTTGTTTAATAAATATTAACCACGATAGCCTGCTAGATTATGATATTAGTATAGATATCTCGTCATATAAATGAAAAAAGCAACGCATCATAATTTCTGAAAAAATAAATTATTCACCAAAGGTGATGATATTGCTATTGATTCTAAATCACATAGGATAAACTAAAATACTAAACAGAAATATGAATTTGATTTAGTAAAATAAAAAAGAGAGTTATTTTAATTAAACAATAATGTTATTTATATTAGCAGAACTGGGGAATTTAAGGAACATAATCGCAATGACAGTCCAATTTAACAAAAAATCTTGTGGTTTTCATTTCATATATTAAATTTGAATATCAATTTATAATTTAATATGCTAGAAGTAGATATCAATATGTAAAAAGATGGATTAGTAATAATTTCATTAAATTATCCAATTTTTAATGCTTTTTTATATATATTACGAAAAATACTATTTTCTAAATAAAATAAAAAGATCAATCTCTGTTCAATCCTTTATCAAATTTTAGCAATTCTTTTTGAATTTTATTTATTTTTTTTGTATTATATGCAGGTTACTGTTATGTAGGTTATTAGTAAGGCATAGTTGCATAAGGAAACCCTTAATGATTAAATGCAGGCGAATTAAACAACCTTAATAGACAAGGAACCTCTGATTGGGGGGCACTTTAGTCAAGATTGTTAGTAGATTTCATATATTCATCAAAAAGCTGTAATTAACTAGAATAATTCTTATTTCTCATTTCATAAGGTGAGGATATGTTGTTTGGGCTCGATTCTAAGAAATAAAAGTTAATAAGTACTAATTAGATAATGTAATGGAGAGAAAGGCAACATTGGAGAAAATACAGGTAATCCAAGCATGAGCGATTATTGTTGCTGTTGCTATTACAATTATTATTGTTAGGTTAATATTTATTATTGTTAGAGAATTTATTGCGATTACAATTATTAATCTTATTAATGCTCTTCTTTTATTTCATTACTTTCTATTTGCATATTCTTTTAATCATTACTAGTATTTTAATATACTGTGGCATTATTATTGTTGTTGTTATTATTATTAGAATTTTAATTATTGATGTTATTATTAACTGTTTTTCTTATGCGTTTACAAGTCAATGGTAAAGGGCCTTCATAGTCTTTTCCTTATAAATTTGCCAATAACTTTTTAATTGCTATATCCTCATTATCTAGCTACTAAAGATTTAAAGTGTTTCATACATTTTGTCTTCTATAAGTATTCATCATCGAATTGTATTGATTTTTTACCTAATTTTCTGTTCTTCCTGATATTTTTTTCGAAATAAGGGACCATCTCTTTCCCATTTCTTAAACTAGCAACAATAGTTGTAATTATTCGGGTTATGACCATTCAGATCTAATTAAAAATTTGGCTTATACTTTTTTAATTCGGGATTCAAATAATTATTCCATCTTTCTCTAATTTATTTAGCATGTCTAACTATTTTGGCAGGATTTATTCTATTGAAATCAATGGTAATTTGAGTCCAATTTTTATTTTCGTTTGGATCTGTGATTAAGCTTTACAATATTTCATCTTCCTCAGGGTTCCAAGGGGCCATTTTCAGATTGGTTTTGAGCATGCTGATCCACTTTAAATTCAATAGCTGTTCTGTTACTCCTAAGACATTTGATAGATAATGCCAATCATCTTCAGACTATCGTATAAAATTCATATTACAGGGTTTAGATCGTTCTTCTTTATGAATTCAAAATATTTTAACACTGTCCACACAAATAAAATTTTATCCTTTCTATGCCATTTAGTACGATGTTCCTCATTTGTGCGTCTACATATAAGTATTATAATCTACTTTGAAAATTCCTAGAAGTAATAGTTCAAGATATTTTTGCAAGGAGGAAAGCTTTTCTCGTTAATCTTTAGAACCTTTTTAATCTGTTTTAATTTAACAGGCCTCTCTTTGAAATCACTGATGTCCTCTAAAAATTATGAAAACTTCGACATTTTAATTTAATTAAAATATTTAGATTATTACGGCAAAAAGATTTTTGGAATATATTAAGTGATTTGGAAAATCAGGCTGGTATAAGTTGAATTTATTAAAATAATAGAATACTTCAAATTCATTAATTGATAACTTAATTACTTGTATCAAATATAACTTGATTCCATAACTGAATGAAGTTCTTATTTTAGTCTGAGTATTTTTATATTCTATTTTATTAAACTTCTAAATTAATTTGTATAATCTGATTTCACGATCTTTGGATAATTATGAAGTACTTATCTCAAATATGAATAAGACTTAATTCCTTATCCAATATTGATACTCCCTCATATTAAAATAAAAGAATATACATATTTATAAACGAATTAGCCAAATTTTAAACTCTATATCCAATATTTTCTGGAACTAGAGTTTGATATTTATTTATATTACATCTTGAAGAAAATCTTATAGTTTATTAAAAAAAAGTAATATCATATCGTTTCACAAAAGGTAATGTTTCAAAAACAATAAAAAAACATTCATTTTATAATAAAAATTATCAGTGTAATTTAAAGCAATTTAGGGCGTATTATTAAAAATCAAGTCACATTATTATTTAAATTTAGCAAAAATGATTGACGTAAACATAAGTCCTTTCTAATACAATAGGGATAGATCTTTCATCATTATAGTAATGTTGATTTTGATGGCAAATGCAAGCTACATGATGATGATACCTCTTTTTCCCCCATTAATAAAAGAAAAGGGGTTCACTGAAGCTGGAATTGGAATTATTATGTGTTTTTACCCACTCGGATGTATACTAGCTTCTTGGAAGTTGGGTAAAATGCATAGTACTAAAAACATCATTTTTTATGGTTTGATTGGATAGTTGATAATATCCATCATTTTGGGGATTTCATATTATTTGAATGGTGCTCTCTTTTTTATTCTTTCATCAATTTTAAGATTCTTCTAGGGAATTGTAAAGCAATTTATTAAATATTTAGTCAAACACCATGATTTAGGTTCCTTCATATTCGATAACTGGACATTTGTTTTCAGAACAAGTTTCAGAAAAGATTGCCAAATTGGAAATGGCTTGCAACTTTGGTTTAGTTTGTGGCCCTATGATAAGTGGTGTTCTATTTATTCTAGCAGATATATATAGCTTTAATACTTTTCAATACTCCTTGTATTTCGTTGCATTTCTATACTTTTTCATAGCCATTTGTGTTGTAATGTTTCTGGATGAGAGGATATTCAACTTCAATCAAGAGCAATAGGAAGTTTCAATCAATTATTATGAGGTGTTTAAAATTCATGAATTGAATGTGACTTTTACTTCATATTTCTTCCTAGGAGTAACTGCTTAAGCATTGCGTACTTATTTGGTAATCTATATCAATTAACACTAGTCTGTTTAATTGTTGGAAGTTTATGAACTAGATGATGCAAATTCTTAATTCCTTTTTATGATTTACACTATTGTAAGCTTTTTTGGAGCTTATTATATAGCCGAATAAAAAAAATACACTTTAAATTAGCTTTACACTTACTGTCTCTATATTGGAGCTTTGAGTCTTCTACTCTATGGTCCATCAATGATAGGATTACCAAAGTCTATTTACGTTATATGTTTTGCTGATATCATAAGAGGAATTGGAATTGGATCAGCGTAATTCAATTATTAATTTCTAGTCCTGCCATTATAATGCCATTGATTGTGCAAATTATGGAGAAATTTAAACATAAGGATTAAGCAGCAGAGGTTGGTTCAACTCTTTTGATTGCAGGATGGTCATTAGGAGATTTAATTGGACCTATTATAGGAGGAATATTTATAGATTAAGTTGGTTTTGATAAAACTAGTGTAATCATGAGTGGAGCTTTATTTGTTATAGGCTTTGTATATTAAAAAACCAGTCATATCGATTAAGAACAATCAGGAATAGAGATGCAAATTCTAATTCATTGAAGTTAGATTATTAATTTTTAATTTTTGTGTAATAGTAATTTTAATATTAATCTGTGATCAAACAAATATATTCTATAGCAATCAATTAGTATTTATTGAATTCTTTAATGGAAAATCTTTTATCTAAAATAGTTAAAATTAAATTTTATTAAATTGATACATATTATAACAATTTATTATATAAAATGTGGAATATTACCAAGGATTATTTTCTGCTTATTCACTATTTAAAATACATATCATATTGAAAATAGAAGTTCTATAATCAACAATTTATAAATTACCAAACAATTATCTATTAATTGTAACATTCTGGGAGAATATTTTACAAAATAAAAATAGAAATTTATTCTTTAGATATTATTTATCATATATAAAATTAATTTGTTTGATTTTTCATTTGGTTATTAAGGCTCTCTATATATCTCTTGATATTTTAGTTATTATGTATATTAAATAAAGGTAGTTTTTGATGTTGAAATTAGGATATCAGATGGAATCATGAAGAATAAAGGAGTAATGAATAGTAGAGCAGATTCGATATTAAGTAAGTCTGGAAAATACAAAATTTGTGATTGGTCAATTAAATTATGTTAGTATAATAATATTAAAATAATAATGAAAGTTTCATTTGATCACGATGTCTATAAATGGCTATTGTCCCTTACTATCGTTAAACCTCAATAAGTGAAGAACACTGGTAAAGTTGAATTAGATGAGAACCAAAGCAAATTATTTATTAATGGTATTAAATTCGGAGAAGCCCTTAATAAAATGCTTGAAGCGAGATCCATTGTAAAAATCACATCGTAATTTTAAGCATGTCCCAAATTTAAGTGAACAAATGAAAAATTAATTAACTCCAGGAGTTAAATTATTCAATTGGAATATTTTATAAGATGCATTTCAAAAAATTAACTTGCCTTTAGATAACGATATTAAAAATTTGATTGTCAATGGCGATACAGAAATGATGAATGAATTGCTAAAAGATATGATGGAATTGGATAATCAAATCAATAGAAAATAATAAACAAGAGGATCAGTCAGATCCTCAGAGGATTCCTCCTTCGAATCTTAAAAGAAGCCTCCCAGCAGACCACCATCAAAATTACCATAAACGAAATATGATATTCAGGGAAATAATAATAACGAATTAATTTTAGATGAATTAGATATTAAAAAACCATTAAATGAGTCTAAGTCTTTGCTTGAATTTTTTATTACAGGACTATCGAAACATTTGACTTTAAAACCTTAATAAGCTGCATCTTTATTATCAAATGGTAATAAATATTTAGCCCATTTACTTGTTAAAGGAGTCAAGGGAGAATTTGAAACTTTGATAAATTGGTTAAGTGATATTTATGCCAATATCTCTAGAGTATTCAATTTTCTAGAATAACAAGACTCAAATGTGCACTACTTTTTTTCCACTATAAAACCAGGTCTTTTATCTAAAGAATAGGAAATTACTCTTTGGACATTAAGGATCATGGGAAGAACTTATTTCGAACTTTCTGAAATGGAAATGCACTAATTAGGATACGAATGGTTTTGCAAAGAAAATGGAGGTTTGGCAGCAACATTTCTATGCATGCAAAGACATCCAAATTTACTGAGTTAAATCTGTGAATTGTACAGTTAAGTAGCAAGATTTAATATTGTCGATTTTTTTACTGTCTAATTCAAGAAATAATTAGCAGATAAATGTATTGACATGTTAAATTCTTTGATTGAATTTCTCTACTAATAGAAAACTTTGAAGGATGAATTAGTTCAATAAGGAATTGTGTAATATTGGGCCTCAGCAGCATTAAAAATGTCTGATTCGGATTAATTGCTGATTAAGATACAGGGGCTTAAGTACTTAACTTTAAATTGGTTATTATATCCCATTTAATTTGAAGAAGACTAAAATTACCCTAATCAATTCTTATTCTTAATGAAAAAGGGCACTAGAGATTCGTCCAATAATTTGAAATATTTCTCGCTTAATATGCTATTCCGATTACTAGATAAATTAGCTACGGATAGAAATCCATATGCAGCAGTGCTTTATAAGAAACTCACCTTCACTCTAATTGAAAATTACAATGAACTAGATGTCAGAGAATTCATGTTGAACAATTTTATGTATTTAATTGAAAAATACTCATCTATTCCCATCGATATTCTAATAGAACCATTGATTAAGCAGGTGATGTTGAATGATGCCTTAGTTAACTTAACAGATATGATGTTATTTAAATTTATTAGTAAACATCCAAAGATGAAAATAAGGTTGGCAATATTACTATTGGATTTGCTTGCTAAAATATATTTAAATAGTGTGACGATGTCGCATTTATCATTAAATCCAATTCAAGTGCTTTTGGCTCGATTTGCAGAATCACCTTTGCTGAGAGAGTATGCTTTTAAACTTTGTAAAATTGGACTAGCACTGCATTATGGCAGTTTAAAGAGTAAGAGATAGTAGGTTAAAACAAATGATTTGTCCATTCTCTCTGCATTACAGTAACACAATAATGATCACGAAATACTGGAAGCTTAAAAAAGAGCCTAAATAATTGAACTAATTAAGTTCATAATCAATATGCAGCAAGATGAATTAAATGAATAAATTAAACCCTTGCTATGCCACTTCTATATCGAATTGTATTATGTTATTGTTTATAATTAGATAAGCTATTAGTATTAAGGATAAGGGAGTGATAACACTATTAAATATGTTTGGCAATCCCGATAAAATAGTTTAGGCTATTAAATCATAATGGGAGGCTGAAAAATAGGAATAGGATGAATTACTAAAATAATCTCAACTAATTATTGATAATGAGTTTGTCTAAAATTAGCAATTGAATTCTGCTGAGCAAACTCCTTAAACTGTGAAGAGTGAGAAAAGGTATTAAAATGATGGCGATCCTTTTAATGCTTTAAGACAAAAGGAATTGGAGGATGAGAAGAAGTTTTTGGCTCAAAATGGTGTGGGATTCAAAAAGAGAGTTGTTGAATTAGAGAGAGGTAAGTAACCAATTGCTCCAACTCCAAATACCTAGTAGTAATAAGCGAAGAAAAAGCCTTAATAAGTAGACCCCAAGGTCTTAGAAAATATAGCTAACATTAAATTGAAGAAGGAGGAGGAATTGCTGAAGAAATAATAGGAAGAAGAGGAAAAGAGAAAAAGAATAGAGATATTACAAAAGAAAGCATAATAGGAGATTTAGAAAAGAACTACTGGGAAAGTAATTGAGAAGGCAGATGAAAAGAAGGTTGAATTGATTGATCTTGATGATCATGAGACACACGACTTTGAATCTATGAGTGTGGCTATTAAGAAGAATCATAAGGCTATGAAATATTTATTCTCCAAATATTCTAATACGACTAATTAGGCAAGTAAGAAGTAGTACTTTGGAGAACTCTAAGAATAGTATGAAATTATTTAGTTATCTGATATAATGAGAATGTTGAAAGATTATTAAGTGAATATGTCTAAGGAAGAGGTTCAAGCATATGTCAAAGCTATAAATCATAAATATTCTGAAAATAAGGGTGATCAATTTAGTTTAGATTAGTAGAATTTTGAGAGGTTTCTAGCTTAACTTTCAATGAAAATTGAAGGATACACCTTTTAAAGAAAGCCAGCAGGGTAATGTTTGGAATAGTTTATGTAAAGTTTTGGTTCTATTGCAAAATCAAAAAGTATAACATATCATAAATATATTAGATGAAAATCATCTCATATTTTTGGATCCTGATAATATCAATATTGATCCAGATAGAGATCTTATTAGATAGTTAAATTTACAGCTGTAAACTTAAGATGTACCTGTTCCTAGTAAGTTCAAGAAAGTTACAGAAAAATAACTGAATTAAAGATATGAATACAGATAATAAGCAATATTGGGAATTGAAAATGCCTGGCTTGATTGTCATGAAATAGTCAATTAATTGATTTCAGAAACATTTAAAACTAATGTTATGGAACCCTTGTCCGATATAAAGATTATTTGGAAGGTCAAACCAAGTCCACAACAATAACAGGAGCAAGTTGTTTAAGTGAAATAGAGAGATAATTCATAATAGAAGAAAGTCATCAATAGAGCTATTGAAGATAAATTATTGAAGCAATAGGAAGAAGAATAAAAGAAATTGGATGCTGAGGAGAAAAGAAAAAAACATTAGGAAAAGTTAAAATAGGAATATTTGAGAAAAAAGAGAGAGAAGGAAGAACAGGAATAACTTAAGAAGTAGGAGGAGAGATAAGAGATGATTGAAAAAGCAGAAAGAGAGAAAAAGTAATAGGAACAATTAAAGAAAGAAGCAGAAGAAAAGAAGTTAAAGTTAAGAGAATATAAAGAAAAAATGGCAGAAGAAAGCAAAATAAAAGAGGCTTAGAATGTTGAATTACAAAAATAAAAATAAGAATTAGAAAGAAAATAAAGAGAGGAATTTTAGAAGAAATAAAAAGAAGAAGTAAGTAAGTTATTGGAATAAAAGAAGAAAGAGTTTAAAGATAAAGAATAATAAGAGAAATAGAAGGAATAGAAAGCAAAAGAAGAAATGAAGGAATGGAAAAACAATGTTGAGATTATGCTTTAATAAGAATAAGAGGTAAGATAAAGGGAGAAGTAAATGCATCAAAAAATTTAATAGTTGTAACAAAATTAGGATATTCAATCCATATATAAGAAATATGATAAATAATTATAAGCTATATATCATGCTTATCAAGAGTATACTGATTGGAAGATTGAAAATGCAGGAGTCGAAAAAGAATTATTACAATTCAAAGGGTTTACTAATTTTGCTTCTTAATTCAGCATTTATCCAGCTATTATTACTCCTGAAGATGCATAACTAATCTTCAGATCAATCACAAGAGAAAGAGAAAGATAATAATAATAATTAAATGAAAAAAATGGCTTTAATGCTATACCACCAAAGGGAATGAACTATCATGAATTTTAATAGGCACTATTGAGGATTGCCATTAAAGGATAGAAATATTTTGATCTTCTCAATGAAAAATATGAAAACAACATGAAAACCATAGATATGATTGCATTAAAAAAGGATCAGGCAATTTCAGAAGAAGGACCATTGGAAAAAAGAGAAGATCAATATTAACAAGTGGATGCAACAAGTTCAAAAACAATGCAAGGCTTAATGTATTTTTTGGATATGCCTGAGGAGAAAACTGAAATGAATTCTAAGTTAAGGGCATTAAAGTTAGAATTTCAGAAAGTGGCAGCATAAAGAGATAAAAAATAAAGTAATTTATATTTATTATCAATCATAGTGGTTTAGTAAAAGTTAACAGATGAAGTCAAGTAGCCAACAAAACGAAAGTAATCTTTAGGGTAAAAGGAAGGAAAGGACAAAAGTTAAGAAAAATGTAATGATATATTTATATCAAAGAATAACCTTAGAGAAATAAATCTTAAAATATTAGAGTTGATTCTGCATAGAATAAAATGAAATCGTCTTAAAAAGAGTAGATACAAGCAGTCGATGAAAACGAATTAAACAAGCAATCTCCTAAGAGTATTTTAAAATTATATAAATCTTTTAGAGATAGAAACTGTAGGACCCGATGGAAAAAAGGAAAGTTGGAAAGTTAATTAATAAAAACAATGATGATATATAACTAACTATTATATTTTTATCAAAAAATCAAAATAGAATTGGCTCCTTCAAAATTACAGATTGCAATTCTATTGTCTTCATATTCATTTTAAGCATACTTCATTAATATATTTTATGGCAAAATTCAAATAATAATAATTTCATTCGAAACAAAATCAGAATTTAATCACAATATCAAGATACATTTATTCTCTTTTGAGCTTCTTGTTAAACTGAACCTTCAGTAGTCAAAGGAATCCTAGAGTTGCACTCTTTATTTCTACTAATGAAAAGGATAGTATATTGATATAGATTGCTAAATAGTATGTGTATCTGAAATATTCAAAAATTGGAATCATTAATATATAAAGTTTATCGAATTTTCATTCTGCCAAAGCACCACTTAATGAGTTCTATTCTCCATAACTCTTTAATTGATAGGATTTCGTTTAATTCAATGAAAAAGAGAAGAAACCAACTTTTTATATAATGAATAAATTTATTGATGTTTGATATATTTTATTAATCAGATTTCTACTTACTTGTTGGTTTATCCAGTGCTATCGTCTTCCTATATTGAATGTTCGTACCCATTGAATGAAATTTGGAAACAAATACCTGTCATTGCAAACCAATTTGACACTGGAATATTATAATCAAGGGATGTGTCTTTGAACTTATTATATTGTTGAAATTTAAACTTAAGCTGTGTCTGATCCAATTCCCATTCCAATTGTTATGAGAATCCATCCGATTAAACTAATTCCTAATGATCCATATCCCAAGGCAGCTTAATCTATAGCAATTTTAGCTAAGCTTATCAACAAGCCCAATAAGAGACAACTTGCTCCTGCGATATTCATTATCACCCATGTCTAATAATGGTCCATTCCTGTTAAGTCTGCAATATTGTAAGACTTTGCTTGATAACAGTATTATGCCATCCAGCAAGTAACATACAACATCATTCCGATATTACTAATAAAAGCGCTATAAACATATTAATCAAATATTTTACTATCCTCTTGGTAACCTAAAATAATAATATTCATTACATTTGCTCTTCTTGCAGAATAAATTTAGAAAAAATAAATAATATCAAAATATTTATTCACAATCGCATTTAAACTAATCCCAAACGAGACCCATCCAAAATTTTAACTATTAGTGCTTTCTCCATCAAGATTATTTGTATATCCATTATCGAATCATAGAGCAATAGATTAAAAAGTTAATATATGTAATCCATATTTTCATTATATAAAAGAATCAAATATGCAAATGGCTTCTTTCATCGAATAATCAAATAGTGAAATTAAGCAATGAGAGCCTTGATCATTATTTGTTCTCTTCTTTTATATGTTATAATATCTTTTAACAAAACTATGAGTATAATTTTAATTGTTATTTTAGGTTTGTATATTTTAAGTAAAAATTCTATAAACAATCATCATTATTACAGTAGTTCATTCAAATGATACTGCTTCATCTCCGATGGCTCCACCCACTTGGGAGGATCCACGAAAATATTGATGAATCACCAAAGCTAGAACTTAAGCTTGTCTTAACCTAATGTTTTTTCTGCATCCTTAGATGGGAACTTTTAAATTTACTATAACATTCTTGCGATTAGATTAATTAACAAGGAGCAAAATAATATAATTCCTATTGATTTCTAAATTCTGAGATTGTCTGGAACTAGCAAAATATTTCATGTTATCGATGTAATTGGTTTCATGATTAGATGGAAAAGACATTGCATTTAAGAATTTACAATTTTGGATAATTACATATATATATGATATTATATTAATTAATGTAATTATCTCCTTAATCAAAAACTACATTTCAATCGTTATTCATTGATAAAACTAAAGATCAAATTAGTAATATTCTTCAATATAAACTATCCCATGCGAATTAAACTAGATAAAGGTTTATTAAAAATCAGATCGACAGGCCTAACTCTTCTATGATATAACAAACAAATGAAATCGATTTCTCACAGAACCAATACGAAAAGTTCAGAAAGGTTTCAATGAATGATTCTTAGCTTACAGTTGTAACTATACGCAAACCTTAAAAAATTATGCATACAATAGAACTCAGCCCTCAAATTACTCCCATCACTTCATTTAATTCCTAAAGAAAATACAGATAACCACAAACTAGTGAAAAATAAACCAATCCCACATCCTAAATAAATAGTCCTGAAAATGAAAAATAATTTTATTTTAAGCAAAAATAATATAGAAATAAATTGCAATTAAAGAACAATTAGAATAATTATATCAAACTAAACTAATATGTGAAAGAACATTGTTCAAATAGCAAAGGAATTTAAGATTTTGTTAAATATCAAGATGATATGGATGAATATTTTAAAGACAAGCTATTTTTATAATAAAAAGACTTACTAGATAAAATTGAAAACTTTAAGGTACCTACCTCGAAGCTTGATTAATAATTGTAACCATCAGGACGCTTCTAAGAATTGAGACTTTAAAAAACTAAAAAAAAACAATAATAATGATTATTTATAATAATTAATTTATTTTTATTGGTCATAGATTTTTCATTTACAAATTTCGACAAAGTAAATAGTACGAATTAAATCAAAATTAATTAAATACTAAATATCTAATGAATATGGTATGTTGGAAATAAATTGTGTGTGGAATCAAATTATATCAATAAATAATAGAAAAATATTGTATTATATTATCTTTCAGAAACTCCATCATAAAAGTGCAATTAAATTTGGATGAGTAATCAAATACTAAAGATAAGATCAAATAAAAAAATAGGGGATTTGATGATAGAAAAATGTGAATTAAACTAAAGAATTATGTAAAATAAGAATTCTAATTTTGTTATTTATACTGAATGTACTTCGATATCACTTTAATCACTGTGAATATTCAAATCTACCATGGAAGCTGGGTGCAATAAGCTAAGGCAATTATAGTAAACAGACTGATTAGAAGGATAAAGCATCGACAATTTCAACAAAAGATTTATCTATAGATCCATCAAAGATTATAAAAATTAACCATCCTTCTCCTTTTTATTTATTCTTATCTTATACAAATAATGCTTCAGTTAAATATTGCTCCTATTAATAAAATCTTCTTTAACTATTTTAAGGGTTGTCTTCATCAATTCTAATAATTCCATTAAACCAATCATCCTTTTCTAATAAATAGTTATTCAAAATTACTTTCTTAGATAATTGCATAAGTAAAATTTTACTTTGAACCAACGTCATCATCATGGACAATAGGAAACTCCAAATAGTCATTTAGTATTTGTTATTTATGTAATATCTCACCTGTAAGTGGATTGATTATCAAACGATCATAGGAGGATTTAGAATCAATAAGTCCATTTTTAAGTAGATTCTCAATAAAAAAGCTATGGTATAATTCATAATTAGGATAAGTGATAGCTTAGGCAACTACATTACCATTTTAATCAACATAGCCGTTTGAGTAATGCCAAGCATTAAATTTTTAATAATTAATCCTATTTGCAATTAACTAAAGATTTTTTGATTTATCGAAAACAAACACTTATATTCCTTAAGAATCATCATTTAAGACATCTTAACCCAATGACTTTCTGCCCAACAGAATTTTGTGAAAGTCTGTCACAAATTAAGAATACATTATTGCAATCAAATAATTCCCTGCTAAAATAAAATCATGTAACATAAATCTTCTTCCATTTACTTAAGCAGAGTTTCTTCTTATAATTTACCCATTTTAGTTCATTTCATACACATTCACCATTTAATTCATTCCATGAGTCAATCCTACATTATATATCATTCCTGATTTTGGATCTATTTTAGGATGAGCAGAAAATGTATCAGCATTTTATAAACTATTGCCATTGGTCAATCCAATGGTAGCTAAATCACTTTTTTTTAGATTTGTAGGTAATCCTCCTTCCCATAATGCTAAAAGTTCTCCACTCTTTAAAGGTAATACTGATGTATTAGCAGGATTCTTAAATGAGAAAGAATTGAATATTTTGGTAAAAAAGTTTCCTGTATAAGTTCTACCCAAACCAGCATAAATATACTCTAATTATAAATAAAATTTATATACCATCTCTTTATTATTCATTTACATATCCTTCACTTTAAACAAATTTATAGGTTGCAATTGCCCTATCTTCCTTAAATTCTATCTTCAAAATCACTCCATCCTAATCGATATATTTATAATCAAACCCCATCAAATAAATGCCCAGGAAATCCATTTCTTCTCTTTTTTGTTGAAACTGTGTTCCTATATAATGATCCTCTTAAGCCTTTTGGAAGTTCTCCTTTGCAAATAGCTAATTATTGGTCTACAAATTCGATTGGATTTAATGACAGAAGTTTTTTCCAACTCATATGGAATTAATATTAAATTCCTCAAACTTAATTAGATTGCTATATAATTATATATATATCAATAGTTTTCATGATATATTCTGATTGAAGTTATGAAGAGATGGAGAAAATTTCTAATTAACTAAATAATATATATATGGATAATTAGCCATTTAAATAGTTTTTCATTTTAGTTATAATACCCAAACATAGAGAGTCAATATTAAAAATTAAAGAATGGTTTAAATTCAAGGAATTATAAAGAAAATAATCAATCTTTATGTTTCGAAATACAAAGACAAATCCTAATTTAAATACTTTAAATTTACAATAATTATTCTCATAAATTAGAGTCAATTTCTCTTAAGGTTGATAATAAATTCAGTTCTAGTCATCTAGAATTTAATGAAATGGAATTATCCTAAGATTGGTTCTTAACAATCAATTCCACAATAGATTTACAATACTCCATCTTATGATTATTTTAGTTCTTATGAAACATTAAGAATTATGAGAACTTTTTGCATGTTTATATTCATTGCAACCTGATTATCATTTTTTAAAGAAGCTGATTTTAATTTATTTATGAAATAATTAATGGAAACTCATAAGAAAATTTATATAAGGAGAAATGAACTCCCGTTAAATAAATTTCATCAATTGAAAAGATCTAAAATTGTTCAAAAAGAAGGAGAGAGTTGCAACAAATTAAAAAATAAATCAGAGATCTACAAAGGCTAGTAGAGTAAGTAAGATAATGCATTTAAACAAAGAAGGAAAACAGATTAACAAGATCTAGAAGCCAAATAGAAACAACTAAATTGAAAATAGAATAGTAAAAATAACTACAAAAAAAAATTGATTATTTTGCAGGAAAATATAAGAAAATAAAATAGGTAGATCTAAAAAAGCTTAAGAGATAACAAGAGAAAATATAAAAAGAACTGGAAATTTTTGAGAAAAGAGAACCATTATTGGCATTAGAATCTGAAATATAAGAGAGAATAATTTATGTCAAATATTATTCTAAGGATTAGAAATATATTTCATTATTAGGAAAGAATTTGAATGAACATGCAAAAGAATAACAAGAACTATTGATAAATGAGAGCAAAAAATTGTAATGATTAATGAAGTATAAAAATTAGTTTAAATAAAAAGAATTTAAAAAATAAAGAATTATTTAGGAAACTCTTAAGGAAGTTGATGATGAATTTTGAAGGATGAAGAATATGAGGAGATTGTAGGCAAATAATTAGTTGATAAATAAGGAAAAGTAATTAAAAAATTGAAATTTAATTAATTGTAATGATAAAACTAAAATTTCAATAAAATTAATTAAATTAAAATGACTAGAACATTAGTTACTCAAATTTAAAAAAATAAAGAATATTTACTAAATATTATTTTGCAGTTCCTGAAGACTAACAAACTTTTAAAAAAAAGTTGAAAATTAAAAATAAATAATGATGAACCATAAAAGCAGTTGAAAAATTGAGAAATCAGTAAAAGGAGGTTTAAATATTGAAACCAATACAATAAAATATTTTGATGATAGTGAATGCAACAATAACTTTAAGGTTCAAGATAATATTGAAAATAAATAAAAATAATAAAAATATCTAATGATTATTTTACTTAGCTAAACTTAATAAATTAATTACCCTTATATTATTAAACCAAAAAGGTTTTAATTGTAAAAGACTAGTAGAATGCTCTATCGTTTAGGCTAAAATATAAATTATTCAAAAGGTAACAAATTAATATATCATTAAATATCCAAATTCTACCGACCATATCATTTTGAATATTAGATTTATTCTAGAATAATACTCAAATCGTATCAATCTTATTAATATTTTAGGTGATAAGGGGGAAGCTTTTTTATTTTTATACCAATTGTGATCACACGAATAAGTATAGACGAATTTGTTTTTGAATCTTTTAAATGTGAAAAATAAAATCAGAATACTTTCCTATAAGTATTAAGAGTAAAATTAATATAAAACTTTATTAAGATAAAAGTAATGAAAACGATTAGGAGGATTCTTTGAATTTTCAAGCTGAGAAAACTAAGTCAATCCTATGTAGAAATGATTCCAAACTCACTTTTGCTTTTGTTGAGACAGAATACATATTTAATATGATAGCTTTTTAATATTTAAGATAAACAATGAGATTTATAAATATTTTATATGCATATTGGCGATGAGGTGGACTAAGGCGAATTACTAAAAAATGAAGAAAAAATAGTTGGTATGTTTGAGTGGATGAATTTGGTTACTAAAATATGAGAAATGCAAGTTTATTTACATTAAATCATGGAAATATTATAGTTATAGTTCAATAATTCATAATAATACGAAAATTTTAATGAAAGATATTGTTTTATTGTGAAATAAGTTAATTAATTCGTATTATTATTAAAGTTATGCTCAATTAAAAATGAAAGATAATTTATTTTTATTAAATTACTCATGCTTCTTAAAATGAAATAAGACATTGAGTTATTGTTTGATAATGTTCAAGCCTTTAAAAAGGAATCTAGACCTATCTATTCAAATCTGGAGGATTAAATAGATGTAATTTATTGACATAGAGTACATTTAGGAAACAATTAATCTCATAAAACTGTAATTTTACAACGTAGATGAAAAGATTATCAAGAACTATTGTTATAGGATCGTGGAGGTAATCTCTATTTAAATTGATAGCTCAAATAAATAAATAGTACAATGTAGGATATTAAAATTGCTCTGGACATACCAACGAGAGTAGGATCGTCCATGTCCAAAAAGAGTCATATTCTTATTCAACAGGAGAGCAAAAGGTATTTCATTATATTTATCGTAGGAGTGTTGCTTCTTTGCAAAAGAAAATAATCCTTAAACTTAATTAGATTACAGAACTTAGTGAAATACACGATGTTACATACAATGGGAGTGAGTTTGATGGCATTTGCATTTTCAGATTACATTAAATTTATCATAATGAAGTGGAAAATCTGTAATAATAGTTTTAATAAATAAAATCATTTAACAATGAAAGATTCAATAGATTGTATTAATCATTCTCCGACATAATAAATGATTCCTAATTTCTTAAAATACAGGAATAAATTTCATATTATTCCGAAATAATAAATCTAATAGATGAGTTTCGAGATCAACTTTGTGAAATAGTAAAATCAAAGAATGATTCGATTCTTACAGTTGATAGTATTTAAACAACTTATCATTTTTTAGGAACTAAATCTTTATAAAATCTCACCTCTGTGTCTAAAGATTTTCTGGATGAGGATGATCATTACGAAGTCAAAAGGGGGAAATATAACAACAAACTGCAATAAGAAGAAATAAAGAGCAAAAGAAAGGAGAGTTCATCAGAAACATGTATAAATTGTTAAATATTTTGAATTTAATTATAATCATTTGAAGTAGTCAATTATTTCTTAGTATTTTAAATTCTCAATTCTCCTATACTTTTCATACATTCTTATAGAAATATAGGTTTCTTATCTAAATTTCAAATAAAAACTTACTCTTATGTTAATGGGATATCGCAATACTCAAATGCCTTCTTAAACTAAGTTAGATCACAATTATCCCCATTTAACATTAAGTAATCAGTTAGCTTGTTCTTGTTCTGTTTGAAAATCTATTTTAATTCTTGATGTATAGTATCGTAATACTGAGGGTTGAGCAGTTCAAAAGGTTTGACCAGATTTCTGAAGATGCTAATAACAATCACAACATCATTGGTTTAATAATTATCATAATAGATCCATTCCTCTTGTTCAGGCTCAGCAAGAAATCTCGCAACTAATAAAGCCTGGTCATCAGGTAAATCAAACGGAGATTGCTTAAGGATTTCTTCGATTTCACTTAAATTAATTATGCCTCTTGAGGATTTAGAATAAAGGTATGAGTCTAATTTTGAGAATGGGATTTAAGCAAGTTAAAGTTTCAATGCTAATTCCTTTCCTATGATCTCCACCTCTTTTGAACTCACCTTTTAAACCTTTTTTCTGTTCAACACTACGGTTTTTTGTTTTTATTAAGTTTGAGATGCTTTCCGAAGTGATTTTTCAGATAAAGACTCTTGTTCATCTGAACTTTGTTCTGCTATTTGCTGATTTTCTAAATGTTGAATAGTTTCTTTAAATTATCCTATCTAAATATTCAAATTATCGATTTCTCTCTTGTAGTGTGCCTCTTTAAGTTAATAGGCAGTTTTGTCTTCTTTTAGTGTTTTTTCTAAAAGGTTGATTTTCTCATTTCGTAGTTTTACTTCTTCTTCTAATTGCTGGTAGAGTTGCTTTTGGTTTTCTAATCTCATTTACCATTGTCGATTTAAGTCATTGATTGTTTTTTTTGGATTGCTATATTCAAATTGTATCAGTTGCAATTCTTTTTCTTTATCAAAAACTAATTTTTCACTTTGCATTCTTTTAAAATCAGAATGATGTAAATCTTGTTATATTTTCTTATTATGTAATTCTAATTCCTAGATTTTCTATTAAGAAATAAGTAATTCTTAACTAATTTTAATATTATCTTTCAATAATTCTTCTTTTTGACTGAATTGGCTATTGTATTTGTAAATAAATATAAAATTACATCTAATGAATTAATGCCTAATATTTAAATTTCATTTTTTCGAATTCTTCTTTGATAATTTTACATTCTATCTTAAAGAATATGGATAATAGTGAACCTAGCATTCTTGTAACTTTGTTCTTCTTGTGTCTCTTTTTAATTCTTCAATCTATTGTTGATTGTACAATTCCCTTGCTTTATAATCCTTGATTTGCTTTTGATATGCAATAATGGAACATGTCTTGGTATTAGAGCTTATTATATACTTCTTCGGTTTTCATTCTAACTTAAAATTCTAATTCAGTTTGTTTGGATTCAGCCTTGGTTTGTGTATTCAAAATGAGTAACTTTTCTTGTTTATTTAATTATTTCTAGATAAGAATGCATGGAAACCTGGAAATGCAATATTTACTATTTCAATTGTTTGTTTTCTTCGATGAGTTGATTATTGGATTGCTTGACTTTTAATAATTATTCGTTGAGATTATCAATTTCTTGTTATTTTTTTGATTATTTGATTTCTTAGACTAGATAACAGACATACTTTTGGAGATGAAGAAGGAAGCTTTGTTCTCCATATTTCTACAAGTGAATGTTCTTTGAGCAGAGTATAATCTAAAAGGAGATTGCATTGCACAATGTTATTTTATTTTATAATAATAAATCACCTACTTTGAACCATCATTATTTTATAAAAAATGAATAATTAACAAACAATTTCAAATAACTCCATGACAGAATAAGCAGTAGAGGATCAATCATATGAATAGGAGGAAGACGAAGATTTAGAATAATATACGCAACAATTAAACCTAAAATAATTATTAAAGAACTCAGGTATTTCAAAAAAACTCAATAATTTTTAGATTCTTTAATGTAACAGATCAATTTATTGAATGAATAGGCAACTGTAAAAATCAAATAGCAGAAATACAAGGAGGCTTTGAAATTATTATAATAATCCGAATAGATGTTGGAAGTAAAGATAGATTTCTATTTCCTTAGTTTGCTGCAAGTTGTGGCAGAGTAATCGACAGGAACCTTATCATAATAATTTTATATAATCAAGCCTGCACTTATTAATGGTATAGAATGCTTTTATTTAAGTTAATGGGTTCTGGATAAATGTTCTAAATATTTGGATGGAGTGATCTATAATATGGAATTAGCAATTAAGGAGGATGAGCAGGATCTGGAGAATTTGGCTAGTGCTCAAGAGAAATAGGCATAACTAGTGAAGAGATACACTTTTTTAGCCAAAGCTTATTTACAATATACAGCTATTTTAAGCCAATTGGGAAAGTAATTGAAAAAGAATAATTGATAGGCATAACAAAGCACTTATCAATTCATAAAAAGCAGCCTCCATTATGAGAGAGCTGTTTAAGATAGCCAATCAATTCTGTGTATAATGGTTGCAGAGCAATGGATCTTCAGGGACTGCCACAACTTCTTAATCTAATATTTCAGTCAGAAGCAATCAACAAGAATAGCAATAATAAGAGTAAGATAAATAGAAGAGAGGCCAAAAGTATAGGATGAAGGATGAAATTGAATTTAGTAAATTAGTAATTGATGGTGCACAAGAAATCTTGAAGGATATGATAAAATAAGTTGAACTCGAAAAAATTCCAGTTAATGAGAAACAATTACTTAAAGAAGCCAAGAAGTAATTATATTATTGGAGAAATAATCCAGAAAACAATGAAAAACATTTGAGAAAAGAATTGAAGTTAGCATCTCAAAATGAAGAATACCGATCTTTATTGGGAATTCAGAATTTGGCTGAGTGGATAAAGAATTTTAATATTGGATCTATAATGCATATGGCACCTTAACTTTATGATGATTTCACACAATTTGGTGAAATGATTTATGAATTAGCCAAAAGATAAATACTCGAAAAGGTAATCTACTTCTCTATTTCTTACTTTACTATAGCTACTGAATTAAGATTCGTGGAATTGGACAAAGCTAAACAAATGGGCTTGAAGGAAGATAAGATAGATACTGAGGAATTCAAATTAAGTGAATTGTACCACTTAAAGTCTATTGAAATAGCTTGTCGTCATATTACTACCTAATCTCCGTACATCAGCCATCTGATTACTAGTTATCACAAACATTACAATATCAATTTGGATATCATAAAGGAAGAATCAATAATCTCAAGTACTTCCGAGAAACAAACTATTGTCAATCCAGAACCTTAGAAATAGAAATAGAATCAGAATCAGAAGTTATAAATCCAAATCTTAAACGATGATAAGTTCATTGTTAAACAGGATCAATCTCCTAAACTAACTAATAATTTCATTACTAAGTTTTTGAATTCCAGATCTCCTCCAAAAACTTCATAGTCATCCAAAATTAAAAGCATTATTAAGAATTAAGCTGATTTGATTGAACAGATGATTACTCAGAAGAGAGGATCTGATTACTCGCCTACTAATCAATAGAAGAATCCTAAGTAATAAAATTAAGGACAATTTGATTTCAGTGTGTATCTTAAGAAATAGTCCAATCCCTGTAATACTAGTAATGGTGAGATCAATTAGACTCAGGAGTTCATCAATAATACCATGGCTATTCAATTGCAGCCTCATAAGAATAATCCCAATTTCAGATCCAATCCCATACAGCAAAGTCCCACAAATAACAACAGCCAATTGAAATCCTTGCTTTCTGATGTCTGTAGGACTGAGAGACAGACTGCAATTGATAAGTAGAACTCGCACACTCCCATTAGTTACAGAGTAAACAACAAATCTCCTGATTCTTCTTATGTCAATTCTTAGAAACCCACGCAATAGTAAGTGCATTAAAATAAGACCCCTTAAAATCGACCTAGAACTAATACAGATTAATAGTAACCATGTACTCAATATTTAAAATATAGGTTTTCCAATTAAGTTCGATACTATTCAATCCTTACTGAAGAATAAAGGAAACATTCTAAAATATAAGTGAAATATATAATAATATTGTAATTTTTTCATTTTCTATCCTCAATGTCTGTCTATTCAGGATTTGCTACTCGATAATTGGAAAGTTAATATAACAAACTTGTTACCACTTTGCTCAAGATATTATAGCGTAGAATAATTAAGTTCTATAATCAGGAATTGGCTGATGAGCCTCAATTCAGGAGGGTAGTGGCAGAGGTACTCATGTGATATTTTTCAGACTCTTATGAAATTGAATCAAATGGAACACTAAAAATACAATGAACCTTATATTAGTGCTGTGATGGGTGAGATTTGCGATTTATTCTCAATTTAACAAAATTGTGCAACAGGTTGCTCCTGCTAATGTCATCTTCAAATGAGAAAACAAACATTTTTGACTCAGGACAAAGAAATCCTGTCAAATCCTTCATCTTGCAGAAAGCAGACAGTCAGTTCTAGGAAGGCAAGCATCAAAGGCATCCATAATACTACTTTTATTGAAAAACCATAACTATCTAAAGTTCAACAATACACTCGTGGATCATCCTCTTACAAATCTCCCTATTACATGAGTCAAAACAACCAATAGTATGGGAAATCCAAAATGAACTTCTACTAAAATACATCCAATGCCACTCATAACAGTTCTATCGATAGGCCTACCACTAAAAGTTACCAGAGACCACAATCGAAATCTCCCGGGAGAGGCATTACATCGAGACTCATGAAATCACAAGAGGGACAAAGGGCTAATCCAAATGAGAGTTTGGAAGAGAAGAAGTACGAGAAACCACAAAAGTTCGGCTAATAGTACAATAGAATTTTTAAAAAAAGGAATTTTTGAAAGTAGATAAAATTTTTATATTCAATTCAATGATTATATGATTAAGTTGATCCTGCTATTTAATAGATTTGATACCCTTTCATTTTATAACCAAATAAATTAGATAATTTTTAATTAATTAAAATAATTAATTTAAGGTTTTCTGTGTTCTAACGTGATCTTGTTGTAAATACATCTCACGTGCTTCACAAGTAAACCGAAACCGTAAGATTCTATGTGTCTTATCCAACACTTCGATAGTTGGTTGAGATGAAAGAATCGCACACACAATATAATTGTTACTGCACTTGTTGCTGATATTTGAGTTTGTTGATCAATCAAATAATTTCTCACAGGTGCTAAAGAAATTTGGATTCAAAAAGCCCGATGTAATTCATTTAATGGCTGCATCGGCGTCGAATACCAGATAATATAGTATTATATAATTATAGTATTAATTCTAAAACACCTTATAATATAATCTTTAGAGAATATATCTATAATAACTAATCCACGAATCACACACAAATATAATTATTGTTTTCTGAAGTAATACAAATAAATATGTTCCTCATCTCATATTATAAATTATATTTATTATGATACAAAATGTTATAGTTTTGCTCAGACTTACAAAATTAAATATATTGGAAACAGTTCTATAATATAATATGCATATGTGTTCATTTTGTATAAATTGTAAATAAAATTATTGAATAATTTCCTACTTAGGTATTCATCTAAAAAGGTCTAAGATTTAGGGTAAGATTAAAACTATAATTTTAGATTAAAAAAAGTGTATTTCACGGATGACAACTAATTCCTTTCATTAAAGTGTAAAACAAGATTACCTTGTATTTGCTGAACTCTTGCTTGCTTAGGGAATAGAAAATGTGATTATCGCATTTAATTAATGAAAGTTAATATGAATGCGGTGTTTTAATTCTTCAAAAAAGCATTTTTCAAACTAATTCAAGAAATTCTCGAATAAACAGATGGATAAATATGATTCAATAAAATAATTAATGATTTAAAATTCAACAACCACTCCTCCAAATGAAGACTCGTTTCGTAAGCCAATCATTTAAATAATGACTCAAATTAACTCTTAATAAATGAGAGTGCGTAATCCATCTTAAGAAAGTCACAAAGTATAAAGTGAGAGTCATTAATTTAAAATTACTCATCCGAAATCCCCTACTTTAACTTAGATCAGTGTGTAGTTAGCATCTGATAGGATGTCTCTCAATAATCAAAAAGATTTGCTTCTAATTAATGAAGAACCAAGCAATAAGGAGGACTCTCAATAATTGAGTGTGATGAGGAAATCAAATGATTGCGACCAATTGTATCGCAAATCCAATTTCAATAAATCAAGGACCCACCCTCCATCCTTAAGATTATTGTACTTCTCAAAATCGAACCTGTTCTCGAAACAAATACTAACTAAATAGCAATTTAAAATCATTCATGACTTGTCTTCAGTATATATCATGCCTTTAAAACGATAAATTCTCATTAGAATACAATAAGATTCGATCACCAAATAAGTGATCTACGGCCTCTATATTTGCTTTTTAATCTTCTACTTAACAATACTATTAATGGAATTGGGATGTAATTAATTGACACTCTGCAATCAACATATTTTCCATTATTTAATGGCTATTTTTTAATTACTTGATTGTGCTTATCAAATTTTAATTAATAAATTTTGTATCGCTGGTATGTTTGCAGACGTGATCACTATATTGCCCCTCTTTGCATTTTTATTGGACCTAGGAGAAGCCCAGAAAATATTCTACTTGCTGTACATAATAAGAATATACAAAATAACTGATTTCACATAAAATCTGAATTGCTATCTAAATCAGTATGATCACCTTTTTGTTATTCAAATCACAATCTAGATTCATTTTGTCACTTTGATGGCTCAAACACTTATATACATGTTTGCAGAACAACAACAAGATTACATCAATTACATTTAAAATATATTTGCAGTTCTATTTTATAATCCCAACATAATAAAACGTTATTATTTTATTATTTATTTGATTAGAACCCTCCTATTGATTTTTTATCTGTATAAAATCAAATAGATAATAAATCATCAGTCCCTACCCTTGGATTCGTATATCAATTATACTCCAAAAACTCTGAAATCTGTAATCGATTACTAATAAGAAAATCGAATTGCCAAATTTGATATGCGATCATTACCAATACAACTGCAATAGCAGATGAAGAGAGAGAAGTACTTCAAGATATTGTACAATATCCCCATCTTTCACTAAGCATTCTCTCATTAAACCTTGCTCAACATGTGTGATATTATAGAGGAGGATATTTTAGAACCGAATAAAATAGTTACTTAGAAACAGAGTCTTCATTTTCTATTGGAAGGTCAAGTTGAAATTGTTTAAAAATGTTAATTGTCCTAAAAAGAATTCAAATTGACTAGAATTTCCAATACGTTTTAGATTTTCAATAATATCGCCTTTTTTAAGAATTAATTATAAGGGATATAATTTTAAAGCATCGGATATTCTAAAATAGCTACTCTAGATTAAAATCAATTTCAATCACTGATACGATAATGTCCTCGAGAATTCTAAAAGTATAGAATGCTTATTGATACACTTTTGATTGAAAATCAATCTCATTTGATAAACATTTAATGTTTTAGTTGTTTAAAGTAGCATGATATAACTGAATGTCCAGCTGTTAATTTCAAGCCTAATAAAATCTAAGTCATTCAGAAATATATCATAAATAAAGATTAAAACAGAGTTATTGATTTTCGAAGAGTAACTATCTTTAATTATTTAATTAGTAAGCACGCGTCAAACACAAAAAGTATATTGCTCAACACTAAATACGGGTATAGGATCATTCTGAATCTCTAACTTCTAAAGAATATGAAAGAGCAGAATCCTACTAAAAGATATTAGCCTCCTCCAACTCTTTACAAAGCTAAAACAACAACAATATGATTAATCAATTGGAACTAAGCTCGGTTCCATACATCAACTATTCACATAGTGGCTAAACCTTATAATCGAAGAAAGTGGATTCAGATTATTTTCCATCCTCCCAAGGAGTGAGTAGTAGTATCAGCAGTAGAAAAATCTTTGTTAATGAAATCAAAGATGCTGGACAATCCAAATTTTAAAGACTTGATTACACAGAAGAGCAACAAGGATCTTCATTTAATAATCAACCCTTATAAAGAGTGTAAGACAGCATGTTGCAAACAAAGAAAAAACTCAATCAAAATGGGTTAAAGAGGGATGACTTCTAGCAGTTGCAACGATTTCAAACTGATGTTCCATCTGAGTTTAAAAACAGGGATTAACGAAAGAATCAAACTATGGTTGCTAATCAAATAGAATAATTAGATAATAATAATAGAGGGATATCTAATGAGAATAATGTTTTGGAGTAGTTTGAGAGAATCAACTCATATGATGATTATTTTCCGCATTACAATGTGGATAAGTAAATTAACTACTATCAACAGATGCAATCGATCAAAAAAGATTAGAATTGATGATAACAATATGTGTATAATTGGAATATTTATTAAATTTAAAGTTTCAATACAACAGATTATATAATCATATGATTCTCTAATTACTCAAAATTCTTTTCAGGTAAAAGACTTACCATCCTGTAATTGCAATAATACCTATGACTTCAATCAAACTGAAAAGTAACAATTTAGCATTAGCTTTCGAAACCTCTCTTAATCCTCCCTCAAATTGTTAGGCAGCCATCTTATCATAGAAATAATTATCCTTAATCATATTGATTTAATTTACCCTCATCGCTGTAGATAATCTCTCAATCCTCAAAGCCAGAGGATCCAAGTCACCCAATTTAAGGAACTCTTAATGAGAATCGTGAACATCAATTGCAAACGTTATTGTTAATGGATCTTTAGTCTACAATAGAAAAGAAGAATACTCTTTTATTAATGAAGATGAATTTATATTCTCCTTTTTCTGGAATATCTATTTTAAAGATGCCCTCTTGCACCCTTTCCTTCGAATATATCAAAGTGTTATTAGAAGTCTTAATATAGAAATCAATCTTCTGATCCAATTTGAATTATGGAATGAAGTAAGCCCCTCTTATGGTTGTTGGCTTCTTGATGGTTTCGCACAAAATCTACGATTAGTGATTAAAGCGTATACCTCTGTGGCTCCAGATTGTAATTCGAAGGTAAGGAGGTCTTCTGGATCAAAATCATTCATTAATTAATCCCATTAAAGCATCAAAGGATCTGCTTCGACCTTTTTCAAGAGATCTTCAACAGGATCCACCAAAATTGCAGGCTTCTCTTGAATATCAATATTTTCAGCTTCTTGTTGATCCTCAATTACTTATCCATCATTGTCTCTATCTTTATCGCCGAATCTAAGCTAGCATATTGAGTGGATGCATTATTTACCCCAAATAATGGTTTTAATGCTTCCAGCAATTCAAACATATTTTCTTCTGCACCATCAATAATGTCTGCCAACTCTTCACTATCTATTGATTAATTTTCTTCTTCCTTCTCACTTGCTTTGTTGTTCTAATCAGAATTTTCTTATGGATTCTATTCCTAAGTTGAATTTATTGCCTCTGATTCCTACTGTTCCAATTTCTTTATATTATCCGAAGTGTCATCCCCACTTGTTTCAATATTCTCTTAAGCCAATACTAAACAACTCGCAAAGAGAAACAAAAATATTAATTTCATTGTTAATATTATTGATATATATTAATTTTACATATTGGACAAGTTGGCTTTTTCTTAATCCAGTCACTCAGACATGATTTATGATATCTATGCATACATTGAAGGATCAGGATCTTCTCATTATCAATATATTCCTCCTAACATATACAACACATCTTAGCAGATGGAGTTAAATTGCGTTTATTTATAAAATTATATTCGATAAAGTTAGGCTCACTTTTCGGTTATTCTACACCTTATCTATTATTATCTTCTTAGTGTAGTCTATTAAATTATTCTTAGTAAACATCTATCGTTACTGGATTGGGTTGGTTGTTGAAAATCCTCTCCATTTAGTGAATTTCATTGGAGATAGCATTTCCTAATCTTTCTACGTTTCTTTAAACACCTTAACTAAATCCTCGTATGAACTAGGTTCCAGCATTAACAAATTAGGCTCCAGCATTAACAAATTAATTGAGTGGACCCTATTGCTACTTTTAACACTGAGTTTCATGCCATTAAAGGAGTTACGGATCCTATTCTTTAAAATTTTCTCAATTATACATTTCTTGCAATATTTGCACTTTGTTTCAAATCTATTTTATCTTGGAGGACCAAAGATGGGAGGTCTTCTAGATGAAGGAGGGTCCATAGCAAAATTTAAACTCTAATATAATTATTAAAATATCAAATATACTCATTACATTTATAATATCATTATAGAGTATTTCATTTTATATCTACTCCTGAACACTCACAATGAAGGAAACAGGTTCTGAACTTATCTAAGTTGAGAACAAAGTTTTACAAATTATTATGTGTATATTATTAAAGTTCTTGTAAAGTATGATTAAATTATCACACAATCATAAATAAGTATGGGGTTTGTTGTTATAAAGAGATAAATGTAATATGACATAAGTTAATTAGGGATATAGATGTAGTCGAAGAGAACGTAGATTATAATAGCTAAAGATTAATTGTAAAGTGAAGAGGAGAAGTAGACATGAAAGTCAATATTTGGTTTTTGATAAAAATTAATTATAATATTTAAAGGTATGGGATTTTTGATTATAATATATTTGTGAAATATGAGAGGATTGAAGGAAGTGGATGGATCTTGAAGTGGGGAGTGCAAAAGTAATAATAGAAGGAATGATTGTTTCTGATAATATATATGCATCAGTTATTAATTTAAATAATATGCAAGCATAAGCAAATGTTTATTAGTTTGAAGCTGAGCCACAAGTGTCTCACCCGAAATACAGAGATTAAGATTTTTATGAGGAACTCACAGACCTGCCTGATGATGAATCGAAGATAAGACCAGATTATTATATTGATCGACCTGTATGTGTAACTTAATAGTCAAGCCAACTCCGGAATATAAGCCATTACCTAAGGGAATAGATGTGGAAACACAGATTGAATCTTATGAGCCTGATTTGTTTGATTACATTTTAGAGGTGGAGCCTGTTTTATAAGTTTTAGTGGGCAAATCGGTAGAATAGGCAAGGATGGAGTTGATCGAAGAATTGGAGAGACAAGAGTTGCAGATATAGAAAGCTGCCTTTGAAAAAAAAAGAAATGCTGAATTAATGGTAACTCAGAGAATGGAAGCAGCCTATGTTAGAAGAAAGGAAGAAAGAGTATATAATTATAATGATAATTTACTTAGGAAAGGAGAGTCTTGTAACACAAATTATACTAGGATTAGATGAAACTGTCATAATAAAAATTTATAGCAAGAACTCTATCTAAAAATGTAGTGAAGGGAGTGAATTACAGAATTCTCAAGGATCTTGAAAATTTGGGATTATTGAAAAATGATTATTTATTAGAATTGAAGGTTCACTCATTGCCATGGCTGATTCAGAGAATAAAATAAAATTGTGAAAATAATTAAAATTGTCTTCAAAATTTCAATCACCTCTTGGATGAAGTCCAAACCCCAATCACATAATAACATTCAAGTTTCTATAACCAAGAACAACAAAGGAGAAGAGCAATCTTGGATGAGAGAGAAAGAATAAGAATTGAAATTGAAGAACGTAAAAAGAGAAAGGCTGAAATCAAAAGAAGGAGAGCATTAAAAGAAAAAAGAGAAGTCTAAAGAGGAGCATTCTATAATCTCACACTCTCTAAAGCAGAGTCACTCAATTCGATATTTTAAGCCAATATCTAGGAAGGCACCACCGAAGTCGGATAAAAGGGAGTGGTTTTACACTTGGATCTACTTCTTCTATTGGCAGAAGGATTAGATCTAATTACTGGAGAATAATTAGATTAAATTGATGAATCAATCGTATAAACTATTTGGATGGATATCCTAATGAACAAGTGCAATACATTCAATATCACAGTAAATTCATCCCTTTAACAAATAATTTAAGAAGCATTTGCTAAGATGGAAGAAGATTTATACATTTTTGAGAAAAATTCAAAGTAAGCCACCATAGATTAACTTAAAAATTAATAACCATTTTGGGCATCTTATGTTTCATAATAATATGCTCCAAATATTAGAAAGATTATATTGAATAAATTGTTGGATGGCTTCTTTGATATCTATTTTAAATCAGTAAATTATAAGGAGCCTAAACCAAAAGCAGAAGTTAAATTAAAAACAGAAGAAGCAGACTAACAACAATAACCAACTGACTAAGCTCCACCTTAATAATCAGAAGATTAATAGTAATAGTAGTAGACAGAATAAGTTGAATAATAGCCAATCGAGGATGAATATCAAAAACCCGAAATTACATAACATGATTTAGAAATGGTGGAAGCCAGAAAGAAAATTAATCTCATCTTCAAATAACCACAAACTTAACTTGAAAATGTCACTGCAGTAGTCAATCTGCTTGTTCCTTATTTTGTTGAAGAACAACCAGAACAATAGCAAGATCCAGTCAATCCAGACTCACAATAAGCTTCACAATAATAGACCACAGAACTGTAATAATAGTAAGAATCAGCAGAGCCAGTCAAACCTGTTGGAAAATGGGACTTTGATCCTAAGACAATAGATATTTATGATGGAGATTAGCCATTGGTTCAGGAAGGGGAAAGATAAGCAGTAGACTGTTTATTTTAATATGCATTCTAAGAATAAGTAATAGTAAATGATGAAAGGGCAGTTGAATTTTGTAGATCCTAAATTTATACTTATCTGAAAGAAAAGTATTTTATTCTATTTAATTCTAGATTGGAATCATTCATGAATGTTCCTGAATTTTAAAGTCTTTAATTTAAGAAGCTAAAATATTCCAATCTTAATGTCCCAATATATGATTTCGAATTATGAATGGCATTGGTTCCTTTATTATTAAAAATACAATAAGCTATCTTAATTTATTATTAATAGTTATTATTATATCGTTGTTACAATTTATTTTAATAGTGTATCATAAAAGGTATAACCTTACCACTTACTTATTTTCTGTATTAATCAAAGTGTCTGTCATTTAGAGTATCTTCTGAAATATTATTGGCAGCATTGGCTAATACTATATTTAACCTATAAAAGGAAGATTATTGAATCAAATCAATATAATTAGATAATTGGTACAGATGTTAAAATTATTAAATATTTTCATCGATCTGGAATGAAGTAAGTTATGCCTAAATAAGTCATATCCAATCAAAAACATAACGACTATTCATTCATATTTTCTAAGAGGAGAGTTAAATTTTAAAAATTAAGAGCAAATTTGAGAATATCTTGTTTTATTAATTTTGATGAATCTATTAAATGAAAGTAATATGCCAATAAATTAGGGTAATGTTATATAACTATTTATTCATGTACGATATTAATTATTGAATTTTTAATAATTGGTTCATTTTAATAACTGAATTAATAATTATATTTTTTCATTAAAAAGTGCTTTATAATAAAAAATTTAACTATTATGTTAAGAATTAAGAATTGTCGAAATTTAGTGTTTTTTCTTATGCCGATAATTAATTACACGTTTCCGGTAAAATATATTTATTAACGATAATTCGAAGATTTATAAAAGAATATTTATTAATTTATCAAACGATGTTCATATCCACAATCTCTAGACACTTAAAGGAAATGGAAGATAAAAATACTTTGAGAGCTGCAATTATTTACATGCTAGTTGCTTATTTTTTTCATGCTGTGCAAATAACATTTTTTAAATATGGTCATTTTAGCATAGTTCCATAGAGTTTATTTATTAGATCAATTTCCTCCTTGATTCTTATTTTTCTATTTCAATAATAACAGAATTATTATCCAAAGTTAAAAACACAGTATTTAATAAAATCATAGCTTCTAGGAGCAATTGGATCCTCGCTATACTTTTATGGATTGAATTTTATTTCTCTATCTGAAGCAGCAATCCTTTTTTCCACAAATTCAATTTGGAGCTAATTAATTGTCAGCTGCATGAAAAGAGAGCATATCACTAGGTCAAGACTAATAAACTCTCTTATTTGTATCATAGGAATAGGCTTGGTGTCAAATCCTACGATTAGCGTTGAGGATCCTTTTATGCATATAATTGGATGCTTGTGCATATTGGTTTGCAGTGTCGTCCAATCACTATCCTATATCACGATGAAATAAATAGGTTCTGAGGTATCGGCAACAATCGTTACTTCATATTTCCATATTATGATCATCATAACTTCAAGTCTATGGCAATAATACATTGGTAGATTTGAATACTTTACAGGATACTGGTTCTATATATTCGGATTTGCCTTTTTTACTCTTTTTGGATAAATACTTTAATTCAGAGCACAAACAATCGTCACTTATGATAAAATATGCAATTACACCTACTCTTAAACATTATATGTCATTATTATAGATTATGTCCTCTTTAGAAAAATCTTGAGTTTGAATGGTTTTATTGGAGGATGTTTTATTCTATTTGGGGTTTTCAAATAGTTATCTGAAGATAAAAAGCTTAGGGGTTGATAACATTTTTATATCATAACAAATAAATTCTATTGATAGAATCAATATTTTAGATTTCTATATATTATTAATATCATTTAAAATCAAATGTCAGCATCCAGTTAGTTGTTATTCCTACCAATTTCCAATTAAAAGATATTTTTAATTCCTAAAACTTAGAATTAAAAATAAATCAGAACTTGACAAGAAACATCTTATTGATAGTATTAAAAAATGATTTACCCTTTAAATAAGAATTACAATAAAAATACAAATGATACTTTCATTTTAATAGCTCTTAAAGTAAATAATTTATCAAATAATTACCATTCAAAATTTTGAATCAATCATTTTCAACTATTTATCGAATTTACAATCAATGTTTATTATTTCATTAGGTCTACATATCAAATTATGTCTGATAATCTATAGAAAATAGAATCTTACTTTCTTACATGTAAAATATCAATAGGTTTAGATGAATTGGCAATCTTAAAAATAAATATTATTCAGATGGGGTTTAGTTATTCGGGAATTAGTGTTATTTAATTTGAATTAATAATATTAATTATTTTTGGGCATGTTTTAGTGATTATTGATATAGTTAACGAATAATAATATAAATAATATATTATTTTGAATAATGGATTAAACAATCTTGTCAAAATAAAACAACTACCCTGGTTCTTATATAAAGCAAGATTTGAAGGAAGCCGAAGAAGAACACAAGGCTCATAAAGAATTGCAAGATAAGAAATATGGACTATATTTTCTATTGTTTTAAGGATTAGTTTATTTGATTGCTATAATCAGTTTTGGATTTGGGAATCCCGATTAGTTGGGGAAACCATACGACACAAATTGTATTCAAATAGACTCTATAAGTTATTAGAGAATGTATGCGGAGTTGATATAGGGTTGGAAGCATATAAATTCATATACTTTACAAATCCAACTGATTCAAAACATTTAGACAGAACAGTGTGTGTTAAGGAGTGTCCAGTTTTGAATGTAGATAATGAAGCAGATGGTTCTATTATTAATTAATACAATAGAATCGCTGGAATTAGAATGCTACCCAAATCAAGTAATCAATTCGTGCAGAAATAGACCATCCATTGATGATCCAACTTACACCATGTTATATTATGATTCTGTACCATTCATTGACATTTGTCTTCCAAAAAAAACTAGTTATTTCGATAACATTAAAGAAGGCCTACAACAATCAGGGATTATCACATTCTTATCAGACATTAGTAATGGAAAGATCATGATATTTGCCACTCTGACACTTTGCTTATTGTTAAAGTAAGGCTTGATTTAATAATTTACCTAGTTAGTTATTCTATTTCTTGATGATCAAACTATAACAGACAGCTATATGGGTGATTTCAATCTAATCCATAGTGGGTCTATTTTTGTCAGGTTTCTTAGGACTATTTTATTATTTAAAATAGTCTCAATATACTGAGTCTGTGCACAGTGCTACGATATCTGGAGAAGAAGCAATAGGCATAATTTAAGTGGAGGAATCAAATATCACTATCATTTTAATTTCGAGTATCTTTTTCCTTTTGTTTGGCATTTATTTCTTGGTGGATTTAATATTGAATCGTAAGACCTATAAGACAATGGGAATTAAGATTTAGATCGTCAATTACTTTTTTGACTTCTCCTCCTCTGGAATTCAACAGCAAGAAGATCAACCCTCAAGATTCAGAGAAATCCTGATACTCTTGATTGGCAGTGCAGCACTCTTACTGATGTTTTGTGGATTCTGGGTTTGGATGGCAACGTAATATAAATTCATCATATTTCAATAGAAATCTCTTCTCAATCGGAAAGGCAGAATAAGGATTTTACGCATTTAATACCTTTTAGTTGAGTTGGACAACATTCATTATGGGATTCATTCATGTGTTTGAATTGATTATAGTGACCCTTGCTATTTTAGGAAGTGAACACGTAATATTGATTGGCAAAGTCATTGAAGTGTATAAACGAATGGGGATTCAGAGACAGAAAATAGACTCACGTGATCCAGAATTATAATTGATGGATATCTTTGAAATTTATGCTTTTAATAACTTTGGGTCAGTTGTTTTTGGAGAAGCCCTTATCTTCTTATTGATGATTCCCAGATTATTCATCAGGATTTATGTGTGGGCTAGATAGAAGAGAGATGCTAATTTCTAAATCCCATCTAGATTGTAAGAGATATTGTGCATAAATGACAGAGCCTACCTATTGGCTTATTTAAGAAATGATGAATTCCTATTGAGTGCCAAATCTCAATATGTTTTTGACTAAAAGTTGAAGGAAACAACTAAAGTTCAATATCATGGAGAATAACTATCAGTTACTTATTGCTTTGCCGTTGCTAATTTATGTGTATCATTTACTTACATCCTGATTATTACTACCAGCACAACCATTGGCATTCATTAACCAGTTTATTTCCTATTGATTTCATTCATTTTTTCCTATTTCGTAAATATTGATTCAAATATGCTTAGATATCTATGATGTTCTCAACAGTCTACGGAGCAACAATTGACAATTTGACTATATTGTTATATAGAGACACCACAGCTGATGGTAAAGTAGTTGGAACCTGCGTAAAGAATATCGTTAGATTAATGAAAGAACCAGAATTGAATGAATAGGATCATTAATAATAAAATCATGGATAAGATTGAATAACTATTGCAATACAGTATCTAAAAATACAACAAATAATAAACAATCAATTATTTTCCTCCTCTTACAATCCACCTTCTTCCATATCCTCCTTGTCTTCTTATTCCATCTTTTAGATCTCCTCTCTTTCCTTCATGCACAGATCATCTGTGTTTTTTGAGGTGCACTAATCAAATCAACAACAAAATTATACCTCCTCAACTTTAGGTCTTTATTCTGGAGCCACTCTATTGCTGAAGTGACTGACAATCTATTAACTCTCTTGCATATCCCAAACAAATAATTCGCCTTGACTAGATCCACATCCATAAGTCCATGGAGAATCTTAATAAAATTAACCACAATAAAGGGATTCCTAAATTATTGATTGACAATCTTACTAATTTTGGGTTGTATGAACTTATCAATTGCAATTAACCGTTCTTTATAGGAGCATCTGTGTCATACACTCTAATCTTTCCATCCAAACAGGTAGTAGCCAATAATCCTGGCACTCCAGAACTCATGTGCACACTGCTGAGTGCCTTTTTATTTACATTGAAATTAGCTAATGGTTATTCACTTATTTTTCTAGCATCCAACAATATTAAATTTCCATCTTCAGTAGAATAAGCTATCTGATATCCCTTGATTGGATCCCAGCAGGCGCTTTCTAAAGATCCTAACATTTTATGTTAATGAATTGAATCTGGTGATCTAGCATCGAATAAACAGAGCTTTCCATCTTCACCTCCTGATAATATTACACTTTCCTCCTTTGTATTGAATTTAGAGATTTAAACTTTATCCTTATGATGATTGTAAGTAAACACACATTTCTACAGCATCAAATCCCATAATTTAACTGAATGATCAGCAGATCCTGACAATAAGATGTTGGGTTTAAAGGAATTCAAAGACAAACTCAAGACTGAATCAGTATGACTGTCTGGTTTATATGATTTCTTGTTCTATTTCTTTAGATTTTTGACTTTCTTATAATTCTACTCAATCTCTCCTCCCAAGACCATGGATGGTTCCAACACATTGACTACATCTAAATTCCATATTTCAATTTCAGGCAAAAATGATGACACTATTGCATAATTTCCCTTTATTGCAGATGTGCTCTCAACTTAACCTGGTTAAATTGGTAACCATTCTACTGCCAAAGGAAATGCTGATAATTGAATCTCATGATGCACAAATAAATTGGCCTTCTCCTCCTCATAGATATACACTTCCAATGAAGAAAACTCATTTTCCTAAAATTTAGTATTCAATTATTTCATACGATCTTGGCTGCTATGACCAAAGCATCTGAAGATTTGATTTAGTAATCCTCCTTCTCTTCATCACTCAAATCCTCTATCGCCACTGGATACCCGTCTTCTGGCAATTACTATTTCCCATGCATTTCCAAATCTTAACAAAATACTGGGAGATTGTCTTCACTCGAATCTTCGTCTTACTCTTGTATTTTACCCAAATCTTGTGTCAAACTAAACCTTAATTAAATCCTTTACTTCTTATTTATTAGTTTATCTTGCTTCATCTAGTTGATCTCCTCTTCATCTAAGTCAAATTCTTTAGGCTGCTTTATTGCATACCCTCTTGAAACCCAAGCTATAGCTGATATTAAATTTTATGCCATAAATTATAAATTTTTATTATTGTATAAAAAATCAAATGTCATTACTCATTCTCATTAATCCCTTTTTAATTTAATAATGTTCATAGCTGCTCTTACAACAAGGCATTGAGGAATCCAAAAGCATAGCCTTCTCTATATCATGCAAAGCTTGTATATATTTCCCGTTCTTCAAGTATAAATTGGACCTCTTTTTAAAAGCATCCGAATCAGCCTCATTTTTTTCAATATATTTCGTTAACTAGACTTCTGCCTAACCAAATTGATTTTAAGATATCAAATTGTCCATTTCTTTCATAAATAAATCCCTATCCTGCACGTTCCCTCCGTCTTACATCAATTACTCAAATTATTTAACTATTTTAATTATTCCAACAATCTCAGTTTATTTAAATCCTAAATTCTAAGGCTTTCTATACATTTTACTCCTTTTTAGTTTAACACAGAACTTATTCCAAATCCTATTAGTTCAATCTTTATTAGACTTAATTTAAAAATAAGATTTATGTTAACAATATCAACTAAACCTTCAATAAATAATCGCATAAAATTATAATCATTATTTGAGCATATTCATAAACTTCTATCTTTTTAACTCTAAAAACAATTTTCTTTCCTTCTTGCATTTGAGCAATCTTATAATCACCTTGCAAGCCAAGAACTTTTCGATTTCGTTATCATATTATTATTATTACTTTGTTTTGTTTTCTTTTAGCTTTTCTATTATTTATTAGGCATAATGTTCTTTTTTATCCAAATCCTAAATGATATTAATATACCTATTACATCAATGATATGTATTTATTAATCAATTCTTTCTTATAATTGCTGCAAAGTTAGACGTGCCAAGGCCAAGTCTTCTCTTCGTTTAGTATTAACTTCTATCATGATTTTTTCTTTTTCTCTCGAATCTTACAATTATTTGAATATTTGAGCAGAAGCAGCGTCATTATTTATCAAAGTCGTTTCAAGTTCTTCTCTCATTCCTTCTAGTTCCTATTTCCTTTCTTTTGCATTTTTTGCTCTATACATAAATTTCTTCGGATTTTGTTAATTTAAAGTTAAATTACTTTTGGAATCTGCAGTAGTTTTATTTTAAATTTGATCTTTACTCCTAAGATTTTATTATTATTTTAATTCATCCTAGCCTGTTTCGATAACTTTGTTCTCTTCGTAAGCTTCAAATTCATCATCGTTTCCATATTCATTATCTTCTTCACTATTTGATACTAGTTACTGTTGAATAATAGGCTATTTTATTATTTAATCTTCATCCTCAAAATCATTGCCATACTCATCTTGTTCCTTTTCTTTCTAAGCTTTTATTTACTCATAACATATTTATTGTTTTTCTCTTAATTATTCCAATTTCGCTAGTTTTCTCAAAATATCAATCTCTTATTGTTTGAGGATTTCTTCCTATGTTAATTTTGCCTTTTTTGTTTTTGGTGTGTTCTTAACTTTTACTTTTAATAGAAATTGTTCCCTATTTACTCTCTCTATTGTTTATAGTCTTTGATTTTTCTGCAGATATTAGTCTGCCTCTTTAATGTAGAATTGGTCATCCAATTCGTCTTCCCAATCGAAAAGGCTGAACACTTCATTTTACACAGGTTTATCCAAAACGATTTGATTGATTTGCTATGGCTTATTAATAATCTTTTGTTTTGGTGTTTACTTTTTAGATACTTTAGAACTATTAGGTTATTTAGTGAGTTATACATCTGAACTAGAATTGAAGAGATTAGAATGAATCAAAGGAATAGTTTCAGATATATGAGTTTTTCCAAACTTGAGCATGTTTGAAGTAGTTTATAATGGTGATTATCGATTTGAACTAAGTTAGGTGGGTTCTTTGTATTTTAAGTATCTATGTTTTTCTTGTGGAGTCATTAAATACTTTGTCTAGGCACTCATTGGCCTTTACGGATTCCATTTTGGACTTTGAATTTTTTACATTTCTCCAAACTTCCTAACTTGATGCATTTGATCCCTCATTTGATCCATGAATTCTCTTGTGTAATTAGGGATCTATTCATCACCAAATTTAACTTCACTAAAATCGAAATTTAATGAAGGTTTCATTAATATATTTTATTTTTATAATACATTACAATTCACACTATAGTAATACATTAGATTAATCTTTAATGATTAATTAAGTGCAATATTAACAGAAATTCTTGAATACGGGTTGATAATTGTTACATTCTTTAATTTGTCCTAAATGCAGGAATGATTTCTGAACTTAATTTTACTAAAAATGCATGAGAGTGTAAAATGATAATTTTATTAACCATATTATTATTAAAATTTATTTGCAAATGAACTCACAATTAGATGACTCAAAAGAAAGTGTTTAGTCTCAATCAATGGAAAGATATTTGCAAGCAGAATCAGTTGGCAATTCCCTTTCTCCTTAAAGATAAGTATAGACATAGCGGAATACTCAAGTCGGAGCATCGATATTGAAATTGTAGAATGGGAAATATAGCAATTAATAAAATGTATTCAAAGAAGCACTCAATAAAAAAATGACAGAATTGCATAAGAAATCGCAAAAACCAATTGTAGTGGCTCCTAAATATGAAATAGAAATTAAGTAAAAATAGCCAAAAAGTAATACTATTATAAATGTAGAAATGGATAAGGTACAGTAAAACATTAAGAATGTGTAACTTAAGGCAGAAGAAGTTAAGAAAAAGAGAGAAGAAGAAAAACAAAAAGAAGAGAAATTGAAATAGAGTAAAGTAGAACATGCTTAAGAGGATCTCGACGAAGGTAATCTCATCATTTTTATTCTAGTATTTTAGGAAACAGTAAACAGATTGTACAATTATGAGAAGTAGAGATTGAAATAGTTGAATAAAATGATAGAAGATGAGAAAAACAAAGATAAATTAATCATGAGTGCAAGACCCATGATAAATGAACGAAGTTGTAAATTGTTAGAAAGAAAACTAAAGTAACTTGTAAATGAGGAGGAGGATTACAAAATGATATATTAATTTAAAGATGCAGATGTTTAAGTTGACCTATTGCCCGGTTTGCCAAAACTGAAGGACCATTTATCAATAAAGTACAATCAAATAATAAGAAATAGTGCTAAGAAGACAGTCAATTTGGGATAGGAAATTCAAATCATCAAGGAAGAGAATATAATGGAACCCATCGATCCAGCTGAGGATGTCCAATATAAAGAGGGTTCATCTCATGCAATTGTATAAACCAATGAAATTAAATATAAAATTGGAGATACAATTAAAAATTAACAATAGCAATAGCAGCCCTAATAATAATAATAAACAATCTAATTTGCAACCCAGGATACTCCTAATAAAAAAGTGCAAAATTAAAGACAAAAACGTTTGGACTTTATGGAAGTCTAAGGACAGCGAGTTAAAACTGAATGTTAATATTATGTGCCATTACATATTCGTTAATAAAAAATCATTTAAAAAAAAGAGGAGTGGATGAAGTCTTAGATTGAACTCAAGAAGTAAAAGGAAGAGGAATCCATTAGAGCTGAATAGGAACAATGGGAGAAGGAGAAGTTGAAGTGGTCTAAAAGGAAAGATCCAAATAAATCTATGTAATAGGAAATTAATGTTGAAGAGTTTGCAAATTCTTAACTACATTGGTTAGAAAAAAGAAATGAACACATTTTAACAGAGTAGATAAAAAAGGATAAGGACATGCTATCATCATTAACCTTTAGACCGCAAATACAAAAAAGAAATATCGAAAATTATAATACTACCAAAGTTGAAGATAGATTACTTGATTATCAATAGAAAAAACAAGAAAACTTACAAAAACTAGAGAATAAATACTTACCTACTTTTCAACCGAACCTTAACTTAAAAACTGTATACTCTACATAATATCTAGGTTCTTAATATGGATTGGGCATCAAAAAGCTTCAATAATACTTCTTCGAATAAACTATGGCAATGAACTGTAATTATTTTTATTTCATTTAACTTCGAACCATAAACCAATAAATAATAATAATTCAGATTCATATTTTAATTTAATAATTAATTATATATATTCAATATATTAATTTATTGTTTTTCATATTTTTGGTCATAGTGAATGTTAACAAAATTATAAAACGCAATAAACTAATAAATTATGTCATACATTATCAGATGTCTTTGAAGGGGGAGATATTCAATAATTTATAAGGATTTGAATTTAAGATATTTCCTTATAATATTATCAAAAATGAAGTTCATATTTATAGCCATCCTTATGGTCACCTCTCTAGCTAGTGCATGCAAAATATTTCAAGAATAGCCATTTAATTAGTAGCAATATTCTAGGGAGCAAGAAATTGCAATCAATCTCAAATTATCAAATCACATAATCTTGAATATGGAGAGTGAATCAGGCCCTCATCAGAAGACATACTCAACTCAACCTAGAAATCAAGATTTGAAAACATTGTTCTATAAATTATTAACTATACAAGTCTGAAATCCATGAAACTGAATGACAACCAATTTATTCATTACATTATTACATTATTGCTTATTTATTAATCTCTACTAAGCCTCACTCTCCTTTTCAAAGGCTCATTAGCATAGGAATAAGTTGTTATAATTTGCTTATTAATAATAGATATAATATAACATTAATCTAATAAAATAAATAAACATTAGAATAAAATCACTTTTCATAAAGTTGCTCATATCCATCTCTATCTGTATTGTTGACTTATTTAATGTCATATTTTTGCACAATTGATGTCGACTACCTAAATTGCATAGATTCAACTCTATTCGAAGTGATAATTTTCAAAGTACATATGATTGAGTTTGTTATTATGAATTGTTTTTGTCTGACTCTTTGAAAATTATAAATATTACATTTGACTTTTTCAAGAATTCTAATTTATCCTGAGCCATAAAATCTTATTAAAGAGTATTCTAAGCAAAAAGCAAAGCTGCCCAAAGTTTTTAATCCAAAAGGCACACAGCATCCAGAGCTCTCAAAAATAGTTATCCTGGAATATTATTGGATATAGTACTATAAATATAGGAAAAATACTCAGAATGATAATTATTCTAAAAATATAATGATTCCATTGCAATCCAAAAAATAATGAAATCTTTAGTTTTTTGTCTTAGCTGATAGGCTATATAGATGAAAGAATTGTAAAATTCTACCTGCTAACAATTATCAAAAATAAATTCAGACTCTTATAATTTCAAAACTAATAAATAAATATTAAATTCATTCAAGAGGAAGACCCTATCAAAAACTTAAGAATAGGTTATCATTCTCAAAAGAATCAATCAAACTATAAATAACAGTCCCTTTACTCAGAAAATAGAAAAATTCCAAAAGAAAATGTATCTAAATTGAGGTTTTGAATGGGTTATCAATTATTATTAAAATAAGATATCAATAGTTGGGCAATCAGGTTAATAATCAAAATAAGCTTAATTAAAGAATAAAACTTATGAGTATTTTCAACTTTGATCTAAAAATAAAATGGAGCAATTTATGGACATACAAAATATGATTGTGTTAAGACTCCAAAATTTAAATGATATTAATCAAATATTTATAAATTTTAACAACTCCATTTAGTAATCGCAATTATTTTTAGTTTTTGTGAAAATGTTGAGTGTTTTCTAATTGGAGAGTCAAACATTAAAATATTCTTCTTATTAGGATAAGATTGGATTTGTAATGAAATTGAGTAGTTAAGAGGTGGATTAGAATTGGGAATCCAAGGAGGAATGCAAAAATTGAGCAAGTACATTAAAACCTAATTTAAATGAGAGCAATTAATTTAGAGTTTATGAAAATACTAATCAATAAAAGTAATGGATCTGATTCAAGTCTAAGTTAAAAGTAACATTCTTTTCTTTATTCTTTGGTTTCTTAGGAAGTCTTCTTACTAACTAGAAATTGCTCCTAACATGATGGAGCATCAGTATGGAGATTACGACTATTAGAGTGACTATTGCAGCTATAAAATATTTGCTTAGGTAAGGTAATTATTCGGTTGAGTGGTTCCTATATATTTACCAAATTAGAAAGGGAGATTCCATAAAAATTAATTTATTTTATGAGTGAATTAGAACAATATTAAGAGGACTTAGCAGAAGTTCAAGAATGGTTGAAGACAGCAAAAAGGCCAAATAATATTGAGTATTTGAACAAGAGAATTAAATTCTTGAACGACTCTATCAAGATACTTCAACCATAAAAGGTGGAGAAGGAAGAGTAGATAGAGTAACAGTTGCCTTAGATAGATGAATTGAAGTTCGAGAAAATAACTAAATACGCTTTCGACTAGGAGGAAAATAAGATAACAATAATCATCAATATGGAAGGTGTAGGGGAATTGCCAAAACAGAATATTCAAGTTGAGTTTGGAAAGAATTGCTTTGATGTCCGAGTGATAGGGTATCGCAACGCCAATCATAGGTAATAATATTATTTATGAAGGTTACAAATTAAAAAAACATTTGGTGACTTTCTGCATTAAATGAGTAGCTTCAAAGTAACTAAGAATAATATTCATGTTATATTGGTTTTGCCTGATAAAACCTAATGGACTCAAATCAAAACAACAGAAAATATTGTAAATTATATTTTAATTTGAGATTGATCAAAAAAAAGAAGAGAAAGAGAAAAAGAAACTTGAGAAGGACGGCCCATTAGAGGATAATGTTAAGGGAGTGTTGAATATGTTGAAGGGATTTTATGAAAGCGATGATCCTGAAATGAGAGAAACTGTAAGATAATTCATGAGGAAGACAGCTAATTAATAGATGTGGAAAAATTGATTTTATTAATAAAGAATAACAATCAATAATTAATGATACATGGATTTATTAAGAAAATTAATTCCTCTAATTATCTAGCTGAATAAATTACGGATATTGAGTTCATAATAAGTTTAATCAGAACAATTAATTAAGGTTCTGATATAATTACTAAATTTTATTCTGGAGTTATAAATTCTAATTTTAGGAATTCGAAGCATAAACGATTATTAAAGAATTTATTATTATTAAATTCAGAGAAGTTGTAAAATTATAAGAATTGAGTGTTATATTACATTTAAATGTTATTAAGAAATATAATTGAGTAAAATATTCGATAGTTTTATCTTATGACTTCTTGGAAGTAAAACTTATGCTTGTTAACTATTAATTAATGATAAATGTTTGTTGAAAGTATTCTCAATTAAGTTAATGAATTTGTATTGAATTTCATTAAAATCATAAGAGAAGTTATTGAATCATCAAATTATTTGATTAAATCAGATGAATATTGATATCTTACTAATGTTTTTCGAATAAAATATATTGAAATAATTAAAAAATCATTTAAAATCTTAAATATAGTCAAGACAAATTTAACTGCTCTAATATTAAAAATTGGATTTTCTAACTACATGAAGCATTAATTTATTAAATTAAAACTTATTGTGATTTTGTAACGAAGACACTGCCTTCAAATTGATATTAGAGAATTTTATCATACAACTATTCCAAATGGATTGATTAAATTTTATAATTTTAGTAAAATTCAATGATTTCAGTTATTAATTTTAAAAGGTTTAGACAATAAAAGTCTTAATAAATTCTCATAGTAATGTTAGCAGTGCCATCTATGGTTTATCTTTTTATGTTTGCCAAATCGGAGATGACTTATCTTATTGATAATAAACATTTATATTATAAAGCAACATATTAAAAATGGGTTCTAATTATTTAAAACTGCAACAACAAATAAGGACTAGAGGCAATTATTGATTCTTATTTAATCAAAAGTAATTTAAGTGTTTTCTATCAGTAAATTGAATGACAAAAATATATTCATTTGAGACAAGAAATTGAAATCAGTCTAGTACTATTGACACTTATGTGATTTCGAAGAGACTCTCCCTTAAAATAGGGAATGCTTGACTAAAGTGCTTGTCATTATAGAGGTATTCTATAATTTCGGATGCTTCCTGCATTGATTTGATCTTTTATGATTAAGTTGCATTTGGATTTAGTTTTTGCTTGATCTCAAATAGAGTTCTAATTCGTTCTTGCAAGTAGCCACCGAGGGAGTGAGTGTCTCCAACCAATTCTAAATATAGTGACAACCGTTAGCAAGTGGAATCTAATTTTTTTTATTAAAGTCCTTCACATATGGTCCATGTGTTGCTTTTAATTCTTTTTCTTGAGGTTTGACAAGTTCCCATTTAAATTTCTAGGTTTTATGTTTTAATAGTTTAATTAATTTATCATTACTAAATTATTAAAAGGCTTTTTGAATTTAATTCAACTTCTTTTCTAGTGAATTAATTTATTTTTCTTATGATACTAGAAGAACAAAAGCCCTTCACCACTGAAGAACTCTATGAATACCGTAAGGTCCTAGTAGACTGGAAATGGCGAGGTCCTGATGCCATATACTTTGTTCTAGGCTAACTATGCGTAAATACCATTTATTCTATCAATTTTAGAAGGGAACCCTAGAACGAGAGGCGATTGTGCAAAGCAAAATATATAAGAGTGTCTATATCCTCAGGGAGTCTATCAGGAAGGCTCCCTCAACTGATATGGCATTATATAATAAGGATTAAATCGCCACTATTTTGGTCTAAATAATTCACTTAGTTTTAGTTAAAACTCAAGTCCATTCATAATTAGATCAAAGAAATTATTTCTAAGCCCCCTAAACGAGAAAATAAAAAGACCATATTTTCTGTTGCCAAATATGTATTAAACATAAGGATGTTAATTTTTAGACTGATAACATCCAAGGAACCTAATCCAATATTCAACTGGGAGATTACTTGCCTCAAGACTAGAGGGATAAGATCAGAGCTAAATTATCGGAGTATCTACAGAAATAAATTTAATAAAAATAATAACAGGATCTTTTTTAGGAGGAGAATTTGTAATAATGCTAAAAGCTATTAGTTAGAGTGGACAAGTGTACTAAGTTGGCTGATGCTCTTGAAAACAATTTATACAACAAACATTATTAAACAGTGGCACCAGGAAAGAATTATAGTTCTGATTTGAAAACCCTATACTAAGTATAATTAGGATATAATTCAAGTACTTGGGCAAAGACAAATCAGGAAGAGTGTTACAAAAATTATTTGAAGGTTTTTTTACAGTGAATTAAGCATGTTAATTATAATTGAAGGATTGGCTGGATGAAGAGGTTATTAGAGAATTAGAAAATAGAAAAATTGTAATTTAATTTGACTATCGAATATTAGTCTGAAATGAAAGATGACGATGCAGATTACTATAGATAGATTCGAATCAAGGAGATGACTCAATCGAAAGGTTAGGAATGTCCAAGATGTCATAATAATTATTTATACATAATTGAAACTAAATAAATAAGAAGAGCAGATGAACCAGCTACAATCTTCTACGAATGTTTTGCATGCTAACATAGATACAAAGTTTGAGTATTTCAATTAAAATTATAATTTTGTTTCTATTATAACTTAAATGATCTACCAAGTTACCAAAGGCTATGATTCTGAAAATTTAATAAAAATATAATAGATATATAAGTAAATAGATAAATAGATATTTCTCATTTAATTATTTGTCTTCCTTTTTTTTCAACAGACTTTATTACACCAACTGCAACTGTTTGTTTCAAGTCTCTTACAGCAAATCTTCCAAGTGGTGGATATTCAGAAAAGACTTCAACACATAAGGGTTTGGTTGGTATTAATTTAATAATAGCGCAATCCCCTTATCTTATATATTTAGGAGCTTCCTCTATTATCCTGCCTGTTCTTCTGTCAATTTTTGATATGATTTAATCAAATGTACATGCAATATGTGCTGTATGGCAATCTACAACTGGACAATAACCCTTTGAAATTTATCCAGGATGATTTAATATTATCACTTAAGCAATAAATGACATGCATTCTTTTGCTGGATCATTCTGTTAATCAGAAGCCACATATCCTCTTCTTAAATCTTTGCATTGTACTTTTTTCACATTAAAACCTATATAATCTCCTGGGATTCCAACTCCAAGTTCATTATGATTCATTTCTATAGATTTTAATTCAGCTATTATTCCAGTCGGAGCAAACTCGATCATCATCCCTGTTCTCACAACTCCAGTTTGTATTGTACCCACAGGAACAGTACCAATACCACTTATTTTATAAACATCCTATAATGGGAGTCTAAGTGGCTTATCAGTTTGTCTTTTAGGTGGTATTATTGTATCTAGAGATTCAAAAAGAGTGGGGCCATGATACCATAATAAATTAGGTGATCTTTTTAACATATTATCACCTTCCCATCCAGAAATTGGAATGAATGGAATATTTTTTGGATTGTATCCTACTCTAATTAGATAAGCTGCTAACTATTCAACTATTCCATTGTATCTTTCTTTTGAATAATTTACTGATTTCTCATCCATCTTATTTATTGCGCATACTATTTATCTGATACCAAGTGTGTAGGCCAATAAGATATGCTCATTAGTTTATCCGTTCCGAGATATGCCATACTCAAATTCTCCTTCAGCTGAAGAAATCATTAACAAAGCCGCATCTGCTTATGAAGTTCCTGTTATCATGTTTTTTATAAAATCTCTATGACCAGGTGCATCAATCACTCTGTAATTATAATTATTTGTTTCAAAATTCTGTGTTGAAATATCAATTGTGATCCCTCTTTCCCTTTCATCTTTAAGTTTATTCAATATCCATGCGTATTTGAATGATCCTTTTCCAATTTTATTAGCCTCCTCTTCATATTTATTAATTGTTTTTTCATCTATTCCACCTAACTTATAAATTAGATTTCCTATTGTAGTTGACTTTCCAGAATCAACATGTCCTATAACAACTAGATTGATTTGAACTTTATTTTTTGCCATCTATATTTATTAATGATTGTAGATTAACCACTTTAGTCATTTAAAAATCATAAGGCAAAATTTAATGACTAGATTAAAAAATAATTTATAATCACTCTAATTTAAATTTATCATTGACTTTTTAATCTTTTTCAATTTATTTTCCATTAAGCAAAAGGTTTTAAATGCATGTATTTGAATTTTGAAGCATGATTTAATAACCAAACTTATATTAAAACAAATAAAGTTTCTGAAAAATTTAATATATTTTAATAAATAATCTATTTATTCAGCATATAATAATTCCAACATCATAAAAACCTATCATTCCTTACATAAGGTTGGTACCTATGTTAAAATTAGAATCTTACATTGATTATTATTAATTAAATGATGGAGGCGTAATTGTTTACTATTAAACATATTAAGATATGGCTGGTTTTTTCAAAGGCGATGTTTACTCATTTTACTAAGGGTAGGGAGAAAATGATTATGAAAAAGTTGGTTGTTTTTAAAACTGCGATTGTTGTAATGACAATGGAGCTTAAACTGGATTTATTTGGCTATGTTGACTAAATTGTTATTGGAATTGAGGGTTTTATTACGAAGTCTAAAAATTTTAATTGAATTATGAATTTCCTAATTATGAATTCTGAATTGGTTGAATAATGGATGGCATTCCAGGTTAAGGAAGAAATGAGGCATTTGAGGTTTACAAAATGGGAACATAAGGATCAGCAGTTTAATATGGATTGCATTTGGACATAACTTCTCTGCTTTTTTGTAGAGCTCTTTAGATAATAGGGTCCATGTCTAAGAAATTAGGCTGATAAGGATTTTGGGTATTTTAATTCGGAAGTCTATAAGTATCGCTTTCATCTTAATGAGTAAATGTAGTAGGAACAGTGGCTGCTTATTAATAAGGAACTTCTCCTTTCATGAATTGAAATCTTTCTTTTAATTGTCTTATTTTATCCAATCCTTCCTAAGTAGTTAGATGAGTTGCTTAATGATTTGATTCATATTTTGAATGAGTAGCAAATTCAAAGTCATAGCTTTATTTATTGACTTCAGTGTTGGGAGCAGATTCTAAATTGGCTTAAAAATTCGATGTAACTTGTCTGTTAAAGGAATCATTTATAAGGTTGTGCTGCTCGTACAGAGACTAAGGTTAGCTTTCTATAACTTATTCTTAAGCGAAATTAGATTGACTCTTGATGAGCAATGTTGATTTAATAGCTTAATCTTGCATATTCAATGCATACAGATTTGGAGAGATTCTACTAGAATCGACATGAGATATTTTATCTAAGATTTCAAGATATGTAGGTCTATGATAGGTGTTGAGTTGCAATAGATCCTTTAGCAGATGCTTCATTGGATCTGAGTAGTTGTACTTTTCAAATGCATTATTCAATTTTTGATTAGCTAGTTCTGAATTAAAAGTGAAATTATTGTAGAACTTTTTCACGTCCATATTGGTTATGCACACCAAGAAAATAACACCAAGTATGAATACATTTTATTTTTCAATAGAATATTCTTACTTATCCTTAAATTCTAGATAATGATAATTACATTTTAACGTTCATTTTCTAACACGTACAATTGCTCAGGTGAAAGATATTCAACTTCTCTTAATTGAGTAAAGACTTTTTGATATGCACTTTACTGATTGGCTAAGCAACATAGTTCTAGCAGTTTGACTTCCCCACTCAGCTTGATCCGTATATTGTTCGGATGCAAATCCTGATATTGTAGATTATTCATCTGAAGATCTTTCAATCCAGAAAGTATGGTTTATGTCAAATACCATAGCTCTCCCTCGTTATAACTATATTCAATATGTCATTATTAATTACGTTCTATCATTGGCTCTTCGATTTAGGATGTCATCTTAAAGGCTTTTTTCTAAATATTCCAGCCCAACATGCAAAAGATTTATATTGCTGCACAAATCCTCAGTTGTCTGCACCTAAAAATCCAATATTTTAGTAAAGTATTGATTGTTTTATTGTTTTCTATATAAGATAATGATTTACCTCATTTGAATTAAGTTAGCCCTCTTTTCCATATCAGATTGATCGTAAAATTTTATAAGTGCCATTTAATCAGTTCGTTTGATCTTATTGCTAAACAATTGGATTTCTCCGTATCCCTCATCTTATGCCACATTGAGAAAACTGTATTCATTTAATATTTCCAAATTTAATTTTGAGCTGTTAGCTCCCATTTATAAAATATTTATTATATATAATAAAAACAGTTTTTTTTCGATTTAATCCAATGAGATCCCGGCAATACAATACACTCTAAATCCACCTACACAATATTTGAGTAAAGAAATTTTATTTATTAATTTCAATATGACCAAAAGCTATATCAAATATAGGTGTAAGTTCTACTACTTATTATTATATAAAATATTTTATGTACTTTAAGATAATTAGCGTTTAAATGATATATACAATATGATGACATGAAATTTAAATTTATTCCAATTTATTTGAAGATTAAAGTATTAATGAAGATACATTGAAATCCTGATTGAAAAGTATGAGATTAGTTTATTATTAAAATTAATGCTAGTATTCATTTTATTCGCAGTAATACATTCAAAATAGGTCTCTTTCTTAAGACACGGTATTAGATCCCCCAATGATTACAATGATTTAGATAAGGAATTGTGGGGAGACTATCCTCAAGGATACTTAACTTAGAAGGGATTTGATTAAGTGAAATAGATGGCGATTAATAATTTCACAATTCATGATGGTCGTGGTATTTGCGATTATGATTACTTTAATTTGATTTCATCAGCAAAACCAAGGGTCATTCATTCAGTGATTGCTTTTATTTAAGGATTATGTCCTTAAAATTATAATGAAATTTTGGTGCAATATTTTAGAGACTATTATCAACAATATTCTACGAATCAGCAGAATTTCGATAAAATTATAAATTCTAATTTCAGTGACCCTTTCTCATAAAATTTTGAGACATTCAAAATGACTAATGACTTCATGTTCCATGGACATAAAACTGAACAGTGCCCATTAATAGATGTTCTTGATGATGCCCTTTATAGTAGTGCTGAATACAATGAGATAAACAAACAAGTGAGACAACATCCATAGTTCAACAATACTTTTAAGTTGTTTAAGAAATGCAATCCCAATTCAAATGTTACAGAAGACAGTATTACAATCACTCAATTAAAAAAGCTATACTCAAATATTTTGTGTAACGAGGCATAGGGTTTATATGATTATAATCTGAACCAAGAGTAGGTGGAATATTTGATGAACATTTTTAAATTTTAATATTTCGGAATAGATTATTCACAACCACTTCAACATTAAGCAACCTTATCATACATATTGAAATGGTTGTTTTAGGAATTCTATAGCGAAGTAGAGGAAAGTTTCTTTTATGGACATGATGATAACCAGTATGCTTTATTGTCTGTGATAACAAAAGAATGGCCGTATGTTAAATTTGCAGGTAGGTTGCAATTCAAAATTACTGACGATTATGTGAATGTATTTTTGGATGACAGATTGCTCATAACCAATTTCTGCAGTGAAGGCGTTAATTGCAAAATAAGTGAAAGTATTAAATACCTGAACAAATATATAAATCCAAATATCGAGAGAGATTGTTAACTGATTATTTGATTTAAATTATTAAATACATATTTTATAGTCCAGTTAAAAAAGGAGAATATAATTATTAATCAATTGAGCAGGCGTCATAGAATTAATCTAATTTATAATATTGTGGGGAAACACTCAATTGAGGGTGAAGAAAGATTGAGTCTAAAGAAAATAGTTTAGATTTCTAATACATTAGATATACATTAATTATTATTAATTTGTGCATTTTATCGCAATGAAAGGACCTGTAATTATTATAAATCTTATTGTAGTTCCTCTGGGGATTTGTGTATAAGTCGTTATTCAATTTTAGAAGTAAGATGGTAATGTTTCTATACTAGAGCCTACTTTTAAACTTTTACAAAGTCCATTTAGTTTAAATAAGGATGATTTAATTAAAAAGGCTGTCAACATTCCTGATCATAAGTTTGACTTCCAACCCTTTATCTAACCGGATGCCACGTTCCTTGTGAATCAATAAAATATTTAAAACTTGCGTCTCTTGCAAAAGGAATTTGCTTCTGATCCTCAAAATCCTGAGAAGGCATTCAAGTATGTTCGATAATTGAATCGCATGTAATTATATGATGAAGCACTTCGTATATTCAAATAAACAGGTAGGATAAAAATTTTAATGAGTAGATGACTTTCGTGAAAATGCTAGTCCAAAATAACATCAATAATTATAAGAATAATATGGGATTGCAGTAACAAATTTGAAATCCAATCAATATGGGGACAAGCGTAGATCACTAATACTTCCAGGGATGATCTAATTATTGATAACTGCAGCCATTCTTTATTAGATGATGTATTTCTTCTAACCAGGTCAATCTAAGTCAAAAAATGAGAAAAACTAGAAAGACGTTCCTGAACAAGGAGGTGGTAGAATTGATCGCTTTTATAACATCCTACGCAACAATCAAGCAGTTTAAGAAGAAAGAAATATTCCTACGCGATTTAATGATGTTTTGGGAATAGATGAATTTAAAGAAGAATTAGAAGAAATAGTAGAATTCTTGAAGCATCCTAAAAAGTATACTGATTCAGGTGCAAAATTGCCAAAAGGAATTTTACTTGTTGGCCCTCCAGGAACAGGTAAAACCCTTTTGGCAAGAGCTTTGGCAGGAGAAGCAGGATGTGCATTCTTTTATAAATCTGGATCAGAATTTGATGAAATGTTTGTTGGAGTTGGAGCTTCACGTGTTAGGGAAATTTTTAAGGCTGCAAGACAAAAGGCCCCTTCTATTATTTTCATAGATGAAATCGATAGTATTGGAGGCAGAAGAAGGGCATAGGATCCAGGCTATTCCAGAGACACCATCAACCAAATATTGACAGAAATGGATGGATTTAAATAGAGTGAAAGTGTGATCGTAATTGGAGCCACCAATTTTGAATAGGTATGATGATTATACTACTATCATTATAGGTTCTTGATCCAGCTCTCAAAAGACCAGGAAGATTTGATAAAATGATTCATGTGCCATTGCCAGATGTGAAAGGTAGGGAATAGATATTTTCCTATTACTTGTAAAAGATCAAATACGATGTTCAAAAAGTATTGCCATCCAACTTGGCAAGACAGACCAGTGGATTCAGTGGAGCTGATATTTAAAATATGGTCAATGTTGCAATTTTAAATGCCATTAAATATGATAGATAAACTGCAACAACTGAGGACTTTGAGTTTGCAATAGATAGAATTGCTATGGGAGTAGGTAGGAAGAATATGCATGTTAGTGATAAGGAGAAGTTGATGACTGCTTATCATGAAGGTGGACATGCTTTAACCAGTTTATTGACTGAAGGAGCCATGCCTCTTCATAAAGTTACAATTCTACCAAGAGGTGGAGCCTTGGGATTTGTATTTATTATAATTTATTACATTTAGACAGCTATGCTCCCAGAGAAGGATCAACTTAATTACACAAGAAAGGGAATCATTGCATCAATTGATGTGGCTATGGGTGGTAGAGCTGCTGAAGATCTATTTTTGGGAAAAGATGATATCACTAGTGGATGTAGTAATGATTTGGCCAAAGCTACTGACCTTGCTTACATGTTTGTTAAATAATTAGGAATGGATGACAAAATATCTTTGATTTCAATTTAAAGTGATAGAATTAAAACTAGTGATCAGTTTGATTACATGGTTGACATGGAAGTTAAGAAAATATTGGAAGTATCATAAATTTAACAATTACATAGGAATCATATAATAGAGTCAAAAATTTGTTAAAAGTGAATGAATCAAAATTGAAGGACTTGGCTACAGAATTAGTAAAGAGAGAAACACTTTCAGCAGAAGAGATCAAAAAGTTATTATAAATTAGTTGAATATAATTTAAATGATTATACATTTTTAATTAACAATATACTAAAATAATAAATTGTGTTTGGACTCATTACTCAAAAATGAAGAGAAGACCGAAGAATCAAACAATATGGTATATAGTATTTAAGTACTTTAGACACATATATGATTTCAGCTTTAAAATTGTTGATAGGTTTGTGGTTAAGATAAATTTTTATATATGAAATTTTCTATTTTTAGAATTTTATAAATAATATATGAGTCTTTAGCTGAACTTTTAAAAAAAAGAAATAAAAAAGTTTCAGCAAATTCCTTAGACAAAAGTCTAAATTTAAAAAGTTTTTTGATTTTCCTTCTACAAAAATGTTGAAAGCCTTTAGGAATTTAGATCGTCAAACTGGAAATGCAAAGTTTCATGTTAATAAAGATTCAGTGACTGTTTATAATGGTTTGGTTAACTATCGTTTAGAGAAAATAATTTAATGTCATCTAACCACTCATTTATTTTGTTTTGATAATACAAATAGGTGTAATAAAGCAGAATAGGTTTGAGTAATAAAACTTAGAAGATCAAAATAAATAAGAGGCTGTAAGGAATTGATGTTATATAAATATTAATGATAATAAGATTTATGAACAAAATATTATGTTAAATAAATATTAATAATAAAGAATTATGATTAAATGAGATATATATTAGAAACTATATAAAATTGTAACATATCTTATTGTTTAGACAATATAAAAATCATATTAAATTGCTCCCTTAAATCGTATTATTAATAAATGTCGTCTGATGAATTGGGTAGCGAAAATGAAAATTTTGATTCAATACAAAAAGACTCGTTATGGAGAGATGAGCATAAGATGGAAGAATCTGCGCAGCTTATACATTTCCTTGTTTTAGGTCTGATTTGTGGACTAATCTTGAGGGAATTAAATAAGAAGACCAAGTAGGAGAGTTTAATATCATTAGCATCCCCTACTCTCCTATGATTCTTGCTCTTGGTTTGGCTATTGGTCTATCGTAGGAATATCTTGGGAAAATAGGGAATAGTGCTTACATTTTATCTAAAATGCATCCTCATTTGATCGTCTTCATTTTTATTCCAGTTCTCTTGTTCGAGTCAGCTTTTAACTGTGACTGGTACACTTTCAAGTACTAAATCATTAATATCTTGCTCTTGGCAGGGCCTGGATGTGGATGGGTAATTTTATATAATTTATATAAAAGGGAGCTATATTGTTGGGAGCATGCTTTAAGATCATTCTGTAGTATAGCGATGATGATATGAACTGGTACGAGGCATTTACATTGGGATCAGTGTTATCAGCTACTGATCCTGTGGCAGTAGTTGCACTCTTGAAGGAATTAGGAGCAAATCCAGCTTTTAATCATTTGATTGAAGGGTATGAATTCGATGTTATATTTTAGGGAGGCATTACTCAATGATGGAGTTGCAATGGTTTTCTTTAATGTTTTTAACAATATTTCAAAAGCTTCGAGTGGAAAAGGAGAGGCAGTTAACGGAGGGGACATAGTGTTAAGTTTCATAAGGACATCGCTTTTGGGACCAGTGATGGGTCTAATATTGGGTGTGCTGGTTGCTTTGTGGACCAAAAGAATATTGGGTGATGATATTGAAGTAACTTGGTTGACATTCGTATTTACATATTTTACATTTTATTGGGCAGAATTCGAATTTTTTTAAACAAGTGGACTTTTGGCAGTAGTAGGTTTAGGTTTGTTTTGGTGTGCTTATGGGAGAACAAGGATAAGGGCTTCAGTTGAGCATTCAGTTCATGCAGTTTGGGGATTTGTGTAATATAGCTGTGATACTCTTGTGTTCCTATTGGTAGGTATCATTGTCGGTATAGAAATTATGGAGGAGAAACTAATATTGAGTTCAGACTACTATAAAATGATTGGATTCTATTTCTTAATGATTTTGGCTAGATTTTTAATGGTTCTGACATTCTATCCATTTTTAAAATGTAATATCGATTATGAATTTAAGGTTTTGGATACCCAATATCAAAGTCTGAGTTGATTGTCTTGGTCTATGGAGGATTAAGAGGAGGATTGGGACTAACACTCTCCTTGATGGTAGGTTGTGATGAGGATCTACCTGCTCGTTTTAGACATTTAGCTGTTTTCTATGCTGCTGCCATGGCCTTAATCACCAATATGATCAATGGAACTACTTGCAAGACTTTGGTTAAATGTGTTAAGATGATAGATGAACCAATTGTGAAAAAGAAGGTGTATAAGAAATATTTGGAGGAGTTGATTGTTATTCAATAGGATTTAGTCAAGGAATTGGAGACTGATGATTTCTATAACATGACTGATTGGATGACTGTGGGTAATCTGATTGGACAATAGGATTTTATTGACAAAATTGATAAAGTGGAATAAGATATTAAAAATTTCATCTAAAAGAAGGGGTTTTAAGAAATGATCTATGAAGGATTGCCAAATCAGGATGTTTTTGGAGAGGTCAGATATAGAGTCTATAGAATTCTGAAAGGATTGTATTATCATAAATATGAAGAAGGTCTTGTTGAAGAATAAACGGTAAGGATGCTGGTAGAATCCAGTGATGTTGGATTAGATAAATTAAATGATAATCTTGAAATTTGGGATGAATTATACAAGAATTTTATGAATCTTTGTAGTGTCAATTTCTTTTTTAAAGTGAAACAGAAGTTTCTCATTGGATACTTTGCAAGGGAATATTTGATCAAACATCTCGGTTTAGTTTATGATGTGACATCCTCATTTATTATATGTGCAGAAGAGGCATTGAAGTTGGCAGACAATTTCCCTATGAATAAGGAAGCTATATCTATTATTTAAGAAGAATTAAAAAGAGATATTGAAAAGGCATAGACTTACTTTGGTACTTTAAATGGGAGTTTCCCTGAAATCGTCAGAGTCCTTCAAACCAAAAAGGCTTCCTTCTCTATTTTGACACACTCCATTGAACATCTTCAATCTACGCAACGTCGAGGTCTCATTGATGATAAAGAATATAAGATCTTATTGAAAGACATTAACAACAAACTTGTCAAATTAGAGAGTCATTCATATGATATGAGTCTTCCCTCTTTCCATGTTGTTGCAATGTAATTCCCAATCTTTTAAGAGATCTCTCTTACTGATTTGGATATTATCAAAAAGGTTGCTATAGAAAAGAAGTATGTCTTAGGATAAGTTATCTATGCCAAAGGGGATGAATGCAGTGAAGTATACATTATCATGAGAGGATACGTTGTCAATGATTTTAATGGAATTCTCATTACTAAGGGATTGGGATCTCTAATTACCCATTAGAGTCTTATTGTGGATGGTGTGCATATGAGCACGGCTAAAGCAGCTGTAGAATCCTAATTGTACGCCTTACCTACCAAAGTAATCAAAGAAGTTATGATCAGAAATAAAGAATTTGAATTCAAGGTTTATCTACACTCTCTTGGTATTTATCACTTTCATATCCTTTTTAGAATACATTAGAAAATGGTATGAGAGTAAAGTCGGCCCTCTTGCTTAGATGGATTTAAAGAGATTGAATGAGTTCTTAAGAAATAAATGTAAGCTAATCAAACTCTCAGCACTATCTCAAACTGAATTTACTCATGGAGGCTTCTTGTTTTCTGGAGAAGTACAAGATTCTAAGGCTAACACATACTATAAATATGAGTAAGTCATCATTAGTATATTTTAAGTTATATTCCTCCAAGTGAAGGGCTTTTTACTACTGTATAATATGCAACCTGCTTTACTTTTGATGAACCAATAGAAGTGCTCCAGATGAAGCGAATGAAGGAACTTAAATTAGATAGTCAAAGAGATTAAGAAATTCACGAAAGATATTCAGAGATCAAGAGAAATTCTATTATGGAGTTGAGCAAGATAAATATTACATGATAGATTAAATTTATGTCATTTACACTTTGTAATAAGGAATTATATTTATATCAGAATATTTTATTGATTATTCATAATTAGAATAAATATTTGATAATAAATTTTAATATTTATTTCATAGTTTATCTATTTTTAGACTTATCATAATTAAGTAGCAATAGATTCTATTTCGAATAATATGCACCTTACAATTTATGTGGAATATTCAAAACATCACCCAGGTTTATTTGAATATTCCAAATATTCTTAATCAACGGTTTTTAGAAGATTTCATACAATTATTGTTTATATCTATTAATCTCTAATAAAAAGGTATATATAAATCACTCATATAAATACAATTTATTAAATATACGATATTCAGTTTTGTTTCTTATTTTTTGCAATTTCTGCATCCAATCTCTTTTTCTCTTTTTCTTGTGCGCGTCTCTCAAAATACGGCTTTATGTACTTTCTATCCAATAAACAATAGGTTTGATATATTATAAACACCACGAACCCATAACCCATACATGATCTCATGTAATCGAAATACCACCATGCTATATTCAATCCAAATACAAGGATAATCAAGAATGTGTATCTGTATAAGCCTTATTGTATTTTTTTGTCGTATTTCTCCAAACGATCATGATATTGGATTATTATTTTTTTGTATTTCTCGTTGGTTTGATTTATGCAATCCTCGTCTTCGTACTAAGTCACTTCCTTCTCCCACTTATCCCTATAATAATTGTATTTGTATTGGTTGGACACAATCCTGAACAATTTAATGAATGCTAAAATAGAAGAATAGGTAATCAAGGCCCACATGCTTCCAATTAGACATCTAATAACAACATCCAGTATCTAGACTGATATCATGGCCTTGTATTTCGCTCTCAGAGCTTGAATCGAATGCTCTTCCTCTTCCAATTATTCAATTTGCATTTTCTAGTTTAGAAATTATATAAATAGATTTCTAATATAATTTTTAAATTTAAATTAATAGTGCGCCAAATTATTCTCAGAAATGAATTACTCACCTCCAAAATCTTAATCACTCTCAGCAGAAAGGCGTCCCACATCTATTTTTCTTCATCCCTTTCCAAAACCTCCCAGCTGTTCTCACATGCCATTATTCAAGATTGATTTCGGCAAGGAGAATATTCCACCATAAAAAATAAGCTGGGAATAATACTCTTTGTCCCTTTAACAATCAACAGTCTCTTAAAAGAAAAAGCCAACATAGAAATATGTAGAATTGGAGTCTCAAACTGATTCCAAAATCAAATTCAAATTCCCCCTTTACACAGATCATTAGCTTGGCATCAAATCGGAATATTAAAATCTCTTATAAGAAGCATACGACAATGATGATGATATCAATACAAGAGAAAGTGTAATGAATTTTTTTATAGATGTTTGTAAAAGAGATCTAGTTTAAGGAATGATGGAAAATCGATAAATTAAAGATTAAAAGGGGTAATTATTGAGGTTTAAATAGAAATCCAATCCTAAATTTTTCAGGTTTAACTTAAAGATTGAGTGTACAATAAGAATCTATGAACTAGCAAGCAGAATGATATACTTAATTATCAATGTTTATCACTCAGCTCATTTTCAATTTTATTCCAACATATGTCTCCCCATAATTGTTTGATAAATCTTGCAAATAATTCATAATATTTTAAAGTAAAATAACAGTCACAATTCATCATCATTATAATTTTCATATAGCGTTTCTTCGAATAATGATTTTAATCCTTATCCATCTATCCTCGAATCGAAAACTAATTCAAAGTCATTAGTTTCCCAATAATTCTCTATTAGTCTCTTTTTCTCTTTTGGCCATATTGAAGGAGGAGGAAACAATATATCTAATCCAAGTTGAAACACATTATCAATCAGCTGCGACGCGAAATCTTTCATAAATTCCACATCTTAGTCTAATATGGGATTTGGCTTTGTGCTAATTAAACAGGGTTTACCCTTATTATCAATTAACATAACTACTTTTATCAACTATTTTTAATAAGATTTTAATACCTCAAAATTGTGATCCTTGACTGGCATCTAAATAAATATCGACTTCAAATATTCTCCCAATATCTACTTTATTTTTGGGTATATCGTAGAGTCATAATCAAAATTATATAGATAAAGGTGGTCCAAAATATTCTTCATCGAAATATACTAATTGTTGATTTTTGAGTTTGAGTTCTCTAAAAAATAAATAGAGGATCCATTCTCAAATTCAGAAATTGTTATTTCTGATTTTTACCCATAAAATTATTAGAAGAGATATCCTCTTACAATTCCATTTATTTGAGTAATCAATAAGTAATAGCATAAATCTAATTCGATTTCTTGAATTTCTATTGGACGAATATATTATTAAATTATAAAGCTCTACTAATTTCTATTAGGCATCTTGAATTATTCATTAAGATAATTAAAAACACTTTATGTATTTTGACATACAAGAATTTTATCTTCCTCTTATAAATCACTCTTTCTCAGAAGCCAAACATTATTTGATGTTTTGTAATTTTTCAAGAATGCATAAAGCAGATTCTCACCTACATAATCTACAACCATAGACAGAGGAACTAAATTTTCTACATATTATCTTGTCAATTGGCAATATTTAATTATTGAACAAATCAAATTTTTTTTGGTCCATAAGGGTTATGCAAGATCTATATGATTATGCACCTTAATTTAGGGTGACAATAAATTAAGTTTATTTTCAATAGCATATTTCATCTAATCCTCAACTCCTTCAGATTTCTTTAATACCTATTCAAAAGGTTGAAATTCTATTTTATCGCTTATATGTCGTTATCCTTATTTGCTTAAAAAAGATATGGAAGCTTGGGAATACCAAAAGAATTCAATTTCTTCATCTTAATTATTAGACTCTTACCACCACCATCTATAACTAAAACATTTTTTCACTACCTCCTCATGTTTTGCATCTTTAATAAGGTACCTTTAGATCCTAATTGCTGAAGGTCTAACATATATCATATGCATGCATTAATTTTCAAAGAGGGTTCTCAAAAAACACTTGAGTTTTCTATTTATTATATCTTCATTATTTTAAATTTGCGGGAGATGTATTGATTTTTTTCTTTGTAATTATTTATTATTAATTTTTTCTAACGTTTCCTTAGATCTAAAAAGTGGTTTTTTTAAAGGGTAAGACAGGTTTTTCTCAGGTGATCTCGGAGATAAAACCTGTTCTATCTATTTTTATATAGGCTTCTCCTTTACAGATTTTTCTATTTAAAAGGGTATTAAATGCTTTAGATTTTTGATTTGCTGAAAATTATGGAAATACCCATTTTTAGCAATTTAGAGCTGAGGGGATTCATCAATTTTTTTTTATTTACCAACCTGAAATCTACTATCATCTAGTGCATTTTCTAAAATTTTTCTTTAACTTTGTAGGTTATTGATTGTTGAAAGTGATTATTAATTAGTGAGATAAGGTGATAATTGAGGTTTTAGGGATTTTTCTCTTCCTCTAAAATTTGTAAAACCATCATCGATTTTATCATCTCTTTTTGAGAATGGACTTCCTAACGACTCCGCATTAGAGTGGTCTAGAAAGCTTTGATTTTAAAGATTTGATTTTTAGTTAATAAACAATTGCTGTTTTTAGCCATTTAATACTTTGAGAGATGGTTGAAAATAATGACTTCCAATCAAATATGATTTTGAGTTTTGTAGTTATATTTGATCATAATTTTTCGTATTGTCTAAATCCTTTATTGAATGACTTATTTGCCTATTTGGTTCAGTTGGGAATTTAAGAATTGAGGGCATTTTTAAGTTCATCTCCAATTTTATTTGTATAAATTACTTATTTAAATTTTATGAATTCTTTAATGATTCTTCAACAAATGAATGTTCAGTCTGATGTAAAATACAATTTTCAAGAGGGAATTTAGAGAAAGAGACTTTTGTTATTTTTATTTTTCTTTGCAATTTTCTACAATTTAATGAATATTTAGTAAAAAAACATTAATAATTAAAGAACTCTTATATTTAAAGGTCAATCATTAGATTATATCAAATTTTAATCAATATAATATATTTGTCCCCATCCCAATATAATTTATATCAATATTAATTTCTCTTATAATTCATCATCATATTCACTATAATTTAAAGCATACGCAATAATTACCTAATAACATTAAAGTGTTCAATATTTTTAAATATTTTAATACATTTACATGTCATTTGAATTTGATTATACTAGAGGAATCATTAAGGTGGTTGATTATGCACGACATAAGCATTCCTAAATTCCAAAGTTAAAGGATTAACTCTCCTTCATTTAAAACAAATAACTCAATTAAGATATTAATCAAACGAACATTACTTTTATTAATCTTTTTGGATTCTCAAAGGTCAGAATAGAAAATAGATCTCTATCTATAAGGGGAAAAACTAAAAGCATATCATCATTGCAAGGACCCAAACCGAATTCAAATTGAATATTATTGTTTTTCAACATTAAATATGCTATTATATCCCATTGTCAACGAAGACTTTTTGGAGTTTGTAATTAAATTGATAATTTTAAGAATTTAGAAATTCGATTTTTCATTTTTAGAGATTGCTCAACAAACCCCTTGATCTAGCGACGTTTTCCCATAATTACAAGAAGTCTAATATGTTTAAACTTAAAATTTCTAAACCATTTTTAAGTTTAGTATGAGATTATGGAACATCTATTACTCTATATTCAGTTATCTCTCTGGAGTGTGTTTTTAGTATAAACTTTAGAAATACTATAATATTTAATGATATATTATTCATCCTCATCTTGAATTATAATGCGATTTATTATAATATGAATTAAATTGATGAAGACATATAATTTGAAGAAATAACAAAGAGAAAATAATACCAATTGATTTGTTTGCTACTAGCCAAGGATATCAAGTTCTATCATCTTTTTTAATACTAAAATCAGTAACCTTTGCTGCATAATTTATTAATTGAAAAGCAAGTTGAGGTAGCTCATTATGTCATTCACCTAATATAAAATTACAGTTAAAACCCTCTGCAAATACTCGATTAACCAAATCCAATACAATAAACTCCATTTCTAATTGCATGCTATTTTGGATAATTGTCAATAATTAAACATCTAATGAAATTAGGCGTAAATATCAATAGCAAAGATCAAAACAATTTTACGCCTTTGCTGTTTGCCATAAAAAGCAATTAAACCTATATTGCTATATATTTGATATACAAGTAAAAATATGATTGTATAATAGAGGAGCAGAAGTATTCGTTAAAGATCTTAATGGATGCAGCTTAGCACATTGGTCAGCCTACAATAACAATTTATTTATGCTGAAGATATTGAAAAATCTGTTTAAATTTAATGTATTTGAGATGGATAAGAAATAAAAAACCCCATTAACAAGAGCTTAAGAATAACTCTCTTATGAGTGTTAAAATTATCTTAAAAGCTTACTAAAGAAAAATAATGGGCGTAGTAAATATTTAACTTACCTTAAAATGCACCACCAATAACATATATGTTTCATTGCAATAACATCTCTTAATTTATTCATCTTATCTAAATTTACTGAATTTAAAGAGCCAATTTTGAAGCATGGATCACTATTTTTATAGTTGTATAATGTATTCTTTAACTTTATTCTATTTTATATTATAGAGAATGCTTCTATTGCTAAAGATGCATTTTATACAAATAATAGAAATAATGTGTCAAGTTTTAACATGTCAAATGAAGGATTTGGAGATGTGTAAGGGTGTTTAGAAATTGATCAAACAATTGTCCCGTTCATATAAGATGAATAAAACAATAATCAATCTATGAGTTTAATTTGTGATAGCATGGTTGAAATAGAAGTAAATATTAAGTTATACTTGAGAAACCATTCATAAGACACATAATCTAATCAATAGACTAAGGCACTCAAATTCAATTTGAACCTGATTAATTGTGTTTAGATTGCATGATAGTGAAGTTGCCAAGGACTGAACATTGTGATCACTGCAAATGTTGTCATCCAAATTTCCAGATGCATTCATCTTTTTATAAGAAATGTATACAAGATGATGGGATTTATTTATTTTACTTTACACTAATAATCACTTAGTTTTTAGGATTTATGATCTATTTGTGTAAGTTGTTATGATTATAATAGTTATAAGATTTCTATGCATAAGGGATTAATTTTGATTTGGATGAAATAGTACTCAACTTCACTTTTGTGATCGCTCTTTTTATAGCTCTCTTGGTTATCCATCAATGTGTATATATTGTTGTATTGTTTTACGGAATTATTACAAATAAAACTTAGTATTTGACTATTATTAGATTTAGTTTCGAAATTATGAATCTAGAGAGATGTTGGTACAAATATAAGACGATTCCGTAGCAGAATGGCCTCTTAGCAAGAGTTTTATAATGAATAATTATGTAAATGAAAATTATAATAATTTAATTTATTATCAGATGATTTAACTTCATTAGGATTTATTACAGCATATAATAATCTATAATAATAATAACAAATGAATCAATTAGATGACTTTGATCAGATTGGGTTCCAATAATCTTCTAGTCAAAACGCTAATTTCGATTTTGATGGGAGTATGAAGAATATCCAAGCCTCTGCAAATCACAACAGAAAGATGAAGGAAAATACAAAAAATACCTATATCAAAAAAATTAGTTCACTTATGAAATTATCTCCCACACAAGAAAAAATTGAAGAGAAATCAATGTAAATAGCAGAAAAAAAATTATTAACGAAACCATTTTAAAGTCAATAGCAAATTAATTATATTTCTCAAACAGAAAAGGAAGACAAATTAGCTAAGAATAGAGAGTCAGCTAGAAATAGCAGAAAAAGAAAGAAAATATATCTTGAATTACTTGAAAACAAAGTGACTAAGCTATCAGAATAATTAGATTTATTTAAAGATGTTAATGATAAAACCTATAGTTTGGCATAAAATTTGTAAATTAAATTGACACAAGTAAGTAATTACAATACACCCCTAGAAAAAAGAACAAGATCAAACAAAGTGTATTTTGTTCAACAACCTACAAACGTCCTTGTAAAATAATGCATCGGAAGCAAATGTTGATTCAATAATAGACTCTTTAAATGTAAGTTATTCCTTAATTTAGAAAAAATTCGGTTCAGCCTCTCAAGAAAGATAATTCTTAATTGATCATTATGCAAGATAGATAAACGAAAATTGTTTGGCTCCTTTTTGCAATTATATCATTTAAATAGCTAAGAAACAAGATGATATCTTCGCTTAAAATGAATAGTAATGCATACTATTATAATAGAAATATGAATCTTAATTTATTAACTTAATTGAAATTGGCAGATAAATAGAAATAAATACTTTTGAAAAAATAATAAAAATTAGCGAAGCATTATCAGGATATCTCAAAGTATATGCAAATATCTTATGTTAGTGCTGTTACTTAAATTATGGATACAAAATCTTAGATCTAAAAAGAACTTGCTTCATTTGATTCAACTCTAGATTAATTGAGAAATGAATTAAGACCATCCTAAGTGGCAAAATTACTATTAGCGATTGAAAAGAAGGACATGTAACATAACTTTAAAGAATCATTCGAGAAATTCTTTGGGCATGATATCGAAGAGGATGACTCTTTAGATTTATATTAATTTATGACTGAACGAAATCAATGTAATTCTCTTGGAATTGACATTTAAAATACCTACGATGTTTTTAGAGCTTCTCATGACTTTCTTTTTGGCAAAAATGAAGAATTAGAAGTTAATTAGATTAATAGTAAAGATATTTGAAGTATTATAATAACTTTTAAATTTAAATAATATAATTCAATCCTTATAATCTAGTAATTCTGTATAAGCCTCCTTAAAATAACACATCGGAAATCGTTAACTAAGTTTAAAGTATACAGCAGAACTGTATGGAAATACGGAATTCTAAGAATTTGTACTGGACATAGAAGGTGATCTTTATAACTATTAGCCATTGTGGTTTTCGTAAAATTGTTCAGACTACATTATATATTGAATTTACATCGTATTATAAAATTTCTAAGAAATAGGATTTATCCATTTCATCTAATACAATTTTCATATTGTTAGGATTTCTAAACATGCAACATAATAGAGTAGGAAAGAGAATGTTCTTTAACATTTTATCAACATAAAATTGAGAAGGCATTTGCAATAAATTATGTAATACTGAAATCTTTTTCATTGATCCTACAAGGGAATTTTGATTATTTGGGTTTAAAACACAATAATATCCTATTAAAAGAATTAATTCATTGAGCAAGTCTTTTAAATCTTAACTTTACTCAAGGTTGCATTTACAATACGTTACAAGTCTTTATATTATCATATGAACTTCTTATTTATTAGATTGTTTATTCATAGTTTCCTACAAAACGATAATATTTAATCTAGCAATATTGTTCAAAGTTTTAATTCCTACCATGAAAAAACTGATAATTGTTTAGGGAAGTAACTTATTAGTAGTAAAACAAACTTCCTCACCAACAACCATCTAACTAATTAATTATATTAAGCCGAATAGTTCTGTTTCTTTAAGCACAAACTTGAGATGTTCTTCAAAACTTTTGGATATTCGTTTTCCTTCTTCATCAAATAATGATTTATTTTGTGTCCTATGATTATTATATAAGTATACTCAAATCCATGGTAGTTTGTGGCAGCCTCTATAAATGCAACACTCTTAACAAGAGCAACAGGGATTTTACCTTCAGAATTGATGTAATCTTTTTCAAACGATAGAAATCTTAATTTCATCTTATTGAATAATCCACAACAATACATATATTCCAAAGTATCTTCTTAAATTCCCTGAATATTTAAATCTGAAAGAGGATCAGTAGGTAATTTATGCTTGATAAGTAAACTAAATATTTAAAAACATTAAGCAACGAATTGATAACTGTATATAAATTTGGTTGGCTTTGACGCTAAAAAGTTGTACATAAAATCAATAATTGGCAATAATTTATTGCTTGCCAACATATAGGTTCTATTATTATACACACTACAGAACTGGTAAACAATTTCAGTTGCCTCAATGATAATTAAATAATATTTACCACTCCAATTATTTTAAGATATTAGGTATATTCATTTTTATGACAGGAAGAGATCTTCTTGAAAACTTCGATAACAATTTAGATGAACTTCATTTATCTTAGGTTAATTAAGTCTGTTTCTTGATTCACTAATTTTAGTAATTCTTTCATTTGCTACTCAATTTAATATAAATCCTTAATTTAATTGTTCAACAATTTATCAAGATCATTAGATAATTTCTAGATCCTTTATCTGTTATAACTATTTCCTGGTTCTTTATAACAATAAATATTCATATTTTCTAATTATAGACTCTTTTATTATATTTTTTGTTTAATTTTTTGACATCTTTTTCTGATTGATTAGAATCTATTCTAAGAGATCTCATCCTTAGATCCTTTTACAACTAAAATGTCATTTTAAGTAGCTTATAGATTATAATACTATTTTGTTTATTTGTGAGACTTAGATTAAATATGTTTATTGTCATCTTCATTTTCTATGATACTATTGCAAATTTAACAAAGTTTGAAAAATTGTGGTTCCTCTTCTTTCTCTTTTTTTGGAGTAACATTTGTGCTTGAATTTTCTTCATTTTTGAATGTAGGTGATTGGGGTTATTGTTGTTATAGAATAGATTGTAAAACATATGAATTATCATCTTATTTGGTACGAATTAAAATTGGAAATATTATAGATTTCTTAATGGTGGGAACAGATTATTCTCTAAATGTTTTTGATGGCATAATTTTTTATTATTTTTGCTTTTTCTTATTTTCCTTGATTTCAACCTCTTTTTATTTTTGTAATTTAAAATAGATGATTTAATCGCTCTCTAATGCCTATAATGAATCTGATAATGATTTGCATTATCTTTTTTTTTCGACTTCTAATTCCATAGATGCATCATCAGAAACAGATTGATCTAATAAAATTTTTAATTCATCTTTCCTTTTAATCTTTTAAACATCTTTTTTCACCTTCTTCACTTAACAATCCTTTTTTTCTTATTTCTTCAATAATTTTTAAAGTTTTTCATCCTCATTTTCCTTCTTCTTTCTCCTTACTTCCTCATCCTTTTATTTTTTTTACTATTGCTTCTCTAACATATGTTTTTCTAAATCCTTCTTTCTTTCTTAGGATTCTATTATTTTTTCATCAAACTCTATTTTTTTATTCTAAGCCTCAAGCTTTTAAATAAATTATGCCTCCCTCGCTTTATCCGATTCTAACTTTGCTCTCTACTTTTTCTCCTCCAATCCTTTCTAATATCTCTTGCGCAATTAATATATAAACATACTTAAGTAGCTTCCTCGTATTTCTTGAACATTTAATCCAATGAACACTACTTTTTTCTTTCACATTATTCAAATTAATTCATATAAAAGAAATTATTAATTATAATATGCAAATTTTATAATTCTTCATATATATAAAACTTCTAGTATAGATTTAAAAGTCAGAATACTCTTGTCTACATTTCAGATAACTACAAGATAAGTAAAATATATTAAAACAAACCTAGTTTTGTTAATGAGATTAATTAATTTTTCATTAGGTTTATCAAATATTAAAGATTACTTATTAATGATAATTCATATACATATAATTAATTTATAATGCGTAAAATCATGATTAACATCAGGATTGATGAGATTGTTATTTAGATTTAACAATTCCAATTTTTGATTGATCTTCGTCAAACCAAACATAATGATGGATGAGAAATGGTTATCCTAAAACAATCAGCTCATCTCCAATAATCGGATTATTTTTAATATATGGAATGCAAATGTCTTTAGAGAATAAGGCATGAGTGTTTCTTTTGAAATATTATGATCCAGCCAATGTAAATTTGATCCCTCTATCCAAAACAAATGTCAAATCTGGAAATGTATCAATGTTGCTGCATAATTGATAACTAAAATTTAAATCATGCTGATTATTACACTCCAAATTTCTAATAAAATTTCTCCATTGCATAAACAGGGAAACTAATGAATGATGTGCCAGAATCAATAAGACCTTGGCAATTGTTGCAATCATCTATTCTTTCATCCCCCAAAAATACTGCTTTAATGTTGACTGTCCACAGATTATCTGATGTAACTTCAAAGAATTTGAATTCCTCACCAGGAGCAATTAAATGCAAAGAAATACCTCCCAGAACTAGCTCACTTGACATATCGTCATCATCACTATTACTCAAATACAGTGAAAAATTTCGAGTGTCAGTCTTTAAAAAGAGTTACATTGATATCTTACATCATATTCTAGGTTGTGAATGTAGGATGCATTTTTGACAACTGCTTCCTTAATTCGTCCCAATCCCAATATCCCATCGAATTTCATTTGACTAAATATCTAAGATTCACAATATGGATTACATCCTCTGACTGTTCTACTATGCCAACTATGAACTGGTTATTGACACAGTATTGATTCAAACAAACTCTGTCCTCAAAAAATACACCAACTACGCTTCCTGATGCAAATTGAATGTCAATCTCATTGCCTACTTCTCCCTAGGTACAGATACACAATGTACATTTGCTAATTTAATGGCTTCAATGTAGTAGGAAGTAGTTGATAAGGATGGATTGTATGAGCCATGTTGAATGCAACTGTTTTATTAGCAAAGAGATGAAGTAAGTAGCAGATTTGGGCTTCCTGTATCAATCAAAACAGTTAATTTTTATTCAGGTGTACCAACTGTCATTTCAGCCAAATAGAAGTTCTTTTGATTTTGTATGAATTTACTTCGTGCTTTTAGAGTAATAGTTCTATTGAATCATCATTTACGTCCTTTTTTAATTATCATTATAAAATTACCATTATACTATCCAAAAACTTTTGAGATTTATGATGCTTATGATGTGCTTGCTTTTTCGATAACTTAACTGATTTCCCTTGATTATGTGCTACACATAAAAGGATCAATTAAAAGAGTAACAAATATTTAAAGCTCATTCCTTCTCAAAAAACGATTTATATATGTATTATTAATATTATTTGATTACAAATTTAAATATTAACAAATATGTCTAGTTACCCAAAAAAAAGAATAAACTTTTCAGAATTGGACGATCATTTTGATGATGATTAATAAATTGATTCTCTAAGATATAATGCAGAAATTGATAGCGCAATTCAAATTAAAAAGTCATCAGATCATGAAAAAGTAAACATATTAAATTAAATTCAAAGTTAAATGAGGTACAATAATTATTACAATTTTCACCTCATCCTTAATAAGAAAATTAGAAATTATCATCTGTTCGATGTTCATTTGGATTGAATTCAAATAACAATTTCAATCCAACTAGATTACCATTCTCCCAAAATTAAAATAGTGTAAACTCTTCAATTCAAATTGGTTCACCTGATACAGCCTCATTTCCATTGTAGAAGAAATTTCTTAAATTGTATCAAATGAGATCGTAATATTCATCATTATGCTCTTTCTAGTTCAATTGAAGAAATCAGTGCTGAGAATGATCTTAGTTAAAGCAGAGAAAACATGACCAAGAACTCAAATCACACATTAAACACTGAAGAGGATAAAAATGTGCAATTCAATCAAGATGAGAACTTATAAAATGAACTATACTAGAATGACTCATATGCTCTATTTACCTAATTACTTGAGTAATTGGAATAGTCACAGAATTAATTATAAAAGCAGCAATTATAATATCAAGAGTTGCAATCTAAGTATGAAAAATAGTAATCACAAATTATTTATTTGACCAAATTAAATTAAGAAATCACAAAAACCCTGGATGAAACTCAGAATCAATTGCAATTGTTGAATGAAACTAATGGGCTACTAAAGAAAAAGATCCAATCCTATAAATAGTATAGTATCACAGAGCAGTCTCAATACAATGGAAATACCAATAGATACAATAAAGAGAATAATGATTATTTAAAGCACCACAACAGCACAGAATCCAATTAATCAATTGAACTAGTTAACAATCTCAAAAAAACACAAAAGGTTACCAACACATATTCAAATGTCATTATGATGTTGTTGTTGATGATCTAAAAATGCTTTTATTTAGATGAATCAATTGATAAAGAAGGAAAAGAAGTTATTAATAAGATAACTCAATAAATAAATCAAAGATAATTGGTACTTACTTTATATAATAGTCATAGGATAATATTGTATTTACAATTGAATCCCTGATAAAGTATTTTGAGCAAAGATTCTCAGATATGGCCACCAAAAATAGCAAAGTACAATCGATGAGTAATATCATGGATTAAATCAGATAATTGGTTGATCAAAGAAGTAATTGATATAATTAATAGTTAATTTCTATATATTTTACTAATTTAAATAAAGTTATAAAATATGGGGCAGAGTTGTTAGATGCAGCATCAAACTATTGATTAAAACGAAATTTAATACAAATTGGTGTTAATCAAACCCATTTCTCATAGAAATTAGATAAAGAGACCAATCTTTGAAATCAATTAAATCAATAGCAGAGAAGAAACTATGGATGAAATCAACGAATTAGATGTAGATACCAGAAAATCTTAAAAGCTTACAAATAGTTGTGCCTAATAATTCCAATCTAGCTTCTAATTTGGGGTTTAGCAACAAAAACAAATTATAAAAAACCAAATAAAATCCTTTGGCGGAGACATATCATAAATTTTCAATAAGAAAAAATAAAAATTAAACTTGAAAACTTATGAAGAAAGCAAGGAAGAACAGATTAATAGAGAATCAAATAGAAATGCCACGTTTAATTGCGCTAGAAATTGTGAAACAAGCCAATCGCCTCTTCAATAATGGATCAAAAATTAGAGTCCCACTTATGAATCTTTAAAAAGTGAAATCAAGTCCATCCGCTCAATTAATGGTCTAAATTAAGAGCAACACAAAGCAGGGATTTTGAGAGAGAAGAAAGTAAAGGCGAAATCTTTATATTACAAAAGAACTGTGCGTTTTTAATGCTGATATTAATATACGTAGCTAACTCTTTAGAATTATATAAATAGAATTGCTATAAGGATTTCAAGCTAAATCCATTTCAATATAAACTAAAATCAATGAATAATCATCCTATATATCAGGTTAAAGCTTTGCCTTCTTTCTTGCCTCTTCTACAATTTGTCCTGCTGCATTTTCAATGGCCGCTTAACTATTTGGAGGAGTGATTGGAGTCAATATTCTACAAATGTCTATAATATCAATCATGTCCAGAATTGACCCAGTGGCTAGTACTAAAAAACCTTCTTGTTAAATTTGAAAAGTATGGATGTCAGGAAGGGAAATGATTCCAACTTGTTTTGCCTAGACATCTCCAAATGATCTAGTAATAGTGACACCTTTGATATCTTATTTTTTTGATTTCACTTTTAATGGTCCTGTCTTTTGAAAGCCTTAAGTGTCCTATTCTATTTTTCCACCTGATTCCAAAATCCTTTGTGATTCTATTTCTTTCTCAGGAGTGTGTTAATTTGACAATTATTTAATTCTCAAAGTGACAGGTCCAAGTTAATCTGGTTTATCACTTCTTTGAAAATAAAATGTCCTTGTGTCTCCAATGTTGGCAGATATTAAATAATTTTCGAAAGTTAAAACCAAATTCATTGTAGTGCCACTATCTGTAGTATCGATATTAGATAAGCTTACCTAATCATAGGATATAATACTTACTAAATTGGATTCAATTTTTTAGAATGATGTAATAATATTTGAATTTAGTTGTTCTACAAATTTTGGCTGGGTGTTCATGGACTCTATCATATCATAAATGCAATCAGAAAGTTGTTTTATTGCATATTAGGATACTTTTGCTCCTTATTCACCGTGACCATCAGCCAACAGAAATAAGTTTTTATCAGCTTACTTATTTATTTCCAACTTGTAAAATAAGGAATCTTAATTATCTTTCTATGCCTTTGTGTAGGCTTTCAATCCAGCAATTGAACTAAATAAATATATTGACACAATTACCGGGTTGCGATGTACTTAATTTTATTTTATTTCTTCTAATTTTTAGCCTCGTTAGTATGCTTCTAACATGATAATAATAGAGTTTACTAATTAGTCTTTGTCTTGAAATGTTCCAATGTTTGAATTGGATATTTAGTTTATTGGTTTTTGTAATGGTTCATTTTTCACATAGGTAGGATCATAACTATTAGCTTTATTAATTTTGACTGGATCTCCTAAATTGAAATCTTGCTTTGGATTCAGTGCAAATATCATTTATTTATTGACTACATCTTTCTATTTATTTTATTAAGAACTCATATTATATTATTAAATTTAATACAGAAATCTATTGATTTCTTCCTTAAATTAAANTCTTTAGAATTATATAAATAGAATTGCTATAAGGATTTCAAGCTAAATCCATTTCAATATAAACTAAAATCAATGAATAATCATCCTATATATCAGGTTAAAGCTTTGCCTTCTTTCTTGCCTCTTCTACAATTTGTCCTGCTGCATTTTCAATGGCCGCTTAACTATTTGGAGGAGTGATTGGAGTCAATATTCTACAAATGTCTATAATATCAATCATGTCCAGAATTGACCCAGTGGCTAGTACTAAAAAACCTTCTTGTTAAATTTGAAAAGTATGGATGTCAGGAAGGGAAATGATTCCAACTTGTTTTGCCTAGACATCTCCAAATGATCTAGTAATAGTGACACCTTTGATATCTTATTTTTTTGATTTCACTTTTAATGGTCCTGTCTTTTGAAAGCCTTAAGTGTCCTATTCTATTTTTCCACCTGATTCCAAAATCCTTTGTGATTCTATTTCTTTCTCAGGAGTGTGTTAATTTGACAATTATTTAATTCTCAAAGTGACAGGTCCAAGTTAATCTGGTTTATCACTTCTTTGAAAATAAAATGTCCTTGTGTCTCCAATGTTGGCAGATATTAAATAATTTTCGAAAGTTAAAACCAAATTCATTGTAGTGCCACTATCTGTAGTATCGATATTAGATAAGCTTACCTAATCATAGGATATAATACTTACTAAATTGGATTCAATTTTTTAGAATGATGTAATAATATTTGAATTTAGTTGTTCTACAAATTTTGGCTGGGTGTTCATGGACTCTATCATATCATAAATGCAATCAGAAAGTTGTTTTATTGCATATTAGGATACTTTTGCTCCTTATTCACCGTGACCATCAGCCAACAGAAATAAGTTTTTATCAGCTTACTTATTTATTTCCAACTTGTAAAATAAGGAATCTTAATTATCTTTCTATGCCTTTGTGTAGGCTTTCAATCCAGCAATTGAACTAAATAAATATATTGACACAATTACCGGGTTGCGATGTACTTAATTTTATTTTATTTCTTCTAATTTTTAGCCTCGTTAGTATGCTTCTAACATGATAATAATAGAGTTTACTAATTAGTCTTTGTCTTGAAATGTTCCAATGTTTGAATTGGATATTTAGTTTATTGGTTTTTGTAATGGTTCATTTTTCACATAGGTAGGATCATAACTATTAGCTTTATTAATTTTGACTGGATCTCCTAAATTGAAATCTTGCTTTGGATTCAGTGCAAATATCATTTATTTATTGACTACATCTTTCTATTTATTTTATTAAGAACTCATATTATATTATTAAATTTAATACAGAAATCTATTGATTTCTTCCTTAAATTAAATAACGCGACGTTATTTAGCATATTAAAAAGGCTCTGTTTTCTTAAAATAGATATAAAAAAGCTAGTAATGTTGTTATACAAGTGTTTAAAAAATGATACAATTTTAGTAATTATTTATGTATTAAAATAAATATTTAATGAAAATTAAGATATTTATATTTTTAGTTATACACATACAGAATTGCTTTCATTTTCTAATATAAAATTTCATTTTGGAAAGTAACATAGTCAATTATGGACTATTAGAGTGTCATTTGCAATTTAAGAATGGGGATGGAAATGTAACAGTCAAATGTTAAATATAGTTTTATAAATATGAATATTTTTTATGAAGGATGATGTATAAAAAATCTTGCTAATCAAGAGAGTACAAATAATTATGGTTCCTGATCTGTTTCTTTGTGATTCTGAGTGAGTATGGTTTAAGTTAACTTGGGGGAATCGGTTTGTGATTTATTTAAAAGAGAGAAGGTGTTAAAGAGGAATTTTTCTTGTTTCTGTTCCTCAATATACTGATACAATAATTTCTAATTTAAGCGGAAAGATAATACATTCTTGAGACGCTAGAAGTTGCTTTATAGAATTACTGATTATTGATAGAGGAGGCTTGAGGTAAGAACAATATCATTTTACAGATATTTGATTTATTGCAATTATTCTTATTGTTTTTTGATTGACTCTTATTGGTCTAAATGTAATGATTCAAAAATACCTGTTTGTTCTTCTTCATCAGATTATTAACCATTGCTTCGGCGGTGAACATGTATAAGTAGATTTCTAAAAAGATTGATAATAATCTTAAATAATATACTTGGCTTCCCTTTTGAAATACTTGTGTTGAAATTGATTCCAGCCATTCTTCAACCGTTTCTTAACAAAGTTATACATATTCAATTGTCGTAAGAAAGATTAAAAGTTCCTATGTCTGAAATATTATGGAAGCACCTAAGAAATAAATTTGAATCTTGACTATACTTTATTAGCAAATTCCCTAGCGTTTTTGATATAGAACATCTCGCCACAAGGGGACCACTCTATCAGATGTTTAAGCTTTGGCGTCTGTTGGAATTCTATAATTATAATTTTGTACATCAAGCATTTCAAAGGTTCTGAGGAGGAAATGGGCTATTCCTACCCTTCTTTTGGAACTCATATTTTGAATATAATTAATAAAAATAAAAAAAGATAGAATAAGAGAGTATGAAATTTAAGATTGGGTATTTAAAATTCTTAATATTTGATGCGTCATTTCTTCTCTAATAATTTTGTTTCCGAACGAGGTACCAAATTCTCTGTTAAATTAAAATCATTCATTCTTTCTAATTTCGCCTAAGTCTCCTTATCCACCTAAGGAGTATGGTATGATACATAAGGTTTAAGCTAAAATAGTCATTATAATACTTCAAATCCGGTCAAATCTGGTATATCGTATTAAGGAATTCTACTCTTATCAACCACAAATTTGGCTAATTTTATAATAATTCAATTACTTCCAACAAATTTTCCAAATACTCTATCGCTTTCCTGTCTCAATTTCCTAATCCTCATTATGCCTTCATAAGTCTTAGTCTATTCAAACTATTTTGCATATTTTACATTTTTTAATTACTCCACTGCATTCAAAGACACACTCCCAGGTTCTTTGTGATATTGCTAATGTCCCAATTTATAATTATATAATCCAAGAGTCTTTCGGAAGGTTTACCCAGCCTTTCTTCTACAAACCGAAAATCCACTTTGCATTTAATTTATAAATAATATAAAAATTAATATTCCTGTCTTTAACACTCACATTATTCTTCTTGCTTTTCTATAAACTATTTGATATCACACCATTTTTAATAATTTTTTTGAATAATATAATGTTAATAGCATTTGACTTAAAATTCCTAAAATTAAATTCAATTGTTTCCATAATTCTTAGCTTTTGTGACTAAATCAATACAGATGAGAAATTCTTATAATACTTTCACGTTGAAAATAGAATATAAATATACTATTATTTCAAGAAACTTGGATGATTTTGAGCAATATTAACGTGCGATTAAATTTATGAGTTATATAATTTTATTAAAATGAAAATCATAATCTGTAATATGATGGAATAGCATTTAGAATTTTAGGTTAATCCAAATGATACAGTGCTTTAATTGAAATAATTGTTCTGTGAAAAAGAAGGCTCAGTCCTTGCAAATTGTAGATTAACTCATGGCTAAGATGAATTGCATGATAATCAAACAATCTAATAAGCAAATCTGAAAGAAGGAGATATAGTTTATTATAGCATGCACCTTGGATTTTGATGATTTATTTTATATAATAAACAAATATGAATTGATGAGTTAATAACGTGTCTTTAATCTTTAGCTACTATACAATAAAAACGATAATATCTCAATTTCTTCACTTAAATCAAATTTTATAGCTTAAGATATGACCTCATCACCCAATTGCAATAAAATAATTAAGATATTTTTGATTAAGAAATTAAGATTGATTTTAAAATAATTCATTCCTAATAATATTGTATATGATAATTAATGAATATATTTTAAAGGTAATCTAATAAAGAACATGAAAATCATCTAGTTTAATCCTTGAATTTTTGTAGGAGAATATTTATTCATATAAATACATTATAAAAGTGCTAACATCTTAAATAAAGTAATTTCATTTTATAGATCACAATTGTATTATGTCTTTGCAAATTATTTATAATAATAAAGAGAATTGGTTATAAATCAAAATTCCTTAACTATTTACAACTAATAATAAAGTTCTTCTAGTTAATATAATGTTATTAGGATTTTCAATAATTTTTATATAATTCAATGGTTCTTATTAAAGGATTGCATATATACCATTATTAATAATTTTTTTTAACTTCTTATATCTAATTTTGATAAAAAATCTATTTTAATTGAGTCATGCTTAAGACTCTAATTCTGATTTCAATTTGAACTTTTTTTATAATACATCCTCTATCTAATGAGAATCTAGAATAAGATTATTTATTAGGAATAGAATTAGATCAAACTCATAATATCTATCCTTTTTGCTTTATAATATAACATTGAAAATATAATTAATTTTGTTGGAATTCACAAAAGGAGAGTGGAAAAGTTCAAGATTTCGTATTTTTGATTTCATTTTTATAGTTTTAACATTATTTCAATATCAGAAATGTAACTTTAAAGAATATTATAATAGAAGAGTGGAAATTTAAGGATATAAGAGTTGATAAAATTTTATAAGGCAATATTATGATAATTATTAAATTATATATATATTAATGTTTTTCAGGAATGAATTTAAGCCTGTACTTTAAAGTAGTGATCTGTTTCCTTCAACGAATATCTCCGTTAGCTAGGAGAAAATGTCTTAGGAGTAGGCAGCATAACAATCACCCAAGAAGCGATCCTTGCTTAAATAAAAAAACAATCTCTTACCATTTACTGATAGACTTGAAATAAGAAAATATTATTATGATGGATAGCAAAACGAGGAGTTAAAACAGCAGAAACAAAGATTACACAATTCTCTATAAAAAAATTAAATAAATTTACTACCAAAACTAGAGACTTTAAATTCAGATAAGAGTTTATATCAAACTGTTATCGAAATATTTCCAACAGATCATCCAATTTGGAGTGATTTGGTTTAAAAATCTTAGACTATAGAAGAAGTAATTGAATCAAATCAAGCCTTTTTTTTAGGGATTATGAGTATTTTTGTATATTTATTAAAAGCTCTTTATCTCAAGCAATCTAAATTGTAAGCACTTAAAAATTAAATTCAATTAAAAGCTATATAAAGTTAGTACAATAAAGATTATTAAAATGTCAATCTTGGAAATCAAGATGTTTAATTAGATTAATCAAAGGCTCATGATTAAATGTGGGGGAAAGACCTTAAATAGCTATACACAGAGAGTGTCTACAATGTATCTACAATATATTTATTATAAGTCCCAATATCTCCCATATAAGCTAGAAAAATAGATGAAATCTCCAAAAAAGGATTTCAATCCTAATTTAAGTTAATCCTCTTATTTATCTACTTACAGATCTTAATTTTAAAATTGGAAACCTAAATATCCTGGCAAGATAACAAGAGATACATCTCCAGTGGAACCCTAGAATTTGCCATTTATTTCGGAAAGTAGTTATGCTCGAGAATTTAAAAATGTGAAGACCGAGAGATCTCCTTTATAAAAGATAGCAAAAATGTATGAAATTAAATTTTAATTAGAGGACCCTTTGCTGAAAATCTCGAGTCTTTAGTCAAAGAAAGCACATCTTCGTATTACTAATAATAACAATTTAGTAGAATTCCTTCAAAATTAATGCGTCCGATAAGTCCAAAATTATTCAATGCTAGTTTTGAAGGATAGTATACAACAGAATTCAATAAGTACAATAAAGATACTATTAAAGATCTTACCACATAAATTCAGATTAAGAATCTTCCTTTGCAAACAGATTTTATGAAAGTAACTCTGTAAAGAAAATCTTCGATAGAAAAATTGATAGAAAAATTTATTGATTTTTATTTTCTATTAAAAATTTAATCATTTTTTCTCGGGTTTATAATATCTCTATGGTACAAATGGAGTTGGACTCAAAGTGATATTTACTTTGGATCCTCTTATATCTGCTTATAATTAAGTTCCATCTTTAGCATATTCATTATTAATGAAAGCAAACCCTAAACCTTTTTTCAAATTAGGTGAATATGTGCCACTTGTAACAGAGCCAATCTTCTGTCCTTGGAATTCAATATCACAAGGGGGTCTAGCGATTCCTGATTAAGTAATGAAACCCATTCTTTTGAATTTGGCATCTTTTTGTCTTTGTGGCAAGGCATCTCGACCAATGAAAGCAGCAGATTCATTATATTTTCCAGTCTCTTTCTATTACAATAAATAAAGTCAAATACATTGGGCTTTCGTACAGTCCACATTAACTTGGCTTCATAAGGGGATATAGTGTCATCCATCTCATGGCCATGTAAACATAAACCAGCTTCTAGACGTAATGAATCTCTGGCTCCCAAACCACAGAATTAAGCCATTTTGGTTGCCAATAACTTTTCACATAATTCTTATGCTTAAGAACTCTCAACAGATATTTCGTAACCATCTTCTCCTGTGTATCCACATCTATTTATTTGATAGTCTATTCCGTTCTTTTTGATATTCACCATGAACATAAATGGTATCTTGTCTAAATTGTATTCAGTTCCGAAGACTTCATTCAATACTTTGTGAGCATTTGGACCTAAAAATAGATTCACATAACTACCTTATACTGCAATCAAAGGTTTATCTTTGAGATACTCATATTAGACTTTATAGTTGTAATCCTTAATGATTTTATCCATTTGTTTCATGTCAATAAACTTATTTCCAGCATTAACAACGATGTGACTTTTTGATTGAATAAATTTGATACATGTGATCATCTCTTTTAGCAACTATTGTATCATCTATGATGCCTGCCTTCTCATTCAAAATCAAGCACAAAACACTCTGTCCTGATTTCTTTGCTAATTGATTGATTTATGACAATAATACATACTTTAGAATTCTCCAGTTGTTAGAGTTTCAACGAATTTCATTCTATCCTCTCCAAACACTTTGACTTAACCCATGTGTGATACATCAAATAATCCACATGATTCTCTGCAATATAAATGCTCCTTCAAAACACCCTATGGATATTGAACAGGCATTTCATATCCAGCAAATGGAACCATTTTGGCTTTAAGATTGACATGGTAGTCATGTAAATGCAATTTCATCAATTATGTGAAACCATAAGATATCTTTCTCATAAATTATTATTTGAATGTAATAAATATCATTAATTCATTATAGACTATTATATATCAATAACAAGGAAATCCTAGTGCTTATGTTACTATTTCTTATACATATATGTGTATTTTAATATGGTTACACTATTTTGAGTAGACACAATATTTAGTTAATAAATTCGAAACTTGAAGAAGAATAATTAAAGTGATAATTATTCCAAAAATTATATTAATATGGACATCAAGCAATTGGAGAGATAAGTGAGAGAAATCACTGAATTATAAGATTCCATTAAATGTATGACTAAACATTTACTTAATTTTTTTAGAAACATCGACTTATTGTTCTACCTTCCCAGAACACAGTGGCATGGTTGCCTTCATTATTGAAAATGAGTTTATTAGTGCTCGAAAAGAGAGAAAGAAACTCTATTTGTTTCTCATTCATTAGATCATCCTTGATGAAAAACATGCTAAAAGGATGGACCATCCCTATGTAAAGTGTTTTGGCTAGAAGTTGAAGAAGCTAATTATGGATTTTGCATAGTATTGAGTTAATTTTAGCTTAGTTAAGTGGATGAGATTGATGATCTTGAGAAAGCATATGCTGTCATTAGAAGATGGGAAAAGGATTTAATTTACCATCCAATATTTTTGGATAAGTTGAGAAGCATTCTTTAACCAAAATATGATCAATTGAAGTATTAGCAAATGATTGTTAATTAAATAACTTAGAATGAATTAGCAAGCAATAAAATTCTAGTTCAAAATTTATAAATTATTTAATAATTTGATTCAACATACAAATTATACCTGCATTTGAAGTCATTAAGAGATATTGATGACAAATGTTTAGATTTCAATACAAACTTTGATAAGTACATGATGAAATATGAACTCGAAAAAATTGAAGACTATGAAATGATAGATGATCTGTTAGAATAAGGAGAAACATCTAAAACCTATTTATCTGAAGTAAACAATCTTAATATTTAGAATATCTGTTCCACTTAAAATCATTACTTGGATCTAGCCAGATTAGGAGAGCAACTGATTAAGGAGGATATTGAAAAAAAAGATAATAAAATTGAATATTATAAATCAAAAAGGCCAATTTAATGATATGCAGCAATTATATTTGCATTAATACCATCAACCTTTTATATACTTTCTTTATGATATCAATATAACACTATTCAAGTTTAAAATATTTTGATTTCCATTAATGAAAATAGTATTACTCTCCTTAAAGGTTCATTATAGGTTATTTAATTAATACAATGTTAGTAAACTATTTTTATTTCTTTATTATTAAATTTTAAAAATATGGATTGCAAGAAATGGTTTTAAAATAATTAATTAAAAATCAGAATTCTTAATAAAAGGACATTCAATCACAACATATTTTATTACCCTTTATAAAAATATCTATCTTAAATCTATGAGAAATAATAATCTATCCTTTCTTAAATTAAAGAACGAATGGGTAGAGGAACACTATGATATATGAAATCAATTTTTTAATAGAAAAATAAAGTATTCCTCTAATCTAATTTATTAACATCCAGGTTACTTAAATATCCAGAATTATAACATGAATTTGACTTTTTAGAATGAAGCATAGTTATACTTAGTTCAGCTAAATTTAATTTAATAACTAAAATTTAGTTTAAAAGAACTGATTTTTTGGATTAAAACATTTGATGAATAAAGAATGGTTCAAATTATTTAGAAGATGGAATTAAATTGTGAAACTATCAACACAAATTCAACACCATATATTCAATTCCCTTTCCTGTTTGCATATCCTCAATATCATTATTAGCTTCAATTAATGTCATAGTTAAATCTAAAAATGATGTTAAATTTTTATTACTTTTTATTTTTAAGTAGTAGCCTTGATTTGAAACAATGTAATTAAGTTATGCATGAAGTATTCGGTTTTGACGTTCAATCAATAATTTTGATTTAAACTTTTATTTTTACATTTAAATTTTTTATGCATATATTTTAGAGAATCTAAAAGCAAATAAAGTTTATAATTGATAGTATAATCTAAGCTATCTAATGCATTTTGAATAATAAATAGAAAATATATTAATTTATCTTAAAAAATTTGATTAGTTCTATAAGAAAGTTATAAGAATATAATAAATAAACAGAATTCTGAATTTTTATTTATGTTATTACATATTATATATCCTTTTTTTTTAACAATAAGAGTGTTGCTGTTATTATATAAAATAGACAATTATAAATATGATGTTTTTGTGAAGAATGCGCTTTGATGATAAAATGAAAAGTATTTCTTTAGAGAAGTAATAAGTATTTGCAGATTAAATTAAAATATCTTAATATAACAAATGGTATACTATCTGATTGGTGCACCTCATAAGTCTAATGAAAATACGGCTTGGTTGGAGATGGAGAAACACGTTCTTACATCTGGAATATCGAGATAGGCTAAAGGAAAAATTTTGCAGACTGAGATAGGAAAATTCAAGTTGGGGAATTTGGATCACTTAATGTTCATCAATGATAGTTTATTGAAATAAGAATCAGTTGTTGAGAGTTTGTTGAAGAAGATAGAGAGATAATATTTGGATGTGACAGAGAAGGTTAGTTATGATTTCACAATTGAGTTGAAAGAAGGACCATGTATGAAAAGAAATATTATTCTTAGAGAGCATTGAGAATTTCTTATTCTAATTCAAATGGAATGACCAAACCTTCCCAAGAGCATCAGCATTAACCGAATTAGTCAAGGCAATTTCATCTGTAAAGAATTTATTTATGCTGATTAGAGAGCAACTCATGTGGAGACTGATTTGAGACAAAAATCAACAAGTTATTAAGAATTGAAGAATCAGAGTTAATAAGTGGCAAGGAAGGAAGGAAATCTATTGGTGAGGGACTTGGTCGATGTCTTAAAGGAACCAATCGTCAAACCAAGAGATTTCATTTACAGCGATTTTCTAACAACTTTGGTGGCTATTGTACCAAAGACATAGATTTAAGAATGGTTGGCTTGTTATGAATTTTTATGTGAAAATGTTGTGCCATAATCAGCAAGGTTTTTATTAGACAATAAATATATAGATAATTCTAAATTGAAGATAAAGATAATTTGACAATTTGGAGAGTTGTGATTGTTAAGCAATCTTTCGATAAGGATCATGACATCGATGTTGCTGATAAGGGCGATGATGAAAAGGGAAAGAAGTAGAAGTAAACTCCAGTCGAGGAATTCATTTAAAAGGCAAGAGATAAATTGAGAATTACTGTTAAAGAATTTGAATATAAATCATAAGAATCAAAAGAAAGAGAAAAATTGAGATTGGATCTCAAGTCCAAATCAGATCATATGAATGTATCTGAACTTCTTTATAATTATATAGACTACTTTAAAATAAGCATGCGAAAAAGCATTTAGTGACTTATACATTACATATATGCATTTGAAGGTCCTCAGATTAGTTGTGGACATTGCTATGAGATTCGGAGCTGCTGAACCAAATATTTAATGCATACTTAAAGTATGAATGAATTCTATATAATCTAATAGCCAGATCAAGGAAAAGAGAAGAAGGTTTAATAATCCCTGTTGAAATTGTTTGCTGATCCTTCTCAAGTAGGATTATATGGAACAAAAGAAGAATTAGAAGACACTGAGGATTTCTTCCCATTTGTGTATGTTCCAATTAACATTCCATGAATTCTAATTTTTAGGAATAGAGATTTATCTAAATACAAAAACAATTATTTGCAATTTAATTAAATAAAATATCTTATTCATGTAAAGAGTCCAACATCTCAGTGCTTAAGTCAATAATTGTACACCTGTTCCACCCAGAAGTGACAACGACGTAGTCATTTGTGGAGCTGTTAGAACCCCTTTGACCAAAGCCAAAAGAGGATTATTGAGAGACACTCCCCCTGAAATCCTTCTTAGCACAGCCTTCACAGGTCTTTTGGAAAGAACTAAGGTTGATCCAAAATTGATCCAAGACATCGTTGTTGGTAATGTCAATCAACCTGGAAGTGGTGCCATTGTATCTAAAATGGCTGCCTTCTTGTCTGGATTCCCAGATACAACTTGTTTGACAGCAATCAATAGATTCTGTTCATCAGGAATTGAAGCATGCGCTGTCATTGCTGCCAAAATTAGATCTGGAATGTTGGATATTGGTATTGGAGCTGGAGTTGAACAAATGACTATGTATGATATGTAAAGTCAAATGAACGCTGAATTACTCAGTGATGCCATCTTTGATCATCCATGTGCAAGAGATTGCTTATTGGGTATGGGATAAACATCTGAGAATGTTGCAGCCCAATTTGGAGTCACAAGATTGTAATAAGATAAATTTGCTTATGAATCCCAATAAAAGGCTTACAAAGCATAATCAGAAGGATTATTCAAGGATGAGATAATTCCAGTCAAGACCTTCATTAAAGATGGAGATAAAACTAAAGAAGTCATTGTTACAGAAGATGATGGAATCAGAAAGGAAACCACTCTTGAAGGACTTGGCAAATTAAAGCCTGCCTTTGGAAAGGATGGATCAACAACAGCTGGTAACTCCTCTTAAGTTACTGATGGTGCTGCTGCAGTTCTTTTAGCTAGAAGATCTGTTGCCAAGAAATTGGGATTACCCATCTTAGCTAGATTTGTTGATTACACTGTTGCTGGTGTACCACCCAATATCATGGGTATTGGACCAGCTGCTGCTATCCCATAATTATTATAAAAAAATGCTTTGAAACCAAATGATATCTGCATCTATGAAATTAATGAAGCCTTTGCCAGTTAATCTGTTTACTCAGTTGAAAAGATTGGAATTGAACCAAGCAGAGTTAATCCAAAGGGTGGTGCTATTGCTTTAGGACATCCATTAGGTATATCGAATAGCTAATTTTAGGATGCACTGGTGCCAGATAAGTTGCCACTTTATTACCAGAAATGAAGAGAAAGAAGGCCAAATACGGTGTTATTTCTATGTGTATTGCTACTGGTATGGGTGCTGCTGCCTTAATTGAAAATGAATAATAATGAGTTTATAGTACAAAACATAAGAGAATATTTTATATATATACATGAATTAAGAAATGAAGAAATCATTCTTGCATTTACTGAATATCTAATGAATAAAGATAAAGGTAAGTGGTTGCTATATTAATGCTTTAGTAATCTTGAAAATAACATGAAATTACAAAATTAAAGATTAGAAATTTAAATGAAACTAAATTCCTGATCTGATCAACTAACATCGTAGTTTCAAAATTTTGATAAGTTAAAATAACATTTCTGTATCAATTATCAAAATAGAAATACTACAATAATGAAATCGTAATCTTTTCTATTTTCCTTTCTTAATGTTCAATTTATTATTTAAATGAAATAGAATTACTAATAATATATGCAAACCACATAATTAAATTCTAAATAATCATATCAAAATAAACAAGAAACTCATCTCTAAATGAGGAAGTGCTTACAAAATCTTTAGAAAAAGATTGTTAATACTGAGAATGAAAATTCAGATTGTGAAGAGATTCATTACAGTGATCCATCATTAAATTGTTAATATTAAGATGGAGAAGTTGCTTTCACAACTATTGAATATTTTATCAAAGTTAATTTGGATTCCAAATGTGCTATCTAAATTTCATATTGAATAACCTTCAGCTATTAAATAAGGCATATCACTCTTCTTGATGTTGCAGCTAATATTGAAGTTTCATTATTTCGATAATTTAAACATTGGGTGAGAATATGTGAAATATTACTACTTTGTAAATATAAACAATATTTTATTGTTGAAAATAAATTTATTTTGTTATTACTTCCTCCACAATTTCCAAAAATTTAATACATGCAATCTATAAACAATCATACCCTTTCAACACCTAGACAATAAGCTTAAATTTAACAATAACAAGAAGTAACCAATAACTACAATAAATTAATGATTTAATATTCTGAATTAGAATAAGAAATGTATTCTCAAAGAACTGATACTTAAACGAAATATCAATCAATTGTTACCAAAATCGACAACATCTATAATGAATTAACCAACAATATAAATTAACTTTAATAATCATCACGCCAAGATTACTAATAATTGTTAGAAGAACTAAAATCCTAAAGGGAACAAAACATATAAATGTTGTAAGCAATTGCTTTAAGACAGCAAGGAAATAAATAGTAATAATTTTATGGACATAAATAAAATCTCTCCGATAATTAGTATGATTACATAGACTTATAAGAATAGCAACTTCTAGAAGAGCTTCAAACTCTGGATAGCTATAAACAATAGAAATAGGATATACATGATCCAATTCCAGTCAGTTCAAGAATTCAAGTGAATTATTTATCACCTACAAGTCATCAAAGAATCAGCTCTAATTACAACAGCATTTAACAACAAAAATAACATACACCATTATAATCTACTCAATATTCATAAAATGCACCTTAAATGCAGTATCTCAATTAACTAAGACAAAATTATGGTACCATAGAATTACCTTAAAATATAAACACAGAATAATAGCAAAATAGTTATTTATCTGCTCCTTAATACTCAAAGAGATAATCAGCCAGAGGCTAAGGTAACTATTCATATGGAGAGTTTTAAAATAAAAGTCCAATTCTGATAACGAATGAAGAATAGGTTGTGGAATAAAGAAATTCATATTACCCAATAAATGCGAGCTCCTAGCCAGATTAATAGTTATCAATTAAATAGTAAGGCCATTAATTAAAATATTCTGATAATTTCTAAGGAGCTCTTCCAATACACAAGCACAAACCCATTTTTGATTAATAAATCACAAATAAGTCTAGAATAACAGAGCCCAATTAAGGTTAGTATATTAAAGAAATATGTTTAGAAAAATAACCAATAAATTAAATTGATTAAGGATATTAAATCTTACTAACATAATAAACGCCAAATCGAAGGTAATATTCTTAATAAAGTCTTCCTTAGAATTATAATTAATAATAACCAAGTGCGATTCATTAAAAAGAAAGAATTTTTGATCTATCTCATCTGAATTTGAGTAGGGATAAATCTTCACAAAAAGTTTTATAGCCATAAAATCAAAATCAATCATTATAATAATAGTAATAATAATAATAATAATAATAATAATAATAATAATAATAATAATAATAATAATAATAATAATAATAATAATAATAATAATAATAATAATAATAATAATAATAATAATAATAATAATAATAATAATAATAATAATAATAATAATAATAATAATAATAATAATAATAATAATAATAATAATAATAATAATAATAATAATAATAATAATAATAATAATAATAATAATAATAATAATAATAATAATAATAATAATAATAATAATAATAATAATAATAATAATAATAATAATAATAATAATAATAATAATAATAATAATAATAATAATAATAATAATAATAATAATAATAATAATAATAATAATAATAATAATAATAATAATAATAATAATAATAATAATAATAATAATAATAATAATAATAATAATAATAATAATAATAATAATAATAATAATAATAATAATAATAATAATAATAATAATAATAATAATAATAATAATAATAATAATAATAATAATAATAATAATAATAATAATAATAATAATAATAATAATAATAATAATAATAATAATAATAATAATAATAATAATAATAATAATAATAATAATAATAATAATAATAATAATAATAATAATAATAATAATAATAATAATAATAATAATAATAATAATAATAATAATAATAATAATAATAATAATAATAATAATAATAATAATAACAATTAATATTTCAGTAGTAGTAATAATAATAAATCTTAAACATATCATAATTTGAATATCAAAACACTAATTAAAATGAAAAAATTATTCCTGTTGAAGTTTAAAATTAAAATGTACTAAATGAATCATAATAAAGTTATATCATGGATTTGTACGGTAATTTAGGATATGATTAATTTTATTAATATCTCTGTCAAAAATATCCTATATAAAATTAATAAAAGTAGATTCATAATAAACCCAATCATGGAGATTAAAGAATTTTACGACAGGATTAAGAAGCATTAGATTTAATGCAATACATATATTGTACAATGTGTGATCAGTTCATATCAATTAAAAATGCTAATACTCATATCAATTTCTGCATAAATAATAAGAAAAATAAATAACATTAGGATGATAAATATTTAGACTTATTTATTTGTTGCACAGATCCAATGAATTAATATATAGAAACTATAGAGTAAAAATAGATAAGATTAATAAATGAATTGACTAAGATTAAATACTTAATTGAAGTAGCCATAAAATAAAAAGAATATACATATGAACAATAGAAACAAAAAGAATATTGTTTATTTGCTCTTGAAATTCTTAATTTAATAATATCAAATCCTAGAAATCTGTCAATATAACAACAGATTTAAGATTTAATAAGTATTTATTAAGTTTTGGATTAACAACAATATAACTTTTATAAATAAATCGTATTTTTATTACAAAAAGCCAATGTAAGAGCATCCTAATTAATTTAATGATATATATATATTTCTAATCAATTTTAATTAACATCTACTAAGGGCTGAGCGTTTCAATTATTTAAGTTTAGAATTACTGCCATTTCTTAGGGAGGTTATAATTCTAAATAGATTACTTTGTTTAAGGTACAAAGGCATTTGCATGAGTTATAGAGATTATTAGGTTTGGTAATTTCTTTCTAATGTGCTTAATTATTTGGACAATTCAACTCTTGTATTAGTGATTTAGGATAGAACATATGAAATAACTATTGATAATTGAGAGTAGTCATATTTAGGAATAAAAAAGAAAATCAAATAAAATTTTGAAAATCTCAAATTATAACAGATAGAATTCAACTACATTTTATAAATTGGAAGAAATTTGTTGTAAGCTGTGAGCAATGGGTTTAGAATTTTGGTTTGTGAAAAGTATTGGTGTCACTATCAAAACAATCTAACAGCACCCTCAATTCACCTGGATTTATGTCCCATTATAGAGCTAATATAGATGGCCATTTCAATTAACTCTAAATAAATTAATAATTCAATATTACATATTGTTTTGATGTTAACAAAATTAAGATTTCTATTTAATCCTCTTCTTGTATTGGTTTGTCGAATACTTTAATGATTGTTAATGCTATCATGTAAAAATATGATATTCCTTATTTGAATAATCCATCCAAATACATTTAGGTATATTCAAATGGAATAAATTGCAATAGCAAACTGAGTATCCATTATTGAATGTATAAATCAGTATTGACCTATTTTAAACCTAAATTTTCATATGCTTTAGGTAAAAACCTACTCACAAGAAAATCTAAGATTTTAGAGTATTTGTTTATTGCATTAAGTGATAATTAAAAAATATCTCTAATTTCCATTTACTCTATTAAATTCACAAATAGCCAAAATGCAATCCACTCTTATTTTGCATGATTGAATAATATAGAAGCTATGTAATTCATTCCTTAAACATATCCAATATTTGGATCATAGACTGAAAATGCAATAAGTATATTTCTTATTTCTTTAAAGTAGTTTTCTGCCTTTATAGTTCTTGAAAGATCTCTTTCAATTTATTGAACAACTTCTTTTTCAGGTTATAATTATAGTATTTTGTAAAATTGCTACTCCAATTAAACAAATTCCTATTTTTTAATTTCAATTATTTACTTTCTTATGATATTTATAGTTTAACCATTTCATACAATAAGATGGAATTCTTTTTTGTTCTTTTTATTCATTAATACTAGTTTCGGTGACTAATCAAACAATAAGTATACCTGAGCTTTTTCTTTATTCTGTTACACATCTTGTGATTACATTGTATTCACTTAGAGCATTTTCTTTTGGTTTTGTCTGAATTCGCTTTGATGCTGGGATCTTATTAATTGTTGGCACATCGCAATCTTTTACTGTAAAATCATTTTTTGCATTTTTTATTATACTGTTAGCCACATGCAGCATTAATGTTTACTTCGATTAACTAACTTATAAAGATAGCCATTTACTTCAGAATACTTTTCATTTTTAGTTTTCAATCCGTTATAATAATTATATTTATATAATTAATTAACAAATTATATAAAAATAATTCTATCTTTAATATAGTCTCCAACCTATAAAACATTCTTTATAACATTCATTCCAATTTTATGAATAGTATATGGAAAGTCAATCTTTAGAATTAAAACTCTCTTAGGTAAATTATTAAGAATATAAATTTAATATAAAAATGGATAAGAAATAAGTGTCTTGGCATTAAACTTCGTTAAGATGGTTATTTTTGGCAATGACTTGCATATTTTAAGTTGGATGTTGTTTGTGCAGTGATTTTCCATCTGTTTTAGCATCCTAGATGAAGTTGCAATTCTCTATTTAATAATCGGATATTAATCAACTATTTACATTTTATTCCTTGCCTAATGTTATATTCCCATTTTTTGGAGGAATTATCATTGATAAGATAGGAATAAGAACCTCTTTGGTTTCATTTGCAGCCTTTCTTGTGTTTGGATAAGGTACAATTTTATTTCTAAACATTTCTAGCTTTATGTTATTACGGATCCCTAATTTTGAACTACAACTATTTGAAAATTGGCATGATGCTAATGGGCATGGGTGGTGAAATTTGCATGAGTGTGGCATAGAGTTCTATTGTTAGCAAATGGTTTGTTGGTTAAGAGATGGCCTTAGCATTTGGGTATTAATTATATATCAAAATTTAGTTTAAAACTAACATTTACAAGATTAGGATCAGTTTTAGGAGTAAATTTGCTGAGATACACATATGTTCAATTTAATGAAAGCTTTCAGTCTTGCATGATGATTTGTTGTATCATCATCCTAATTGTATGGGGGGTTTCATTTATTCAAATTGAAATGGATAAAATAAGTGATTTTAGAGATGGATAAATCAAAAAGGATGAGGAATAATCTAATGTAAGTCTATCAGATATTAAACAATTTAAATTGGATTTCTATCTCGTATCTTTGACTTGTGTATTATCATATAGTGCTTTCATAGTTTTGTAATAAAATTCTTTGCAAATGTTTAAAATTAGGTATTACATATATTCATAATATACAGATACCAACTTCAAGATTAGGAAGCCACATTTTTTTACAGCCTGCCTTATTACATTAGTGCAATCATTACTCCGATTTTTGGTGGTTTTGTTGATAAAATTGGATAAAGACCTTTAATTATTCTCGTCTCCGGTGTTTTACTCTTAATTTCTACTTCTTTATACTGTGTAGAACTTAATTGTATAAATGACACTTGCCATAATTTAACATTATTGGCTTAATCAATTAGTGGTCTATCATTTGCAATTTTTGCTCCCGTTATTTGGCCATGCATTCCTTTATGCATTAAAGCCAACGCTTAAGGTACTGGATTCGGAGTTGTAACATCAATTTAGAATATCGGCCTATCCCTTTTGCCTCTGATAGTTGGATCAATTATTCAAGATGAAACCTAATAATCTTATGTCTAAATGATGTAATTTATTCGAATGGTCACTATTTTGGGTACATTATGCAATATAACTTTATATATGTATGATAAATCACATGGGAGGAAGTTGAGTGTAAAATAAAAAAAATAAAAAAGTAATTGAAAAAAAATCAATATTATAAGAATATAAAAAATAATAATATTAAAAGTAATTATCAAGTCCCAATAAGTTAAGTTTTTCGTAATCTCCATATTTATAATGAGGAGAGTTGGTTTACTTACTTTTTATTATTATTACAATATTTTATTAAAAAAAAGGGTTTGCTTCTTTAAATTTCAATTTTTTGGGCAAATACTCAATTTTTAAGTATATTCTTCAGCTTAGTTAGAATTTTCTGTAAAGTTACAATTAAAGTTAAAAATTTAGGTGATTGTCTTAATTACCAAGTGCTTAATTAATGAGATTGCAAATTATAAAAAATTGAAAATTAAATTAAAAACGTAATCTTGTAAATTATATAATAATAAACAATATTAGATATCAATTTAATGTGAATATTAATTTATGACCGATTATAAAGCCAGTTAAATCCAAAAATCCATACGCGTTTTTCTATTGAATAATTGAATAAATTTTAGATCTTACATGACAGAAACTGTTGAACATCTTCGTGATTTCAATTATTATAAACTAAACCAGAATGTTACTCAAGTTTTGGCTGAATATATCTGGATTGATGGAACTGGAGAAAGAATGAGATCGAAAACAAAAGTACTTTTTATAATAATTATTTAGGTATATCTAACACCAATAACTTAACTTTCTGACCTTGAATGGTGGACATATGATGGTTCATCAACAGAACAAGCCAACACTAAATGGTCTGAAATTTATTTGAAACCTGTGGTGTATGTGAGAGATCCCTTTAGAGGTGATCCTCACATTTTGGTGTTGTGTGAAACATATTTACCAGATAAAAAGACCCCAGCCAGATATAACTTTAGGTAACTATTAACATTTATGAATAGATGGATTGCTAATGAAATCATGGAAAAAGCTAAAGACTTCAAGCCTTGGTTTGGAATCGAATAAGAATATTTCTTATTAAAACGTACAGGAACAACCCATATCTGGCCACTCGGATGGCCAACAGGAGGATTTCCCTATCCATAAGGACGATACTATTGTTCTATTGGAGAAAGAAACAACTTTGGACGTGCTTTAGCCGAGGCACATCTTAGAGCTTGTTTGAATGCGGGAATCAAAATTGCAGGTATCAATGCAGAGGTTGCTCCATCTTAATGGGAATTCTAAATTGGTATTGCCGAAGGAATTGAAATCGGAGATCACCTATGGTTAGCTAGATATATTCTAGAGAGATTGGGTGAAGAATTTGGTATTGATATCAACTATGATCCAAAACCCATCTTGGGAGATTGGAATGGTTCTGGAGCCCATACAAACTATTCTGATGTCAAAACAAGAGGAGAAGGGGGATACAAGTATATTGTAGATGAATTGATCCCTCTATTAAGTAATACTCACAAAGAAGTTTTAAAACTATATGGAGCAAATAATGAAAAAAGATTAACAGGTCACCATGAAACAAGTTCCTATGATTAATTCTCCTGGGGAGATGGTTCCAGAGGTGGATCCATCAGAGTTCCAGTTGTCACTAAAGAATTAGGAGCTGGGTATTGAATATCGTTATTTTTAGTTATTTGGAAGACAGAAGACCAGCTGCCAATATTGATCCATATTTAGTCAGTGCAGTCATAGTAGATGTTGCTTTGTTAAATAGTACCTATGTCAACTAACTAAAACAATTATTGGTTTAATCAGCTAAACCACTAGCATGATTATGATCAATATATAAGAGAAATAAAATATAAAATCATTATTCAAATTATATTTTATAATTCCCATAAGTGAAAGTTGATTGTATCTTTTCACCAACACTTCTTTGAGCTCACATTTATAAATTTCATAAAAAATAATGTCTTACTTTTTATAATTGATTGATTAATTCGGAGTTTAGCAAAAATTATAAATTCCAACAATTAAGCCTACATAACAAAGCGCCTTAGGAGGATTAGTAACTATAATTTTATATGGAGCCAGTTTAGGATATTTTCTCTTTTAATTTTTAGATTGGTAATCAAATAATAAGCTTCCAAAAATAACCTCTCTTTAAGAAATGATATAAGATGCATAAAGATTAAAACTTGATGGAGTATTTACAGAAATAAGTTATTTGAAAACTCTCAACAATTCAATTGACCCTTTTGATCCTGAGAGTCTGATATTTTCTCCTAATTTATAAGTCGTTCCTTAAAATAGATCAAATGTATATCAAATTTTAAACATAGATTTAAAGCGTCCCTCTAAAACTTGAATAAGAAAAATTATAAAATGGAAAAATAATAACTAAATATATAATCCAAAATATTGAGCTGATCAACTCTCCCGCTAATTAACCAGTTCGTGAATTAATTAATTATTAGTTATCTTTGGGATATTGTAATCCAAAGTAACTTTAAGAAGGATAAAAATGTGCTAATCAAGATACAATCGATAAATTTTATCATCAAATAAATTTCTTTTAAGTGACAATTTTTATATAGCAATTTGATCCAAAAACAAAATCACTTGTTTGGATACCAAAATTCTTTATTTTTGATATGATAAAAGATTAACTTTATATGAATCAATTTATTCTAAAAGTAGGGGATTTGAGTATGGATGACGGATTTTTATTTCCAAATTCAAACAAATTTACATTTCTTTCTGATTTAGAAGTTATTAGTGCCCAATATGATCAATAGTACTCAAAAAGATTGTATGGAGAAGAATTAATTTCAATACTTTTTTTTCATTTGGATTAAATAAAGACAGTAAATATGGTTGAATATCCAAAGATATCAGAGATATTAGCAGATACAGGTTCAATTATATCTTGGATTCTTTCAATATCATGTATAGTATCTAAATACAATGAAAATTTAAGTGTTGAAAAAACTTAGAAAGATATAATAACAATGTACTATCATGATTTTAATGATTTTATTATTTAGAAGAATTGGATGGGTCATATTATAAAGGTTAATTATAAAGGAAAAGAATATGATCTCAAAAAATCAGAAGAAATTATCAATAAATTAGATACTATTGCTATTAAAAAAATGAATTACTTAAATCTATAAAATGAAGTAGCCAAGTAATTATTTTATTGTATTCTATTAGATTATAATTAATCTTATAAGAACATTTAGGAGTTCAATAAATTAAAAAATATTTATAATCCTAATATAAATTAGAATCATTATTTGATAAATTAGGAATACCTGATAAATCCTTTGAGTAAGAAATAAATTAAATAGTAATATCTTTTTTCATTCTTTAAGCATGCTGAACATGAGTTGTAATAGGATAGAATTTAATAATTTAATATCGAAGGAGAGATTGATTTAAAAATTAATAAAGATACTATAGAACATGAAATAGATTTTAGGATGGGACTTTTAGATATGAAAATAATTGAAAATGGCGAACTAAAAGAGCAAAACAGTTTCTAAATTTAGGAATCCTTTTAAAATATAAATAATTATTTAACTGCCATCAATGTTGATAAGCCTGATGATGCTAAATGATCTTAAATACAATAATATAAATATAAATATAAAAGAATAATTATAAGTTGATAGTCTAATTTTCTTAATTTTTATTAATTTATTAATTATTAGTATCCCATTTCAATCTGATTCTTATTGCAAAATATTACTAACCCTCTCGATATTTTTGTATTTTTATTAAACAAAAAGGTTAATCACAGATCTGCATAAAAAAATGTGTATTAAACTTCTCTTTTATAAACCTAAATTTTATATTTTATTAAATAAATTAATCTGAATGAATGGTCATATAAATAAGAGGCAAAGAAATTTATAAATATTGTTTATATGCTTAGATTCATTCGTTATGGTTAAGGGAGTTTAAACTACTGGACCATTAAGTATTTTTTAGAAAATAAATGCTCTTTTGACTCATTAGAGTATTTGAAATGCTTGAATACAAATTGCCCCAAAAATAGTTATTAGCATAACTTCATTTAATTTAGTGGTAGCCACTTAATTTATTTATTATCTAATATTAATTTTCTAGCCTCTCATTAATTGGAATTTATCTTGGATCCTATATCATTCAGATATTCTTAAAATAACAAGGTAAATCTTAATAAAAGATTTTGTNACTTATGGATAGGAAATAATAGCTGTTCTTTATTTTAACTTAGATTAAATAAAGACAGTAAATATGGTTGAATATCCAAAGATATCAGAGATATTAGCAGATACAGGTTCAATTATATCTTGGATTCTTTCAATATCATGTATAGTATCTAAATACAATGAAAATTTAAGTGTTGAAAAAACTTAGAAAGATATAATAACAATGTACTATCATGATTTTAATGATTTTATTATTTAGAAGAATTGGATGGGTCATATTATAAAGGTTAATTATAAAGGAAAAGAATATGATCTCAAAAAATCAGAAGAAATTATCAATAAATTAGATACTATTGCTATTAAAAAAATGAATTACTTAAATCTATAAAATGAAGTAGCCAAGTAATTATTTTATTGTATTCTATTAGATTATAATTAATCTTATAAGAACATTTAGGAGTTCAATAAATTAAAAAATATTTATAATCCTAATATAAATTAGAATCATTATTTGATAAATTAGGAATACCTGATAAATCCTTTGAGTAAGAAATAAATTAAATAGTAATATCTTTTTTCATTCTTTAAGCATGCTGAACATGAGTTGTAATAGGATAGAATTTAATAATTTAATATCGAAGGAGAGATTGATTTAAAAATTAATAAAGATACTATAGAACATGAAATAGATTTTAGGATGGGACTTTTAGATATGAAAATAATTGAAAATGGCGAACTAAAAGAGCAAAACAGTTTCTAAATTTAGGAATCCTTTTAAAATATAAATAATTATTTAACTGCCATCAATGTTGATAAGCCTGATGATGCTAAATGATCTTAAATACAATAATATAAATATAAATATAAAAGAATAATTATAAGTTGATAGTCTAATTTTCTTAATTTTTATTAATTTATTAATTATTAGTATCCCATTTCAATCTGATTCTTATTGCAAAATATTACTAACCCTCTCGATATTTTTGTATTTTTATTAAACAAAAAGGTTAATCACAGATCTGCATAAAAAAATGTGTATTAAACTTCTCTTTTATAAACCTAAATTTTATATTTTATTAAATAAATTAATCTGAATGAATGGTCATATAAATAAGAGGCAAAGAAATTTATAAATATTGTTTATATGCTTAGATTCATTCGTTATGGTTAAGGGAGTTTAAACTACTGGACCATTAAGTATTTTTTAGAAAATAAATGCTCTTTTGACTCATTAGAGTATTTGAAATGCTTGAATACAAATTGCCCCAAAAATAGTTATTAGCATAACTTCATTTAATTTAGTGGTAGCCACTTAATTTATTTATTATCTAATATTAATTTTCTAGCCTCTCATTAATTGGAATTTATCTTGGATCCTATATCATTCAGATATTCTTAAAATAACAAGGTAAATCTTAATAAAAGATTTTGTAATTTATTATAATTAACTAATATTCTTAAATGATAATTTTATTTTAATTAAGTATTATAAGAAATTTGCTTCTTATATTGATACAGATCTTTCCAGAGAGAACAAAAACTTAACTGGATTTTATTATTTGTTTAGTTTTAACTTATATAAGAGCACAAAAAAACATGGTTGAATAAATTTGTAAGTAAATGTTAGAAAAGTAAAAGTAATGTATGATTAAATATGATAATTTAATTCTAGCTCCTCCTCTTTTTCACATGAGGCCATAATTAGTTGATAAATAAGGAGAAATCATATTCTCATTTGGATTGTAATTAGATTTTATTATTATAAACTATCATTTATTGTTAATAATAAAATTTTTATATTAATTAATATCACTAATTTTTATTCAATATTAAATCACCTTTTTAATAGTTCCAACCCTGAATTCGAATTAATTCTAAAAATTATGACTTTACTTTTCTTTTTTAATAATTTACTAAATAATCTTGAATACTTAATGCAAAAGAAATAAGATATAACATAGTATATCTATTATTTATATTTTAATTTATAATATCTCTAATAATATTCATAAGTGCAAACTCTTGGATATATTACAAATAAATTGATGATTTAATAAATAAATAAAACTTAATCAATATATTTTGAAAAATGTTATACTTTTTATAATCAATTGATCAATTCGGGGTTTAGTAGAAACTGTAGATTCCTCCAATCAACCCTACTTAGAAAAGTGTTTTTGGTGGATTAGTAACTTTAACTTTGTATAGTATAAGCTTAGGATATTTTCTATTTCAATTTGTTGATTGGCAATAAAATAATAAACTTCCTAAAGTGACTTCTCTACAATAATAGATCAATGTTGAATAAAAATTGAATTTGCAAGGAGTGTTTGCTGAAATAAGCTACTTTTAAGAACTTTCACATTAAATAGATCCTTTTGATCCATAGAACATGATATTATAGCCATTATTGGTTAGTTCATCTAGTTATTATGATGTATAGCTATTTTATTTCTTAGTAAACAATTATCAACACAACTTTCTAATCTAGGAAAACTTCAGAAGGTAAAACATAAAATACGCTCTTTATAGAAGATATTGTAATTTCAAATTCTCCAATAAGTTCATCGGAGCATAAATACATTAATTATTAGTTAACCTTTGGATATTGCAATCCTGATTTACTTTAAAGTGGTTAAAATTGTGCAAATTTAGATTTAATCAATAAATTCTTTTTATAAGATAACTATTTTTAGATTATGATTTATTTAGAACAATTTGATCCAAGAAGTAAATAAATTACCAAAATTCCTAAATTTTTTGTTTTTGAAATGATGCAAAAATCCTATTTTTAAAATATATTTACTTTAAAATCAACGGATTTGATTTTGGATGATGGATTTTTATTCCCCAACTCTAATTAATAAACTTATCTTTCTGACTTATCTGTAATAACCACCTAATTTGATTAAGAATATGCTCAAAAAACTTATGGATAGGAAATAATAGCTGTTCTTTATTTTAACTTAGATTAAATAAAGACAGTAAATATGGTTGAATATCCAAAGATATCAGAGATATTAGCAGATACAGGTTCAATTATATCTTGGATTCTTTCAATATCATGTATAGTATCTAAATACAATGAAAATTTAAGTGTTGAAAAAACTTAGAAAGATATAATAACAATGTACTATCATGATTTTAATGATTTTATTATTTAGAAGAATTGGATGGGTCATATTATAAAGGTTAATTATAAAGGAAAAGAATATGATCTCAAAAAATCAGAAGAAATTATCAATAAATTAGATACTATTGCTATTAAAAAAATGAATTACTTAAATCTATAAAATGAAGTAGCCAAGTAATTATTTTATTGTATTCTATTAGATTATAATTAATCTTATAAGAACATTTAGGAGTTCAATAAATTAAAAAATATTTATAATCCTAATATAAATTAGAATCATTATTTGATAAATTAGGAATACCTGATAAATCCTTTGAGTAAGAAATAAATTAAATAGTAATATCTTTTTTCATTCTTTAAGCATGCTGAACATGAGTTGTAATAGGATAGAATTTAATAATTTAATATCGAAGGAGAGATTGATTTAAAAATTAATAAAGATACTATAGAACATGAAATAGATTTTAGGATGGGACTTTTAGATATGAAAATAATTGAAAATGGCGAACTAAAAGAGCAAAACAGTTTCTAAATTTAGGAATCCTTTTAAAATATAAATAATTATTTAACTGCCATCAATGTTGATAAGCCTGATGATGCTAAATGATCTTAAATACAATAATATAAATATAAATATAAAAGAATAATTATAAGTTGATAGTCTAATTTTCTTAATTTTTATTAATTTATTAATTATTAGTATCCCATTTCAATCTGATTCTTATTGCAAAATATTACTAACCCTCTCGATATTTTTGTATTTTTATTAAACAAAAAGGTTAATCACAGATCTGCATAAAAAAATGTGTATTAAACTTCTCTTTTATAAACCTAAATTTTATATTTTATTAAATAAATTAATCTGAATGAATGGTCATATAAATAAGAGGCAAAGAAATTTATAAATATTGTTTATATGCTTAGATTCATTCGTTATGGTTAAGGGAGTTTAAACTACTGGACCATTAAGTATTTTTTAGAAAATAAATGCTCTTTTGACTCATTAGAGTATTTGAAATGCTTGAATACAAATTGCCCCAAAAATAGTTATTAGCATAACTTCATTTAATTTAGTGGTAGCCACTTAATTTATTTATTATCTAATATTAATTTTCTAGCCTCTCATTAATTGGAATTTATCTTGGATCNACTTATGGATAGGAAATAATAGCTGTTCTTTATTTTAACTTAGATTAAATAAAGACAGTAAATATGGTTGAATATCCAAAGATATCAGAGATATTAGCAGATACAGGTTCAATTATATCTTGGATTCTTTCAATATCATGTATAGTATCTAAATACAATGAAAATTTAAGTGTTGAAAAAACTTAGAAAGATATAATAACAATGTACTATCATGATTTTAATGATTTTATTATTTAGAAGAATTGGATGGGTCATATTATAAAGGTTAATTATAAAGGAAAAGAATATGATCTCAAAAAATCAGAAGAAATTATCAATAAATTAGATACTATTGCTATTAAAAAAATGAATTACTTAAATCTATAAAATGAAGTAGCCAAGTAATTATTTTATTGTATTCTATTAGATTATAATTAATCTTATAAGAACATTTAGGAGTTCAATAAATTAAAAAATATTTATAATCCTAATATAAATTAGAATCATTATTTGATAAATTAGGAATACCTGATATTAATTATTAGAGTTCTTTAAACTAGATAGTAAACTATACTTAAATATTAATAGTTACCTTAAATTGATGAACAACTTGTCTAAAATTCATAAATTTAACCTGAAATATTAAATGACTCTACAAACAATAAGGATAAAACCCTAGCATTAGAATTACAGGAAAGAATGTAAATCTTAGACCTTTAGGTGCATTAAAATCCTACAGCAAGTATTTTTAGTAATGATTGATTTAAATATTTCAGTTTATGAAAAATTTCATATAATAATATTGTTGATTTAATATAAATAATGAATTTAGCATTATTAACTTATAAAACTAGCTGATAGTTTAATACATTTGAATATAAAAAAATGGAGAAATGTTGTTTCAATAATTCCTATATTCTTATCTTATCATAATATTTTAAGGGACCAGACTTCAAGATTCCTTAAGTTAGGTATGGCTCATGCCCAGAATCTATTATTGTCAGTATTAATTGATCTCAAAAATGATTTTTCAAATATAATTTATGGAAAATTGGATATTTTTTTAACCATAACTTAAAAGTAAAATTAGCCAAAATATTAAAATAAAAAAATTGTACCTATAGGCTTACATATTGTAAATTTTGGTTCTTAATTTTTACTTTTTTCTTCATATTACTAATCCAAATAGAGTGTCTTTGCGAATTTTATGTTATTTTAAAATATTGATATTTTTAAGTATTTTAGCCTCACTTTAGTGAATTAGATTAGGAAAAGAAAAAATACAGAATTTATTTATCATTTAATGATTGTTAAAATTAAATCACATCACTGTTTATCATCATCTTAATTTTTGGCTACTTTAGTGAATCTTTAGATCGAATTTTTAAATTGGTTTCCTTCCCAATAAACTTATAAACATTTTTCACATTACCAGAATACTTTTATTTACCCAAAGGAATCATTCTATTTTTTAGTTAATAACATTACATTTTTAAAATCTAAATACTATTGAGCAGTTTTAGGTGAAATTTAAATAACATGATCAAAATTACATTTCACACATCTGGATAAAATTTTGTCTTCATGAATTTAAAATTATAACTCTTTTAATATTTCATCAAATTATTACTCTAAAATTACTTAATTTAATTACCAGTGTTTAGGTTATCAGACAATAAAAAACAAGGTGCTTTAAGCTATGGTTTTTCGTATAATTTTTTATCCCTAGTTATGATTAGTCTTTATTCAGCTATAGCTTATTATTCAATAGTTTAATGATCATTCTTCTCATTATATTCAGCATCAATTCCTAGATTTCTAAGAAAAGTAGCCAATTTTTTAAGCATGGCATCAACTAAAAATTTCATATTTTATTTATCATCAATAATCTTTTAGAATTATAAGTCGTATCTTAAATGGTCCCCTTTATAAATTTGTTAGATCTTCTTCTATTTTTATTAAGTTTAATGCTGCTATTAGAGCTAAGGCAGTTAAACTATATCAAGCTGTTTCAATTCATTTAATTTTAAATATACAGCAATACAAATATAAGCATCCATAGCTCCATAATGTAATTAACATTTTCTTAAAGGTCTTCTTTGCCAATTTGAGAAACATTCCTTTTTTGACAATTTCTTCCCAAATAGTTAATACACTTAGTTAGCTAATGAGACATTATTTTTGTTTTCTGGAAATACCTCATTGTATAAGAAGGTTAAGTCCACGATGTTCTTAGGTTCAACTGTTTAATCTAAATTCATATTCTAAGCCATAACTGTGAAGTCATTCCAAACACTATGCCCAATTTTGATTTTATTACTGGCAAAATAGTTGTTTAAGAATTAAAGTAATTCTAATTTTTCTCTCAGATTGAAGATATCAATTATATAAACATTGGTTTCAGTAGAAATTTACATAATGGCTACACCTCCTATTGCGAATTCATCAAAATAATGGCAAAATTCAGTATCGAATCCAGTAATTTAAGCATTTAAAATTATGTCTTTGATTAGCACTAATTTTTCAACAGAATCAATGAATTGAATTTAATCTTCATGTATGTTGAAATCAGAAAATTAAATGAAGCCTGATGGATCCTCTTAATAACATACTTGTTCTGTAATTCCAAAACCATCATATTTTAGAAGTGGATTCTCAATGAGAACTCCATTTAAGTTGTATTGGTCGTTCAGATCTTATCTGACGGCAACAGAGTATGCTTCATTTACCTTATTATTTTCCAATAGCTTATCTATTACATGGCAGAGCATATAGGGATATCCCTATAAACGTTCTTCGACTCTCTCATAAGGTTCATCTATTTTTGGAAAATAAGTTCTATCAATAGCTTATCTGTTTTAGATTTTAATTAATTAAGGGTAATCTTCTTTTTTGAGATTGTATTTCCTTATTAACTCTGTAGCAAATTTCTAATGATGTCTTTTATCTGACTGTGTTAGCTTGATCAAGAAATCTTTAAGTAAATTCGGAGAAGTTATGCATACTTTAGAAAAATCTTAGACTGCATCCAATTAAATGAATTTATCTATAAATATTGACATATTCAATTGATCTTTAAAAATCATGATTAATTTCATGGCTTAAAGGGGCTTTTTATTTTATAGTAAAGTTAAGATTTTTACTTAAGCACTTTTGATAGATAAATTAATTACTCTTGGATATCAGCTGGTTTAATATCGAAGCCTTTCATATATTCTTCAATAAAATCTAAGGGAATTAGTTGCCATTTTTGTAAAGCTAATTATTTATTTCCAAAGTCATTTAATTCTAAGAAGGCTTTTGTAAAGATCTCTTGAAGCAGTGTTTTAAGTGTAATATCACTAGATATTTCGAGGAAGTAGAAGTAAGCTTTACATTTATCTTATTCTTTTGATAAGAGTTGAAGTGCAATGTCCTCAAAATCCTAAGAAAATATTAACAGTGGAGTTTACCTTCCGTTACTTAGCTGATTATATTTTCAATTGACGAAAATAATCTTGAATTTCCTGCTGATTGTTTCTTTGTACTAATAATTACTTTGATCTAATTACTTATTTCGAAAATTATCTCCATAATAATTTATTCATTAAAAACAAAATAATTCTTTCATAGTAATGTAATATTTTAAATTCTTTAATAACTTTTTAATCAATCATTAATGATACAAACGATTAATCAGGTCCCGAAACAAGTGCTATTAGAATTTTATAATCTAAGCAAATTATAAGTTTAATACTTATACGACGTTTTAGAGAATGATTTAGATACGCTTTATAGAGTTCTGCATAGTATTAAACGAACAGAATAGATAGATAAGCTAATTGAGGAATTAGATTAGTAACACTAATAGCAAGGCCTACTGAAATCGATGACATATGGCAATTTAAAAGAACTAAAGAATTTTTTAAAATAAAGAATCAGTTTTGAAAACTTGATAAACTCGCTCTAAAAACTGAATAAGGATGAAGAAATCCTAAAGTTGAAGGAGCTTAAAGAAGTAGAGAGACCAATAATACAGCAGGACAGCAGATTCCTAGAACTGCCACTCTACATTCATCTATATGTAATGGACTTTCTCGATCCCTTGTCCTTACATAAGAGTAGACTAGTGTGTTTGAAAATGAATGATATTTTCAATGTTCCCTAGATTAGTGACAAGTTTTATTAAAAGTTTTGCAGAGCACTATTTGACTAAATTGAAATACAACCTAATTTAATGAATCCCTTTGATAAAACAAGGAAGTACATTAATGAAAACTTGCATCTATTTGAATAAGACTTATAGCTAATTAATTCAATGAACCAGAATCCAAGTTAGACGATTTGGAATAATTGGGGCAATCCTTAATAAAAAATCTTAAATTATTAAGAATTGCGTCAACAGTATTAATCACACAAAGATATGTATGATTAATAATTGAGATTAAATTACTGTGGTATATATGCTATGAAGGAATATTACATCAAATATGGAGAGGCTTAATTTTAACAGACGAGTGCTCCCTGTTATAGAGTAGATTTCTTTAGATATATTCGATTTTGGAGAGACGGCACATTTACAATGTACATTTCTTCGAAAAAATTGACAAAGAACGAAATATTTGAATATTTTAGATATCCCGAGATACCCATAGTCCCAAAACAAGGGGTTTAGAAGCAAATGCAATTTGAAGACTGCTTTTTGAGGGGAGAATACAGGATAGTTCTTGATGAAGTCCATGTAATAGCCGCTAGATAGAGCACAACATTTTAATACATTTATAAAATTAAGAATTACCAGAACAAACATCCTGGTAATGTCCTATTATAACAATCTGGATAAATGCACACTTTTGGAGATACTTATAGATAAGATATAGGGGATAACTAAAAGAGAAAGCACTTTATCTACAAACATCTTGAGGAGTTTAGATAAGAATTGCATGACGAATAACACAGTTGGAAAAATGTCGTCTATTGATTTATTAATTTATTAAGAATTATTAAAATTACCAATAATTAAAATTTATATACATGACAGAAAAGCCTTAACAATTCAATCCAATATTAATAGCGTTTTATTCAGGTCTTGCATCTTTGGTTGGGGATATGGTTATGTTTCCCTTCGATACGATCGGAACAAGAATAAAAGCTCATAAGTCTAAGTTCTTGGGGATGAAGCAAGGATATGATCTTATAGTTAAGAATGAAGGATTTAGATATTTATTCAAAGGCTTTTCTACAACCGTTATGGGTATTTTCAAATAGCTTAAATAGGTTCATTTATTCCTTATGGTTCATATTTTTTGGCCTATGAATATATGAATTATTATGCGATTAAATTAACAAAAGGTTTAGAGAAAGATGGCGAGAAGAGTAAACTCAATTTGTTGATTCCACTCATTACATCCCCCTTGGCGGAAGCAGTGTCTGTCATAAGTAAACATTTATAGTTATCCAGCCTATATACCTTTCGATACGTTAAGAACCAGAATGTAGATGAATGTTCCTGAATATAATTATAAAGGAATTTATTCAGGATTAATTGAAATTTCAAAAAAAGAAGGTTGGATTCGCTTATTCCAAGCCTCGCACTTGTATATGGCCTCGGTGGTTGTCTACACAACATTTCAAATGTGGTTCTATGAATTGTTGAGATATCAAATTTTGAGATAAAGGAGTGATCACACTTTACACAATTAACCTTTGGCCATTCATTAATCAATTATTGCAACAATGATTTCAACTGCTTTGGCTGCAGCCATAGTCAATCCTGTTGATTTCATTATTACTCGATACTAACTTGTTGACAGCAGCTAACAACAATTGTCAGTGAAAGTATTGGTTTAGGAAGCTTGGCGTCAAGAAGGGAAAAAGGCCTTCCTGAAGGGGTTGGGGACAAGAGTATTCTAATGCAGCATATTTTCTATCTTTTATTTTCCAGTTTATGACCACTTTAAATCAAAGTATGGGATAACATTAGCAGATTGATTTCGGAATTAAATCTGACTTTTTATAATGTNTGCTTTTTGAGGGGAGAATACAGGATAGTTCTTGATGAAGTCCATGTAATAGCCGCTAGATAGAGCACAACATTTTAATACATTTATAAAATTAAGAATTACCAGAACAAACATCCTGGTAATGTCCTATTATAACAATCTGGATAAATGCACACTTTTGGAGATACTTATAGATAAGATATAGGGGATAACTAAAAGAGAAAGCACTTTATCTACAAACATCTTGAGGAGTTTAGATAAGAATTGCATGACGAATAACACAGTTGGAAAAATGTCGTCTATTGATTTATTAATTTATTAAGAATTATTAAAATTACCAATAATTAAAATTTATATACATGACAGAAAAGCCTTAACAATTCAATCCAATATTAATAGCGTTTTATTCAGGTCTTGCATCTTTGGTTGGGGATATGGTTATGTTTCCCTTCGATACGATCGGAACAAGAATAAAAGCTCATAAGTCTAAGTTCTTGGGGATGAAGCAAGGATATGATCTTATAGTTAAGAATGAAGGATTTAGATATTTATTCAAAGGCTTTTCTACAACCGTTATGGGTATTTTCAAATAGCTTAAATAGGTTCATTTATTCCTTATGGTTCATATTTTTTGGCCTATGAATATATGAATTATTATGCGATTAAATTAACAAAAGGTTTAGAGAAAGATGGCGAGAAGAGTAAACTCAATTTGTTGATTCCACTCATTACATCCCCCTTGGCGGAAGCAGTGTCTGTCATAAGTAAACATTTATAGTTATCCAGCCTATATACCTTTCGATACGTTAAGAACCAGAATGTAGATGAATGTTCCTGAATATAATTATAAAGGAATTTATTCAGGATTAATTGAAATTTCAAAAAAAGAAGGTTGGATTCGCTTATTCCAAGCCTCGCACTTGTATATGGCCTCGGTGGTTGTCTACACAACATTTCAAATGTGGTTCTATGAATTGTTGAGATATCAAATTTTGAGATAAAGGAGTGATCACACTTTACACAATTAACCTTTGGCCATTCATTAATCAATTATTGCAACAATGATTTCAACTGCTTTGGCTGCAGCCATAGTCAATCCTGTTGATTTCATTATTACTCGATACTAACTTGTTGACAGCAGCTAACAACAATTGTCAGTGAAAGTATTGGTTTAGGAAGCTTGGCGTCAAGAAGGGAAAAAGGCCTTCCTGAAGGGGTTGGGGACAAGAGTATTCTAATGCAGCATATTTTCTATCTTTTATTTTCCAGTTTATGACCACTTTAAATCAAAGTATGGGATAACATTAGCAGATTGATTTCGGAATTAAATCTGACTTTTTATAATGTATAGTGTATTTATTTTTAATTTAATTGGATTTTATATTAATTAAGTGATATCAGATAATTCTGAAAATATAAAATAATTCATCCTATTGAGGATAATGAGTAACATCAAAATTCGTTGAATTCTGAAAAAACTGATATATCACTATCTTATTGGTCTCTAATTATGGGTAGTTTACCTAAATTTCTATTTTTAAATACTTGATGTATCAGTAGAAACACTCCTTAAGTATGACTCACTCTGTAATCGCCCTTCTTCATTTAGTCTTAGTAAATCACTTTCATTGAAAATTATTGATTTCAAATCAGGCAACAAAAGTAAATTTGTATTAATACTGTTTTAGCTTAGAATTAGGCCTTCCGATTCTTTTTAAAGAGTGTGTAGATCGTCTGAAAAGTACGCTTTCATGTGTTAAACAATGGAAAAGTTCTATTGTGATTTCATGTGTAAAATATATTAGTTATTGCAGATATTAAATCTTTTTCCTTAAATTATTCATACATTAAGATTTTTTTTTAAACCAATTCTAAACCTCACAATTTTTGCGATGCTATTTAACAAGCAGATATAAAATAGTCTTGTAAGAACAATTGTAATAAAAATCATGAAATTCTTCTGGAATCACTCAATCAATATAACTATAAAATTAGAATTTAACAAATCTAGTCATTATTTATTCACATTTAGTGAACTTATCGAATTCTATTTTATGGAAAGTAATTACTCTATGATAACTCTTTTAGTGTAGAGGAGTAAAATATCTCATGGAATTTAAATACAATTAAGGTGAAAAAGAGTATGATAAATAAATACAATTTATTGTCAAAATTGACTAAAATTTCACATTTCTCATAGAAAATGAACTTTTTTTTTATGGGTCTTTCTTTTATCGCCTGGATTTGTTGTGCTTCTTTGCGTTTTTTTTAAAATGCCTTATGATTTAAAGCTCTGATTTTAGGTCGATGTATCGGTTTGTTATGAAAACTATTAAACGAAATTATGCTTTTATGCTTCTTTTTTTTAAACAATATCAGATTTTATTCTTCTGTGGGATTAAGTATTGGTAGGGTATTCATCTAATGCTCTAAATTTAAATTTCATGATTACTCTGGGTAAATATCATCTAAATTATCAGGTATTAATTATTTTGCAATACTATTCTTCAGAAAGTAGGTTTTGATATATTAGAACTAACTTTGAGGATATTCATTCATTCAAGTATTAATAATTAAATGTTTTAAGAGTATATTATTAATCTTTTTTTTACGATTGACATCATTGTTAATATACGAATAATTTTGGAATTGAAAAATCGGTTATAGATATATATTTTTATATGAAGCCAAATTAAGATTCATAGTTCCCACACCTCACTTTATAATTATTGATATCAATTTATCAATATTCAGTAAGATCGAAAAGAACAAGGACTCCTTGTCACCTCAACATCTCTTTGTAACTCTTAATTAATTAATAATACTCCTTAATTTAAAAAAAAATCACTTTTTCATTATTTTCATAACTCCTTATTAAATTTCAATATGTTTTTATAACTGGTGTTTGGATCTATTTTACCAGTTGTCTTCATCGATCATAGTGTAAATTCATTAGCATGACACTTGTGAATACTGAATTGCGGAGAATGGCTACTATTCTCAGCTGTAAACTAATTGTTACTATAGGATTTGGGAAGGAGTGAAAATTTGGCATTTTAAGCTTACTTCCACTTTGTTGATCTTTTAAGTGGAATTTTTGATCATTGATTAAGTTAATAATTACTAAGAGATCAATCAAAGCATAACTTTTAATTTTGATAAATAAATTAATTCGAATTTTCAGAATACAATTTTGTAATATTAAGATTGATCACGATTACTATAAATAGTTGATGAATTTAATAACTTGGTCGAAGACTTTCTACATAGGCTCTTTGTTCTGATTGATTTTGTTTACAGTCTGATCTGTTCAGTTACTAAAAATCTAACAGATTTAATTGTTTATATAGAGCTCGGAGATTAAGAATCACTATTATATCTACTTTTTTTTATTATTCCTTTTTTTGCTTCAATATTTTTTTTATTTAAAATTGATTGCGAAAAGTGTATATTTTTAATACTTGATGTCTAATTATGTTAAAAAGAAATTTAATTTGAGTTGCTCCTGTTAATTCTTGTGGTTGTAGGACACGAATTGTTAAACTTGGTAAATTCACCACCTTCCTAGGTATTTTCTGATAATGCCTGCATTGGACTTCCTGGATCATCTGGTTATTGAGGAAGATTTTGCTCTTGCTATAATTTCAATTTTGTTTTAATGCTCTCCAGAATTTGCTTCTGAGGAAAGCTATAATTTAGAGTTTGACTAGCTTAGTGGCTTTGTTATTCCTTCTCGTCGAATGAGTTTAATGTGTAAAATACTGATATAGAATTTTGAGGTTATGAGCATTTAATTCCCATGATGAATATTTTTGGAACAATTATTGTTATCTATATTAATACTATAATGAAATTCCAAAAAATTCTTAGAATTTAATATTTTTTATAACACATGATAGCATTAAAAAATGATAACAACTAAATCATCTGAACATTCAACATTCAATTCAGAATGGTACAATTTTTGTTGAATATTTTTAATAATTTTCAAATTGTCTTTGTTTTGATTGTCGTAAGTTATATTTGTCAAAAGAAGGACTTTTTTCATGCTCTTTTAAATTTTAATTATTCTTAAACTCAAAATATCCTCCCTCATACATAATCTAAGAAATGTTGATCACGAAAGAGCAATGTCTTAAGGTTCTTCTTAACAAACTAAAATACTACTATATTAATAAGAAAACAAGAATTCTAAGAATTTAAGGAAATTTACAAAAGAGAAATTACAAATCTCCAAAAATACATATATCAATTATATATCAAAATTTAATGAACTTTTGAAGATCAATCACAATCTTACTAAAATCTTAAATCAAGAGAATATGAAGATGTGATTGACTTTGCAATTCCCTTTTGTTTTAATATCAATTTTTAAAAGCAAGACTGATTTCAATTAAAAAATGTCAATATTAAAATAGGCCTCCAAAGAGATTATCATCTTAAAGGGCTATTCCTAACATTTTCTCCATCTTAATTCAATTCAGATATATTATAAAATTGATTAAGTTAAGGATAATCTATGTAGTATTGAAAATGTTTTATGGAACGTATGGATTTTTATCACTTTATGAAAATAATTGAAAACAAAAGATTAGAACATTTTTAATAAATTAACTTCAAAAGCTTTGTTTTCCTTATTAAATTGAAAAAATATAATCAAAGATGATTATTTGAAGATTTTATTAATTTATGAAATATCATCCTTTGAGTTTATATCAATAGCAATATTTAGGCAAGGTTAAGCTAGTGGCATTTAAATATTTATAACTGTTTGTTATTTGACCATATTTAAGAATTGCAGCATAATCTACAAGAGTTTGGTAATTATAATTTTATGGAATGTATTCTATTTTCTTTAATAATTATATTTATTTTCTCGCTACCATTAATAAATAATTTAATTATGAGCATAGAGATTAATAAATGAAATAAAAATAAGGTGAGTATTCGAATAATCTACACAAATCATATTATTTAATATTAATGATAAATTCTAAATCAAAAGTTTAGGAATCCATGATATGGATGTTTCTGTAATTAGTTCTTCCTCATCATAAAGTTTTCAATTGCTCTCATTGCTCTAATTGAAGAGTCCTCATTGCTGACATCAATTGGTTTAACAAGGATACCAATTAAACCATTTTTATGCGCTAAAACCATATCAGTAAATAGTCTATCTCCAATGACACATATTTCATGAGATTTAGTGTTGCTATCTATATGATTTTTGTAGATCTCCTAAAAATTAAATGGCTTCTTAGTAGTCGTCCTTGCCACACTCAATCCTAATTGTGTAGGTTCATTGATTTTTGAATTAGAGACTAAGAGCACTTAATCAAAGTCTTTTTTTAGTTTTGACAATAAATCTTCATACACAGTTTTTGTTTCTAAATGTCTTGTAAGAGTGTTGTCTCTATCGAATAGTAGACATTTGACACCTATTGACTTTAATTTTTGAAAAGGAATCTCTTGGACACTGGCACAATAATAGTGAGGGTAGATAGGTGTTGAAATAATGTATTAAAATAGATTTAAATAATTCATTTATTATATTTATGCCAATCATTCAAATCATCTTCATCATCTTCTTATTATGGCTAATTAATTTTGGATTGTTTTTATTTAGTTTATTGTTTATTCAACTAATCTTGTTTGATTTCTTGATACTCCTAATGCTTGATCTCATTTAAATTGATCCAAGTAGGGAATTCCCACATTTTAAACATCTGATCCTTGCCATAAGTAATCACCTTATTAGTTTCTTCCAGGTAATAAACCAATGTGATTATGACATCCAATTCATGAGCTCGAACAGAATCTAAAAAGGGATATTATCTTAAAATACATATAGGACATCCAGTTTGTTCACTAATCACAGTAACATTCCCTATAGTGTCTCCAATATACAAATGATGTCTCTATTAACAATACGATATCTTCTTGGTCTGATAATTGGTAGCAATACACACTTTAGGTTTGGAATTGGATTCCCTTCCAAATGAACCTATGTCTAGCACTTGCAATTAGCCGGATTCACATGCAGCAAATAAAAAACCTTATTGATTATTAATGGCAATGTCAACAATCTTGGATGATACCTAGCAGTCAATTCGCTTTAAGTATTGAACACTCTCTTTATTTAAGTCCAACATAAACACTGAGCCTTTAGAGTTACCGATAAATGCCACTTCACGATAATCACAAACCAATAAAGCAGTCAATTCACCCTTTAATAGCAATTCTACCTATGATAATGTCATTAGATACAATCTTTGTGTTTCAAGTAATCTCTTTAAGTTACTACAAAAGTCCCATCTTAACTAATGGAATAAATAACTTTTTTTAGTTTATGATAAAATACTCCATTTACTCTCATTTTGTGCATCTAATAAGTTGAGGGAAGTTGAGGTGCATTCAAGTCTTGATCCAATTAATAGACAATTATTTTTCCTTTCTCAAGTCCAATTATTAAGGCTCCCTCTGAGTAGTGCAAACATTGAGCCTTGATTGTAATTATAATGTACTTGATTTTCAAAAATTTATGACCATTTCAACACCATCTAATTATCCTTCAAACTAAATAGTTCTACTTATCCAAGAGCTTCAGAAATTGAATTCTCTTTGTTCTACATAAAAGCCATCAATTATTTGTATCCCTCAGTTTGGGATGAAACAACAAGCAAAGCCTCTTAAAATTATAATTTCAATTGAAACCTTATTCCTTAATGTACTGACAATTTTTTATAGTTTAAGCATGTTGTTAGCAATTTATTATTTTTGGTTGTTCAAAAACATATTTAGGAGCATATTTGCTTATTTCAAATAACTCACAAAAAACTGGGCAGGTCACTATGTCAAGTCTTTCAGATATGGCTGAGAGATAAGAATTCAACTTAATTCGACGCTTCTCTAATTCCTCCGATGTTGTGAGTTTGCTGAGAGTTTTTCCTGGAAATTTAGGCAACTTTTAGAATTAAGCCTTGAGAATGGTATTCAAATCAAATAGATCACTGTATCTGCACTTGATTGATATGCTAAATACCTCAATTCCAATCTCCAAGCAGTCACTCCAATCACTTGCACATCTATACAATATAGAGTGACACCTTAAAACTGCTCATATTATTTAAATGTTGGAACAGATAACTATATGATTCATCCTATTAATTACTTTACAAAATGAGTGATTCTACATTTACAAATTATTCAACTATTTAATAAATACTTATATTTAGTATATAATTCATAAATTCTAATCCTCTTTAATATATTCCAATTTTCATCAATAAAGGTTATCCAACTACACTCTTAAGTGGGTTATCAATCAATTCAATGTTTTTTTGCCATGTAATATAAATATACTATTAAAATTTAGTTTATACTCTGAAAATATCAATTACTATACCATAAATTATTCCAAAGAACTAAATAAAATTATAAATGTTTACATCCACATTTAATTTCTTAGTAAATTAGCGGATATAACTCCAATTAAGATTGATAGAAATCAAAAACTATATTTTTAATTCATTAAGTAGTAAGATAATATTTTATATCTAAATTATATTATCATGAAAGAGTGTTTTTAATAATTAATTAATAAATTAATCAGAATTGATATTTTTAAATGAACAATTAAACTTATGTTTACACCACACAATATCCAAGATTGATATAAATACGAGTATTTCTAATTCTATCAATGCATGAATTCATCTTCTCTTTTAAATCAATGTGTTGGTTTTCTTATATATTAAGAAGAAGAACTCTTACAGCATGAGAATTTGTTGATATTCATAAATAATTTATATATAAAAATAAAATTTTATTATGAACGTTGCAGATAGAGGAATGCATATTATTCTCATGTATTTGAGAATGAATGCTTATACAATATTATCAATTTAAATGCTTACCAAGGTTAATCAAATATGTTCAAGTAGAAATAACCTAAAATTTAGATGATGGAGAATAATTTTTATCTGTTTCTGTAAAGGGTGCAAGTTTCATGATTATACTGAATTTAACAGCATTTATTTATGTGAAAGCAAAAGAGAAAATGCAGGTTTCTGATAATTTTTTGTTGGCTTTCTTAAACATATGTTGGGGAATCATTGAATTTATGAAGAGTTATCAGACTACTGAAATCAATTTGAATGAATGCGAATATGTTATTAATATTTAACAAATCACATTTTACTTTTAGGCTACTACTGCATTATTGGTAACTAAATGAAAGTGACTTAGGTTGTATTAGCATTCTTTTTCAGTTAAATTATCATAAGAATAACTAGTTTACCAATAAGCTGTGTTTCTTTATATTTGATATTTGTAAACGAGAAGTAAAGTTGCTTGGAAGACAATATTTTTTACTTAATGATTTTTTCAACTGTGTGGTTGATTGTATTAGGAGTTCCATATAATTTTTTTATGAGTGCAAATAAACGAGTAAGAGGTCCCTATTAATTTTTGACAAGCATTGGAATTCTCATACAGATACCAGTTTGTGGTATAAACACACAATATATTTTAATATAGTTTTGATTTATCTTTACGGATTGAATTATAAGAATGACGCATGTCAAACAGCATATAGTGCTCAAGAAATATATTTGGTTATTGCTGTATTGCAATTGGTGATGCTGCTTCTATACTTTGCATACTACAAAGTACTCATTTAGTTTAATATAGAAATTTGAAAAAGAAAGACAGAATTAAGAAATTTCAAAAGAATTAGTGAATTTATCAACAACTACTGCATCTACTAAATTGTCGAGCACAAAGTACACATTAAAAAAATGAAAATGCAACATTTGATTTTCTTTACTATTGCAAGTCAAATTAAATGAATAAAGTAAATTCTCAAACCTTTCCATCACAATCTCATTATAATGTATTAGTGTATTGGTATTTTACTTATTGTCTTAAGATTTTCTGACGTATAAAACCTCCTTTAGTAATTTCTCCCCTATATCATTTGATTTCGGATAGTTATTAATTTAACTAAATACTTAAAATGGTGAATCATCATCGGTTTATAATCATGAAGCCAATTGATTACTATAATCCCTAATAGAGAGTCTACATTCATATGGATTATATATAATTCTCTTTTATTGTTTCTCATTCTTTTGCTTAATTATTTGTCATGTCATCTAATAGACTTTATTTTATCCAAAATAATAGCTTCAAATTATGGCAAATGCGTTAAAATTCTAGTTTAATATTCCAAAACAATAATTTATTCTGATATTGGCATATATTTTAGAAATTCAATATTATTTTAATTTAGCTAATTGATTAAGAATGTATGCTCCTGATTTAAGAAGAGGACCAACAACAACAACATTTTTAGGGACAGCTACGTATATCACAGAGCCTTAAGAATAAAACAAAGCCACAACCATATTAAAAATTGAGGAGGCATAACCACCAAATACTTTCGATGAACTCTACACGCCACTTCCAAATCAAGTGGAATTCAAGAAGATCAACACAAATGTTTTGAATAGTATGAAATTCCCTTCCAAATCAAATGATAAAGAAGATGGTTTATTAGAAGTAACCTAAAGATCATATTATAAAGGTAAAATCCATGTTTACTTAATGGCAGAAGTATTTAAATTTGGAAGAGCATAAAGCTGTGGTTTCAGATTCCTTTTGGTATGTCGTAACCAAATTTTTTAAGAGAGAAATCTAACCTGATGAAACTTCTGAAACTTATCCCAAGATTAACTTCAACAAATTGCCAAAGGAGGACTAAAAGTTGCTTACCAGAATATCTAGAAATTATATCAATCTATTTTTGACAATCGATCGCAAAGATGATAGACAATTATTTTTTAAGACTTACTTTGACATTTTAGCTTAAAGCGTATTCTATGCCTTATTCTACTCATTCCCTTTGAGTAGAAGCAAATTCAATGATGATTTGAAGAAGCAATTATTGGACGAGTTCTCGTATCTATTTACAGGAATAGAGATAGCGAATAGTTAAAAGTACCTGAAAGAATGGAACCTAGATTTAGGAGCAGGCAACATATTCAAAAAGTAAGCAGAGTAGAAATTTGCCAAGTAACAACAGTATGAGTAATCACTCCCTCCTATAGTTTTGAGTTAAACAACTGTCAAGGCAAGGAACAAGAGAGTCATGGTCCCAATTAAATGTAAATGTTACTTTAAATATTAATAGTTTCTCCAATTGTGCAGATCTATCTGGCTGAGAACAAATACTCAACAAGGAATTAAATATAGGAGTACAAAATGAAATTTACTGAATCTGAAAAAAATCAAGATGAACTTGAGTTAAAGTTCGCCAGGTATATTAAATTGGCTGATCAATTGAAATCTGAGGCCATAGCTATGAGAGATGACAACGAGAATAGAAAGAAGAAGATGAAATCAGAAATCAAGACAATAAAATAAGAGACTGTGAATCATCACAAGAGATTGGAGAAGAGAAAAGCTGAGGAATTAGAAAGGGGTGCTCATGAATATGCCAATTACTTAGTATCTATGTTAAATGCAGGGATCACAGTGGCCAATTTGGGTGTAAGTAAATAAAAATGATACTATAATCAAAAATATTTATATCCTTCAAATAAACATTAAACACTCTTTCTTCTTAATAAGGTTGAAGCTTCTTCCTGAGGTTCAGAGTCAGCAGATATCTGGCTTTGGTAATCAAAATTGCCATCTATGCTCTAAGTCATTATTATATGTGTACTCCTGGTATGTAAGGTGCTTTGATCTCTTTGTTTAACAATCTACCCCAATTGTAATTGCTAAGCCAAGGATGCTCAAACAACTCATGTATTCCCTAAGCACCTAATCTCTGTTAGGGTTTACGTATCAATAACTACGATTATGGGAATACTTACGCGATTAATAAAGTCTTAAACTTTGGCTGAGTATTTGTCATCTCTCATCTAAACTTGCTTAGCCAAAATCTACTCTCTAATTTCTTATCTGTTTCTCCCATTATATGGACGTTTTCCAAGGAGTAATTCGAATGCTATGACTCCTACTGCATAATAGTCTACTGGGAATGAATGATCCATTCTACACATGACTTCTGGAGCCATATAGCCAGGAGTTCCTGAGGTATCACTGGCTGAAGAGTCTTTATTTAATCTTGCCACTCCAAGATCAGTCAATCTTAAGTAGCCGTCCTTATCGAACACCAAATTCTCAGGCTTGATGTCCCTGTGGATGATACCATTTTAATGCAAGTATTGCAAGGATAACAAGATACAACACACAAAAAACTCTGATTTATAAATTTTAATATTTACTTGTTTATTCTTCTGTGAATCTCTTTTGTCTACCAATGTGATAACGAAGATCACCTCCTCTGAGAAGGTCAAGAACCAAGTAAAGATTTTCTCTATCTTGATATGCGTAATGCATGTTTACAAGGAAGGGATGTTTGAGATGCTCGAGAAGGTATTTCTCATTCATAACTGAATTAACTGATCGTTTAGATATGATCCTTTAGTTAATGTATTCTTGGCTTACTTTGCTTTAATCATTTCTTTTAATGCGTACTCCTATTTATTGGCCTTCATTTCCACTCTCCAAACTTTCCCAAAGCCTCCCTTCCCAATCACGTATAAGTATTTAAAGGAGTGTCTGCCAACAACTAAATAAGGGGTAGATTAAATTTGATACTGTTGTCTTTGGGAGGCGAGCACTCCACTGAAGTTTTCCTGGTTCTACCATAAATGTTTGTTGTAGTTGTTGTATTTGAGATATTGACTGAGACTCTCCCCATGTGATTGGATTATTGTCTGGAAATGGATCGATTGAATGGCTAGATTGGCTTTGGTTGTTCGACCGTGCGTTTGGACACAGGAGAGTTCTCATCGACAACAATCGAGTTTTTCATGCTTAGCATTGACGAAGAACGCTTACGAGCACAAATCAGACAGTTCCTTTGATTGCATTAACAATAGGATTCCACTTTCTTAGAGATCTTGAACCTAATTTTGTTGAGGTTGAATTGCGATGAGGTTTTGTTCGGAATTATGTCTTTTAGAGAAACATTCATTAATTATAAATTGTATTGGAAAATCATAAATAAAATTAAATTTATGTCATCTGCTCTGTTCGCCTTAGGTTGTGGCCTAATCGTAGTGGGAGGAGGCACCAAACTATTGATTCGGACCTACCGACAAATCAAAAGCAAGGAGTTTTTCAAAACTGTGGAAACCTCAAGAGCATTCTACAAGGGAACCTTCTCAACACAACTCACCAGAAGAGAAGCCCAATTGATTCTTGGAGTCAGAGAAGGCACCCCTCAAGATTAAATCAAGACTCGTCATCGCACATTGTTGATGCTCAATCATCCAGATCAAGGAGGTTCCACATATGTGGCCACCAAAATCAACGAAGCCAAAGAGTTGTTACTGAAATGATTATATCCACCATAAATTAATATCCCCATGTCGACAAATTAAATAATCATATATGAACTCAAATGCTGAGGAATTATACCTAAGTGTTTCCGAAGAGAAGGATCTCTACAATTACAGCGAGTGGGTTGCCATCCTCCTCTAGGATTATGAACCCTATCGATATCAAGACAAATACGATAAATTGGTCAATCAATATCAGAAGGATGTCCTCTTTCAATAGATGATTTGGATCGTACTCAAACTAGACAAAAACAAGAACACCTTCGATGATCTCATTGCTGCTGCCATACCTGGAGCCAAAACCAAAGGCTACGAAGCACCCATCGAGAGATTCCCAAAATAATAGCTCATAGTCTCCAAGAAGATTCTTAAACTCAAGAGAAAATTGTAGAACTACAATGTTCAATTTGATTTTGAAGATGAGTACCCCTTGCCTGCATTTAGTAAAGGTCTTGTATTTAAATTTGAGCCAAATACAATTTTAGAGCTCATTTTATAATGAATTAATTTATACGCTAAAATACTTATTAGTTAATCAGTTCATAACAACTATAAGATTATCATAAAGATCTATCCTAAATTTACATTTACTCATATATGTATATATATAAATTATGAATTCGTCACAAAGAAGAGATGGCGTTTTCCCATTCAACATGCTTAATCCTCACTTGAGTTACAAGGTTGATACAAAGTGGAAGAAGGATGTTCTGAAGGATGTCAATATCTATGTTTTCTGATAAAAAAGATTATGCTAATTTGGATCTCCCAGAATCATTACCTAAATTGGAAAAGGAAAGGGAATGGAGTGATTATTGCATTCGAGAATTGTTGGGCATATTCATTGATGGCAATAAAAATAATGAGTGAAATTCGAATTTAATTAGCTAATATTGTATCGTTTATATTAATTAATAATACACACATGAAATCACTTTAGGATATTTAATTTGTATTAAATAAACTACTTTAAGTTTGTGACTGTTAGCTTTAAGAATTTCCAATCATCTTTTGCTAACGTTTTCTTTTCCTATGGCAATTTTGATTATAAATATTAGTATCCCTACGATAACAAGTCAAGAATCTACATTTCCACTAAAAGAGCATTAAAATCTTCCTCAGTGTATACATCGAAAAGACAATCCAAAGCCTAAGCAGCCAACATAATATTCGATTGGTTCATCAATTTAAGTAATTTTTGTGTGACTATGCGGATTGTCTCCAAATCATTTTTTACTTTACTCGAATACCTAATTTTCATGACTTCTACTATATGAAATAGTATTTCTGTAGTTTCTGTTAACTCAGACAATTAAACAATAAATAATGGTTGAATTTACATCACTAGTTGTGGATTCGCTTTTAAAAGTTTAATCAAGAGTAGAAATTCTGATTAAGCAAGTTCTTTTTTATCTTCATCTGATATGATATCGACTTGGAGGGCTGCTTAAATTTATGGCAAAATGGGTTCTAAAGTTTATAAGCATACTAAAGGTTAGAGATTAGCTAATAAATTATTTCCTAAACTTAAATATATTATTTGTATATATTACTTAAAAATCAATAGAGTTAGACTCAACAATTCATCAGTAAATGTAGTTTGATGTGTAAATAGCTTGTTTTGAATGACCTCAGAATAGTTGAAGAAATTTTTTAAAACTCTGTCTTCTAAATCAAAAATGATTTCCTTTCTGAAGAACTAATAGAATTTCTAATTGTTTGCATATTGATCATCATTATCTTCTTAGTAAATTCGATTTAAATACACAAATGCTTAAATTATTGATTGAGCTGAGCATTTCCAATTTTGAAGTGTGCTAAGTAATCGTTCATCTTATTAAAATTCAGACTCTTCTTCCATTGTCACTTATTCCTATAGAAATGATTCAATATTGTCCAACTCTGAGAAGATATTTATTCTGATGATTTCATTAATTAAATAAAACATTTCATTGTCCAATCTGTCAATGTTTAGGTATGTTTAAAGTGTCAATGCTTTTAATTTCATTTGATTGGTAAAATGTAATTTTCTAATAATATTATGCTCGAAAATTGGATCAAGATCTATCTTCTTTAAATTAAATTGAGGTATCTCAGTTAAAACTTAGAATAAATTTAATGCTTCTGATATGATATCTTCATTATAAATTTGTAATAAACAATTCTCTAAAATTGGTAATATTCTTTAATAAAGTGGCAGCAGTAATTATATATCCCAAGTTTCAAAGATTTCAATTGCTAAGTTCAAGAAACTCGATAGAGTATTTTCCTAAACTGGTAATAATAATAGGATGCCCAATAAGCCTAGGTCTTTGAATTGATCTCTAACATCAGAACCAAAATTATCGCTAATACGTAATACATTTTGGATTGCATTGAGAGCGTTTATAACAACTTAGGTATTGTTGTGTCGTAAATATTCCAACAATCTTGCCAATAACTCCTTGGTTACTATTTATTTGACTAAAAAATAGTTAAACTAGAGAAACATTGATCTTCAGCCACAATTTAATTGAGGTTTGCAATGCAAGCTGTGAATTGTTATGGATCATCGGAGTCCTCAAATGTGGTCACATTTGGGGTTTTCTTGATCTTTCTAATGCGTTTGGACAGGGAGTTCATTAAATATAATAATGGATTAAGATTATTTGGATAAATTCATATATATTTCTATAATCATAGTATGGATTTTCTGTTGAAAGAATTAAGCAATTCATCCAATTTACTTTGATGTTGATTTAATTGTAATGGACGAGTCGGAGTCAAGAATGATTTGATATTATTTTGTTAATTGGCTGGTTTTGGATATTTGCTTTCTAAATCTAGTTTTTTACTTTGCCAATCAATTGAATTCAATTCCAAAGCCAATGCAGCCAGCCCCTCCTTCTTATTCCCACTGACTATACAATATAGAATAATTTATTACTGGTATCAGCCAACAAATTCTTTTTTTTAATGAGATCTGGTGAAGTTCTAATTGCTGAACTAGGCCTATGTTAAGTCAAAGAAAAGGGTTTCTTTTCATTGCATTCTGGACTCCTAAGCAGATCCTCTTAGCCGGCAGACTTCCGTTTATATTTGTCAAAGCAAATGTCATCCAATGGTCTTGTTTTTTGACTAGATTATTGTTACTCATCATATTTACTGTAAAATAGACTCTCCTTGGTTGGAGTTTGAAATTATCTAAGAGTTAGAAAATGATTATATACTTGTTCCAGGAATCTCTGAGGGGAGAGGAGATGTCAGATCGGCCATTTTATTATGATAATACCTTTTCATATTGGGATAATTGTCTCAGGAATCCATTGTTGGGATAGACTTACCATCTCTTTCTTTCAAGTAATCTTATAGCATCTTAAGCACTCATATTGTTTTTCTTCATTAGATAAGCTGCAACAAGAGTGGCTGATCTAGAGATTCCAGCCATGCAATGAACCAAGACATTCCCAGATTGTCTGGCTTTGTCAATGAATTGATTGGAGTTCTCAAAATGCCTGGCTATGTTTTCAGACTCACAATCTTCCAAATAAATGTGTAAGTAATGTTGTAATGATGTCTGCACTTCAAAGGGAATTTTGTTCATGCAGATGGATAGAACTCCCTTGATTTTATGTCTCTTCAAGTTATCCAAACTGGCTATTAGGAGTTAATTAGAAATTAAAATACAAGCTGACTCGATGTTACCCAAATAGAGGGATCCCATGCTGCCATTTTCGATTATGCAACTCATGTCGTCTAAAGGTTATTCAAATTGGTTGGAGGAACTCAGGTATGAGTTCTGTTTGATTGGCGAATAGCTGAACATTAATTAACAATAAAAATTATTGCATTTAATGAAAAAATTGAAATAATTGCCCCAATAATAATAACCAATGAGACGATCATCATCACTTCTAACTGTCCAGCCTCAAATAGAATTAATACACTTTGAGAAGAATGCCTCTCTCTCTCAAAGCACTTTCTTTAAAACATTCACTGAGATGCCCCAGATGTATTTATTCGAGTGATGTAGGGCTGCATTCACTAATTAAGTTTTACGAATACCCTCCCCAAAGGAACGACTCCAAGCACAATTGTAACACAACAAGAAACAGAGAGACACCATTATAAACCAAAGCAGGGAAAGATAAGAAAATGCCATGACTGAGGCTTTATCTCTAACTCAAAAGACGAAATTTAGAAATTATTAAAAACTGAAGCGCAGAGAGCAATCCCCAAAAAAGGCCATGGAATTAAAACCACAACACAAAGGTACTTAGCATTGCAATTTAATTAGTGTTCTAGCTTCCAAAATTAGATGCTCCCATAGAAGAAATCATAAACAGTCCAAACCAGCTTACTTTCTATTTTGAATCCCAACGTCTGACTAGGGATATCAGGACATTCAAACCATCATTCACAGAACAGGCTGCATTTAGTCTATTCAATGATCAATTGTATTTATACGGAGGAATCGGAGGAGATGGAATTAGAAATCAGATGCTCAAATATGACATAAGTATTATATGTATTTGATTATCTCTAGAGTTTCAGGTCTGGCAAGTAGTGTAAGGGATTGGAGATCATCCAAAATAAGGAAGAGCAGGCTTGACAGTGGTGCAATACAAGAACAAATTTATCTATTTTGGTGGATGCGGACAATTTAATCCTAAATTAAAAATCAGAGAATGCACCAATTCTATCTATGAATACACTGTAAGCACCATGAATTGGGAAAAGGTTCATCCTCAAGGAGACTATATTGAACCTAGAAGACAACACAAAGCTTGTTTAGTAGGTCCAAAGTGGATGCTTGTTTATGGAGGGATTAATTCCAATGAAGAAGTTCTATCAGACACGGCTATTTTCAATATAGAGAAGTAGGTGTGGAAATTATTTAAGGTCAAATCTCCTCCAGTTAGCTGTCATGCCATTGTCAATATCTCATCTCAAGGCAAATTCCAAGAATCTATACCTACTGACATCATGCCATTAGACAACATCTATTCCTTTGGAGGCAAAGATGCTGATGGAAATTCAGTTAATGTTATGCGTAAACTGAGTTATTGTTCCTCCAACAATACACCTCTTTCATGGGATGTTGTGGAAACTGTTGGCAAAGGACCTTACCCTATGCATAATCACACGATAGAGTATCTGAGAAAGGTCTAAGGCATAGCTGTCATCGGAGGACTTAGAGATTTCATTGTGAATGGCACTTTGGAATCGGATGAATACTTCATCTTTTATCCTACTCTGAATCTCTGGTAATAGGTGATTGCTGAAGGACTCAAAATTCCTCGTTGTGCTCATTCAACTGTCTTACTTAGTTCTAAAATTGCAGTCTTTGGAGGAATTGGTAGTGAAAGATACTTAGAACCTGATGTTGGATTTATTGAGACTGATTAATAATAGGTGTTGTCTCGCATCACCAAAGATAGGATTATGCACAACGTTACTCCTACTCTTGAGGAACCATCAAAATTGGAATTTTAATTAAGAAAAAAAAGATCCATGTTTTATGAAGAATCTGATGTCTCTGATGGATACAAACCATTTAAAATTACTCTACGCAAAACTACTTAAGTAAGGAGATCCTATCTTCCAAATCCCTAAAGAAAACAAGTATTGATACGGTATGATATCATGATTGGATTTGTAAAAAAAGTCATTCATGACAATCTACACATACTCTAAAATTTTGACAAATATTTAGAAAGAAAAATAATCTGATTATTTATTATCATATTAATAACTGTTTTCTTTAATCCAACGGCGATGATAATGAACTGTAAGATTTACTTGCTAATTTGAAGTTGCTTTGACCAATTCTTATATTCAATCGACTGAAACTCCTAGGAGTTATTTTTGTTTGTTTAGAGTCTCCATTTTCTGAGTAAGAGCAGGCTATTTCGAGAAGGTTCTGTTTCAGTCGGTTCTGATCTTTGATGAGTTCTTGAATTTGAGGATCCCATTAAACAATCATGTCTAATCGATTAAGTTTTACTATCTACCCTTAATTCTGCCCCTCTAGTAGTGAGTTATCTCATTTGATTTGTGCATACAATATACTGCATAGAACAGTTTTCCCTAAATTGTGTCGAACTTGTCCATTTAATTTTAATGACTAATATTTGGAATAAAAATGAAATAATCACTCCAATATCAGAGTACAACTTGCTATATGTATCAATCCCATCTCATTTTAGTAATACAACAAGCATGTTCATCAAGTCCAAAATATCAAAGAATAACCAATGAATGTCGAAAAACCCTTCCATAAGAAAAAACTCAAACCCTCAACATCCAAGAAATTACTTGATATCAAACACCCAGAAAACACTGAAAATAAAATATTAGTGCAAAAAATCTTAACAATCAACAACCAACCTTCATCTTACGCGTTAAATGAGGACCTACCCATTAAACCATCTAATTTAGGTTAGAAAATATTAGAAATGAGAAAATTGATTGAAGATAACGAAGTACTCAATAAACTAATTTTAGGGAATCGAAAAGAGAATCAAATAGACGAGTAGTGTTATCAACTTTGATAAAATAAAACAAGAATACAAGAAAAATAAATTGTATTTAAAGAATCTCACTGCGCATTCTCGACGCATATATAATTGCTTTGTACCTAAGACTCAAGTTCCAGTGGAGGCTAAAAAAAAGAAGAAAGTTACTGAAAAAAAATAGCAGTTATAGGATCTCAAACGATTGTAGTAATAATAGCCTGAGGAGGAAAAAGATAAAAAACTTGTTTAATAAGTAGAGGAAACTAATGTCGCCGATGTGTAATAGATGAAAAGCAAATCAAACTTAGATCAAGATAAATTAATATATTAACTTAATGAATTGAAATTAAAAGAAGACTGTTCAGAACAATCAGAGGATGATTGATCAATTATTTAATAAACTAGAAGTTAAGAATTCATTAAATTATTCTGCATAATTGGTTTATTGAAATTAATCCTCTTCTATTACGCTTTCTATAGTATTTGTACTGCATCCTTTCACTGAGTCATTTGCATCTATACTACAAGATTGAGAACAATAGTAATTATCATATACGACGCAGCCATCATTCTTGTAAAATTTCTTGTTGCATTTTGAACATTTGATCATATATTCTTAATTAAATTATATCAGACATTGTTAACTACAAAAGTTCCTTCCATTACAATTAATCTCGGTCTCATCAAAAATCTTATAACACAACCAACATGCTAATTTTGCTTAATTACATTATACTCCACTTACTGACACACTTACTCTACTTTGACAGAAGCTGTCCTCTTGCATTTATTATATATTTTCAGGTATTTCTTTTAAAGCTCTCATAATTTTTATTTAGTGGCCTGGTAGTATGCCCATATCTCTTAACTATTACACAGTGACATTCTCTCTAAATAAGAATTAAGAAATACTTAAACTTGGAATTGTGTAATTTTAAAATTTTTCTTTATATTGCAACAATCCTACTTAGGTAAAAAATATTTCAATATCCTTGTCTATAGCTGGTGTTTTAATAGATTTTTCTAGAGGTTGCAATTTAGCTGATGTTGGTCTAACAACTGCGGGAATTGATTTCTTTTCAAAACTATTTTTTTTTTGTAGCAGATTTTGAGTGTAATTTCTTAGCCCTTTATCTACTTTAGCAGCTTTCCATCTGGTACCATTCTGTCCCGTAGGTTTTTCTGATTCTCTTTTAAATTTTTCTTATTGCATAATTTATTTAAGTTGCTATAATTGTTCTTCCTATTGATATTGTTAGATGGATCATTACCATGTGCTTGGTTTCTTTCTCCAAGAGTTGCGTAGTTTGAGTCAGCTGACTTGGTTTTTTTTTATTTGAGATACTTCTTAACTACATTAATTATAATTATTTGTTTAGGATATTTAAGCAATAAAATTTATGGCATGGATATATAAATAAAAATAAGAAAAAAATCTTTTTATCAAAAATGTCACAAAGACCACCCGTCCCAACAAGTAAAATCACTAAATCTCTACGTTTTTAGATCAACCTCCTCAACAACCCCAAGCACCATAATATCATCCATAAGCACCTCAATATGCTCCTCAATACGCTCCTTAATACACTCCTTAATATTCACCTGCACCATTAGCCACATATCCCGCATAATATGCTCCAGCAACATACGCTCCTGCTTATGCTCCAGTTGCTCCATTAACATACAGCGTCGCCAGACCAGTTGCCCCAGTTGTCGCTCAACCCGTAGTTGCTTAACCAGTTGTGTAAGCCCCAGTTTTGCAATAATCAGTCATTGCTCAACCAGTCGTTCAACAACCAGTCCATGTAACAAAAAAAAATTCAAATTTAAATTAGGCAACCATCAAGGGAGAATCAAGAATCGAATACGTTCCCTACCAAAAGGCTGTGATGGAATATGAAGAACAAGAAGTCGTTCAATATGTCCCAAGAGAAAGAAAAGTCACAGATTATTATGCAGTTGAATACTAAACGGAATACGTCCCATAAGTGTTCCAAGAGAAATACACAGGTACTCCAATTGCCTACTAAAATTATTAGAGTACGTCCCAGTCGACAGATATCAAGAGAGAGTTGAATACTATCCAGTTGAGAGATAAGTTGTTCATGTACTTTTCACTTCAACTAACTTTTTAGTAATAAGTCGTCCAACAACCAGTCGTCCAATAAGTGGTCTAACAACCAGTCGTCCAATAAGTGGTCTAATAACCACTCGTTTAAACAGTTGCACCATAACCAGTTGTTCAATAATATGTACAATAACCAGTCAGCATTGTTTAACCTGTATAAACTTATCCAGTCTAATATGCTGCCCCAATCGTTTCATCAAGAGTGATTCCATCATACCCTCAATATCCTTAATATCACCCAGCACCATAATAAGTTTAATAACCTCCCAGATCAAATTTGAACAATAACATTTGATAAATTATAAGTACATCATAAAAAAATAATTTTGTTAATTGGTTTTTTTTACATAAATTTATGTTATGTTATGTTATATAATAATCAAATTCTCTTTAATTGATCAGGGTTAGGAACCAATTCATTTTATAGGAAGGTATAACTGATACAATTGTTTCTGATCCACTCCTTCAATCTTTCTCTTTCTACAATATTGGATTCCAGAGCTCTAATGTGATCATTATATCGATCGTTGGTCAAAATCAATCCTCCCTTTTCTCTAGCATATTGAATCATATAAGAGTCATCATAATTCCAATTTGGAACTCCATAAGCATACCCTTTATTCTTCATCTCCAATAATAACTTGACATCATCAGGCAATTTGTTAACATTGTTTTACTACAGAATATCTACTCAATATTTACATTTGTTAGCTTCTTTTTGCTTATCTCGCTCTCGTTAAAACAAAAATCAGGTAATATGATCATAACATCATGTCCTCTCTTAACCCAAAATTCTAAGGCACATTTCAATCCTTAAGAACAAAACTTTGCCGCCTAAGATTATTCCTATCCATATCTCATTGCCACATTCATCCCATCAATTATTATTAGTTTCTTAATCAATTCTTTTGGAATCTCCTACTCCCATTTTGGTTCCTTCACACTCTATATTTAAATGCCATGCAATTGTTATATTATTTGTTCACAAACATAAAATAATATTATTGATGTCTAACTGTCTTCATCTTTATAGGTCGAAGATTGTTATTTGAATGTATGTAGTACATGATTATAACAAGTGAATCCTACTAAAGGCATTTCAAAAGGAAACAAAAAGGCGTGAAATTCCTCATTCAACTTTTATTGATATTAAAATAAATCGTTGCTCATATTCTCTGCCTAATATAAGTTCTATCTCGAATATAAAAAGATCTATGCCAATTTATCGTTTAAATTAGGATATTCAGACAGCAAATATGTGCAAACCAGTGGTTAATCATATAAATAGTATATGATTGGAATTACCAATTACAAAAATGTCACTGGAGGCACCTAATCCAAATTCTTCATCGAATTCTAAAGCAAATATTTTAATATAAAATCAAGCGAATTGACATATAACCCATAGACATACTTAATTGATTCTCTCACCAAATCATTATCCTTGATATCTTGAACAGTTTTCAATTAGAGAGTCGTTATGCTGTTGTGTAAACCAAAATTGGTTATCATAATGACCTTTAATAGCAATTGATATTATTGCTTGTGATCATTATGTACATTTGTTTTTACTATCTTAAAATACTCCTACAAATGCTAAAACATATTAGTCAATTTAGGCAATTCTTCAAAACCAATTTTAGTGAACTAAATTAATTTTAAATGCATACAACAATCGTACTGAACCTTATTAAATAAACCATAAAGGCTCTTAAATAAGTATCTCGATCCAATTCACTGGATGGTTTTATAAATTTAGCCCAATCATTATAGTGAGTTCTATTTATTTCAAACACTTCATTCATATTTTCTTTGCAATTATAAGATATCTGAGCAAAATGAGCTTTTTGCAAACAACATGCTGCATTGAATGTGTCTTTAAACTACATCATTAATGTAGCTATCAAGAAGTAGTATTTTCCTTAAAAAGGATAGATTTAACTAGCCTTATTAAAGAAAAGATCAGCAAACTTATAATTATCCTTTGGCTATTTGTTCATCTTCTCTAATCTCCTGCCTAGATGTTCGTGTAATTCGCCAGCATAACAGTACAAATTAGCTAAAAATTATCTGAATTCGTTATCATTCTTCAATCCTCCTAATTAATTCTATTGAGTCAGGTTTTTGATAATAGTTTTGAGAAAGTTGATGCGAAGATCATAAAATTACTTGATTTCTTCATCTACATCCGGAGATATGCTTTTTAATTCAATATCAATTTATTGCTTAAGAATGTGCCACATCCTCTTATCAATTTACTTAAGTTATTGTTCTAAGAATTACTTTAGCAATTGCGAAATTGATGCCAGATGAGATTAACTCAGTAGTTACCTAGAAAAATTGCTTTGTGTCATCGCAATTCAATTCGTGAAGTGTAAAGACAACAGGTGGCTATTCCTTATTTCTTGTATGTAGATTAATAATACTTCAATTTATCTAATAAGGCTTTGAATTTGTTATATAAGCTACTCTGTGTTTCAACATTCATAAATTAAATATTATTATACACAATTATGATGAATTAATCTTAATTTTAGAATGAAATTATCTAGTTCATAAAGAATCCCAATAAAATTAACCTAAACTTAGTATGAATTAGTTAATTTGATACCCTCTTGCTAGTTAGATCTTGGTTATTTGTATCAAAACAGTCTACTAATTAAAAGATTCAATCTGGATTGGTCTTAAAATATAAACAATTATTATTATGCTTTATCAATTCTTGGTAAATTAATATTAAATAAAAAAAGTGAAATGATCTTTACGAAGAACTAATTTTACATAATTCTAAATTGCTATATTATAATCTTTTAAAGAAGTCCCAAGTTTCAATATTAAAAAAAATTAATTGATTAGTTAATCAACATCAAAATTACTCAACTCTTTATTGTTATTTTAATTTACTATAACAATAACAATCAAAAAATCTGAAATTTAACTAAAGAATCATTAAATAAAATCATAAAATGTGAATAACTAACACATTTTTATGTATGAAATTGAAAGAATAATCTGAATTAACTGAATGGATGTATCAAGTCAGTCCCATTCAATAATATTCTCTAATAATTTTAAATTCAATTATGCAATGAGCAATATAGTTTGATTTATTAATTTAACTGTTAAAATCATGATTGAATAATATAAGGTTCATGAATAAATTGGATAAGGTGAGTTTGGAAAAGTCTACAGAGCAACCAATCTCCTTACTCAAACTGTAGTTGCCATTAAAAGTGTTGATGTGGCTAAATTTAATGAAACACCCAAATTACTTGAATTAAGTATGCAGGAGATTGAAGTGCTTTAAAAACTTTAACATTGTCCATATGTGGTCAAGTTTATCGAATTAATTAAGACCGTTCATCAATATCATTTTGTTTATGAATATTGTTCTGGAGGTCCACTAGACAAATTACTGCTATTGTAAGGACATTTTACAGAAAGGAAATCCCTTGAGATCATTTATCAATTAGTTTAAGCATTCAAGGTCTTACGAGAAAACTCAATCATTCATCGGGATTTAAAACCCTCAAACATTTTAATACATAATGGAATTTATAAATTAGCAGATTTTGGTTTTTGTAAACCCATCAAAAATGATGTTACCGCCACCATGCTGGGTTCACCAATTTACATGGCTCCAGAGGTGTTAAGAGGATTATCCTATAATAGCAAAGCTGACATCTGGAGTCTAGGAGCAGTATTATACGAACTGTTGATTGGTAAATGTCCATTTGAAGAGAAATCTATTGCTAAATTAATCACTGCACAAGATGAAACCGATTGGGTTATACCTCCATAATTTCATTTTACCAAATAAACAATCACCTTGCTAAAATCAATGCTTATCAAGGATCCCAATAAACGATGTACTTGGGAATATTTATTTAAAATTCCATTAAAATGCGATGGTGAGTTTAGTGGAGATTTGGAACTTTATTCAGATAAACCTGAATAGAATGTCCTATAACCATCGAATACTAATACTAACAATGTAAGCATATTATAAGAGATTGTAAATGAAAGATGCAAAGTTTAATTCATGTGCTCAACTGCTCATACTATTTTGGAATAGTCATAGAATAAAGAATCCCCATTAATTGCATACTATCTGTTATTGCTGGCTAATAATAGAGGCCAATAATTGTTAAGTGTCATTAAAAACTAATGCACTACTGCAACTGAGTATTTTAGTTTAAACAAATTATCAATTCACTTAAAATAGTCCTAGGATAATAGATTATAATCCAACTTTGAATTCACACGATTGGTTGAAACTATTGCTAAAGAAGTTGATCAATTGAATATCGGATTGAAAGAATACAAAGTGATATTAGATACCTAATCGTTAGAAATTAAAGATAACTATAGACAGAATATCAAGAACTATGTAAACCAAATTAAATAATCTAATTACGTTGCCTTCTTAGATACCAACTAGGAAAAAACCCTATTAACCCACTGTGTCTAAGTCTTAGATGCCTTGTAAGTTGATAAATTTATGAATTCCAATATTGGTATCCTTATTTTTAATATCATTTAGATCCAACTATGGACGCCTATTTAGAAGTCAGATCAATGACAAAAAAGTAGTTATTAGATAGATTTGATACTTTATTATGAATTATTTAGTAATTTTATTAATATCAACATGATATTCTTTAATGTTAACTACTAGGTTCTTGTTCTTAAAATTGATGAATTGAAAGTTGATTTAAATGATTCTAATTAGATATCAATAGACTTCAAATTTGATTATGGAAATTAGATCTTTATTGAAAACACTAGATCTCTATCTCTTATTATTAATATAAATTACAATTTAAATATGAGAAATAATCTAAGACTTTTTGATCTAGTCTCCTAAAAATATCAGCCCTATGTGAAGCCAAATATAAAAATCAGTATAATAAATCATTTTCTATTCACCTGCTTCAATCAAAAAGGCAGTTTTCTTGGGATGAAGAAAAAATTACTTGGAGAGATGATGTTTCAAACAACACCTAATTATATTGAAATAGATTAAAAAGATAAGGAAATGAGTTAGAGAGGGTTTTTAGACCATATTGATAAAATAATAATAATAACATGCAATTAATAATCATTTTTATTTCTTATTTGATATCTTGAGTGTCGCAACTGTTTTTGTGGCCTTACAATTTTTACATTCTTTACTGTAGAGTCTTGACTCGACATCCCTGATTAATGTAGTATCTGAACTTTTGCACAATGAACACAAGACATACTCATCTATTATTTAAAATAAATAATTACACAAATATTTTTTAATTAGTGTTTCGATTTAAGTACTTGTATACCTTCCTTTGATAATCAATTTCTCGTCTGCTTATGATCTAATATTAGTGTTCATATAATACCCTTCAGTACCCAATTCAATTAAAAAATACTAACTAACGTGTTAAGCTTCCCTATTCATTTACATACAAATGGCCTCGAAGTTCTTCCACAAAGTCTTCTTTGTTCCCAATTTATCAATCTAGGGTTTCTCAAGCTAAATGTTAGTTTGAGTGGCTAAGGATGGGTTGTTTTCCTTTAATAATTGAATGATTCTTTCTAATGCCTTATTGTAGTATTCTTTATTCTATTATTATTTATTGACTCCTGTTGGTTAAGTAACAACCTTCTTGACTATTAGAATAGGCAAACAAATTTACCAACTTTCACCTTCTTGACATTACTTGGTTTATTAAAATCTATGATATCCATTTAAATATTAAATTTATATTTATTCTAATAATTAATTGCCTAAGCCTCAAATAAATATCAATTTTTCTTTATTATACATGATTATGCTACTTGTGATCAGAAAAATATGATATACATTGTATTCTGAATTTTGAATCTAAATAAGAACATATATAGAATAGTGAATATAATAATAGAGATGATTGAGTCTGGAAATATTCAAAAAAAGAAACTAAAGCATTTTTTGAACAAATGTTATGAATTCTAAATCAATACAATCGCAAATAATTAACAAACTTTGTTAATCGAGATTAAAAACAGATTATTAAATAAAAAAATACGAATCACTACTTTATTTTTCTCAATTTTTGTAATGTATATCTTGAGGTTGACCACAAATAAAATAACCTTAAGTGTGATAAAGGGAGAAATGTTTCATAATTGTATTAAAATAACAATATATGTTTAATAATACGTGTTTTTTAAAATAAGACAAGATATATTCAATAAGATTGATAAATTAAACTTCAATTTGTAGTAATCCATAGAAGATGAATATAAATTTACATCATCATTTGATGATTATTCATTCGATAGAGAATTTATTTAGTATTCGTTTATTGATTACATTCAGCCTCCTTTATTTTTGATCTAATTTTTGCTTGGTTGTGTTATGGATCCTGTTCATCTAATATGGATCTTCATGTAATCTTGTGCTTAAAGTAGGTAGCGATATGTCGTTAGAAATATGCATAGAAACTTTGAGAGGAGATATCTTTGGTGATGGGGTTTAATTGTTTTTTCTCTTCTTTTTTTTCGGAAGAACTGGTATTTTGTCATAGTTATGAACTGGAAGCAGTCTAGCAGGGTCCTTAATGTGACCGAGTCTAATCATCATGAACATCTTTTTCCTTTCTAATTCTTCCATGTAACCAAAATCTAGATCATTTATCTGTTAAACTACTGGCGATCTTTGTTATCTCTCTATTTTGATTAGTGGTTTTGATCGAACTGCTTCCAATATGGATGGCGATGAAGGAGGAGAGAAGTGATTTTTTTTGAGTTTTTAAGGAATGTCCTTCTTGATCAAGGTATGTAATCTGATGATTTCATGATTGGTTCTATGTTTGACTTTCTCCATTGATACGTCCATTAATTTAATGAAATAATAATATAGTGTCATATTACCAATTAATGCTGAAGTAAACTTTTTGGGCATCCTATTTAGAGTTTCTAAAAGGGAAGCAAATTTGTAGACTATTTGATTGACTTCGATCTGAGTAAGCAAAATTAGCAAAAGGTTGAATTGGTCTCGTAAGTATGAACTCGGTATAATTAGTCACCCGTTGTCAAAATGTACATCCTCTCCAATTATTTGCCAGAGTTTATGGTGCAATTGACAAATTAGAAGTAGATTCAAATACAGGAGCGCAAGACCTCATTTGAAAATTGTGAATAGAGAATATTTAATGTTGTTCAATTTTCAGGAATTGAGGTTGCCATAATTGCTAAAGTAAGTCCGAGTCCAAATAGAGCTGCTTAAGTGATTGATGTGGTTGCAGAAGAATTGGATTACTTTAAGGGATATGAAAAAGATGTCGAGAGAAAATTGCGAGACAACTTTGGCATTTTGGAGAAGAGCAATTGGTAACGATTCTGTCCCAATATTGTTGCGATTAATTTGAATGTTGAAATCAATATCTATCAATATGGTGACGAGTCAAATGTAATTGCATAATTCTTAACAGAAATAACAAGAAAATACATATTGTATTTCTACAAGTCTATGCTACTCACCTACAATGTTTGGTAAAGCATGAACGACTCTGAATTGTTTAAAATGAATAAATCAGTTCTATTGCAATAATAAGAAGTCAAATTGAATCTGTATCAATAAATAACTTCTCTCAAAGATTTGTAAAAGACCTCATTTAAAGAGTAATTTATTATCATCAACACCTAGATTAAAGAAGAAATACTTTAAACACTATTCTAATCTATCTTAATCCACTTTTTCCACTCCTGCCAAACAATCTTAAATCAGTCTCACAAGTTCCTAAACTCCCACCAGACCTCCTCAATTGTAGAGAAAAAAAGCAGGAATGATCTTGAAAAGAGGAGATGGACCCTTAGACTACAATTGGAATCAAAGGTATCTGGTCTTGGATGGATAAACACTGATATATTTCAAAGATAGAAATGACAAGGTACCAAGAGGTGCCATAAATCTAAGGGAAGCCTATATATCCCCTATGTCAACTTTGGATGACAGAGAACATTGCTTTTATATTGAAGTGGAAGCTTAGAATAATAAGCAATTCTACTTCAGTGGTGAAACTTTGGATGAAACTGAATAATGGCGCGATTAGATCTCCAATGCCACAACGGCAGTCGTGTAAACAGAAAAAAGACCTTCTTTTGTTGTTACAAATACTTATTTATTGACTGACACTCTCCCTTCAGAATTATCCAAATATAAAATATTGACTATGCTTGATGATCTATAATAACAATGGTAATTTCGCAAGTTTAGAAATGGAGTCAAAATATACGAACATCCAATCTCGAATAAAAATACTAAGAATTGGAAACTTTATACTATTCTATCACTTGCTTTCTGCATTGGTGTCTATTTAAAACCTAATTGGATACCATTTTTTATGGCTTTTTTGGTTGCTTTCTTATCTGCCTTTTACTTTAAAAGTTAAAAAGCTTAGAGCATACGTGTTTATGGCAGGATGGTTTGTGATGTGGATTCAGCAAAGGCATTTAGAATTATTAAGAATTTTAAGTTTAAAAAGGTTCTGGATAACAATTTTGTTTAAATTAATAAAATACATGATAATAACGAAGCAGAATTTACTGTAAGTTTCTTAATTTAAATTAGAAAAGAGCTAAGGTGCATTTTATAATACATCCCATACGATAAAAATAAGTAGTGTCAAAACCAGTCATAATCCAAATGAACTTACTGAGATATCGATTCATAATAAACAATGGCAGTTCATTCATTGTTGACATCCTGACCAGTGAAAACAATAAGTTCAATATGTTTGAAGCATACGAAATTCAAAGAATTCCCAAGGTCTCAGGCAAAGGACTAGTCAATTATTACTGCGAGATCACTTGTTCCAGGATAACAACTGAATTGGTAAATAGTATCATTAATTAAGTTAGGAAAAATACTTATACAATAAAACAGAGAATTTAAGTTTGATTTCATAAACTATAGATGAGTAGAGATTTCATCAATTTCAACAGTCAATCGTAAGCGAGTTGTCCTCGGCTTACATTAGACAGAAATCAAAGTCTATTGTAGGCTTTGACGAATAAATAAGTTCTATCACATAGTTGAAGAATGGTTAGCAAATAACAAGTAGGAGATTGGAAGAAAGAGTCCCAGGATATAGAAGATTTAAGGAGGGAGGGATTGAATGTTTCAACAAGGAAGAAATTAAGGCATAAGATGGATTGGTATTAGATTTAATGAGATCGGCAGGTAGATAACTATTTGAAGGTCGAAATATCATCTCATTCTCACTTCCTGTTCGTATTTTTGAACCTAGATCTATGATTGAAAGGATATGCGAATACTGGGGGTTTATGCCTATCTACATGGAGTATGCTTTAGGATAGCAGGACGAGAAAGAGAGGTTTAAGCTTGTTGTCACAATGATTATAGCTGGACTATACAATGGTGGCAGACAAAAGAAACCATTTAACCCTATTTTAGGTGAAACTTTCTAAGGTTAATGGTAAGATGGATCATCAATATCAATTGAACATACTAGTCATCATCCTCCCATTTCACATTTTTACATAGAACATTTTAGGAAGAAATATAGATTTTATGGTCACTTTGAATATTAGGCTGCGTTAAGATATAATGCAGTCATTGGACATTAGGTTGGGGAGAATGTTGTTGAATTTAGTGATGGTCAAAGAATTACATTTAGTATGCCACCAGTTAAAGTCAGTGGTTTAATTTATGGTGCTAGATTGTTGGAATGGTATGGAAGTATCAAGTTCGTTGATTAGAAGAATAACATAGTTTGTGATATTAAATTTTCTGAGGGAGCAGGTATGTTTATTGGAAGAAGTTCAAAACCAACTGATTACTTTGAGTATTCTATTTATATATACATTTTAGGGGAACTTTGTTTTAGCATAATAGAGTAATATCTAAAGTCGAAGGCTCTTGGCTGGAATCAATTAGTTGGGATGGAATCAAATATTGGGATTTGGAAAAGATAGATCCAGCCTATGTCAGTAAAATTGAATCTCCCTTGCCTAGTGATTGCAGATTCAGAACAGATCTTATTGAACTATAAAATAATAATTTAGATGCAGCATAAGAGTATAAGCATTAAAACTAAACTCTAGGGAAAAGACTAGACTTGAAATCATTTAGAGAAGAGACAGAAAACTAAGGCAAGATCATAAAAGCAGCAAATCAAAATGAAGATTATAGAATTATTAAATTATTTCATATATCCTCATTTCATTTCAAACTTAAATTTTAAATTTTTGAATATTTAATATCTATATTGTATATAAATATAACCAGATCAAAATTATGGAATATAATATTCAATTTATTAAACGATAAAATCTGGTTATTTCCACACAAAATCGTGGTTACAAATACCTGGACATTCCACATAGGTGCTTACTTGATTACCTAGGAGTGACTAATTAACAGCCAATTCAAGTGAAGCATTCTGAGAACAATAATAGTTTTGACAATCAGTTCCTGTTAGATTCCTATCTGCACAAGTTATATATTAATTTGAAGCAGTAATAACAATAATTGGCTTATTAATTATTGACGATGGATTTATGATTGATGACTCCATGCATTATTCTTAACACTCCTCAAGTTCAGATGCGTAACCAAGAGATTATGAATACCAATTTCTCGTGGTAGTGATTTACCAATTTACCCAGCCTTAAAGATTTGACGGTTGAAATCCTCCGCTAGACAAGAAAAATGGTGTCTCTATATATAATGGCCACAAAGAAGCCATAGCCTTAATCAGAGGCAAGGTTTATTATTATTAAGCATAAACTTAACTTACAGTTTAATTCTAACATTATCCTACCAAGTAAAACCAATTCATTACTGGCACTGAATCCAATAATATAATCCCTTGGATGCTTAACATGTATTATGCATAATATCGACAGAGCTAACCTCCCACAGAATGACCAATACAAACTATTGAATTAGGTACTGAAGTGTTAAATCCAACCTTATCCATCACTTATTCAGCAATAATCATAGTGTTTTCAGAACTCTAAGGTGCGGCTGCTTGCCAACTCATTCCATATCCAGCTCTATCATAGCTACAAACTCTGTAACTTGCTGAAAGCTGAGTTTAAATTTCATAAAAATCTACTCCACTAGAACCTCCACCAGCCTCTAGAATAATCTATGGTAAATTCTTAGCCCCAGTACAATAGGTTCTAATCATTACATCTTAGCCTTAACTTTTAACAGTGTAATATTCTTCACCTTCTCCTAAACTTCCTGGATGATTTGCTTCATGTATAATTTAGCAGGTATTTAAGATGACCAATAATAAAAAAAAAGAGAACAGACTGTACTCAAGGGCGATCATACATTTTGAAGTTTTAGGAGTAGTGTCTCCATTTTACGATATTTATTGAGTCAAATTAGTATCAAACTCTTATTCACTGTTGCTGCTCTAAATTCTCTAAAGGATCCATAAAGTAGATTGAAAGCCTGCGATTATGAATGTAAATAAGCAAATAAATGCAGCGAGAATATCTGGAACAGGATTAATGAACCAACAAATAAAATCTATAAATGAAAGTACTGCTATTGCTGCTGTCATTATTTCCAGCCCAAGTTTATACGAGGCTTGCTTCTTCTGATACATAATATCATTTAATCTAAATATCAAGCACATTTAGACGAAGAAGCAAAAGATTAATTCCACAAAAGTGCTTGCTGGGGAAGATTTTGTCAATCTTCCATAAGGTGTGATCATGTTCACTAAAAACACGATAGCCAGACTAATTGTTATCACTGAGAATACAATCACACCCAATTTTATCCTATGAGCGCCTCTTGTTTCTAGAATTATTTTAAGCATTTGGAGTCTAATAATTTAATGTGGAAACACAAATACCCTTATATATTATTATAAATTCCATATTATTTATGATCTATATTTTCAAAGGAATCTATATAATTTGAGCTTATTTGTTGTTTATATTATCATAGTCATATCCAGAAATATGGAATATAAAATATTTTCGAAAAAAATAATAATTTGAACGTAGAAGATCAATACTTCTCCAAGGTACTCTTGATAACAGTTTTGATAATCTACTAATGCTAAAGCACTATATATATATTGTTCGGCTGTGTCAATTCTTGGGTACTTTAAAAATTCTGAATCATTATCATGGTTCACAGAACTCAACAAAAAATTAATACATCTAAGTACTATCCAAAACAGAGGCTTTGTAATACTAAAACATAAAAAATATATGCCCTTCAATTTGTAATATAATGACATTAGAATAAAATACTAATGTGCTGAATATTACCATAAATGGATATAAGGCTTATGTGTTTAGAGATTAAAAACACAATAAAATTGCACAACGAGAATTTAAATAATTAACAAATATTAAAGTTTTTATAATAATTTCCATATATTAATGTTTTGAATATCAAGTCGTTTAATTGAACATCTTGATAATCTTAAATGATTATTTAGAAAAATAGTATGAACCTTATATTGCATATTATATCCTTATATCCTTAGGAATAGGCATTTTTGTGAAATTTTTAATTTTTACTAATTATATATTAGATAAATCAAATTTGAATTTTCAAGCACAAGATTGAGACATTGTCTTTTGATTACCTTTTTTGTGCTAGTTTCTATAAGAACTTAGTGACTTCATCAGCTGATTCTTTGTATCTTATGAACTACAGCAATTCCTATTTAGATATAATTCCAAAATGATACCTATTCATTGACAACATCCCACAAACCATCAGATGCCACAACCACCCATTTATGAGAGAGTCTCAACTCAACTTTCACTTAATCCGGAATGCAAGTTAATCCATATTAAGTAAAGCTGTGATCTCCAAAAGCTCTTGAAATTGCTAAAATTCCATTTAGTCGATCCATTAACACAGTTCCCTAGTGCTATTGAATGCGAGTTTTCTCTCCCTATTTATTAGGCTTATGGTCGGTCGTTAAAGGCACAACTTAATCACCAAATAGGAAGGCTCTAGAATCTCCCACATTTGCAAAGTAGAGCATTCTTTTGGCTCCTTCGAGTCTCATAAACCCTATGCTTGCCGTTGACCCAATTTCATTTGAATTGCATTCTTATTTAACCATTTCATTGACCTTAAAATGAATTGATTGATACTTTTTCAAATGTATCCTAAAGTAATTTATCGAATGGTCTTTATTTTTGCTTATGTAACTGAAGAAAAACCTTGAGATAGTTAATTAATGTTAAACTTTGGGGAAGTTCGTGGATACAAATTTAGCAACAGTTTATCCTCCATGACCATCCATGATTCCAAATAAAATAGATTGACTTCCATCTTCTAAAATGTTGTCCTTGATAAAATAAACTAAATGAAATTCAGTCCATACAATCTTCCATCTATTATCTGTATGGTATATTAATCTCTTCATCATAAGCATATTCTTTAGCACCGATTGCCTTTGGAATGTATACACTTTAGTTAGTATACATATTTTTAATGAATAAATTATTGCTCATAATTCTAAATTGCTGTTTGGGTAGTTTATTTATGGGATTCTGTTTGGGACAGATGAATGTGATTAGCGCAGATGTCTACAATGTCTATAAAATTGATGATACTTTTACCAAAGGTCTGATGCAATGTAAGATTATATCCGTTTTCATTCAGCCCTATTAACCATAGGTGGAGGGCTAGGTTCCATATCAGCATCAATATTGATGGGGTTGTTTTCCAGAAGAAGGAGTCTCTAGATAACTGATCTCTTTGGGATTATGGCCATAATGATGGCATTCATAGATTAAAGCAAATATGCGCTTTTGGCTTCTCGTTTCTTTGTGGGTGTTGTATTAGGACTTAATGGAGTTCTAGTACCTGTATATATAAACGAGATGGCTCCAAAAGAGAAGGCAGGGTTTTTGGGGACGATGAATCAATTGTTTATTACTTTAGGAATCTTGTTTACATTTTTGATGTCCTACTTCTAAGACATTTCGTTGCCAATTCCATTTTACAAGTTGATGCTATATTTGCCCATTCTCCCTTGTATAGTAAGAGCTAGTGCCTTGTCGACTGTGTTTAAGTATGAAACACCCGTATACTGTGCCAAACACCATTTAAAGTATCTATTGATTTAAAACAAAGCCAGTAATTACATAGAGTGTTGGAAATGATATACAATGAAAAAGGAGAAAAAATGTACGAATAATTTTAATCACAATAAAAATCGACAGAGAGGAGAATCACTTTCAATCAGTTGTTTTCATCCAAATATAGATTTCGTTTGTTCATTGGAATTTCTCTTGCCTCGTTACAACAGTTAGGAGGCATAAATGGTATTATGTTCTATTCTTCTTCAATATTTGATTAAGTATAGAATATGTGTGTCAACTTAGGTGACTGGCCAAGCCTCTCAAAAAGTTTTTTATTTAAATTTAATTGTTGGCTTTATTGGAGTGTTTACAGCCTTATTGGCCACTGTAATAATCGAGTAATTTGGCAGGTATGATTAACGTGATATTAAAAATCAGAAAACCCATCTTAAAGTATGGAGCCCTATTGTGTTTTGTTAGTTTATTAATGTTAACATTTGTAATGTCAAATAGTGTGGGGAATACAACATTTGGATAATATTCAATTGTGATTTGTATATTCTCCTACCTATTTGGCTTTGGATTTTCCTTGGGCCCATTACTGTTTATTTATTTAACTGAAATATTACCAGACTTAGGAGTGAGTGCCAGTGGTTTGATGAATTGGATGTCTGGAGGATTAGTAGCCTAGATGTTTCCAATCATTGCCTCCTATGACATATCGTATTGCTTTGCCTTGTTTTCCATGTTTAATTTTATAGCGTATTGTTACAGTTTAATTCGCACACTAGTTATTTGATTATCCAATACAAAGTGATTGAAACAAAAGGATTAGATAAGGAAACTGTTGACAAATATTTTGAAAATCAAAAGTTTGATTACATACCTTATTAGGAGGCTTACCAAGAAGATAGATTTCGTTGAAATAGAAATTGCATGAATCATTTGTCAATCATAATTATATATATATCAAAATTAAAGAGATATCAATTAAACCTTCTCCGTCTTAATCCCAATACTTTTTTGTTTGGTCACCAATCTCCTTTATTGCTAAATCAATGTCCTCCTAGCAAGTTGGAGGAAAATGAGCATCTAAAATCTAATCGATGACTAAAATATCTATGATTTCCCACAATCCTGTAGATCCAATCAACAAATATCCTGATTTAGGAACTTTAAACTCTGTGATCTCTGGTTCAGCACTAATTCCCACTGTTTTTCCAATCATATTACCAAAACACCTAGTTAATTTAACACCAGGTAAATTCTATTTCGGAGCCCACACCTTCAAATTTCCACTTTTTCTCCCTTTGTACACTGCTTAATCTATTTTTCCACCTTTTTTTAGTATCCTCTGAACTTCCTTACTATTATTTGTGTCATGAACAAAATTGATATTTTTCTATGCAAATTTTCTAACTTCCTTAGTTTCGAGTGGGTCAGTATCTTTCTTATAAAAATAGGCAGCCTTAGAATCCCCCAAATTAGCACAATAGATAGAATTATTGACTATTATCATCGATAATAATGAACATCCATTGTTCTTAACATCAAAATCCGTTTACTCTATCTAAAAGTTTTAATTTCTATAAATACCAGATTTTGTTCCACTTGTTAGTAAACATTCTAGAAACTACAATGAATTGACAAACTCAATCCGATTATCGGTGTATTATTGATGACTTGTACGATTTGATCCAATGCACGATGAGTGATTAATTTCGAAAAATGAGTACCCAAATTACCATGACTATCTCCCAATCCCACCACAAGATAGTCTATATTCTGGCTCCTTTGCATATTTACCACTACTGAATCGTTATTTTTTACCATATTCTTGGCGGCATCAAGTCCATCGAGTTATCTTTAATCTATTTAAATACATACATTGAGCTCGTGAATTTCACAAGGTTTTTTAATTGTGATGTTATCGACAACCTCTATATGGAAGTACGTTTATTAGTGATGACGATATTCCTATTTGGAGATCGGTATGTTTATGATATTTATTACAGTTTTGCCCATTTGGATTGTGTTTCAATTTAAGGACTTGATTTAACATCTGGGAGAGTTTTAAAAGATCCTCTTACTACTTCTACTTCATGAATTGATTTTTGGGTTTTCAAAGGATTTAATGGAAGCAATTAGTGAGAACTTCTATGAAAAGTAGATAACCCTTGCTTTTATTTTAGTTCTAAAAGCTTTTTTTATTGAGCACTCATTTTAAATCAAATATTATTAAATTTCAGATATCAATCAAATACTTAAATATCTTGATTAATGCATAAAATGTTTCTATTTCTTAATTATTATCTCTTTTGATTATTTATTTGTAATATTTAAAAAGATTATACAAATCAGTTTTATAAATTAAATTAATATTATCAAATAAAACAAAAACTAATAATCGAGATCTTTTATCAAAGTATCTGATTAAAGTAGGATTATAATTTGACACTCCTTAGGGGTTTGTGTAAACATATTACTATTTTCAGAATTTTCGAGTGATAACTTAGTGATTGTTGTTTATTATTACAAAAAAGTACCTTATCTTTATTATCAATTATTATTAATTAAAACATTCTTTTTATTCTTTTTAATGGTTATTTCTATACTTCTAGAATTTCCATATCTAAAATAAAAGATTAAGTATTCGCATATTGTTTTTAAATTTTCATATGATTGTTAGAATAGTGCTTCACTTTCTAATTGTTTTTAAGTGATATAAAATTTTAAGAGAGGTTCTTTCTTAAGTTACTTAACTGCTTATTTCATCTTAGGTTATTGCTAATTGCCTCATTTTAGTAATATAAATTTCTTTATATTTAATATTTTAACACATTTCAGGCTATTATTAAATTTTAATAATGAACAATAATGTTGGAGAGGATGATGATGATTTGCTCATAAGTGGAGCTAGGAACAATAAGAAAGGTTAAATTAATTTAGATTTATCAAATTATTCAAGTAACATGTAAGTGTTGTAATTTAATAAGACCTGACATTACACCTGCATTTGATTTGAACAATTTTAAAAAGTATATCCTGAATGAAAATCTGAATCTTAATGAGATTTAGGAATTGATTTTGAAATGCCAATTAAGTTCAATGAAATTAAGATTTAGCATATGGAGATTATTTTTAGGGATTTTCAAAATAAATGATACTTTGGAGTAGAAAATCAACAAGCTCAATCAAAATAGATCAGATTATTAGAATTTGAGCAAACAATATTTATAAGCAGAAACAAAGAAAGAATCTAAACGCAGTATAAGAAACCCTTTATTATAAAATTAATAAGAATAGCAAAAGCCAAATGTAAATATATAGATGTAATCTTAAATAAGGTTTGGAATAACTTTTTCGAGATCAACCACTTAAAAAGTGAAATAAAGAAGGATGTGGATAGAACTCATTAGGATAAATAGTTATTCTAGAGCTTAAAGATCAAGAATTTATTGTCCAACATTTTGTTTGTATGGAGTGTTAAGAACCCAACGATCTCATATAGATAGGGGATGAATGAATTGGCAGCTAATGTTATTGAGGTCTATTTTACAGAGACTTAAGGTTTCAATAACTTAGAGGATAGTGATGATAAGAAGGAAATAGCCATATTCTTCGATACCAAATATGCGGAAGAAGACATCTTTTAATTATTTGAATAAATTCTGGTTGCTCATGTTGATATGTTTAAACATACTCCAGAAAGCCAGAAGAAATAATAGCTAATAATATAGAATAGGATCCAGAAAATCTATGACCAATAGTTGAAAATAATTGACATTTCATTATTCAAGCATTTAAAAGTCTAGGATGTTGAACTTTCAGTATTCTTAGTTAGATGGATTAGGTAGTTATTAATAAATATACTAATTTTAGATGCATGTTTACACGAGAATTTCATGTTGAAGACTCTTTGAAAGTTTGGGATGCCATATTTTATGATTATTACCTTACTGAAGAGAAGCAATGGCTTTTATTAGTTGATTGCATTGTCATAGCTATGTTTGTTTATGTTAGAGATTAAAGTACTGGATTACCCTAAATTATTAGTACTCGAGAAGGATGACCCAAATGCATGTTTGAAAAGGTTTTTGAAATACCCACCTGTAGAAAATTTAGCTTAATTGATTCAAGCAGCTTTCAGTATTAAAAATGTGTTGTAATCTGCAAATCCTGAACAAACCCTGCTTTAGGATTACTTTTTGATTACATTTCTAGGAAGTAGAGATGTCAGCAAGTCTCCCAAAATATTTCAAAATGTTAAGAATCCTGAAATTCCTGATGAAAATAATAAGTAAAAAACATTATAATATAGATTAATAGAAGCCAATAATTTGAAGTAATAAGAAACCATTGATGTTCAGATAAATTAAGCATAACTTATACTGAAAGCATTAAATCAAGGGATCATGTGTATTCAAAGATTCAACACAGATAAGTCTGTTAATGAAGTGAAATAATTACTAGAAAATGCAAAATCAGAATTGTTAAAATGCTTAGATCAACAATAAAATTGAATTTTTAAACTCAAATATTATGTGCACCCAATAGCTCATGCAAACTCTCTCTTTTTTAAAGTCTGTATATCGTCTCAGCTAATAGAGGTGCCACACTCAAAACACTCAATTTGTCTTGTAAAATTTATTTATCTAATTCTTTGACTTGTATAGTGTCAGTTACATAAATCTTTGATAAATTTGAAATTCCTAAATTTAACGCAGCTCTTCCTGAAAAAACTGGATGAGTAGCATATGCCATCACAGTTTTAGCACCTTCCCTTTTTAGGATATCAGCTGCTCTACTCAGGGTACTTCCTGAATCCACTATATCATCGATTATTAAGCAATTTCTCCCATTAACTTCCCCGACTAGACTAATTTCTGCTTCCGCCACTGGATGCTTAGATTTATAGATCATGGCCAGTTCTTTTAAGTGATACTGATTTATTCTTACTTGTCTTAAGATTAGGGAATGCAATGGATAATTAATCCTGAACTTTCTTTGCCCTTGATACACCATTAAAATCAGGAGAAACTAAGGTTAGTTCATTTGGCGGACTTAATTATAAAGGATTATTGTTAAATTCATGAATGAGCGTGATGTATGGGCTTATATTGTCTACAGGTACATTAGTGGAAAACGCACCTTAAATTTGTCCTCGATGTAAATCAACTGAAACAAGATGATCTATTCCAGTCTATTCTAGCATCCTAGCGATATCTGCAGCTGCTATAGATTAAGTTTTCTCTAATTTATGGTCCTATCTTGAATATCCGTAATAAGGAAGGATGACTGTTATTTTCTTCACAGATGCTCTTCTTAATGCACTTATAAATAAAAATAATTCAACTAGATTCTCATTTACAGGAGGACATGTCGATTAAATGATAAAAACATTTCTTCCTCTTACGTTATCTAGAACCTAACCATCATAAATAATTTAACTTAAATGTTGCATTCTCCGTCCGAAAATCTCTGCATTAATGCTTTCCCAAGTTGTATTCCCAAGCATTATGCCACTTCATTGGCCAAAGCAGTATTAGAGTTTCCACTGAAGACTATTGTTTCTGGTCTTATAAATATTTTGGAAATTCTTACTCAATCTTGTATTATTTCTCATTGTTATAGACTTTTGAATAAGAATCTTATCGACTCTGACTAGATAATTTAAGCAATGAAGATTTATAAAGGAATGGAAAAATAAGATATTGTAAACTTCTCATTTTAATTATTCAATAAGATATTGCGAATATTTAGTTGTAAATTTATAAGGATAATCTATGGCATGTTAATCAAGTTTTTATTGAACTTTTAATATGTCGAAAATTATGCGAATTGTTATAAGCTAGTGATTTCAAAGTTTTATTATTTTTAATATTATATCGTATACTGAGAATAATCTATAATCATAATAAAAATTAGCCAACTGATTTTATTTTGTCAGTTGCTTGCAATAACACGTCTAATTTCTTAGGATCTACTCTGTAAGTACTTATCATTAATTTTGTGCTTTATTTCTTAGTTTTTTTTCTCTTATAAGTAGTCTTTGGTAATATTCCTCTTTAATGATCCATTGAGTATTATCTATCTTTTTCAGTTGGAAAGTCAAGATCGCATTGATTAACCTGAAAAATAACTTTTTAAATTACTTCTTTATCATATTAGGAATTGAAAGATTAAAAAAATTTTAGCATTTCTGTTTCTTACTTGAATTCTTTGATTCTATTCATTTACTTTTCTATTTCGACAGGATCTAATTTACTAAGAAATTTCAAATTCTTTTTTATTGGAGAATTTATATCTTATGAAAAAGCCTTTTGTTAACCTGGAAAAGATGTTTACACTTAATCTTCGAATTTCAAAAACTAAATCTTATTTGAATCATCCTTCCCCAATAGCTTCAACTTTTATTCTGAAAGATGTCCCAATTCTTCATAACAATTATCCAAATTACGATTGAATACTAATTCTTGTTTTGCTGCATTTTAAATCTATTCTTATCGTTGCTTGTCTAAATAAATAATATATATGTGATACATAACATAATCTAATATTTCACGTCTTGATCTGCAATTGATTCTAATTGGTTAATCAACTATTCAATAATAGCCCGCTTTTACGATAACGGCATGTTATCAGGGATCTTATACTGTTCCATTAATTCCCTTTCATATTTCATCTTTTCGAGTTGTTTCTAATATTCCATCTATCTTTGTCTCTCCTTTTCTTGTTATTCCATCTTTTTTGGCTAATTTAAGTGAAATTTAATCATACATCATGAGGAGAGTTCTAATTGGAAGATTTTCTTCTGGCAAAATTCAACGCAGCTGCTGCAACAGGTAACTTGAGTTGCTTTGCATTTTTAACTGCCTTTGATCTATTTGACTTTTCTCCTTAAGACGATTCTATTGTTAATTTGCTCTCAGGTTAACTCTCATCTGACCTTTATTATTGCTATTATTATTGCTCTCTCAATTGAGACTTTTATTTAGTTGTTGACCTAGTATTTTTAACACCATTTTATGTATTATTAATTGGGATCAACATCCTCGATTACGTTGAATTGATTGAAAATTGATTTTGCTGTAAGGGTATTTACGAATGCTATGTTTGATTTCTATCCGATGGAGAAATTTGTTGTCTTTGCTAAGAATGAATTTAAGATGCGCTTTGTTATTTTTGGTCTTCCAATTTTAGATGATTGAAAGATGGTGTCACATGTTATTGATTAGGCATTCTCTGTATAGGAGAACATTCTATTGATTCTTCAACAATAACGTTGTTTGTGTTTTATGTAGGTTCGCATTGATTTACTTATATATTTATTTATTGACTAATGTTTGAATTATGTTCATCATCATGCATAATTGATGTCATACTTATTTATTGCATCAATTATATCTATTGATACTTTTATTCTTATTAATCTATGTTATCGTGAGTCTAAAATTATGGGTAATATTATTATTGTATATTGGCCTCAATATGAGTAGTAGCAGGTCTGATAGGATTAAAATGAGAATGTACATTCTCTTATTTGTGCAAGGATTGATCTAATAATGATACCTGAGATTCCTCCTTGGAGATAGAATTTTACTGATGATATTATTGGATATCTGCTATTTTTTGTTCATTTGATTACACAGTTTTTAACTTTGTTTTGGTTGATTTTCCTGATTGTAATGTTCGAGAAGATTAAGGAGGGGATAGAAACGTAGTTTTTTTTTCAATTTCATCAGCCTTCAAACTCATCAAAGGATTGCTCTATTCTTCCTACTTTTCTTATTTCTATTGTTATTTAATTTTATCTTATTTGCTCTGCTTTAAATACATTTGCTCTTAATTTTTGTCTAAACACTTTGCACTCTAAATAGTCTATTACTTTTATTTACCATCCTTACCCAAAAATGGTAATTCTGTATGAGTACCATATGTAATCTGCTTTAACCTATCACTCTAAGTCATAGGTCTTCTTGAAGAACTGAAATCATCATCGTTACTATAATATTTTTGCAATTTCTCTTTGAGATCCATTTTACTTGAATCACTTCCCATAGGAAGATTTTAAGATTATTTTCTCGAATAACTCTAAGCCTAAGTATTTTATGGATTAACTGATTCATTTATTAAATTAGATTCTAAAATGTCTGCCTTGGTTTAGCCATTTGTAGTTTATGAATTCAGTTAAGGTTCCAAATATGGTTGAATAGGTTTTTAAGCAATATTTTCATTACTTGTAATTCCCTTGATTGATTATTCATTGAAATTGCTTTTGTAATTAACACCTTGTTTTTTTGTGTAATTCACTTATTTTTCTATTTCTCCATCTTAACTTACTATGTTGATAGTGGGCTTCTAATTTCTAATCTTAAAATTACTATCGATAGATGTGAACTATTTTTAAATCGACAAATCTTTTAGTTGGTTATCAGCTTGAGTACTATTTGGACTATTCAGTTAAAATGGGTTGATGGCTCTTGTCGTAGTTGAGTCATTTTGTTGATAACTTCCATTGGTTAGCAACCTACCTTCTTGATTACTCGCTTTGTCTAATCTGAATCTTCTGCTTTTAACGGATTGGGGTTGTGCATAGAATTGAGTTTCTATTTCGGTTGTTTGCTGTTCTTTATTGTCTTGCTTCTTCTTACTAGATAAACAAATATAGTTTTTTCTTGAATCGATTGATTAAGATACAACAGTTCTGATTTCGTAATTTATTTTATGATCTTTGATTGGTGACTGATTCTTCAAGAGATTTCGCTTGATTGTTCCCAAGATCTGCAGATGCAATGCTTAAATGGACTTTTATTCCTTTTGCTTCTTCGATAACAATTCACAAAATTAAGCTTGATCAACAAAAGATATTGATGATAAGAAACCAGCCAAGACTCTCTCAACTATAGTTAAAATGAAGAGTTCTTCTCTTTAAATATTCCTCTTATTATTCAACTCAAATTCGTAAGTTTTCATTTTTATATTATGTTTTATTAAAATTTATTTTATGAAAATACACAACAAAAGCCAAGTAACTAAAGTTGATTTCTTACATCAGAATTCATGAGTACTAATAAATCCAATCAGTATAGTACGAAGGGAGGGATTGTTAAAAAGATCCATTTAAGGAAGACAAGAAATACTAGAAATTTCTTAATAATAAGTAAACCCTTCTTTAATGGAGATATATGATTTCATGAAAACACACCCTATTTTGATGAGTTAATGATGACTCAAATTAGTTATTCTCATTGCTTCAACAATATATTAGCCCCTTAAAGGGTGTTTGTATAGGGTAATAGATAAAACGAAAAGCATGGATTAGATTAATTATTTTCAAAAGAATGTTTTAAATCTATAAAATATATTAATATAATTAATATATATTTAATATGGACCATTTTGAATAACCATCGGCAAAATTGCTTTATCTTATCAATGAAATGAATAGGCTGAACATGATCACACAATTGGAGAAATGCACTTTGAAATGTAAGAGTAATTAGTAATGCTAGAGTTTGTTTTGGAAGAGCATCAAGGAATATATGATCTTTTAAAACAATATCCAAAGAGCGACACAGAACTTGAATTGGCTGAGGCCATAATAATCTTATTGAGAGGAGCACCCAATTCGGAGTGTAATAATTCGTTATAAATGTAGAGTAATAGTTTTAGGATGACAGTCAATATTAAGCGGATTTGTAAATATAGGAAGATGTAAGAAATAACTGAATATTAATATTAAAGCTTGAGTCTCCCTTGGGTAATCAGCTCATGAACAGAAAGAAGGGACAATAGAAAAAAAATAAGCATCCAGACAGCAAGCCTTTTGACTTAAATAAAATACAATGATTTAATTTTACAGGAATGGGATATAATATATACATATAAATTGTCAATACGATAAATATAATCCAATAATGATCATGACCAAGTGTGAAAATGAAGATGAAATTGTGATCGTGATATTGGCAGCTTCGATTTGGGGAGACACAGTGTCAATGACAATTTTGCTGGGAACTCCAGAATTGCATCTTTCAAGTTTCGAATCCCAGTAACACTGAGACGTGGCGGTTTGTCTGGCCTCGCAACTCTTTTCATCCAACTTGGCACAAATAATCAAACACATCTTCGATCCAGCATGCCAGATACATTTGTCAGGGAACAAGGCTAAAAACATACAAAAAGCTGATCATACCACAAGAGTCCTCGACATACTAAGCACATTGAATCGAATTACACTTGTTGTTACTATAATAGCAATTTCCACTGTATTTTGAACATTCGCATTTATCCACAACATCTTCGCATCTCATACATTGAAAGTCCTAAGATAGAATACAAACATAATTGCTGATTTCAGTTCCAACACAATTGATTTTGCTCGATCCCAGAGGTCTAATTAATCATTAACAACTATACTTGCATTGATTGTGAGAGCATTCATATGAATCTGCATATTGATATGCCAATTGCCAATAGCATTGATTTCCCATGATCGAGGCAGCATTACAATCCTTCTTCAAATTTTCAGTATTGTCATAATATGTCTATAATTTATAACAAGAATCTAAGCCAACACATAATCCATTAAGCCAGAAGCAAGTGCCATCTTCGTATGTGCCTGAGCATTAATCCTTTTTAGTGAATGTTTAGCATAATCTCTAAGCACAATAAGTACCAGTCCAATAACAGGACCCATTACATGAAGAGTCTGTTAAGTTATCGACACATTATTTGGTTCTGCAAATATCATCAACATATGGTTGACAGTATTGTCCATTTATTAAGTATTTAGTACAATCAGCAACATTTCTGACATCATTGCATGTTTTGGCTCCACGACAAGTGCTCTTGGATGTGAAATAACAATGTTAATTGTTCATGGTAGCATTGTTACAATTGGATGAGGATAAGTCGGAGCAGAGTTTGGCTCTACATTTTTAGGAAGTATCATCCCATAAACACTACTATGATTAGACCTTACAAGTTGGATAATCGTAATCTGCACAAAATCTCACTCCTGATAAAACTGATGAACATGTACAATACTTTTCATCCTTATGCCATTTGCACACACCTATTGAATTACATCCAAATTCATTGATCCCTGGACTAGTACACAAATCATAATTGTAGACAGAAATGCATTTATTATTTAACTTACTAAACTTGCATAATTATGTGGGATCTGATATTTCTGCACACACTTGAGGTGAGACATTCACTAATTATCTGCATTGGGATGATGTTGGTTCATAAACTTAGCATTGCCCATTCAAATAAATACATTTTTCTAAAGTGATCATAGTACAAGCAATATCATTTAGACCTGGAGTATTACATTTGGCAACTAAAAGATCAATCTGGGAAGTGCATCCCTTCCCTGTGTGTCTACAAGGTAATCCTCCAAAAGAAATCTATTGACAACTCATGACTGAAGAATATTCAGCAGTTGAAAATGTGCTTGAATCCCCACAAGAAGTGACACCAGCAATTATATTCTAAACTATGCATTTATTATTAAGCCATTAGCATGAGTTTGTATTCTATGAAACACATGCTTCTTAACTCAAACTGTCAGTGCATAATAATTAACTTGTGGCATCGATACAATTATAATTTTTCCACGTACACTTTAAAGTTGGTATTTATTCACAAACACCAGCAGATACCTTTAGATAATCAGAACACTTAGTCTTTCCAGTAAATTAAGTAAAGGGAACACAACTAGATCCATTCCAAGTACATGCTCCAGCCTTTGTTTATAAACATCCATAGTAATTTAAACCAGGAGTATTACATAAATCAGATGATGGATCTGATTATATGCAACCATCAGTTCCAAATTTAACACCAATTGGATTAGTTATTTTACTATTTGGCTATCCATTTATTGTATATGTTTTTGTGCATGTGTATGCATTCACATTTGAATATTTACCAAGAGGGAATCCATCATCCTGCAATGCATAACATTACTATCCCAGCCATACACAAAATTACCCTGCTGTTGTAATTGCAACACAGGTGAATACATTTACAGTTTCTGTACAAAGAGCTGTCAATGGATCTGCATACTTGCATTTATTATCCTTATAAATACACAATTGAATAGGGTCATCTCTCAATACTGCTTCACAAGCTCGTATGTTAATGTCATCATCACATTTTGAGAGATTGGAATCTACTGAGTAGCATTATCCTTCCCACCATTCAGTCAGCTCTCCTTCATTTTGAGGTGATACACACAAGGTTCTTTGAGAGTTAGCCACTTATTTGAGTGTGAGATATTTAGCTTAGGAGAGATCCGTCAATTATTTACAATTAGAATCAATGTCCCAATAACAGTGTTTTTCATCTGGAAGAGACTTACAACCAGAAGGTGATACTGCTTCGGTACATTCAGTGGGTACACTTGTATCTTGAGTGCATTTCAAGGTGTCTTTTTTCAAATAGCAACCATACCAATAACACAGTTCAGCTGCGATAACCGCATTAACATCTTCCTCTGGTATAGAATCTGAAACACATTTAATATCTACTTGATCGTCATAATCATGACATGCACTATTAGTCCAATAACAAAAAAGTGAGCCTGTCAAACAAGCATATTGAGTAAAATTATCTGAACATTATTTTGCCTTGACCAGATTTTACACACATTTTGCTTTTTCAAATTTGCAATCAGCCTTAACAATCTTGCAATCTATTTCATCTTTAGCAGATTTGCAACTAACAGCTACTATTTCTTCGCATAATTTTGAAGTTTCATTTTATGAACATATTTTTGTATCAACAGATGCCCATACACTCCCACAAGTATATGAACTATATTCAAAATTACTATCATTATATTCTAAACATGAAACATCAGGTGCAATTAGACAAGAAGACTTAGATTTATCCCAAACGCACCAATCTTGCACTAACATGCATGCATCACTTGTTGTGGCATATTAACAAGCACTATCTATCTTTTTACACTAATAAATTTCCTTTTCTACAGTAGTTTCTCCATCTTAGACTGTTTCTGTCTCAGTAAATTCACAACTGTTCTCTTATAAGCAATTTTGCTTATTTTATCCAATATTGCATTCACCATACGAAGAAATTGCTGTAACACATAGGTTACTATTTTTGTCATATTTGCATTACTCCCCATCTTTTGATATTTTTGCACAAGCTACTGCATTCACCTTAGCTGTATATGTTGTACACGTGTCATTATCAAGATCTTAGGTTAATTTATTACATGCTCCACCAGTAAATGTACAAGATTCTCCTGCAACTTTATAGCAGGCTTTTTCATTATCATTAGCATCCTTGCATTTATAATCCTTAGCATTTACACTTTTAATTAGAAGGCATTTATTATCAACAAATACACAAGGTTAAGTAACAGCTTTACAAGTTGCTGCTGAAGATGCTTCGCTACATTTGTCTGGATTATAGCATTTCTTTTCTGTATTTTCCCATTGGCAATTTTAATCATTTGTTGTAACCAATACACAAAGATCTTGATTTGCTTATTTACACAATATTTAGTCTAGTATTTTGGGTTTATCAGCATCAGCTAAAACAGTACATTTAAATGAAGTAGTATCAAAATAGCATTTCTATCCAGTAGTTTTTGCAACACATGCATGCAAATTGGGAAACTGTCCTGAAAAACAACTGGCTTCATCACCTGAAGCAGGAGCATACTATTTGCATATATTTTTAGGGTCAGTATTTCCAGGTTTGGTACAAAAAGAAGATTCACCTATGTAATATTCAACGTCATTCTCATATCCAACACAAGTGTTATCATTAACATCTGTTATATATTCGCATGAATCGTAAGATGGCATCTTAATGTCTTCACATAATCTTTTTAAAGTATTCCATTAACATCTTTGTCCTGGTGTTGTAATTGAAAGACAAGCAAATTTATTAGGGAATGAGTCACTACATTTTATTTTGTTCAACTAGGCTGCAGCTGGACTACATGACAAATTTACAGCATCGAAATAACACGCTAAGTCACCATCTGGCTCTATGAAAGCACATGCATTCCCATTCAAAACACTATCCTTAAGTTCTAATTTAGTGCAACTCTTTGCATTCTTTTTAATACTTGTAGTGCATTTAGTCTATTCCTCATCGTATCCACACACTTCTCCTGTGATTAATGCACAAGCTTTGGCAGTTACATTGACTAGTCCTGAACATGCTGAAGTCACAGAAGTTAGTTTTGTACATCCTTAACTAGTCCATTTGCAAGCTATTGTCGGATCCAATACATCCAAGCACCCTCTTTTATTTAAACCCTAGGTGAGACAATTGATTGTAAAAGGAGCCACTAATTCCTTTGAAAATAGTTAGCATTAGTAAGTATTTGAATTATATTTACAATGCTCTTCCTATACACCATTCTTAAATTAAACCATTCTGCAAGCAAATTCATTCACTAATTTTAACGATTCACAAGATGTTTGATTTTCAATAACATTAACACTCTAACACATCCCAGCTTCTTTACTCCATTAACAAGGCCCCATGTTACTCTATAAACAAGCTATCCTGTTCAATCCTCTCGCTGTGCAACTTACTTTGGCAACAGGTATTTTGCAACTTCCATCTACCCAGTAACATGCTGAGTCAGTAATTCTTCTACATGCATTCTCATTTACAAATTATAGGTTTTCACAAGTTTCATAAAAATCCAATTTTAATACTTTACATTTTTTTTCAGTTTTATCATATTTACACACTTATCCAACAGCAACTATGTTCTAACATGCTTGTTGATTAAGATTGTCCCCGCATTTAACAGTTGATAAATCAGCAATCTACCTACAAATTCCATTTACAAATTGACAATTTTCACTAACATTCATGCAAGAAAATTAATTTTATCCGAGTAATCCACACTAAGACTTTACACCTTTAAATAGACATGAGTTATTTTGATAGACACAATTATAACTTGAAGAATTACAACTTTTTTGACTTGTTGGTAATTGAAGTGACTTTGCTCTACACAATTCACTGCATTTTTATTTCTTTTGATAATAGAAACATTCTTAATCATTTCCTGATTTGTCCACGTAATTTATCGCAGCGCAAAAAGATGGAGAGACGGGTTGAATTTTAACACTACAATCTGCCTTACCAGTGTATAGTTAGCATCCATTACTCCAATAACATGGCTATTTGATATTTGTTACACTCAGACATGCTTCCTTATTAATATTATCTTGGCAAGATAGGTTTTAAAAATCTGTTACGTTGATACATTAACCATTCTAAAATTTACATTTGAATCCTGGCGTTGAGATATTTTTACAAGCAGCTGAATTCAATCCAGCAGCAGAACAAGTCAATAGATTCAACAAATTAACATCCACTTCAAGGCATCCTGGAATGGCCAGCAAAGCTTTATATTTGCTTAACATAACATTATCCGAACCATATTTATCAATGAGTTAAACTATGTAAGGGAAAGCACTAGATTAATGAACAACAGAAATTCCAGTGATTGATTGGCATATTGAGATATTTGCTTGGTTCATGAAGGTAGGGTCATTTTAAGCCTTGGCCAATGACTCCTAAAACTGTGAGGCTGACATGTCCAAGCAAAATCCTTACCATTAACACGGTTTTCCCACTACAGCCAAGCATGCTGGCTTCGAAAGATTCGAAGAACAAGATGTCGAACCTGTTATTTCACGACAATATCCAGAAAACCGACCTATTTATATTATAGATGCTTTTACAATAAGCCCAATCCTAATTAGGATATTGCAATTAATTAATGCACGCTAATCTATTGAGTGTGGCTGAACAACCAATATTGTTTGATTCTGTTGCCTGACAGGCACTCAAGAAGTCATTCCAAGAACCTTTTTGATTTCAAATTACATTACATTTTTCATAAGTTGATGAGACACATCCAACCTCATCAAATATATATAGACCACAGGGCTTCTATGCTGATATGCAATTTATGATTAGAAATAACAAGCAAAATGTTTGTTGTTATGTAATCATAATATGTTATATAAATAAATGTAATCATAATGTGTTAGATTCAACATATATTTGAATGATATTCTAAATGCTTTAGAATTATTTAAATATAAGAACAATCTCTAAATTAATTACGTAATTCACAATATTCATTAATAAACGCAATCCATTTCTTAAAAAAATTACTTTAATATATTCAAGGGAAGTTATTAAATAAATATCGCTGTCGATTTATAATTCTGGACGTCAATTTATTAAATGCCATAGTAAATGATATTATTATTTTCTTTAATGAATGAAGAATACTCTCATTTGACCATCATAAATTGTGTGTATTTATTAAATTATGCCACTCCATTTTACAAGAAAATGATGCATACTAACTATATAATTTTGAATTCTTATATTAAAATATTATAAATCATTTTTAATTGTCTTATTTTATTTTGAAAACAAAACATAAAAAATCTCATTATAGTATAGCTATTAACTTTATTATTCCATTATTCTTTGAATCAGAACAATTAAAAGAGCATATTTATACTAAGTTCATTAAATATTGCAGTATCCAAATTGCATTATCAAATAAATTACTATTCAATTGATAAGAATAATAAATTTCAGTTTGGATTAAAGAACAAAATGAAAGATAGGATGATTTTATACCTCAGGCAAGAGATTTCAAGGTGTTTAAAAAGAAAGTTTTTCAGGTTTATAGCACTATTCAATCCTAACTAACTTTAAACTGATATCTCCTTACTTATTTGATTTATAGCAATATCTATTTAGCATCCTATTAATTCTTTGATCTGAAAAGCATTAAAGATTAAGCAATATTATATTTGATTTGCAATTTTATTTTATTTTAAGTATATTATTCTTTTTATTATTATATTAAATTAACAAACATTTAAAAATGCTTTATTGATATAAGAAAAAAGAGGCAAAATTATTTTCAGTCATAATTGTATAAAAATAATACGAATAATTATTTAATTGGTATTTAATATTAATACAATATCGAAAAGTTCAAGTCATAAGGTTTAGATTTAAAAAAAAAATTGATAAATAAATTCATTTTAAATATCTTTATGTAATAAAAGCCCGACTACAGAAAGGAATTAGCCGAAACAGCTTAAAAGATTTGCACTCCAGGAAAGGGAATCTTGGCTGCTGATGAAGTATCTCTTAAATCTTAAAAGTGTAGTCTTAAGGAACCATAGGAAAGAAGTTCGTCACCATCAATGTTGAAAACAACGAAGAGAACAGAAGAGCTTACAGAGAATTGTTGTTCACTGCTCCAGGCGTTGAAAATTACATTAGTGGTGTCATCCTCTTCTCCGAGACCGTAATACATATTATTAATTACTTTCCATAGGTTAAACACGCTACCAAAGATGGAAAGAACTTCGTCTAATTGCTTTAAGAGAAAGGCATCGTGGCAGGAATCAAAGTCGATAAGGGTTTGGGTGTACTTCCAGGAACACAAGATGAATCAGCAACTCTTGGATTAGACTCCTTGGCTAGTATGGCTGCTGAACACTACAAACTTGGTTGCAGATTTGCCAAATGGAGAGCAGTCTTGAAAATTGGCAATGGCTTACCATCACAATAAGCCATCCAAGAAAATGCATGGGGATTGGCCAGATATGCAGCAATCTGCTAAGAAAATGGTCTTGTTCCCATTGTCGAACCAGAAATCTTGGCCGATGGAGATCACTCAATCGAAGTCAGCTAAAAGGTCACAGAAAAAGTTTTGGCTGCCGTATTCAAAGCATTGAATGAAAACAACATCTTCTTAGAGGGATGTCTCCTCAAACCAAATATGGTTACACCAGGATCAACCAATGCAGACAGAAGCAAAGTCACACCATAAGAAATTGGATACAGAACAGCTTTGGCCTTGAGCAGAACAGTTCCTCCTGCCCTTGTCGGAGTCACAGTAATTGATATCCATTTATAGTGTTTAGTTCCTTTCAGGAGGACAATCTGAGGAAGAAGCTTCTTTGAATTTGAATGCTATGAATTAATTGACCACAGTCAGAAAACCATGGGCTTTGACATTCTCTTATGGCAGAGCACTCCAAAATACTGCAGTTAAGACATGGGCTGGAAAATAAGAAAATTGGGAAGCTGCTTAATAAGCATTATTGACCAGAGCTAAGGCTAACAGCGAAGCTTAATTAGGTATTTTAACAAATATTATCAAAATAGGAAAATATCAAGGTGGATAAGGTGGTGCATCCAACGAATCCTTATTTGTGGCTGATTACAAATATTGAGTATCATGAAATATCATAAAATAAAACACAATCATCATTATTCATACTGGAATCAATAAAAAAACACGTATTATCATTAAAAATTAAATAAATTTATTTATGATATTACACATACTATTAATGGTGCGTATAAGTGTTGTACTTTCTGAAGGTAGACAAAATTTGTATCCTATTATTTATTGTAAAAGCTCTAATTTCTTTAAAATCAGTTCAACCCAACTACTCACTACATCTTCTTTCACTTAATCTAAGCACCTCCTGAACAATGTTGGGGCATAATATGAATTAGAAAGAGAAGCAGTTAATGATCCAAAATTAAACACAATATGAGAATTCATAATGAAGGAATATTTAGCAATTAAAGGTTGAATGAATTTAGTTTAAATCAATTCAAATATGATTATTTGATAAAAAATTAAAGGAACTATTACATGTTTATCTCAAAAATTTTAGATATTTAGTCAATTAAAACTGTTGTATAAACTTAATGATTATTTTCATTATTATTTTATTGAGATTAAGAAAAATTAAATAGAGAGCGTAGCTCAGTGGCAGAGCGAAAGACTCCAACTCTTTAAGCCATGTGTTCGATCCACATCGCTCTTCTTTTTTATATTTTTGAATAATTATTAATTAATTAAATAAATAAATAAAAGAAATAAGCATTATACAATAACTTTTCGAGTATTAAATTATTATGTAGATTATTATTTACAACATAATAATAAACCCTTATTAATATTATTCTTATTATTAATTAAAACACAATTAAATATTATTTCATTTAACTCATTTTTAAATCATAATTCCACTTCAAAATCAATATAATAATTCACCCATTTCTTTATTCTTCAATACTATTAAGATTAAAATATCTTTAATTTTTAAATTTGTTTAAATACTATAAATTATAGAGCTAAGATAAGTATCACATTCAAACACAGTTAAATTTGGTTAAAATACTTAAGATTTTTCATTAACATCTAGCTTAAGTTCTAGTAATAGATTTTCTTTGAAGAGAGAGCTAGTAATTAATAAATATAATATTTTATAAGTGAATTTCTGATTGTAATTTGAAGAAAGTAGGGATTAGATAAAATTCAGTGTAATAATCAACAAGAATATCTGAAGATCTATTGCAGAGAATATAAATAGCCATATCAAGTTATATCAATTATTTTTGAGATGTCAATAGAAATGGTTCAATATTATTTTTAATAAATTCATTATTGAATTCAATTATATCATCCATATTTCTATTTAAATTCTCCTGCTAATCCCTATCTTTGTTAGATGAAATGCTTTTCTCCTTCGATGAAACGTGTTTAGAACACTATCTATTAAATAGTTGGATACAGAGAATACATCTTTGGTTTTGCCAAAATAAATACTATCCATTTAGGAACGGAGATAGCTCTCCACATCTTCAACTAAGGTTCCTATTTTCATAATGTGGAACAACTCTAAATCCTTATTACCTGCAGGAGCTTCAAAAGATTCTTCCTTCTAAAAAAATCGATGATGGTGAGTACTTATTTGGTTAATGTGCCTGTTATATTGAATTTGCCAACATCTTGATTTTAGATGATATTCATTTCCAAAACAACTGAGGTAGTTATCTTGTAAGTCCACTTAGATTTTCCATCTGTCTTAATATCAATTACGTTAATTGAACTCCAAGATCCATCCTCAATTCCCTTAGTCTTTTCTACATTTTTCCTAATCAACCAAGCGGTAGCAAATCCACCATCCTCTTTATCCCAAAAATAGCATGATGACAATCCTCCTTCGTAATATCTTGAGATATTTATAATATATGTACAATCTTCTATATTCGTCAAAGACAGCATTGGCTTTAATTTCTAATTTCCGTAATGCATCTGAAGGATAAACTGCGTCATCAATTTGAGGGTAGTATTAATTTGTTACATGTGATCTAAATGAGTCTCCATCCCTATTGAATTCGGATTATATATATTGATTCCCTTTTTCATCCTATCCAATATCTAAATTGTCATTTCTCTCATACCTAAAGGCTTGTCTATCTTCTAGTATAGTTCCTCCGCATAATCTGGAATCAAAGAAGCTAGTGCTGCAGCATTCTTTTAGATTTGAGTTGGTGGCAATCGTTTAAGGATGTTCAAGCAAGAGAGGATTTTTTCTTTAGATTCCATTATTAATTAATTATCATTACAATTATGATTTATATACAACTAATAAAGCTAGTGAAGCAGCCAAGGTCATCCCATAGTGAGCCATCAGACAAGTGATGAACCCGTACTTTTCTCTGATGTGTTCGAAGGATCCACCGATTGACATAAAATAGGTTGAAAACCCAATTGCGAATTCCCAATCTGATTTAAATATCTTAAATAACATAATGAAATGAAACAAAGCATAAAAGAGATTTATTACGAATCTATACTTCTCACTTTCCTTGTAGGTTTTCATCAAAAACAGTCGCCTTGCTTAATATCAATTCATTACCAATACCACTCCTCTAAAAATGGGTTGCATATAATCAAAACCAACAAGAATGCTCCAATATAAACAGGATGCTCCAATAGAGGAATCCTCAAATAATCCATGATCTCCTCTTCCCAATAATATGTGAAAATTAACGACAATAGAACCATTCCAAAAGCACTTCTAAATAAAGAGAGTCCTCTCTTGATCTATTCTTATCTTCCCTCCAATTCATTTATGAAATAAACTATTAGTTACATGTTCATAGTTAATTACCTCTTAGTTCGCCCTCTTTGCTTAAATACCTTATATAAATCGCAGGTATTATAACATAGAAAAATTACAAAACACACAAAGTTGTCAGAGCTTCATCTAAATAAAATAATCCAAATCCTGTAATGATTGTAGGTAATATTAAGCATAAAAAAAGATACGAATGCTGCTTAAAATTTAATCCATAAAGCCCTCCTAACATTTTATTGTCTTTTTATATAAGTAAAATAATAATTTATATAATATAAAATAAATGTAGGCTATTCATGAGAAATGTCATTAATATCCAATTATCACTTGCAACACTGAATAAACTTAAGTTCCTTGGCTCAAATATTCTCTATTAAATTACTATTTCAACATCCTTAATATCTCGCAATCCTTGATATCCATAGAATAAATAGATAAGGAGATGATCAATAGGTGAGGATTGATAAGGAATATCGGCAATACCTAATAGCTGGTTTTAATGGATCATCTCATTAGAACAAATATTACCTGTGAAATCTCTTTAATCAAAATAATTTTACTAGTCAAATGAAACTATGGACAGTATTAAATTAAATTTACAACATTTTTTGGTTTCTCTTGATAACCTAATAATTGAAAATGAGAATTATATGTTGATTTTAGAAATAAAAGAGATTGCATTTGAAATATTGCAGATAACCTTCAATCAGTTTCCAACAATAATATATAGACATTTTCATTATTATTTGATAAAGGTTGTCCATATTTAATCTAAATTTAGTATCTTTCTCTATTGATATTGTAAACTTGTTGTTGAATTTCTATAAAGGATTCATTATCACCCATCACTCCAAAACAAGTAGTTGAATATTAAAAATAGGATCTGAAATAAATTTGAGATATCAATTAAATAATGGAATCAGGATGAAATACTAAAGAAAATGGAGGAGATTCAATAAAAATATTCAATAATGGAAAAGATTGGAAGATTGGAAATTGAATAAGCAATCGAAACGATCTTATTTTAAAGAGTATGTTTAAACTGGTTATAAATTATTATTATTAATATGAATTAAAAACTTTGGATCCAAATTCCTAATGATATAAAGTGGAAAAATGAAAAGCCCCTCTTGAAATCTGAATTTATTAAACTCAAAAAGAACAAACCAAGAGTCTTGTATGGTTATGATCACTACATTCTTCTTGCAAAAGTATTCCAGATTTATCATATTCTTAAGTCTCATGATCAGCCGCCTTGTAAATATCTGAAACTGGATTTCGAGACAAAATTTGAAATCATTAGAACACAAGTACAAAAAAAAGATGAAGAAGATGACTCCCTTGGTCAGATTATTGGAATGATATTGATGAGAGATTTTGGATAAGCAGAACATCCTACCTATAAATTGTAAGGGAATGAAAAAATAATAATACAATGGAGGGAATTCTTTTAATCCAGAATCAATTAATGGCAATTTCATTCACTTTTTAGAGTATTCAAGAAAATTGGAAAGGGCAACTTTGCATCTGTACTTTTATATTATAAACTCCTAGGTTTACTTGGCTGAACGAATAGAAGATGGTGTCTAAATGGCAATCAAGGCTTTTTCAAAATAAGCTGCTTATGCAGAAGAAAATGGAAAATAGGCTATCGTAAATGAATTGTCGATCATGAGAAAACTAAATCATCCTCATTTAATGAGAATGTATGAAATCTACGAAACCAGCAATTCATTATACGTCGGATTGGAATTGCTGTAAGGAGGCTCACTCTATGATTTGATTAAAGAAAAGGCAATCCTTTCAACAAAATAAATATAATAGATAATGGTAGGAATCTTATAAGGGTTGTGTTAAATGCACCAGAAAGAAATTATGCATAGAGATTTAAAATTAGAAAATATTTTATTTAAATAATCAAAGTATTGTATTAATCACAATAATAGAAAAATGGATTCGGTAGTAGTAGCTGATTTTGGTTTAGCTACACATGTAAATGAACCTGTTTACTTATATTGCAGATGTGGAACCCCAGGCTATGTTGCCCCAGAAGTCATCAACATGAAAGATATGAAAGGTCACTATAGTTCAGTTTGTGATATCTATAGTCTTGGCCTAGTATTTTACTTATTATTAACTGGTAAACCGCCGTTTCCTGGTAAAAGTTATGCAACAGTTGTCAAATAAAACAGAGAAGCTAATGTTGATTTTTCAATTAAGCAATTATAAAATGCTCCAAACTCTGCTATTGATCTTTTAAGAAAAATGCTTGAGAAGGATCCTTAAAAGAGAATAACAGCTAATTAATGTTTGTTGCATCCATTTCTCTAAGAGATGAATTAAATAATGCTTGATGACAATCAAAATGATTTCATTGAGGAAGGGGAAGAAAATGATCTATGTTCAAGAATGAATGCATTAAACGAAGAGTATTTATTGTATTTATAAAAGATCCGTTAAATTTGATGCTTTGAGAAAGAATTAATTAATCAACTCTCCATAGTCTTCTCCTGGAGTGCTAGCAACAAAGCAATTGAAATAATAAAAAAATATTGATTCCCAGAACTCTTTACAAATGAACTCCCCACTATTTACTGGAAAAACTGACAGCGTTGATTCCATCCCTAATATTGGACTTCCATAGGCTAAATAATAAAATTCTTTTTAAGCTTCCCCTTAGATTAAACCTTCTCGCTTTAAATAGTAAATAAAAACCATTTATATTTTTAGAAACATTCCCCAATAAATGTAATAATAAGATAATCCGTTATTAAAATATACCAATAAAAAAGAATGAAATAAGTTGTCCATGCATTATCAAATTTATTTTTTATCTAATAATTTGCATCTAACTTAAATTTTATTCTTTTTATCTAACGATTTGTAACAGTATTAGTATTAATTATGAAAAGATAGATTGTCTGATTAATATTATTTAATACTATAAGAATAAATGTATTAATATCTCATTTTCTTAATGAATTTTCAACTCTGTTGCATGTTTAATCAATTAAGTTGATAAGACTCTCTTCAGTAGCTTCTCTTTCATTTTTCTCACTTTATAATTCACCATTTAAATAGTGATTCATTTCATCTAACATTCTAAACATTTAACTTTGGGCTTGTTCTCTTTATTTCTTCTCAGTAGTTAAGATCTCTTATAATTTGAGAATGGAATCCCCTAATCTTTTGATAGTATCCTGGTTTTACTATTCTCTATAAGAATAACAAATAAAAAATTACCTTTGTCTTCTCTCCTCTTCAACTTCTTCTTACAATTACAACACTCGATCCCCAATTTCTTAAGCGTTTTTCTCTTCTGTTTCCTCTCTATACTTTTTCTATCTAGCTAAATCCAATCTCAAGCTATAAACTTTGTCATCAGTATTCTTGATTATTTTCCCTTCGAAATCCTTCCTGTTAACTTTTTCTTATTATAGTTCTCTGTTTAAGAAACCTTCCAAACTCTTCAAATCTTTAGATCTCAATTTCTCATCTCCAGCCTATGCATAATAATTGATAATTACTTCTCTTATTATTTTCTCATTCTACGCTCCTTCTTCAACTTTTTAAAGCTATTCCTTCAATAACTTAAATTTTGAGTCGTCTGCCTATGCTTACTTGGTAGCCTTGTCCTCCAATATCTTAACTTTGCTTTCGAATGTCTCCTTTTTAAACTATCGATTCTTAGTTATAAATTATTACAGCCTAATCTTCGTCAATTGAATGCTGTAAGTTAGATAATTTTTCTGATAATTAAGAGATTTTGGCTCTGCTAGGTGACAAAGCTCTGTCTCCTCCATAAGCTTAAACATTTGAAACGTTAGAACGTGAAGGCGAATAAAAGATTTTAGAAGCAGACATTATTAATTAGCAATAAAAATTATTTCTAAATATTATACTTTTTTTCCATAAATATCTTTAGCGACTTTAATTCGTATTATCATAATTGTAAATAAAATAAGAAAGCCAGATTCCTTGTTCTTTTATTTAAATCTTAATTGGATTTTCTATTCATAAATGACCTCAAAATAGATTACTGATAATTTAATAATTTTCTCTTTACTCTGAATCAAAATTGAATTTCATAATTTTTATTATACTTGAATTCTATTTAACTTACATAATAATATATTATATAATTCCCTTGATATTGTTATCCTAATTAATAAGAGTATTTGAGAAGAAATTAGAAAAATTGTGCTGATTTTTTTAATTTTTCTAAGAATTATTATAATATCATCTAATGATAAAATTCTTTCATAGATTGGATTGTTTTCAATTGATTTCTGACATTTATATTGCACACACATATGTGCAGATAGTTTCTATTATTATTTTGATTAAAATACTATAATTATTTAATATAAAATAATGAAGCCTATACTAGCAATCGTAAGTGGAAGCACTGCATTATTTGCAGTATATTTTTTAAATGGAAATCAACCATTTTTTGAAGCAAATTCCAACCTAAGATGTCCAGTTTTGAAAGATGTACAATCTGTCAAGAATTAACTGAGCAATCCAAAATGATCATGAAATTTATAAATAAATAAAATCAAGAATTATCAAATAATTTCATACATCTTATGTTGAGAGATAGAGCATCAATATGATATAAGTGTATATTTAATACCAAAATTAACTTTTCAATCCTTTCTTCAATTAAACATTTCAAAATTTCTGTTTGCTATATTCTAAATATCGTTTAAGAATAGGAATATTAGATCAATTCAGTTTAATAGAGAATGAAAATTGATTGCTCATCATCATTATTTAATGTTCAATAATCAAATAAATATATATTGAATACATAAATAAATATTGAAATTTTTGAGCCTTATAACAAATTCTGATACAAATTTATTATTATTTAAATGAAATAAAAAAAAGCTTCAGAATGGGATTGGAATAAGAAGGGCACTCTTATCTATGGGACAATTGTATAAGTAATGTGTTATACTAGGATTTTAAACCATAGCCCTTGGTTATAGGGTTTGATATGGATGAAACCTTGATTAAAACTAAAACTGGAAAGACATTTGCAAAGGATGCTAATGATTGGCAATGGTGGAATCCAAAAGTAATCCCCACAATTTAAGATTACTCCAAACAAGGATACTCTATAGTGATATTCACAAACCAGAATGGTATTGAAAAGGGACACACAAAAGAATCTGATATAAAAACAAAAATTGAATCCTTATAAAAAGAACTCAAAATTCCATTAGCAGCATTTATAGCTTCAAGTGATGACAACTACAGAAAACCTCGAGTAGGTATTACTTAAAATTAAATTAAGATATGTGGACAGACTTTTAGGAATTAACAGGAACCAAAGCTGACATGGCAAAAAGTATTTACTGTGGAGATGCCGCAGGAAGAGTCAAAGGGAAAAAAAAAGACTTTACTGATACCGACTTGTATACATTTTTAATGATTATTTAGGAAATTTGCTTTAAATTTAGGCCTGATATTTAGAACTCCAGAGCAATTATTCCTAAAGGAAGACCTAAATGAGGATTATTCAAAATAACTAGGATTCAATCCAAAGAGCATTCCTAAAGAGGGATTTCTATTTAAGGAAAGCAAAGTTAATAAATTTACTAAACCTGACAAACCAGAAAGTAAATTATATCAATATTTTAAGTGATTATCATGATAGGAGCACCTGGGTCTGGTAAATCAACCTTTGTTCACAATCATTTGAACGATTATACTAGAGTAAATAGAGATTCTTTGAAAACTAAAGAAAAATGCCTTAAAGTTGCAGAGCAGGCAATTAAAGAAAAGAAATATTTAGTAATTGACAATACAAATCCAACTCCAGATGATAGAGCAGCATTTATAAAATTAGCTCTGGATAATAAATATCCAGTTAGGGGTTTTTTCTTAGAAGTTTCTAAAGATTTATGTCTTCATAATGATACTTAAAGAGATACGAATAATTTTAGAGAGCACTTTTCAAAAAAAGTAGGAAAGATGCCCATCAACATGATCTTTTCAAAAATTACACCACCTACTAAAGATGAAGGCTTCTCTGAAGTTTTAACTATAAATTTTATTGCAGGACCATTTAAAAATAAGGATGACGAAGATGCCTTCTATAGTTTTGTTCATGGAAAAAAATGATTATTATTATAAAGAAATATTGAATATTAATTTGATGTAATCTAAGCGTCTGAATGACTAAAAAGTAAATTAATTATAAAAATATATCAAAAAGCTCAAAATCTTCTTTAATATTAATATTTAAATGGGAACTTGTGCTGCTCAAAAATAGAAAAAATAGACAAATGATGGTTAATTATAATAAGTAGTAGCTCAAGTTAGACTATCTCAAGACTGCAATATAATCTTGTAACAGAGAGCGAGCTAATCCTCCCATTTAAATCCTTATAAGAATCCAATTCTCAACAGGAGATTGAAAGAGATTCCAACCTCGCCAAATCCATAAACTTAAGCAGAATGAAGCAATGTTTCCTTAATTGATTTATTTACCTTATACGTAGTATATAATTGCATAAATCTCTGTAATATATATATATATTTATTAATTCATTATAGTTGAATCAATCTTGATAAACATAACTAATAAATATTTTGTCTAATTTCATATTAAATAATATGGTAGGTTTTGTAATGAAAGTTAAAAATAATGAAATATCATTATTAATAGTCATGATTTGAAGCTATGTTCTAAAAGTATTCAGGTAATAAAGAATAATAATAACAGCCATTTAATTCTATTATTCTTTAATAACAATTTCAATATATTTAGAATACATTTTTATCCATACTCTGATAAAAGTTAACTACATAAATCGGGAATAAGTTGATTATCATTTTAAATATTATTGTAAAAGTCTTTAAAAAGAGTGAATATTTCAAAAAAAATATCTTTGAATTAGACCTGCCCTATTTATTAGATTTAACAAAAAGTAAATTGCGTTTATTTGGCATTATTTTTCTTACAAATATTCTTTCGTTAATACCCAATTAAAAATATTAAAATAAATTCTTAAATGGGAATTTGCATGAGTAACAAGAAAGAAAAGTAAGCTAAGGAAGGGGAACTAGATTATATCGTAAAATAAATGAGGACCTCTCCTTGTCCAGAAGAGATTCTGAACTAGAGAACATCAATTGATATTCCCTATAATGCTTACAAAAATCCAATTTTAAATCGTCGGTTAAAAGGAAGTACAACCTTGACTAGCGCATAATGAACTTAATATTTTTTTATAGAGTTATTTATTTTACATATAACATAACATACAATGTATAATTAGATTTCAATAAAACTATTTCTTTTGTTGTTAATTTTAATTCAGTTTTGATTTTAATTCATTTATTTTCTTCTTCTTGTCCAAATTATAAATTGGATGTCTACTTTATATTCTTCTTTAAATTCCCTATCGAATAAAATTCAACTATCTCTGATATTAATCAGTTCTTCTCTTATTATTTTATGCTATTAGTTTATATCTTTTTAAATGTTAAGACTCGAGTAGTAGATGATCTTTTCGTTGTGATTGGTGTTGTTTAAGGAAATTAGTTAAATACTTTGAAGTCGATAACTCATCGAGAATAAATACTTTTGCAAGGGAATTTACAGAATTTTGGTCTGTTTTCTATTAAAAGACTTTTAATCCAAATAGTATTGAAGAATAAAGAAATGGGTGAATTATTATGGTGATCGAAGTGGAATTATGATTTAAAAATGAGTTAAATGAAATAATATTTAATTGTGTTTTAATTAATAATAAGAATAATATTAATAAGGGTTTATTATTATGTTGTAAATAATAATCTACATAATAATTTAATACTCGAAAAGTTATTGTATAATGCTTATTTTTATTTTTTATTTATTTATTTCATTAATTATTTAATAATTATTCAAAAATATAAAAAAGAAGAGCGATGTGGATCGAACACATGGCATAAAGAGTTGGAGTCTTTCGCTCTGCCACTGAGCTACGCTCTCTATTTATATTTTGTATTCCTCAAAAAAGAATTTAATAATTTTTATTTAATTCTAATTTTTATACCTCTGTGTTAGCTAGAACTTAGTGATAAGCCTTTGAATACACATCAGTAGGAATATGCGTTTCAATAAATTCAAACTCCAACCCTGAGTGCATCTATACCTTCTTATCTTCAGGTGTAACAATCTGCCAATAAATTATTAGAGGACTTTCTATCTACAGGAGTTATTAACAGTCCTTATTAAAATCTAACAAATCTTCAAGTAGTTAATTTTTATATTATCAGAATCTCTTACTGTTTTTAATGTTGGATCAAAATAAAAGGAGGATGGAAAAAATAAGCTTATATAAATAATTATTTTCTAGAAAATAATGTGATTAAAGAATTGTATGAGTATATTTTTAATTATTAAATGATATGCGAAAAATTTATGTGTCATAAATTTTGGAAAGAATAAATTATTTGCAAGAATTCTCAGACTATTCTCAATATGAATGTTTACAATTCTGCTAAAAAATTTAATAATTCAGACTTGCAATAGATCAGTAATTAAAATTTGTATCAATGGAAATAAAAGCTTGTTATTTAGAATTTAATTAGTTTATTAGTGCAACTTTAGCGTGTTTACAGGGAAAATCGTATAAAATTGTTGTATTTTCCATCCTTTTTGGTTGAAACAATTAATTAATAAGAGATTAAAGGGGTTAGAGAATATATATAATACGTTTTTTAAAACATGTTAAATAACTAGTCAAGGATCTAAGTAGCATTTTGTATTTTTGCATTCCTTATTTACTCCTGCGCATAATTTTTAACATCTTTCTTAAGTGAGTAATGATTATCGCAAGTATGTTTATGCGCATGAGTAGATACATCCATTCACTTATTTATCACATTTAGCCTAGCATTCCGTCACCTTGGTTACCACACCTTTTCCTATTATATTTATATACCGAAAGCTCCTTATGTAAGTAACACTAAAAATATGAAAATTAACTTTATATTCATTTTATTATTATTTATTTAAGTCCTAAAATGACCTCAAATATTAACATCTTATTTGATAAACCGAAGCTTACTTTAACAGCCTTGGAAACAGTAGAACAATACGATTTTGACATTATTGTAGATAAGGTCTCAGAATAGCTGAAATATGTGTCGCAAAGATTAATTGAGGGCTAATAGGAAACTGATCTTCCTTATGATAAAGAGAATATTATTCTGCCAAGATAGCAGACATATATTTAGAAAGTAAAGGATAGTAAATTTGCTAAAAAGAAAAAAAAGTATTTTGTCCATAATTTAAATTTTATAGTCGAATGGTTTGGGATGAAAATAAAAAGGATTGGACTTTGAGAAAATTAAAAAAGAGAGATTCAATAATACCTCCTATCATTGAAGCTACCAAGTCAGATGCATATGAAGTAACAAACCAAATTAAAATTAGGATGTCTTTAGGAAAAAGGAAATTGAGCATGAACTTAAGAAATCTAAGAAACAATTAAGATTGGTGTAGAAAGATAAATAGAAATAGAAGAAACTATAGTCCATAAAGAAGTAACTCTGATTGTTTATAATATATCCAAACACTCAAATAAATAATTTCAGAATCATTTTGTTACCTATACTACTGCTAAAGAACTTCGTTGTTTGTATGTCTAATCTATTCAGCTGGTTTTTCAGATAACTTATTTATTAGTTAATTGTAATTGCATTGATTGATAATCGAAGAACGTCATAATTAAAAATGATTTCTCAATTCCACTATACTTTTGCTTAATACTCCTTATATACATATATTTTTGCTTTTAAGTATTTCTTCTTCAATAAATAAAATGTATTGCATTTGCAAATTTCACTATTAATATTTTTTAATACTCAAAACGCCATAACGAATAGTTTCAATATAGTTATTTTTCTCGTAATCCTCAGAATTTTATTGATTTATTTTTCACATATGTTATTGATGAGGAGTTCAGATTAATAATAATTATAATTTCTTAATGATTAGTATTCTCAGAACCTTTTTTTGCTTGCTTTGTGGATCTCGTAAAGAACGATAACTATTGATGTTAACAATACAAGACTAAAATCACAATATGTATTACATTAAAGCCAAGCCCAACATGAAGATAGAGGAGGTTAAAACAAAATGCGGCATTGAATCAGAGAGATCTTCATTATTTCTTGAAAAAACATTGTTAGATGATGAGGCAGAGTTGAAAGAGTATGAAATTACTTCAGATACTCATTTAACTTTGCTTGTACATACAGAAATAGAATCATGAGATCAGTTATTTTCATAGATTTATTGTCATTATTAATATATTTATTATGAATAAAAATAATAATAATAATGCTCTAAGATCATAAACATCATTTATGAGTGAGAATCATGCATTGAAGCCTTATGGTAATAACTTTATAGATCACCCATATATGAATCAAAAATACTTTATAAATTCAATTCAGTCAAACAGTATGTCCATTTGGAGGAAGATGATTAATTTAAAATCTCCAAATATTATTCTGCATATTTTGAATTTAGTCTAGGAGGGACATTAATAGTAACTATAGGAGTTTTGTAATTGCTTTTAAAATGCATTAAGAAACCATACTACACCAACATAAGAACATATCAATTACTATAAGCACCTATATTTGGGATTGCTAGTTGCATCTGGGGTACTTTTGCGTACACATATTTAACCTCCTTATATATTGATAATGTGTCAAGGCCATTACTATATAAATATTTTGAAGAAGCAAAAAGGAATGGGTTCCAAGATTATGAAATCAGTTTCAAACAATAATGAAGGACTTTGTGTTTTTATTCAAATCAAAAAATTATTTATTCTAAATTTTTGCTTTTATACTTTTCAACATGATCTATATTTAGGTAGTGGAAATGTTCTCATTCTCGATTCCTGATTTGAGAGTGAGAATATTATATTAATTTCAATTAAATTCTTGAGATAAATGGGCATATGCGATTAGAAAAATATTAAGAAATCCCAACATTATTTCAAATAATCAACTGGGGTTACTCCCATTCCAATAGTAAATAAAAAAAAATAGCATAAAAGACGTAAAACAATTACATTTTGGGATGCGAAAATTGTATAAAATGAAGTTGGATCAAATCAAAAAAGTTACTCTCCTCCTCCAAAACTTTGTTTTTGTAGTAGTAATCCAGGTTCCAATACAGAAATCTAATATGGATAATCGAATTCAACAAAGGAAAGGTTGAATTAAGTCAATTAAAATATATAAAGCAAATAAACTCTTTTTGGGGAAAAACTAAGATTTTCTAATTCATTAAAAAGAGGATAAAGGGAATTATTTAAGCCCTTGGCATCAAATTAGTGATATGCATTAATATATATTGTCATTATTAAATAATTTGAAATATAATATTTAGTGTTCTAAAAGTAATTGAAATAATTGTTTCGCATAAAAACGAATAAATTTAAAATTTTCCCAAAATTTGATGACTCTTAAAAAGAGCTAAATTTATTTCTGTTATTGTTGAGGGAACTAATAAAAAAGAGATTAAGTATTTTTAATTAAAAACCATAAAATCAAGAATTTAAATATTGTAATAAAATGATAAAGAGGCATATAGATGTTTACTTTTAAAATTACAAATCTGTATAGTTTATTTGGTTCTATATTCTAGTTCATATTGCATCTTTAGATTATCTGCCTCTTTTAATCTTATTTTAATCTTAATTATAAATGAGTCTCGTCAAATGCAATTTAATTCATAGTAAATATATAATAAATTTTTTTAGTCAAACTAATAGACAAATGCTTTAATTTGGATATTTGATCAGTATTTCCATAATATTGGTTACATTAAACTTTATTAAAGATTATTTATAATTGGTGATTCTTATTCCTTTATTGAGTTTTTAAAAAAACCTTGGTAATGTTAATCAAAATATTTAAATTAGATGGAAAATTTCGCAACTTTAAATAGGGAATGAAAGTCTCTACCTACCAAATCAATTTAAATAGGCAATATGGAAAAGGATGATGTTGCCTTTGAAAGAAATCAAAGTATTTATTTGGTTTACAAATAAATGAATAATAATATTGTGTCGTTTATTTATGTTTACATCTTATTTCTTATTGGAATATCAGTAAGCTATACTAAATAGGCAGATGATATTTTAGTCATAAAATATGAGCTATATTTTTAAATGAGTCAAATTACACTGATCAAAAACCAAGTTCAGCTTAATTTTTCAGATAAAGGTGTAGTAGGTATGGAACACTGAATGTATAATGATGTTTTTTATTTAAAGTCAGTAGCTTATCAGTAGATTGATTGATTTGGATAGAAGATCGAAGTGGTTGATTCATTTTTAATTAAAATGTCATCAAAATGGTAAATAATTATAAATAAAAATTTAAAACTTTAATGTTAGAAATCTTGTTATCTCCAAAAAATATATAACAGCATGGCAAATCGTCGCCAAAAAAAATCATAAATGATTTCGAATATCATTTAGAAGACTGTTTAGGTTAAGGAGAATATAGTTCTGTATTTAAAGGGCAAGACAGAAGGTCTGGACAAGAAGTAGCAATTAAGGTAATAGAGTTTGTTACAATATGATTAGGTTATTGAGAATTCCAAATTGAATTCAAATTTCTCTAGACAGATGTTGAGTAATGAAATTGAATCATTAAAGAAGCTCAATTCTCCTTACATCTTATAGTATATCAACTACATTTACACTCCAAACAATCAATACATCATAACCGAATACTGCAACGAAGGAGAGTTGAGATTTGTTAAGAATCGATCAGATTAATAATTGTTAAGGATCTTCCATCAATTACTGTAGGCATTAAAGGAACTAAAATCTAAGAGTAAATATAATTTAAAATCAATAGATATCATACATAGAGACATCAAGCCTCCAAATATCATGATGCATAATTGCATACCTAAACTTGCTGATTTTGGTTTTAGTGTAAATATCAATTCTTTGGAGTTATAAAAATCGTCATTCGGCACTCCACTCTATATGGCACCGGAATCGTTGATCAACGATGTGTACAGCTTTTAGTCTGATATTTGGTCTGTCGGAATAACAATGTATGAACTTATATACGGGAATGTACCATTTTATCATGGCAAAGAATCAGAGTTAAAGAAAATACTACAAAATTATGTCAATAATCCAGTCTTAAGAATACCTTAATCAATATTCATTCCTTTGCTTAAAGGAATGCTTGACCCAAATCCTAAGACGAGATTCACAGTTGAATAATTATTGTCAATGATTTCAACCGATTAAAATACTCAAATTATTTCCTAATCGGAATTTAACTTCTTAAGCAATTTTGCATAGAACTTATAACATTTTGAGACTAAGGTTAATGACATATGTCTTCGATGGGCAATTTTGAAAATCCTCACAACCCAATTCAAAATGAATCCAAATGCTCAATCATAAATCAACCAATAGCTCATATCTATCTAAAACTCTACTAATTTCTATATGATTAGAGACTAAAAGATGATCGAACTAATAAATTCAAAATCAGATGCATGTATTTCATTTAAATTATTTTATTTAGAATTTGTTCATCTTCTTCGATAAATATTGTAACAAAAAGTAAATTGTTAACAATATAAGCCTATCGTATAGGATATACTACAATGTGATTCTATATTATCTCACTTATTTTAATGAGACTGATTGTTTTATTCAATTCATATATAATATAATTATAAGCCTGATAATTTAAACAATAATTGCTAAACAAACTGAAGTCATTCTTTCGCTAATTGAGGGTTGAGCCAAAATCAATTTTACAGAATCACTTGATTTAGGTTTCATCAAAGTAAAAACAAGATTATCAAATACAATTAAATAATATCAATTTTATAGGGTATGTTTCTACCGAAGATATCCAGTAAGTTAGTAATTTAAAATGGGAACTTTTAAATTCACTATGTCTTCTGGAATAAATCCACATTCAAATTTTTCTACTTTATTATTTAGCGGAGAAGGTTAGGATTCATCTTCTTCATGAATAATTTGTGGGGATAGAAGTGAAATTTTTTGATTAGAAGCTAAAGAAAGTGAACTCGTTACAAGTTAGGTTTGCTGTGTTTCTTAAAGCTTTTATTGATTTAAGATATTTCGATCGGATTTAATAGTTGTAGTTGATTCTGCAATAATATTTTCATTCTTATTGATAGATTTGGTTTTTGAATTTTATTTTAAGTTTGATTTCTTTATTTAATTAGAATCAGATGACAGTATATTGCTCTACTATTAAATACTGACTTTAGATTTTGAGGTGATATTTGATCTATTGGTCTTGTCGTCCGACATTTGGGTTTTGCAGATTTGGTCATTCTTCTAAGGAGTGTTGGATTTGGTTGTGGCAGTAACTTAAGGCTTAGGTTTAGCATCTTGAGGATTTTTGGTTTCAATTACACCACATTTATATTGCTCAAGAGAGGAGAGTACTGAGGGTTAGTGTCTGTGTATGGATGCATTAAATAGAATCTGAATTGAAAATAAATGAAGGTACATTCTCTAAGTCTTTGCCCTTGAAGGTTTAGAGAGAGAACCTTCCTCCAGGGTGATCATCTACAAAATGTGTTAGATCAAAGACATTGTTACGATATGCAAACAGAAATCTTATTCAAAACGGGATACTACCTATCAGATTTGACACTATCTTGCTGCATCTAGGCTATTGAAGAGTACTTTTTCAACATAAAATATAAAATTAATAATAAGCCCTTTGATTTAGCTTTTTTTTCGATATTTTGATAAATTTTAATAAACTTATGTTTTGTTATGTAATAATCACAATTATATATAATATTTAATAATGAATGACTTATATGGAAGAAGTGCAAGCACTGTTGAATCACAACAGAAATTAGAATTGTTCATCAGTTGTCGTGGATTGGCAAACATGGACACTTTTTCAAAAAGCGATCCCTATGTTATTATGTATGTGAAAAGAAATAACCAATGGTCTGAAGTGGGAAGAACAGAAATCATTAAAGATAACTTGAATCCAAACTTTTCAAAGTCATTTATAATAGAATACTACTTCGAATGTTAATAACCGCTAAAATTCATTTGTAATGACGACGATGGACATGGATAATATGATGTAGATTCTAAATTAAAACATATAGTTTATTGGAAGTGCAGAAACTACATTAGCTAACATAGCAGGAGCCAGAGATTAGTTAGCAATGTTAAATTTAAGCAATGGGCAGAAGAAAACTGGAGTACTGGTAGTGAGAGCAGACCAAGTTAGAATGATAAATGATAAAATAGTTATGTAAATAAGTAAATTCTAATTATTTAAATTCATTAGGTGCTGATAATCTACCAAATACGAGGTTTCTACCTTGGCATTCCACATCCCCCTTTTACAGACTTTATAGAATTAGAAAGGATACAAATTAATCACTTCTAGTCTATGAGAGTGAACCTATCAAATGTAATTTAAAACCCATTTGGAAAAGAGTGGACATCTAAGCTTAGAAACTGTGCAATGGAGATTATTTTATGCCTATTAGAATTGAAGTGTGGGATTACAGAACTTCAGGAAATCATGAGCATATTTGTTCTACAGATTTTTCAGTGGATGAAATGAAGGATAAGCAAAAGACGAAAAAAATTTTGTTGGATAAAAATAAAAAATAGTCTGGTTTCATCTGTTTCAATGAAGTACTCTTTATTAACTAAATTCTAGTTTAAATTAATCGAAAAACCTAGTTTTTTAGATTATTTATAGAGTGGTACACAAATCAACTTAATTGCTGCCATTGATTTCACAGCATCCAATTAATCCCCAAAAAATCCAAGTTCTCTTCATTATATAGATGATCAGTATAATAGAATGAATTAGTATCAATAAGCATTACTGGCAGTGGGTGAGATCTTATTGAATTATGATCATGACAAAAGTGTACCAATCTTTGGTTTTGGATGTAAACCAAGACTCCAAAATTTGAATACTCCTTAAACTCTACATTGTTTTCCATTAAATGGAAATCCTCAAAATCCAGAAGTATTCCAGATGGATGGAATTATGCAAACCTATAATTATGCTGTAAGGAATGTTCAATTTGATGGTCCTACCTATTTTAATCCTATCATTTAAGAGTCGATGAAAATAGCCTAAGCTTGTAAGGATATGGGTACAAACACATACTTTGTATTATTTATTTTAACCGACGGAGAAATTCACGATATGAAAGTATTTAATTATTTCAAAAAATTAGCAAACTATTGATTCCATCGTGGCATCTTCACATTTACCCATATCTATCATAATTGTTGGAGTTGGAGATGCAGATTTCACGAATATGTCAATATTGGATGATGATGATGGTAATCTCCGCGACTCCTTTGGAAAAAGAACCCAAAGAGACTTGGTCTAATTTGTGCCATTTAACTAATTTAAGAGCAATCCAGAGTTGTTAGCCAAAAATGTCTTGCAAGAATTACCAGATCAATTAGTTGATTACATGCTTTTGATTGGTAGAAAGCCAGGATAAAAAAATTGTAATTTTATCAATCATTATTTAGTCATTAATTTAGGATAGTTTGACATCAATCAATATTCATAGCAATATGGTATCCAATAACAGGTCATGCCACCTAATTAATAACCATTTTAATAATAAGTATCTTAAATACCTTAATAATAATTTCAAAATATGCCACCACCACCCTAACAATTTTAGCAACCTCCTCCTCCATATGGTTAAACTTAATAAGTATACTAACCACAATAGTCTTCATATCCATCCTAATAACCGCCATAATATCCAACATCATAATTAAATTAATTCCCTCCTCAATAACCTGCTGTCTATCAGCAATAGCAATAATTTAACCCTCCTCCTAATTATTAATAGTAGTAATAAATGTACCCTCCTTAACAACCTCCATAATAATCAAAATTTGTCTAAGGGCTCGCAAATACAAATTTCTTAGGATAACATATTAATGATGCCCAATAATAGTAAATTAATCAGTAATTGCCTTAATTCTAATATCCTCCCTAGGAATAATAAAATCAAATGGGAATGCAACCCTAACCAAATTTATATCAATAACCAAAATAGCCTTCACCTTATGTACCTGAAAATCCTTATGGATTATGATAAATAAATTTTATATAATTCATTATCAATGATTTCATTTGATCAAATTCTTGAAACAAAAATTGGAACTGGATTGTACCAAGGCAGGACTCTCTTAATTATCGGTTTGGTCGAATTTTGTGATGGCGTTGAGTATACATTTATGTCAATCTTGATTGCTATTCTCTAATCTGAATGGAATTTGAATAATGCTTAAGTTGCAACTTTGGGATCATCCTTTATTTTTGGAGTCGTTTTTGGAAATTTGCTATGTGCATTCTTGGCTGATAGAATCGGCAGAAAGATTACATTCTCGATATTCACAGGTTTGAGTTCGTTTTTGGTATTTTACACAAGTTTTAGTAATTCCTATGGAGAAATGATTATTCTAAGGATTTGTTTTGGTTTAGTTTTTGGTACAACTTGTCCCCTGGGGTTTATTTTTATCTCTGAAGTCACAGAAGCTAAATACAGAGGCAGATTTGCGTTTGGATTATCATTACTCTATATTTTTGGAAAAATCTACTTGGTCTTTCTTTGCTTCTTCTTTTTAGATAGTTATACCTCTGGCAATTGGAGAGGTTTGATCAGATTCAATGGTATACCTATCACTAGTGCTTTTATTTTGTCATTGTTTTTCGTTAAAGAAACAATAAGATACTATTTAAACTAGGAGGAATACTAAAAAGCATTTGAAGAAATTGAAAACAACATTAAAGAGAATGGAAGAGAGAACGTCCAGCTTTTGGATGAAGATGTAAAGCATTAAGTGTTATATTTTATAGAAAAAAGGCTTATAAGAATGGTCTCAAAAATAAATCCAGGAACAGAGAGAGCAAAACCTGCATGTATATGGGGTTCTATCAAATGAATATAGAAAAGAAACACTATTATTATGGTTGGTCTGCATTCTCACTAATTTATAAAATATGAGCATATATTTGTTGATGCCTTTTCTATTTGCTGAGAATAATTCAGGATTTTCACCGATGTTGAATATGTTCATTATCGAATTTTTGTTTGCTTTAATTATCTACAACCTGATTGACAATCCGCGTTATGGAGGCAGAGTAAGGATTATGGCATTTTCAGCTGCTGCACTCACTATAGCCAACGGTTTATTGTATATTTTGAAGAATAACTTTTTGTATGTAGGCCTATTTATCATAAAAATCTCAACAAGAGGACTTTTTTCAACCATTGGCTTGCTGTGCTGTGAAACCTATCCTCTTTATTTAAGATCTCAAGGCTCTGGCTTAGTTTAGGCTATAGGAAAGATTGGAGCAATACCATCTCCTTATTTTTTGTTTCCTTTATTTTTCATAGATCCATATTTACCTTTCGGACTCATGTGTATCTTATCTACTGTTATCTTAACTGTTACTTGCTTTTTCAACTAAGATAAAACATAAAAGCATCTAGAGATGTTAAAAGAAGAATGAATTTTTGATTATTTATTGTCAAATAAAATTTCTGAGAAATTCTAAATTAAGATTTATAATTTATTTATTGTGTAATGAAGAGGACATGTGTTTTTTAGAATGAATTCTGAATGATTAATAATAAATACATAACATTTCTCAATTTTCTGAACTTGGTCATATTCACAAACAAGTTTAATCAATTCATTCTTGTATTTTGTATATTGTTTTTGCATTTCTTTTGTCAAAGCGATTGCTGAGTCTTAAAGTTTGGCTAATCTATTTTTATAGCTTCTTAAGATTCGCTTCGTCCAGAAAAGCGTTTTCAGTATAGGATACAACTATTTATTATAGAGTTCCTCTTTGTTCTGGTAGATTTTACAGAATCCATACTAATTTATTCCTCATTTTATTGTCATCCTCTCCTCTATCTTAATAATTCTCATTTAGACCGAAATAGCCCTTTATCTTCCGAATAAATTAGCTCCGATTATTGGAGAGAGTTATTGAGATTGATCTTAAACAAGCCGAATCTTCAGATAGTTATCCATTAAAGAAATTTTGATTAATAGATTCAATAATCTTCTACTTGGTGCCACATCTTCCCTCCAATTATTATAGGGTTATCTTGATCATATCTTCCACAGTGTAATCATATTTGGTGCTGATTCTTTACATTTTTAATTGTTCCTTTGAAGGATCATCCTTCATGCTCTAACTTCTCACATCACTCATTTGATCCTAGACATTTTTCTTTAATTTCTGTATTTTCGATTAGACCGAATACCAAGTTCTCCCCAACTATTTTGACAAGGCTTAGATCTATTAATTAGTAATTGAACTATTTTAATAAGTATTTATGAAATTTTGCAAGGTTTCCATTTCTTTATTAGACCAAGTTTTTCTTCCTTTCTTTTCAATTGCCTCATTTACAATGCTTAAAGCACTTTGTTAATGAATTGAATTTGAATGCTATTAAATTTACAATATTTTTTATTATTGGAACTATTCATTGCTAGATTCGATCTATTGTTATTATTATTATTATTGTTATTGCTATTATTGTTGCTTTTATTGATAAGGCTATTAGAATTAGGCTTTCTGTAATTTAAAATCAGAAAAAGATTGATATTGATTTTCATTCTGCATTTATTGGGTTAGACCTTCTTATTTGAGCAGCTCAAAGCACCATGAACTATCTGCCTTGTGGATTAAGTTAAATATTTCTTAAATGAACTCAATTCCTAAAGAACATACAAATGCCATGAATTACTTAACATCCAATCTAATTATTTTTCAATAACACATACCTTTTTTGTTATCTATACATCCTTAACTTGTTTATTGTTCGGATGTATTGAGAATAAAAGGATTTGAAGACTTGAGGCTATGAAAGAGATTGCTCTAAAAACGTAAAATTATCAATATTATTTATTGCATCCTAATTTTAGGTAACCTGTATTGTTTACATTATATTTTTATTATTCTAAGAATCCATTTTATCTCTCGATTGCCTAAGAAATCAGAGTGTCTATCTCTTCCATGAATGAGGGTAAACTCTATGACATCTTACGTTGAGGTTTCATCCTTGGTTCATGTTGGACCTCTTATTGCTTTTGAACAAATTAATTGACTTCAGGCTCAGCATTAAAAAATTTGTGCAGCCTAAAATTGTTAATCTCTGGCTGCTCAATCTGAATGTGTTGGGGAAAGTTCTCATTTTCATCTTCATCCAAATCAAATTGACCTAATGTCACAAAGCAATCAATCTTTTAAAGCAAGTTTTAAGGACTCTACAATGCATAAAACTCATCCTCCATCTCTATACCTTACCTATTATCCATTTAATTTATTATTAAATTCTTTAATACTACCTCATTTTACAACTTTTAAATTAGTAAAATTGCATATCAGAGCAATTAAAAAAATCAGCATTTTATAAACTAAATAGAATTCAAATAAATCAATAAATTATAGATTAAAAACTATATTTAATCATTTTCATTCTCCAATCAAATAAGATGAAAACCTCAAAGCTTAATAAATGTCTCAAAAGTTTTATAAATCACCTAGAACTTTAATTGTATATATCTATAAACATCAGCAAACAGTAGATAAAATATCTGCTTTATAAATTTTTGATAATGATATTAAATTTCCATTAAAGGAAGGCACAAAAATCAGTAAATAATTTCTTTGCATATATATCATAATCATTTTATAATTCTATTTTGTATTATCTCACTTCTGTAGCCATTTTTAATTGTATATTTAAAATGTTCTCATAGCATTTATAATAAGAATCTTTTCATTTATCTAATTCAAAATAAACTAAATATGAACAAGTATTATTCTATAGAATAAGATTTGAAGAAAGGACTTATCAATGGTATTTGATATAAAAATATTTATTAATTTAAATAGGATTTTTAAAAACAATTGTATCTAAATGCTCTTGAATGAAAATACCTAATTATTTGCATTTATAAATTTTTTAGAATCACTTTAAGTTCTCTTATAATTGATATTTTTAAAAATGCCGTTTTTAAGGATGGATATTACGACTTACATGAGGCAATGGAAATTCAATAGAGTTATATCATTTGTTCATATTTTTAATACCTCATAATTAAGCTTTATCTATATTGTTATGAAGTTGATCAATTTCTGAAAATTTAGCTTCATCTATAATAATAATAATTCAACTTTGCGTAGCAGAATAATAAGCCAGAATCATTTAATATTTAATTTAACAATATTCTGAACCTATATTAACAGAATCAAAATCTTAATAATTATTCTTATTTGTAATCTTTCAGATCATTAATTATTCACAAATCAATTGATCATCAACTGATTAATATATGCAAGATTTCATTTGGTTCAAAAAATCTAGCACCTTTTGTCGTACAACAATCGTCATTCTACTATCTTTATGTAAAGTGGCACTAATCAAGACCATTAATCCTTAGTTATTATTAATTTATTGATTATCTACAACTCTTCTTGGATCTTTAGAATAGAAAGTTGAAGATCCTAAATTATAGATTTACTATTTTGAATAACATTATTATGTCAAGACCTAGGTTATATTTTCTGTTCTTTAGAGTTAATTAAAAAGGTTTATAGCTTTTCGAATCAAAATCTAAAAATTTCTAGCTGATCAATAATTAACATCTATATATATATAAATAAATTTATCATATTAACATGGAGGAAAACGTTATTATAAGCCAACCAAAAACTAAAAGAGAGATAATACCAACAGCAGGAAAATCAAGAGATGAAATGAGAATTTTCATATTCGAGTCTTTTGGAATGGCTTTATTTGCATATGGGTATAAATTAATTAATATCCTCTAGAATCATATGTTCCTAAGGTTCAGATGAGTTCTTAGCTTTGTTTTTCTTTGCATCAGTTTGTTTGGCTGCTCCATTTTCAGGAGCGCATGTAAATCCTGCTGTTACATTGGCTATGGTTTTATCAAGAAGAGTTAACTTTGCTTAAGCAGTGATATATTGGTTAGCTCAATTTTCAGGAGCCTTATGCGGAGCTTGCTGTTGCTATTTAATTTTGAATGAAGTAGACAGCCCCTAGGTTAAGAGTACTGAGTACTCATGGATACTATCAGATGTAAGCGGAGAGGCATTCGGAACATTTACATTTATTTTGTTTATACTTATTCAAACAGATCCAGAAACAACTTTAACTCCAAAAGGATAACCTATGACTACTTATGTATTAGTTGCTTTGGCTTTGTATTTCTCGAGAGAATTTACATTCCATTCAGGAGGTATATAATTGATTTCAATTTAAGGATGCTTAAATCCAGGCATGGCAGTTTCTTTACAATTATTCTAATCCTTCTAAACAGGAGACAGGCAGAGAATGGACTTCTTATGGGTTTATGTAGGAGGGCCATTAGGAGGAGGTTTTGGAGCAAGTGTGTTTTTTGAACTTTTTTATAAGAAATAGATAAAAAGACTCTGATTTATAAATAATTTAATCAATATTATTTAGTGAAATTCAATAGTCTAATTACTAATATTGGGGATAAATTCAATATTCTATTTCAAACAAAATTATTTAAAATTTCCCATTTTGAAGGGAATTCTTTCTTAAATGAGGTTCATATTTATTTACTTATTTATAATTATATTCATTTTAACATTATTGATTGTCTCATATTTTGTATTTTGTTTTTTTCTATAATTTTAACATTTTTAAACTCTTGATAATTGTTACTGTTGTATTTTCTATAGTAATTCTTGTAGTTAGCAGGGGCATCAAATTATTCAACTCCAGTCTTTATTGTTGGCTGTACTATCTTTTGGTACTCAGCCATCACATTCTCTCTTTATTATGATTAAGATTGATTAGGGTTCTCAATGACTTTTGAACTCAATAGGGCTGATTGTTGCATAGCAGATGAAGTCAAGGTTTGAATTGCAAAGGTTTTCAAACTTTAACTCTGTTATTGTCTTTGAGGAATCTCATTATCAATAGGTTATGTATTAAGATTTTAACTCTCTGTCATCTCATCTACCATTGGATTAGCTGCTTATTCTTCATCCAAACTCTTAAGTTCTTTGACTTGCCATTAAGGAATTAAGGGTTTATCAATTTTGATAGTATTCTTCTTTAAAGCTCTCTAGGTTTTGAGCATAAGATTAGCCTTCTTTTTCAATTTATTATTACTTAACCCTTTAATTAGAGTTGTTGCATTAGCTCTAGTTGCCCATTATTTTCTATCAAATCTCTAAATTTTCACCCTCTCCTATTTAAGGTCCAAGACAGTGGATTCTTCAATTAATTCTTGTACTAAGGGTATATAATGAGTCTTTGGGCATTAATCAGCATAGTGCTCTGTACTATTACAAGTGTAACATTGCTATTCTACTAAATTGTATTCTTTGGTGAATAATAACTTATCTCTTATTTGACAATATGTTTCAAAATCTTCAGGAAATTTCTTTAGTGTTTCTAAAAAGTCAGCTCTTGTGATTGCATAAACCTAGGAGTATTCTTTAGCATTTACGGTACCAGTTCTTGGAAAACCTAAAATTACAATATTAATAGGAATAACCTGTAAAGAATGACCACTCTCCAAAATAACTATACAATCCTAATTTCTTTTTAATAATTTCACTATTTCCTGGTTTCACAATAACTGAACCTCCCACAATGTAATATATGCTTAAATCATCAGTTTGTTCTGTAGATCCTACCCCAATTATCTCATCTCCTTAAGAAAAAGATTGTTCTCTTATTTTCTGTGCTAACTCTTTGAGGAATGGTTTTGTGAAATGATTCGCAAACATAGTACTTTGGAGAAACTACCCTAAAGATTGATACATCAATTCCTATTTTAATTCAGGTGCTAGTATTTCAAATACTTATTGTTCACTTTCCTAGTCTCTACTTCCTTCTTCAGCCCAATGTTCATTGATGTATTATCTGATGCGTTCCCTTAATTCAGAAGGAACATTCTTTTATTCCATAAATTTATTAATAGACACCTAATATTTAAGATATAAATACTTTTTATTTGAACCGTTGCATATAATATGAGTTGTATTCTTCCATCATCTTTTAAAAGTTGTTGATATTCAAAGCAAATACGACGACAGCAAACATCACTCCAAAGAGAGCGAAGGAACATTCATAAATATTCATGGGAGACTAAAATATAGGGTAAAGCATTTACAATATCACCAAAACCCATGGTGGTAGAGAGGACATTCAAGCTAAAATAGAAGGAATAAAAATAAATCTCATGAATTGACTTATCTTTGATCACTCCAAAATTTCCTGGTACATTTAGCCAAGTATTAATATGAATATTGTCACCATAGATGCCTAACACATACCAAATGCAACAATAAAAGTTGAAGCAGAAGAACATAAATATCAACATTTTTGTGATTTGGTAGAATGTTCTTAATCTTTTATGTAGCAATATTAATTCTGCAATTTGATGATCTATTCTAAGTAGAGAAGGCAATTTGAAATAGAACATGAAGAAGATGAATCTGAGATGATCAGTGTCTACAGCTAATCTAATAACACAAGAGAATAACTAATATAAAAATTAAATTTATACAGCCACACAATCAAAAACAAAATAACCATAGAAGTAATGCATGGCTATCTTTCTTTTATCCAATACAAGATTTCCATGTTTATAGTACGAAGTCACAAAATCAAGTAGCATGTCTGTTAAAAGTATAATGAAGATTCCATAAAATAATGCATATCGTCCACCTGCATTTATGAGTTACTCACAATAAATTGAATAGATACCTTCCAGAATTCCTCTCCATACATTACATATATAGGTACTTCGAAAAAAACAAATAGAGTAGTAATAGCAACAAATATCTTCCAAGGCCAAACTCGTTTTGGCAGAATGACAGGGAGCCAAGATAAATATTCTTCAAAAAAATTGCTATCACTTTAGCCATGTTCATCATTAAGATTATCATCATATATTTTAATGACTCGCTAAATTTTTTCTTGCTCCTCCTGCATCACGTTTTTTTCATGAAATTATTCAAGTTTCCACTTAACAGTCTTGTTTAGAGTTCTACTTCTCGATCTTTATTCAATGGACATTGAAGATACATCAGACAAAAGGGAATCCTATAGTGAGTATTATTCTTGCATTTCAAATGAAGTCATTGTTATATATTGATTATTTTATTAATTGCGATTAGCGTCATTTTAATTTAGTTTGTATTTTAAAACTAAAAATAAATAAATTATGTTTAAGACAAGATATTTAATAACCAACTAATTCACTCATTTCTAAAGATCATCATTCTCAAGTCAACCATTTGATTTAGTAGTAATTGGTGGTGGTCCTGGTGGATATGTCGCCGCCATCAAAGCTGCTCAATTAGGCTTGAAGACGGCTTGTGTTGAAAAGAGAGGTACTCTTGGAGGTACTTGCTTGAATGTGGGCTGCATTCCATCTAAAGCTCTTCTGAATATCAGCCATAAATACGAAGATGCTCACAAAAACTTCAAAGGATTAGGAATTAAGGTTGATAATCTTGGAGTTGATTGGGCATAAGTATAGAAGAAGAAAGGTGATATAGTTGGGTCACTTACAAAAGGAATTGAAGGTCTCTTTGCCAAAAACAAGGTTTCTTATTATAAGGGTTGGGGCAAATTTGCATCTAAAAATGAAATCGCCATTGATTTAAATGATGGAAAGAAGGAGACAATTACAACTAAGAACACACTTATTGCAACAGGAAGTGAACCAACACCCTTTCCAGGTTTAGATTTTGATGAGAAGGTAGTCATATCAAGTACTGGAGCATTGGCTCTTCAATAAATTCCGAAAAAATTGGTAGTCATTGGAGGAGGAGTCATCGGAGTTGAAATGGCCTCTGTATATTAAAGATTGGGAACAGAAGTTACAGTCGTTGAATACTTAGACAACATTTGTGGAGCTATCGATCTTGAAGTGTCAAAAGCATTCTAAAAAATATTGACTAAATAAGGAATCAAATTCTTAATTGGACACAAAGTCTTAGGTGGAAAGAATCTTGGCAATGGTGCTGAAGTCACAATTGAACCAGTCAAAGGAGGTGATAAAATCACATTGACAGCTGATCACGTTTTAGTGAGCACAGGAAGACGTCCATATACATAAGGATTAAATGCTGAAGTATTGATATACCATAATTTAGTCTATTGGTGTGAAGTTAGATAATAGAGGCAGAATCCAAATTGGACACAATTTTACAACAGGAGTAGATGGTGTCTATGCTATTGGAGATGTTGTTGAAGGTCCCATGCTTGCACATAAGGCAGAAGAAGAAGGTATTGCAGTTGCTGAAATACTGACTGGAAAGGTTGGACATGTCAATTATGATGCCATCCCAGGAGTCATTTATACCAATCCAGAAGTCGCCACGGTTGGAAAAACAGAGGAAGAATTAAAGAAGGCAGGAGTTTAATATGCTAAAGGATCCTTCCCATTCTTGGCTAATTCCAGAGCTAAGGCTAATGATGAAATTGAAGGCTTCATTAAAGTTTTGACAGATAAAAAGACTGATAAATTATTGGGAGTTCATATTGTGGTAATATTTTATTCTATTATTAGGGACCAAATGCAGGAGAAATGATTGCAGAAGCTGTTTTGGGAATTGAATATGGAGCTGCTTCTGAAGATCTTGCTAGAACTTGCCATGCTCATCCAACCTTAAGTGAAGCTTTGAAGGAAGCATGTATGAGTGCTCATTTCAAACCAATCCATATGTGAAAATAAGGAGTAGTTGATAATGAACAGTATAAATATATATTCAATAAATTCTATTTGATAGACATTTCTTTTTCTTTTTATTGCAGCCTTTATGCTTAAGTCTTACAAAATGAAATTCTGCAACTTATATTCCTATACTAATTTTGTTTAAAAATGTAGGCATTACGTTGTGATAAGTTAAATTTATAATAATAATAAACAACATTACTATAATCAAGTTTACATAATCTCATACCGAGGACTTATACTAAGTTACTCCTCTATGAAGAAATAGAACAGAAGAATCTTAATTAGGAATATGAATTGAAAGTATATCAGCAGCACCTAGTTTTTGGAATGTGTTCTATCCTATTGAAATTGTAAAGCTTAGAAATATGTTAAATTAAATTTGCATCAATGTTTAAGCACGATAATATCATTAAGTGAACCTATTCTGAAGGAGGAGCCTGGCCATTCTTAAAAGGATTTTGGGTCACTGCTATATGACGTGGATTCAAATATTTAGAAATAAGTATTACCATACATAGAAATTACAAAATTAATATATTATTATTTATATCAAACAATTCAGCATTCACAATTTTTCCCCTCCGGATTGCCATTAATAGCCGAAACTTCAATTGGCCTTTCTAGATGTTTATTTTCTTTTTATAAATTTTCTTCTTAATGGTTGAATTATATCACATCAACTTGATTATTATTCTCTTATAAATCAATATTGGATATTGGTGATTGGTTTTACTGATTAGGAAGAATCAATCCCAAATATAACAATAAGATAATAAAGTACTTATGCTAATTTAGTCTAACAATTAGTTCATCTTATCTTTGAACTCTGGATCTTAATGATTCGTTTAGATTTGGTATGTAATATCATATTATTCTATTAACTTTTGAACATGTTCATTCATATCGAAACTTTATAAATCTGTTTTATTCTAACCAAATTTTCATTTAAGATTCTTTACCCCTATTAATGCAATTTTTACATTAGCACCAGCCTAGAAAACAAGCTCTTCTATCCATTTATCAATGTGTAACAAGGATGATTCATTTGAACAATCATAAACCAAAATCGCAGCCTTTGCTCTTTTATAATGGCTAGATATGAACAATAATAAAAACCTTGACACTATAGATCTATATTTTTCCTATCCTGCAGTATCCCATATTGAAAATTTGATATTGTTTCTTGTAAATGAATGATGCTATACTCCAATTGTTGTCTCAGTTTTAGCAATAATATCCAAGAAACTATGTATAAATAGATTCTCTTACTTGTTTAAAATTGTTGTTTTCCCTACTCCACAATCTCCCAACATGATAACTAACGATTTAGCATGAATTATTTACTTTTATTTTAAGACATTGTTTTGAAATAGTAATTTAAAATATATTTGATAATGTATATTTTGTTAAACTTATTTTACTCATATTAATCTTTTTTTAATCAGCTACAGCTAAAGCTTAACAAAATGAAAGAAATATAAAAATTCTTAATACTTGGCTACTCAATCAATTATAAAATTTCATATATATATATTCGTTTTTTTTATTTTGCTATGAAAACAATTTCCCTACTTATTTTCATAATAGCATTGGGTTATTCACAAACTGATTAATTAAGAGATATATTGGATTATAGCAAATTTGATTGTGACAGCTTAAATGATTTGTTTGAGATCAAAAATTAACTCTTATATTGGAATGAATTAAAGGACACTGATCTTATCCAATAAATTTCAGATATATTAGAAGTGAAAGAGTCATTATTAAACTATAAAGAACTACTCCTCAGTAAATCAACTTTGAAAAAATCTGCCCCAAAAGTACTTTTAGAGAAAGTTAGCGATGAAATTAAAGATATTGTGTAAGAGTTATAAAATGATAAAAAGGAGTTGACATTATAGTATTGTGATAACACAATTAGAAGGATAAATAAAATTTTAGATTAACGAGATAGTGAAAAAAATTAATTGTTTAAAGTAGAAAAATAAGAATTAAGCGAGAAACTCAAATTAGTAACAGAGAAAGTTGATACTTGTAATCGATCTCTGAAACCAGCCTATCACAATAAAATTATCCTTCAATAGGTGATTTAGAGCAAAACCAATGAAGTTGGTTATGGTTATTGGTTTAGATTACTTAATTTCTATCCTGAAGACTATCAGACTGAAACTTATTTTATATCTCGTGTTTCTGAAAATGAAAACTATTCAGGAAACGACTTAGGAGATAATAAACTTGTGGTGTCTATACAAAAAAACAATTTAGTATTCTCAACCTATGATATTAAAACAATGAATTCGATAGTTGAATAAAAACTATTTTTTGAAAAAAATTAATGGATTTATATTCACTTTTCTTATTAGGATGGATTGGCAACAGGATATGTCTATTTAGATTAAGATGACATTAGCAAAATAGAATTTCATGTGGAGCATTTTAAATTAAATTAAGCATACTTTAAGTTTGGAGGGAATGATTTATAAATTTAAGGATTAAATGGACAATTCGCTTAACTGACTTATGGAGTTGGGAAATAATACATCACCGATAAACCATAATTATTCATTGAGGAAGTATCAAAATTATCACCCTAGCCTTAATTCAACAAGTAATAAATTGGGTTAATTGCAGAGGAAATGCAGTTCCCAATGAAATTTAAAAAGGAATATCATTCTGATTTCATTGATGAATTTGCAATTAGCGCATGGTTTAAGATAGAATATTTAGATGCTGAGAATATCGAGATCTTTAGGCTAAAAGATGATAAAAAGAATTATGCGTTGAGCTTTTATGGTGGTAATTCTTTAAGTTTTGGAACTTACAGCAAAGATTAAGAACTCAGAAAAGCTGAATTATTTGAATAGACAGACGATTGGCACTACATCTATATGAGTTATTCATATTTGAGAGAAGAATTTAATTGCTTTGTTTGGATTAATGGGCATATCATTAAATTACAAGAACATAATGTCAAGCATTATCCAACTACTGATCTAACTCTGTCAATTGAGAATGAGTTTGATGGACAAATTAATAAACTGAACTTGTATGTTGGTAAAGGTAGTCATATCAATGATCCTCACAATCTTCCAAGTGAGTATTAAGTGGGCTTGGATTTGGTTGAAAATGTAATTTTATATTAATTTATTAAAGAGCATAGTGAGATCCTTCAAGGTGACTAAAGAAATTAACAGTAAAAACCTGTTGAATTATAATTCTAATATCAGAGGAGGTGAGGAAAAGAAGAATTAAAATTCCAACAAGAAAGAAAAATGAAAAATAATAATATATAAAATTTATTAAATGAACCAAGAAATTAAACCTGTAATCGATGAAGGAATTAACTTAAGATGCAGATTTTACGAGAATCAATATCCAAAAGAAAATGATTTAGTCGTTGTCGAGGTTGTAGAAGTTTAAGAAAATGCTTCTTATGTCGAATTGCTAGAATATGATAGAATAAGAGGAATGATTCCACCCAATGAAACAACAAGAGCTTTGAAAGGAGGAATTTAAAAGGCTTTAAAAATAGGAAAAATACAAGTTGTCAGAGTGCTGAGGGTAGATGAGGATTAAGGATACATTGATTTATCTAAAAAAAAAGTGGCTAAGGATGAAGAGGCGATTTCTTTGTAAAAGTTTGCAGACGGAAAAATGATTCATTCGATTATGAGAGCTATCGCTGAGAAGTGCAATATCAATATTTAGCAATTATATAAAACTATCGTATGGCCATTATAAGAGAGTAAATAAAATATTTCTGTCCTTTAAATATTTAAAAATGCACTATCTGATTAGAAACATTTGTCAAAATTGAATTTATCAGAATAGATTTAATTCAAATTAATGGAGGAGATTGAGAGAAGATTAAAACCAGAACCAGTCACTATTAAAACTGAATTTGACTTAATCAGTCATGATTATGCAGGAAGTCTAATTATTAAAGAAGCTCTCATTGCTGGTACTAATAAGTCCACAGAAGAATGTAAACTATCAGTATTTTATCATCTAAACATAGTTTGAAATTAAAGCATCTCCATCTTATACCGGAAAAACAACTACCATATCAAGGGATGGAGTTAAAATTATGAAGGATGCTTTAGTTGAAATTGAAAATATTATGAAAAAGTATTAAGGATAAATGAAAGTTAAAATTGAAGTATTTAATGATATAATTTTAATAGCCTAAAATTGTGGGAAATTAATAAGCTGATTTTATTGATGAAGTTGAAAATGAAGATGGAGAAGATGAATATGGGACTAACCAGGAAGGCGGAGAAGGAGATGATGATGATGATTTGGGAATGTAGTGAATTTATTCTGATATAGATATAATAAATTATTCATGGGTTTATGATTTATTTTTTTTGATTCTAAAAAATTTGAATTACTAATTTAAATTTTGAGATTACGTTAAAATCAATAAATTTGACAATTATGCTTTCAGGTTTTACAAAAAAATCAAACATTCATTTATATAGATATAATTTTCTCGAATAGGTTTTTTTTGCTCTGGATTATTGAAGAAAATTGAAAAACAACTCTGAATAATTTTTTAATGAATTCTACTGATATTTAAACTATATCTTTTGTAAAAAGTTACATATGGGGGCTTTTGGAAAAAATTAATCGTTCTGAGGTTGATATTTATATAATAAGTAATTTAGAAAAAGATTTGGACATTAATAAAATATTGTTATTATCTCAAAAAAAAACATAACCCTTTAAGTTTCATTAATCAAATATTTTGACATAAACTTTTTATACATTATTAACAATTAAATGAATTTAATGATTGTATTTAATACTCAGATGAAGTTTGAATGATGATATTAGCTCAACATGATAATGAAACTTATTGATCAAATTAATTGAATTAATATATTATAAATTTTGAATGGAAGAAGAGAATTTTGATAACATTGAAAAACACAATATTAGTGTAGTTAAAGTACTTAATTCTTTATATTTAGCTTTCTGGTGATGAATAGTCATAGTAAGGAGAGTAAAAGATTAATAAATCTTAAGTTGATCAACAAGAAAATGAAAATTCTCTGTTCTTTATTGATCATTAGGATGATTTCAATATATAATAATAAAATAATGAAGTTCCTTAAAACTAGGAGGAAGAAATAGAGATTATTTAGTTTGCAGAAAATAGAGATATGTTTGTTGATAATAATCATGCAGAGGTCGATAACAATAATCATGAATAAAAGGAATAATAAATTATTGAATAAAACATCCCTGTTTAGTAATGTTAAGATAGACATATTCCAATAGTTTAAGAACCTTAATATACAAACCAAGTTTAGCAGCTGTAAATACACTATTCGCCTGTTCCTGATTAATAAAATCTAGTGATGATACCGACTTAATCTTTTAATACCCCAATTTAGCCAAGCGATCAATATGATAATAAATAGGATTAAGAAAGGGAAAATGGAAATATAAAAAAAAAATAAAAGAAAAAGTTATAAAAATAAGAGGAAGAGAATAGTGATAAGCATTATCACAATAATTTTGTTGTTGTACCTATTAATTAAAATGATGCTCAATAAGATGTATTAGTTAATTTAGGCTCCAATTTATCTGCATATTGTTGTCTTGGTTTGCTCAATCGATCTGATAGCTGTTGTTAATGGATTTGTGATTTAACTGTTTACTGTTTAACACTCCCTTTGACACTCTTTAAAAAGCTAATAGTTTGTATTTGGGATGGATGCTTAGAAATGTGCTGCTAAAATTTGTGCCCAGATTGTAATGATTCATGTAAAACAAGTTGTGGGCTTTTAAGCTTCAATTGCGGTAAAAAAATATTATATTAATTAAGGTAGATGTTATAATAGTTTAAAAAGGAACTCTAATCTGATATGCACCTAAATATGTTGTTGCATAAATTGTTCAGCATTTAGTTAATAAATTTTGGCATATTGGGATTCTTGTAGTAGTTTCTGTTTTTAAATGTGTTCAGCTTTTTGTGGACTTCTTTTAGTCTGTTGTGAATTCATATTAAATAATTTCAGCGACTGTTTAACTCAGATTTGTACTTTTTGTTGTGACTGCTTATCGAACTCCTGCCAATAAATTAGCTAATTTTTAGGTCCAATATGTGATACCTTTTGTGAATTAATAGGTATATGTTGCAAATGCATTGAATGTTTGAAATGAAGTTTTAATTCTAAATATAAAGAGATGAAGCAAATGACGATTAATTTGTTTACTTTATTTAAATAAAATTATTTAATTATATATCTTTTGTTTATTTATTCTTTTCAGCTGACTGAATAAAAACTATATATATTTAAGAAACCAGATTTGAGGACTGAGTTTTATATATTATTAATATCCGATAATTTAGTTAATAAAATGTTAAATGAAATTCCTGGAATTAAAAATGAGAGAATAAAGCAATTTGCACTTTGTTATACTCTCTATATTATGGTACATTGCTGTAGATCTACTTGGAGTTATGCATCTGGATTGATTATTGAACAAAACAAGATCGAAGGATTTAGTCCTCAATTTTTGGGATATGTCAATTTTACATTTCTATTGTCAATGGGAGTTTCATACTTTTTGTATAAAATGTTATTATGAGGCTTGGTTAACTAGGTGATAAGATGAACCCAAAATTATTTGTTATCCTTGGCACATATCCATTAAGTGCATTATTTATTATCCTAGCCTTAATTTTTGAATTTACAACAGCCCCAAAAGAACTATATTTAGTATTATTGCTCTTAGCAGGCATGTTTTCTTCAACTGCATGGCCAGGCCTACTATGTAAGATGTCGTTATTATATTTTTCAAGCAATAATGAATGCATGGATGCCAAAAGAATAAAAAGTTATTATTCTTGGTCTTTTTGCCTCTTGCATTAATGTAGGGAACATAGCAGGTTTTGCTAACTCTGGAATCACCATAGAGATATGCGATCTCAGCATTTTAACCCCAATATATATAAGTGGAGGATTGTTATTTTTCATGACCATTATGTTCCACATATTCATCAAACCAAGACCTTCTATTGTATCTGAACATATAATATCGGATACTTCATAAGAACCGTAGGTGAGCAAAGAAGTTGTGGGAGTAAAGAAATTGAAAATTTGGAAAGCTTGGTTACTGCCAGGAGTGGCAATTTATGCGTTGGCATTCGGGTGCATTAAAGCGATTTCAATGATTGTTGGATTGTGGTTACCTGCTTATTTAGACTATCTTCACGTATCATTTGTGGCTTTAATCAATATAATGCTCGATTTAGGAGCTGGATTTGGAGGCGTAATAGTTTGGTATGACAAAGAAATTAATTATTAGCTATTTAGGAGTCAAATATTAAAAAAGGGCTACAATTATTGTTCCATTATTATGGCTAGGAACCATTTTAATGGTGGCTATAAATTTCTTAAAAGATTATGATAATCCATTTGGAGGATATATGGCTCTTAATTTTGGTGTTGGCTTGTTTATTGGAGGATGCTATAATAATGTGGCTGCTGCCATTGCTGTAGAACTCAGCAACAATAAAGCTTTAAAAAGTAATTATAATAAAGGTTATTTTTTAGAATACAAGCATGCTACATCAACTGTAACTTCATTAATAATGGGATATGGCACTCTCTTTGGAGCTTTGAATCAAATAGTTGTTCCATATGTCAAAGATTACCTCTTTCTTTATTGTGGTATTTTAGCTGTGATAGGAGGATTGTTGTTAATAGTTGTAATATTGACAGAATGGAAAGTGGATGATGAACCGGATAAGCTAAACAAAGAAATAGAAATGCATTGATTACTTTTACGTTAATAAATTATATATCATAATTATTATGGCTGTGTGCTGATGTTCTTTAATTTTCGATAATAACATACCCCTATAATTAAATAGGGGAGTATGAACACAAAAGCATAATACATTCTTTAAGGCTCGCATTAGTATTAGACAACTTGTAGCATAGTAAATGTTATATAAGTAAATAAAAATTCTGTGATTAATTTACAACTTAAAAGGGTAATTCTTGTTGTTCTGTATATTTCTTAAGCATTGAACACAGTTAAACCAACTTTGATACTAAAAAGATTTACCACAATCATAATTAAATCGATGTGGAACAAATTATAGGATAGTAAAAATGATGTATGATATTGTCATTACTGCTGGAAGCGCAAAAAGAATGTTTTTATCGGCATAACGAACTGCATTTCCATTATAATCAAATTCTGTAGGCACTTTTTCATTCAAATATACAAACTGGAATAATTAGATTAAAAATACAGACTAGTGAAAAAAAGCCCAACATAGAATTAGTACTAAAAGTGCAAAAATTTCTCCAATAATTTCAATTTTCTTGAATCTAGGTAAGTTTTTCAAAGAATTCTAAATTAACTCATCATCTTTCTAAATTGCTATGTCATTCATGTGTATTGTTGGCTATTGAATATAAGAATGATTTATCATTATTAATAATACTAAATTATTTATTATTGTAATTTTATGAATAAAAAGTTTTGTTTGATATTTATAACAAAGACAATTGCCTTTTTTTACCTATTTTAATATTTTCACTTATGGTTTAACAAATAGATCGTTTTTGAAAAATATATTTTTCAATTGCTTGCTTAAATGGCTTTTCATTTTATAATCTAATAAATTAATTGAATTAAAATTCATTCAACTGTTCAATAATATATATATTTATATTTCTAAAATTATGGTGTTTCTTTATAAAAAGTGGTTTAATAAATCAATTCCAAATATGTATTTAAAGATAAACAAGTATAGCTAAATTAGGTTTCATTAAACAATGAAGCTTTTTGAAAGTGTTTACCAGAATCAAGTAGATCTTTAAAGTATTTCCAAATATTCAATTAATTTTTTGTTTTTGTTTTAAAATCCATTAAGGGTTGCCTCTTAACACTACATGATAAATGTGAAAAAATTTCAACTTGAATATATTTGTAAGATATATAAATATTAAATTGTTGTCCTTATTTGTTTTACAGCTTTGAAATATCATTATTCCACCTGATAACTAGGTTCTCTTCAAATATTACCAAGAAATTTTGTTAATAACAGAATAAAATTATGGTTGTATTTAGGAAACTAGCAACTTATGTTCAACTATTTGGTAATTTGTTTCATTAATAATTTAAGCAGTTGAATAAACTCATCCTATATTATTTTCTTACATATTTCAATATTTTCTTGGTTGATTACTTTAGTAATATATAACAAAAAGCTAATCCAAAATCACATAAAATACACTTTTATCAAGATGCTAAGCATATTGAGTATATTTTTAGCCATAACAAATTTTATTCATGAAATTAGACAAAACACAAAAGTCGAAATGGAAGGCAATTCTATTCACCCAGAAACCCTCTAATAGCTTGCTTAAACTTTAACGAATCGCTGCTTTATTTAATTGCCCAAAATTTGGAAATTAAAAATAAAAGATAATTCATTTAAACTATAATTCACATTTTACAACTTTCGACAGGAAAATAATAACTAATCTACATAGTAACTATTAAATAATATAAAGTTAATGATTAGAGAAGTCGAGAATGATATAGAATAACATAGATTTGAAAACCTACAAGTAAATACAATTTTAATGGTCGTTTCAAAATTTTCCAAATGTAAATTTATTTTTGTTCATTACTTCCATTTATTGTTTATTATTGTAGAATTTCTCTATAGGTAATTTGTCTTATTCAATTAATTTAGAAAAATAAAGGAGATTGATGAAAGATATAAATATGTTA